TATCACCGCTATCCAACAAGACAAGAACCTCAATTGCACAGTCGAAGTGTCCTACCTTGAAATTTACAATGAACGCGTTCGCGACTTGCTCAACCCGTCAAATAAGGGCAACCTCAAAGTGCGTGAACACCCGTCAACCGGTCCCTATGTCGAGGATCTGGCGAAGTTAGTGGTTCGTTCATTCGATGAGATTGACCATTTGATGGATGAGGGAAACAAAGCAAGAACGGTGGCGGCAACCAACATGAACGAAACCTCCAGTCGTTCCCACGCCGTTTTCACATTGACCCTCACTCAAAAACGCCACGATGCGGAGACTTCCATGGATACCGAGAAGGTTTCGAAGATCAGTTTGGTCGATCTGGCAGGTTCAGAAAGAGCTAATTCTACCGGTGCTACTGGTGCCCGTTTAAAAGAAGGTGCCGAGATTAACCGCTCGCTTTCAACCCTTGGTCGTGTCATCGCTGCGCTGGCCGATGTCTCGGCTGGCAAGAGCGTCGCTGGAAAGAAGAAGGCTGCAAACATGGTTCCATACCGTGATTCCGTACTCACATGGTTGCTGAAAGACTCACTCGGAGGTAACTCCATGACCTCTATGATTGCTGCCATTTCTCCAGCAGATATCAACTTTGACGAAACTCTGAGTACTCTTCGTTATGCCGACTCCGCTAAACGAATCAAGAACCACGCTGTCGTGAATGAAGACCCGAATGCTCGCATGATTCGCGAGCTCAAGGAAGAGCTGGCACAACTACGATCGAAGCTCGGAGGTGGCGTGGCAGGAGGTGTTGCTGGTGCTGCCGGCGGGTTGCCTGCAGAGGAATATTACCCACCCGATACACCTCTGGAGAAGCAGATGGTCTCCATTGCACAAGCCGACGGCACCATCACCAAAGTCAGCAAAGCCGAGATTGTGGAGCAGCTCAATCAAAGTGAGAAGCTTTACAAAGATCTCAATCAAACATGGGAGGAAAAGCTGCAAAATACCGAGCTCATTCACAAAGAGCGTGAGGCAGCCCTGGAAGAACTTGGTATCAATATCGAAAAGGGATTCATAGGATTGAGCACTCCAAAGAAGATGCCTCACTTAGTCAACCTCAGTGATGACCCTCTGCTGGCAGAGTGTTTGGTCTACAACATCAAACCCGGAACTACCACCGTGGGACATATGGATCAAGGCAACAATGTAGAGATCCGACTGAACGGTTCCAAGATCCTTGAAAAGCACTGCACATTCGAGAGCGTGGATAACATTGTCACGCTTGTTCCAACTGAAGGCGCCGCAGTGATGGTCAACGGCATGCGAATTGAGAGGCCCACACGACTGAAGAGTGGGTTTCGTATCATCCTTGGAGATTTCCATATCTTCCGATTCAACCACCCCCAAGAAGCTCGCGCCGAACGAGTGGAACAGAGTCTATTGCGACACTCTGTGACGACCAGCCAACTTGGTTCCCCGGCACCTAACAAAACCCATGACCGCAATCTCAGCAAGACTGGGTCAGATATCGATGGCGATTCAAGCAGTGCAGATTCTCCGATGCCGGCACGGGGCCGCGAATCGGATTGGTTCCTTGCTCGAAGGGAAGCCGCTAGTGCCATGCTAGGTCCCGATCATATCTCTAACATGCCCGATGATGAGCTTGACACTCTGTTTGAAGATGTGCAAAAGGCTCGAGCAGTACGCCGTGGTCTTCCAGAAAACGAAGAGGATTCGGATTCACTCAATTCGTTCCCAGTGCGGGACAAATACATGTCCAATGGAACTATCGACAATTTCTCTTTGGACACGGCGATTACGATGCCCGGCACACCGCGACAAAATGATGAGTACGATGGGACAAACGAAGTTTCCCTTAAATCAGTTCGACTGGATATGCAGCGACAACTGGATCGCCAAAAGGAAGACTTCCAAGACAAGCTAAAAAATGCGGAAGCTGCTTCAAACCCCGATCCGACCGAAATCCAAACCGAGAAACAGCGCATGGAAAACGCACTCCGGTCTGCCAAAGAGGAGTTCGAGGAGCAATTGAGGCAACAAAAGGAGAACTTCGAGACCCAAATGCGTGATATGGGCCAGCCGATCCCCCAGATCTTTGAGAATGGCTTCGCGAAGTTGAACGAGCGCGAGCTGGAGGTTGCAAAATCCGTATACAAGCATTGGTCTCAACGCAACTACGTCCGCATGGCCGAAAAGATTCTGCAGCATGCGTCGCTTCTGAAGGAGGCACAGGTCATGAGCCAAATCATGGATAAGAATGTCGCCTTCCAATTCGCCATTGTGGATCACGGTCATAACATGGCTTCATCCTATGATCTTGTGCTGAATGGGATCTCGGGAGACGAGGACGTCGTGCTTGAGGAGACGAAGAAGCCTTGCGTCGCGGTCAGGGTCATCGATTACAAGCAATCTGTGATTCATTTATGGTCGATTGAGAAACTCCAGCGTCGCGTTCAGTCTATGCGCCAGCTACACCAGTACATAGATCGCCCTGACTACATTCAACATTTCAAACTTGAAAATCCCTTCTCGGAGCCTTGCTCTCCGCAATATTCTCTTATTGGAGATGCAGACATTCCATTGACCGCCGTTTTTGAGACCCGAGTGCAGGACTTTTCCGTCGAGATTACCTCTCCCTACACACAGAGTGTTGTTGGGATCATTCGCTTGTCTCTCGAGCCATCTTCCGCACAGGCACCCTCGTCAACCCTGAAATTCAATGTCGTTATGCGGGACATGGTCGGGTTCGCCGAGTGGGAAGGATCTGATGTCCACGCGCAGCTTTTCGTCCCCGGTATTTCCGAGGAAGGAGGCGCAACCACAACGCAGATGATCAACGGCTTCGAGGAAAGCCCAGTCCGATTTGAAAGCGTGCACAGCATGAGCCTCCCACTTTCAAGTCCACGAACGGCTGCGCTGAAGGTCTGTGTCTATGCTTGTGTGACGTCCGTACATATGGACAAGCTTCTGAGCTGGGATGACATGCGCGACTCAGCGGAGATCACGCCCAAGCAACGCACTGCGCCCAGAATTGCAGAGTCCGAGTTCTATTCTGAGGAACGACATGACGTCTTTGCTCGAATTCAAATCTTGGAGCTTGCCGAGTCGGGCGAGTATACTCCAGTTGAGGTTGTTCAGAGCAGCCCCCTTGATGCAGGCACTTATCAGCTGCATCAAGGTCTGCAGCGTCGGGTTTCGATCAATCTTACATACAGCTCGACTGAAAGTCTTCCTTGGGATGATATCACCAATGCTCGCGTTGGTTCTGTCCGACTCCTTGATCCGTGGGGCAAGATTCCCGACCAAGATCTTCAAACTCCGGACGTTCCTCTTAAGTTTTCGCAAGAGCCAATGGTCAAGGATAATGCGGATGGAACCTCGAATGTCACGATTGTGGGACAATGGGATTCTAGTTTGCACGGCTCTCTTCTTCTGGACAGAGTTACTGCGGACAAGTACCGAGTTCAAGTGACGGTTCGATGGGATCTCAAGTCTTCTCGTCTCCAGACTCCTGTTGTGTTTGAAGTTGATCAGACTCTCCAGATCCTAGGTCGCACCTATGTCCGTCAGCAGTCCATGTTTAAGCAGCTCTGGAGCTCGATCAGAGTTGTGCACTCGACAACGCGAATGTACTCTTTGGTCATTCGTCCAATTTCGGCCAAGCGAGCTGCTGATCTTTGGCGGATGAACACGCAGAACGACTATGTCAAAGGCGAGGAATTGCTGACGGCCTGGGCTCCTCGTAAAGTGTCGCTGGTTCGAGACTACATCGCAGCCCGCAAACGCCGATATCGCGTGGCCGAGTTGCATGCCGCTCGTGGAGCTCTCAGCGCAGGCAGCCTGATGGCATCACCCTTGAAGCTAATGCGCAACCAAGATCTCAACGAGCGCAAATCCAAACTTCTCCAGAAATATGTTGACCTTTGGTCCACCAAAAAGGACCCAACCGAAGTTATTTTGGTCCGAAGCAACACCGATCCCCCAACAGATGGCGCTGCTAAAAATAAATCCAACGGCACCAGCGTTTCAGACAAGATGTCGCTCAAGCCTCGTTTCGTGGCTACCATCCAGACCCTCCCTAAGAACCCCTCTGTCCTGAAGACAGGGTACGTCCTCACCCCCGACGACACCAACAGCATCTGGGTCCGCCGATTCGTGGAGCTCCGCCGGCCGTATCTTCACATCTACAACATCGAAGGAGACGAAATCAATGCCATCAACCTGCGCAATTCTCGCGTAGACCACGCCCCGGACTTCGCCCGCCTACTTGACGGCTCCGGCGCCGGAAACGATCGCTCGATCTCCGCTAGAGGCAGGCCTAATATCTTTGCCGTCTACGGAACCCAGAACACATATCTCTTCGCCACGCGCACCGAGGCGCAGAAAGTGGAATGGATTCTCAAAATCGACGAGAGCTACTTCAGCAGTGCTAGTGCCAGTGCTGCGGCTAGTGGCGACGAGAGGTCACGGTGATGGCGCCTTCATGTATTTGACGATCTACGGATTCTGGAGTCATTTCTTTTGTTCTTTTTCTCCCCCTTTACTTTTACAATGTTGAGATACCCCTTGAATATATCAACTGGCTATGGCGCTCTTCTTCTTATGTACATAGTTCAATATCGTTGGGACCTAGATAGATTTGACGGGCTTTGTTTTTGCTGAGGGTGGCCCTCTCGGTTTTTATACTTTGCAGAATATTTACATACTTCAGTAATACACCACATGTGCAGGTGAATCCGTTTCCATAAGGCGTTTCACCCCCAAGATGTTTTGCCCTGATTCGTATTGAGATGTGACGTGTGATGTGACGTGACGCCAATTCCGTTGCTGTGGAAACAATCAATACGAACAACAGCGACTTCAGTCATCTCACGCAAACGCAACCATTGGAAGACCATTGGAAGAACCACGCAAAGTCAAATGGGCTAAGGCATTTAACTCTCAGCTCGAATAAACCGGGAGAAGCGATCTCTGTTGCAACAACCCTCTCGAAGCCAGAATGTTGACCCAAAAACCCTCATTCCGCTTCCTGGCCACTGGCGCCATCACCTCCCTCTTTGTCCTCACATTCCTCTTGTTCGCCCACCAATCGCGGGACTCGGCTTCTCGCTACATTCTCAAGACTCCTTGGCCGGCTCAGTCGAAACCAGAGTGCTCGACATCTACCCCGCAGAATGGAAGTGATCTTTGGGAGTTCAAGGTCGAGCGGGACGGTCAGAATCATGGGCTTTCCGATCAGCAGTGTCAAAGTGCTTTTCCAAAGTTGTTCGTGGAGATATCCAAGTCCGCCGGTTTGAAACGCGAGGCTCCTCTTTCATACAAGGATCTGGACTCACGGGAGGTTGAAGATGGCATGGTTCGCGCGATTATCGATCGCGGCGAGGTAAGTCAACATCCCAATACCCGGTCCATTCCACAGTAGCTAACCACATGGACTACAGCTCTACATCGTCGACTTTGGCGCAATGCCTGTAACAGCCTCCCGAGCCCGCGCAACCCTCAACTCCCTCCAACGCGCCCTCTCAGCCTTCCCCGATAGACAACACCTCCCCAGCATCGAGTTCATATTCACTACGGAAGACTTCGCTCCTAACCCTACAGCCCCGGGCCCAATCTGGTCCTATTCCAAGCGCGACGGCGATGACTCCGTCTGGCTGATGCCCGACTTTGGATACTGGGCTTGGCCCGAAGTGCAAATCGGCCCATACCACGAAGTCCGTCGCCGCGTTACGGCCATCGATCAGGGGGAGGTCGCGGCTGATGGATCTCTTGTGCCCGGAATGGCGTTCGAGGATAAGAAGAAGCAGCTCGTTTGGAGGGGAAGTCTTGCTACGAACCCGGCTGTGCGGAGTAAATTGCTCAAGGCGGCTGTTGGGAAGAGTTGGGCTAGTGTGCGAGTGATTGATTGGGATGATGAGAATGACATCCGTTTTAATCTTCTTCCGATTGAGGATCATTGTCGGTATATGTTCCTTGCTCATACCGAAGGACGCAGTTTCTCTGGCAGAGGGAAGTATCTCCTTAATTGTCACTCGGTCGTTTTCTCGCACCGGCTTGTTTGGAAAGAGGCTCACCATGCCGCGCTGGTGTCGTCGGGCCCCGAGGCGAATTATGTCGAGGTTGATATGGAGTTTAAGGATTTGTCGCGCAAGATCGATTATCTGATTGATAATCCGCAGGTTGCGGAGCGCATTGCTGATAATGCGGTGCGGACTTTCAGAGATCGGTATCTTACTCCGGCTGCGGAGTCGTGTTACTGGCGTCAATTGATTAGGCAGTATGCTTCAGTGTCTGACTTTGAGCCTGTCCTTTTCTCGACGAACCGTGATGGGAAGAAGAAGGCTAGGGGTGTGCCTTTTGAGACGTGGTTGCTTATGCGGTGATGATTTGAATGCTGTTTATGATGATGCATTTAGCGATGGGTTTGGCGTTAGGATACCAATTTCGTGTTTTGTGATACCTTGTACAGGGAGATTCTTAATCATCCATGCTCGAAGATACAAATGGAAGAATGTTCAAGTTTCAATCTAATCAAACTACAGCGCTGGACTCGCAGCTATGTACGCATCCACGCTTTCCAGGGCGCTCGTCAAATCAACATGGAAGAATGGTCGACTGGAACTTTCCGCAGAGCGCAATGGGTCATTGCACGAACCCTTCTCAGACTCAACCCACTGCTCGGCTCCCTTACATGGAACGCCCACCTTGCCAATTTCCACATCTTGAGGACTTTCACAGTCTTGGATCTCGGAAACCTCGACATTTTTGCCCCTTATCATGGACACAGGTGGGCAAGTGGACGGATATCCAAAGCCCGCTGCAGCGAGAGCACGCCTGGTCCATCTATTTCCGACGTTGGCAAAGTGCCACTGCACTTCAAGAGGTGCGGCGCGAAGGTTCAGCTGGTTGCGAACATCAATGAGGTTTTGAATGCTGGTGACGTCGACGTTGTTGACTGCTGAGAAGTCTAATATGATGGCGCGTAGTAAAGGTAGATCTTCTTCACCACTATTTGCCTTTCTTCCAGGCTCGGGGTCATTCCACGGTCGATCGCCCTTTGCAGCATAGGCTTGGCCGTTGGTCCGACGGGTATATTTGAAAATGAACTGAACCATTGCATCCGTATAGTGATTAGCATTGTCATAGTTGAATCCTTCTGTGAACCGGTAGATGAAAACCCCAGGACGCGGATTCTCTGGCTTCATATCGGAAGCAACATCGGATTGATCCATTGGCATAAACAGCGGTCGGTTATTCTGCCCTTCACCAACTCGAGTCTGGCCGAGGAAGGATCCTGAAGCCTTTGCATGACGAAAGATCAAAACAGCGACTGAAATGCAAACCGTGACGTAGATACTGTTAGGAATCGTGTTTGTGATCGCGACCACGAGGCCGATGACGAAGATCAGAGCATCTAGTGGCGAGATTCGCCAGAACTGGTAGAGGGTATTTGGCGCAACGATCAAATCGCCCACGGCGTGGATGATCACAGCCGCTAGCGCTGCGTGGGGAATGTAGAAAATCACAGTGGTCAGTGCGTATATAGCTATCAAGACAACTATTGCGGTAGTCAAGCCAGCTAGAGGGGTCCGAGATCCTGATTTGGACTGAATTGCCGAGCGAGAGAAGGAGCCTGTCGCGGAGTAGGCACCAATAAATGGCCCGAGAAGGTTCGTGATGCCGATCGCAATGAGTTCCTGCGATGGGTCGATGTTGTAGTTGTTGATGCGACCGAAAGATTTTGAGATCGCGATGTGCTCGAGAAGCAAAACTATCACGCATGCCGGGAGATTGTAGATGTAAGCTTTGATGATGTTCCTGTCAATGACGGGCACTCCAGCGTGCTGAAACCCTCGAGAGATATGGCCAACGATGGCAAAGGCGGGATCATCACGTCGATGCATGTTGACTATCGCGCTGATCATGGTAAATAGTAGAATGATAAATGCCGTGCGAAGAGCAGAGAGGAAGAAGAAGAGTTTTGCACGACGTGGAAACTTCCGTACACAGAAAGTGCATACACTGCGGATCAAGTACAGCGTGACCAAAGCTGAGATTCCCATAGCAGCGTCGTACTTCTTCGCAGACGGGAGGTTTTTCAAGCTGTCGATGATGATTTGGTAGGCCGGGCCACGGTTGCTAAAATTGGCTGTCTCTCCTAGTAGAGTTTTGACTTGCCCGGAGCAGATTGTAATCGCTGAGCCTGTCATGAAAGATGCAATCGATGGAAGAGGAATAAAGTCAACGATAAATCCAAGGCGTGCCAAGCCCATAAAAGTGACGATACTTCCGCAGATAATAGTGATTGACATGGCGATCTGTGGGCCGGGAATGCTGGGGTAGATCTGCTGCACCTCTGGGATGATTGACCCGAGCACTGTAGACATGATAGCAACAGGCTGCTCCAAGTATCAGTACGAGAAATAAAGATAGACTTGCTCAGTACCCACGCCGATTGTAATGTCCTTTGATGTTGCAAATGGCCAGTAGAGAATACCGCCCATGAAAGATGTGTAGAGTCCGTATTGTACAGGAAGCCCAGCCAGCTTAGCATATCCCATACCTTGTGGAATCACGACAGCACCAACGGTAGCGCCTAATTTTGTTAGTGTATAGCTTGTTGGAGGGATCTTGGGGTTCAAGTACCTGCAATCAGATCCCCAATAAGCCATTGTACATTATAATGCTTGATCCATTTCATGAAAGGGAACATTCGGATGAAATGTTGGATCAGCTGTGGACCCGAAGGGACGGCATCATTCAGCCAGTCCAAGACCGTCGGATCTGCTTCATCTCGAGGCCCAGCGTGCCTTTCTAGTGGATTGATTGGCTTTTCTAAGCCTAGCACTTTCTTGACAAAGGGCATAGTGATAAACAAGAGTCAAGCAGTATTCGTCAACGTCGAGGGCGACGTCGGATTAAATATCGACGTCCACTTGAAAAGGCAAAAAATACTAGACCAGTAAGATAGAAAATCATCCGGAGTTCTCAGGTATGTCTTTGGCCACACAGGGGAAATAATTTAGGAAAGTTCCCTTGTAATTTAGCTAATGTGGAATGTGAGGTTTCCGTGAGCGTTTTTTCAATCACCGGTCTAGATCCTGAATAGCATGCCAATCACGTCCTGATTCAGGATCCCGGAACACACAGACCTCAGGTTCGGCAAACTTTGCCGAATTTCATGAAAGGTTATCATGCATGATCTTGTGCCTGTAAAAGAATGGGAAGGTGGCTCGGCTTGGGTTGCACCCGCGGAACCTTTCGTGTAGGAATGCGGAGGTAAGGCACACCAGATGCTTCTAAAATGGCCTAATTTAGATGCTGAATTTCGCGCAAAATCAGGAGGTTGTTATACAGGCATGTTCTTGATACTTGGGCTCTTATCATGCGGCCCCTTGGGGAATCCGTTAACTAATTTGTCAATAATTGTAGACCTAGAGACTTGTGCAGCTCCGACCTGTTTATCAAAAGAGAGGAAACAAGCCTGGCGCAGCACCAGTGGATGGCCCATGCCTCTTAGGAAGAAGAAACTTCCGATTGGAGAAAAATTGCTGTTAAAAAAAGGCAGTACCGAGATAGACAATAAGGAATCTAAATCAATTTCACCACTCGAATATCATAATTTCTATCTTGCCAAATCTTTCCACGGTCTCTTCGATATACTACCACTCTTATGCATCTAAATCCAAAATTTTAAAAGCCGAGATTATTCACTTGAGATTCCTGGACTGCTTTACCGGGGAGCTCGCCAGACTGGGAAGGTGTGCCATGTCCGAGGCACAGCGTGCGCTGCGGACCGAAGGAGATATGTAAGTTTGTACCAGAAAAATAACCGCCAACAGATCAACAACAAATAATCAGTTACTTCGGCGTGGACATAAAACAACATCCAAGCATCATATATCCATGTCTAGCTCAAGTTCTTCTGAATTTGCCTGAATGCTTTTGACCCAGGAATCAGCCTCACGAATAATTCGGCATACGAGTGGTTCATCCATAACTAAGTATCCCTTCTTACCTAATCGATAAATTATCTACCCTAAATAAAAAGATTATTTATAATATTGATTCTTCTTCGAATCGCAAGAATAGTAACTGGGTTCTTTGATCCTCGTTATAGGAAAATTTGGAACGAGGGTATCTGTCAGCCCATGGAGGGATAACTTACCGCTAACAAGTGGTCACATTGAAGATCACATTTCCTATGTCTTTGTATGTAATTCTGCTTACTCATGGACTCGAGCGTGGTAACCGCCGAGTATCGGTTGTACGGACCGCCAAGCCCACCCGTAAGGGCAAGGGGACTACTCTCAACAGCAGTCTCCGGAGTTTCCTCAATCAATCAATCATTTCAATCCACATTATATTGATTCCGCTTGACCTCATTGGCCGTCGCAGCATACTAGGCTATACGAATATAGTCTGTGTGGACAGTATCTTAGGGTCATTCAAAGAAGGTATGCATCCAATTTCTGCACAGGAACATTGTTTGAGAACTAACTCAACCCTTCAATGGTAATGGGATCTTCCGACCCATACAGAAATGTATCAAAATCAAACCTGATATCTTGAAATATATCATCAAAGCAACAGATCGCGGTCCCCTCCACCAGCGCCTCGTCCCCGCCATGCAAAGTCGGACAATTTGTCCCCAAAATCCTCGCCGAGAGGGTCTCAAACGTCCAGACACACTGCTGGGCGTACGTGGTTAGGTGCACGTGTGCGTGGAGAGCCGATAGGACATCATGCCAAGATTGAGATACCGATTCTGTGAATAGATCCGATCCGAACATGGCTGCGAGGAAAATTGCCCCCGCGATGTGTAGATAGTAGATTCGGTTCCACCAGGGAAGAAGGCCGATGGTCTCGTCTACCTCTAATGTTTCAATGATCATTGAAGTGACCTTTTGTGCGGCCTCGACGCACATTCCGGCACATTCTTTGAGAAGCCGGTCGCTTAGGCCTGTGGGCTTGGTGTGCTTTGACTGGGGGTCGGATTTCATTGAGTAGAAGCGGGCGAGCATTGGTCTGTAGAGGTAGATTCTAGAATGAAGGAGACTAGGAGGCATACCGTTATCAGTAGGAACTGGGCCCTGACTCGATATGGGAACGAGGGCAGTTGCTCACCGAAGATGTAGCATGTATCGCTCCGCTCGAGATGTATTGTCTCCCATGAATCTAATATTCTGTAGTTGCCAATCGCTTGGAAGGCTATTCTCCCATTTGTTGAGGCACGCGTCGAGATGGACTGCTACTGTGTGGTATTTGTCCTGTTGACATAGGTGCAGCACTCCATCCTTCGTGGGACTACTTCGACTCTGGGTCTGCGCCAGTTGAATCTGGTTGCCTATTTCGTGTAATTCCCAACGAAGATGCTCCGGACGTTTGCCGTTTTGTTGGCAGCCGCTGTCCGGCGAGGGAACCAGAACCAGCGTTGATGTTTTACCGAGTGACCAGGAGACGCATCTGTTACTCAGCGACAATTGACCAGGTGAAAATTACAGTTATGGAACCTACCGATCTAGGGCAACACAGCTTGCCCAAATTTTACGTTTCAACCGCTTCTCATTATCGGTCTCTCTGGTTGAAGGCGTCTCGGGAAGGTGGCAGCATATGGTTTGTGCAATTCGCATTGCCAGTCCCGCGGTCATCCATGTTTTCTGTTGGTTGTTGGTGCAGTGGAGATATCGGTTCATCAGCATTAGGCACTGTACCAGCTCGATCGATCCAGGTTTCCAAAGGATAGACTCAGCAGGGACAAATGCCCACGCACGCCGAAAATAACGATTTCCCGCTTCATTTCGTTTCTTGAGAGGGGTGCCTTCCTGCCTCTGGATTGCCAAGGCAAAGACTGTATTGAGGATGCTAAGCCAGATGTCATGGTCCACGCGGAGTGATGCACCAGGGGTACAGTATGACGCCTCGTAATCTTTGGTAAAATGGTCGCGATCTAGGATGGGCTCTATTGGATCGACATACCGCCAATATACATCGACGAGTTGATCAGCATCGGCCCGGGAAGGCAGCTCGGTGGTTGAGTGCAGAATGCAGGATTGAGAAGGTAGGTTTAGTTCTCCAAACAGGGGCGCATCGACGAGCGGGACCAGATGGGACGTTACTGGTTGAATGAAGCCTGCTCTTCTATCTATGGCGGCAGCGACCTGGCCCGCGAATCGGCCGTGGGCTGTGTAGTACGCGCGGTCATTATCCGGGTCCTGATCCAAACCTTGGTCGTCATCCAGACGGTCTGAAACGGAGCACGGATCAATGGCAGTGGGGTTCAAGACCGTCGATATCGAAGATGCCTCGCGCGAATGGCCCGGCGAAGATGGAGGCGAGGCCAGGACAGGAACGTGATTACGAGCTGGTGCCCGTGCGGCGGGAGGCCTGCGCTCGACTTGACTGACGGTGGGAAGCCGGCTATAGATACAAGTCTTACCTCGGGCCTGGCATCTGGCGCACGCTGGAGGTTCTCAATATCAGCCTAATGCATGAGAGAAGTGTCTTGAAGAGAATACCAGGGCGGCCGTCGCATTTGGCCTTCCTCCAACGACAGTTTTGACAAGCTGTTGAGACTTTCAATCGCTGCCTCCGTATCACCGAACCATGATTTTCCACTTCTTTCATGTTGACTGTTCTGCAGAGTTGAGGCTGTCCCATCTTACAGGCGGAAGACTAAAGTAGGGGAATCATCCCCGACCAAAGGACTCCAACCATGTCGTGATCCGTCCATGGCGGGAAAGCGTTCAATTGGCTCTGGTGGGCCCCCAGATCCACTAAATCGGAACCCCAACCAATCGGAACAGCAGCAGCAGCAGCCGAGGCCCCACCTTCAATCTCTCGCCAATAGACGGGCATTCCGTTTCTCACGGCACTGGTGGCATCAACAATAGATGCTCTGCTCTCCTATATGAGGAAGAACCCTACATGTAGAATCTGGATAGTAGACATTGGCAGACCGAAGACAGCCTTCAATTGGCTCTCATCTTTACCATGTCCACCAAAACCCCGATCGCAGCTGACCTGGGCGCGGTTGAGAAAACACACGTCTATGATGGTCAAGGCACCGAGCAAGATCCATTTGTGGTCGAGTTTCAAAAGGATGATCCTGGCAATCCCATGAACTGGGGCTCCGTCCGAAAATGGGTGATCACAACCATCGCAACCATCTCAGTCTTCGCAGTCACCTTGACCTCCTCTGCATACTCCTTTTCCGCCAACGAGGTCTTTCACGATTTTCACAGTAGCACTGAGGTCTTCACCCTCGGCCTCTCCCTTTTTGTACTGGGATTCGCCATTGGCCCTGCCCTCTGGGGTCCTCTGTCAGTCTCTCCCTACCCCCCAGAGTTCGATCGCTAATTGGCCTCAAGATCCGAACTATACGGAAGACAAGTACTATGGATAATCACTCACGTCGCCATGGTAGCCTTCCTCGGAGGATCTGCCGGCAGCCAAAACGTCGCCACACTTATGATACTCCGATTCTTTGCCGGCACATTCGGCGCTTCCCCACTCGTCAACTCTGGTGGCACAATCGCCGATCTATTCCCGCCAGCTCAGCGCGGCCTCGCCCTGACGGTTTATTGCGTTGCACCCTTCCTTGGCCCCATCCTCGGCCCCGTGGTTGCCGGATTTATCTCCGAAAATGTTGGCTGGAGATGGGTACAGGGTGTATGCACGATTTTTATCGGAATTATCGGGATTTTCGGCGTCATCTTCATTCCCGAGACTTACGGCCCGGTGCTGCTGCAGAAGCGAGCGCGCCAATTATCCAAGGCTGATGGCAATGTCTGGATCACTGTTGTTGAGAAAAGTCTGGGCAAGAAGAAGCCATCTGAAGTCTTCAAGCGAGCTCTGTTGCGGCCCTGGATTTTCCTTTTCCTCGAACCGATTGTGTTGGTGGCGTCAGTCTACATGGCCATCATCTACGGCACGGTCTACATGTTTATGGGCGCCATGTCCATCGTATACAATAAAGAACGTGGCTGGAGCGAGGGAATTGGGGGGCTTTCATTCCTAGGAATTGCCGTGGGAATCATTTTCGGACTGATTTATGCCATCTGGGACAACAACACGCGGTACAGGAAGCTACTCCTTTCCAAAACCGCGACAGCCGAATCCCGCCTACCACCCGCCATCGTCGGTGCAGTCGCTCTACCAATTGGCATGTTCGCTTTTGCCTGGACCAATTATCCCAGTATTCACTGGTCTGTCGGCATCATTCTATCTGCACCCTTCGGCCTCGGATGTGTGCTCGTGCTCCTGCCAATCATGAACTATCTGATTGACTCCTACACAATCTACGCAGCCTCAGTCCTAGCAGCCGCTGCTATCTTCCGCTCCGTCGTCGGTTCAGTATTCCCTCTGTTCACAACGCAGATGTATCACAATCTTGGGATCCACTGGGCTTCCAGTCTCCCGGCCTTCATGACACTAGTGTGCATGCCGTTCCCGTTAATCATGTATCGTTATGGTGCGCAAGTGCGTATGAAGTGTAAGTATACGTTTGAGGCAGCGGAGATGATGAAGAAGATGCAAGCGCAACAGGCGCCTGTCGTTGCGAAGAAGCAGGAGGATACCGTGTCGGAATAAAGAACATCTCAATCGATGATTAGTATGCGATATTTTTGCAGGTTATATAGATACTATGTTCGGCAAGGGGGTTGATTAGGTATAAGAGGAGGTGTTTGAAAGGCTGATCAACTTAATGTTCCTAATTTATAGGATCGCCCATTCTCAATTTGTAATAGCTTTGGTTGAGAGCTTCATGGTATCTCTAGAAAGTTATCTACTAAGAAACCTCAGGAAAGTCTCGTCGTTGCTACAGATACTTTCATCAAGTAAGGTGTCGTGGAATCGACTTTACACAAGTCTTCTCAAATTTCTCGGAAAGCCCAAGAGAAGCAAAACTGCCAGGAGATTGGACGCACCAATATTGGTCGGGTCTTAAGTGGACCTGTTGTTAGTGAGTCTGAGTCCTCGTATGTCAAATCCACGCCTCCATGGTATTGATATTGACAGTAAATACGGACACCAAATCCCTGATAATCATACTGCAGGGGCTAGGAGAGCTGCTTGTACCTATTTGAATTCCTAGCTTTCTTCCAATTCTGGCCTACAATCTAGCTCCAAGAGTCTTCATGTATCCGTGGCTACTCACGATCCGAATTGCACCTTTTGTGCTTCTTTGCGCTACTCACAATCTTTACCTTCCTTCCCCTTAACGACCCAAATTTCAAGCCACAGTCAAATGACCTACTCGCCCTCCCCACACTTTCGCAGCATCGTGGAACTCTGGGTCTCACCGTGTGGTCATCGCCAACCCCTGTCATGCGAGCCGCCGATCACAGATGCACCAACTCGGCAAAGGGCAACTCGTGACATCATCTTACTGTGAGCTGGACGAGCATCTTCACCGACTGGTCGGCACTGACCTCCTCCAGCCTCTCAGCTGCGAAGTCATCATGCGGGGTAAAAAGAGGGTTGAGAACAACTTCCGTCAAGCTGAACCCCGTTACTCCAACCGGCCAATGTTATCATTTTGTTTGCCACTGTTCGTGCTGATCGAAACGTGCTGCACCAGGCACCATCTCAAGTCACTGTGATTTTTTAGCCTTTTGGTTCTTTTCATGAGTTTCGTCAAAGCGATGCTCGCGTGAGACTTTCCCTCGGATGGAACCGAATTTGGGCATCCATCGTCAACTTTCCAGCACAGTGTCCTCAGTAAATGCTCTAAAGGTCCTACAGTCCTGTGCGTCTGGGATTTATTCCGCCCGAATCGGAATGTATGGGGCGATAGGGACGGAACCAGTCAGCACAAGAACGGAACCATGTGCCTAGGCTCGTTTATGCAAACTGACGGATCTTACTTGGACCCCGAAGATTGATGAGGCTTTCGAAATCCTGGTACTAAATGCAGGGTCTCCGGGCGATAGAATAATATTGAGGCTTGTACAACCCTGTCCGCCAAGCTCGTGACTGAGAAGTAACATATCCACGAGCCTTGAGACTATGTCATGCCAGCGCAAGCCAAGCGGTCGGAATAGCCATGCGCTTTGTGCAGCCTTGGTAGCCCCCAAGAAAGGGTCCTTGTGATGGCTTGTGTTCCTGCCTATGAGATGCACTGACTCCAGAGGGTGCCCAACTGGAATGACAGACTAGTGGATAAGGCGTAATCCAAGGCTTCTTCAGTATGTGTATGTTTAGGCTGCGGATTGTACTACAACTTTCATTATCTTCTAGTACATTGGTGTTCCAGTATCTCAGCTAAGTTATCTTTGAGCCGTCCAGAATTTTTCAGAGCGAGGGGTGGTCCACATCTCGCCCTTGCATACACTTGACTAGCTCGTTACTTCTTTCATATTGATGACCCGATTGCTTCCTCTAAGACATGACCAAATAATAAAAGAGCTTGGACCGCCATGATAGGCGTCTCACAGACATCCCTATTTACTGTCTTCCATGTGCTTTATCGTGGTAGGCCGAGCCTTAGCAATCGATCTATCATGGACCCACCATACATTCCACGCCCCACATCCAGATAAACCCTGAATCCTCCATGGAGGGTGTATCTGTCCAATTCCTGCCCTGTAGGCTCACTATTTACATCTAAAGTGGACTAGTTGGGCCGCATCTCGCATGCAGTCATTCTCGCCATGCCAACAACGGCCTCGCCCGACATCATGTTCTCAGACTCGGCGATTTTCCCAACGCCAACGCACCTAAGCTTACACGTAGAACATACCACAGAAAGACAATCTCCACATCTACGCCACCTACCTTCACAATTATCTTATGATGCCGAGCCTGTTTCGGATCAGACGTGCAAAGACTTACCTCTATTTGATCCGAACCACTGAGTCTTCCTATGCAGCCATGCACATATCTACTCCGCCTTGCTAAACTTGCACTAGCCCTATAGCACGCAGACCGATCATTGGATTTAGCCGCATGGCCAGGAGCACGAGCACCGACATGAGTGGATCGCTGATTTTAGTCCCTCTTGCATCCCGATGCACCTGATGAATGCCCATGTCAGGCGTGCTGCTGTTTAGGAAGATCCCCGAGCCGGAGCATATATCCCTCTCTTGCCAAGCTGGCTCCAAGATGGGTTTGGATCGTGCTGGGCGTTGTGGCGGTGGGCTTGTATATAAGATTTGCTCTTTCTCTATTTTGCTATCCATCACAAGCCCAATTTTCTTTTCTTCGCTGGGGTCTACAATTCTCAATTTAATTAGCGATGCGGCTCTTCTCTTCTGATTCCCCTTTCACGTGGGTGACCTTCACCCTAGCATTGCTTCCGGCAGTTCTTAGCTCACCCCTTCTACCAAAGCGGACGAGGGGGGTCTCAATGGGCTTGCACACGGATTTCCCAGACCCGAGTTTTCTCAAGGCTGCCGATGGGATGTGGTATGCATTCGCTACAAATGGTAATGGCAAGCGTATCCAGGTTGCCTCCTCAAAGGACTTTTCTTCGTGGACGTTATTGGATATCGAAGCCCTGCCTACGCTTTCCTCTTGGGAGACAGACAAAGACCACTACGCCCCAGATGTGGTTCTGCGCGTAAGTTTTGAGGTAATTATCACAGAATACAGTAGCTTAATCTTTGCAGGATGACGGAAAGTACGTGATGTACTACTCAGGTGAAGCCAAATCAGACGTTGGACACCACTGCGTCGGCACGGCCATTGCAGACAACCCTACAGGACCATATGTTCCCAGTGACACGCCATTATCTTGCCGACTTGATCAGGGCGGGTCTATTGATCCAGCAGGATTCAAAGACAAAGACGGCGCGCGATACGTCACGTTCAAAGTCGACGGTAACAGCGTTGGCCACGGCGGCAACTGCAACAACGGAATCGAACCTCTGGTCTCAACGCCTATCATGCTGCAAAAGGTTCAAGCCGATGGGGTCACTCCTATTGGTGATGCAGTGCAAATTCTCGACCGCAGTACTGCTGATGGCGATGGACCGCTTGTCGAAGCGCCGAGTCTGGTTTTGCGGGGTGGAACTTATTTCTTGTTCTATTCTACGCACTGCTATACTGACGATGCGTATGACATGCGATGGGCCACTGCGACCAATATTGCGGGGCCGTATACGAAGACGAATGTTGAGTTGGTTAAGACTGGAGATGGTCTTATTTCGCCTGGTGGTGCGACAGTTTGTGGGTGTGGAGATCGGATGCTTTTCCACGGGTGGTGTGATGATTCGAAGAAGATAAGATGCATGTACTATGCGGATGTGAACCTCAGTGGGAGGACTGCGACTATTGTTTAGGACTCTAACTTGGTCTTGTGTTTCAGTTTTCTTGTTGCATTACTGTTCTTCATATACCCCTATACACTCGTTTTGAATATCTTGTTTTTGACTTCACAGCAGCTTCTGAGCAACTTGCGGAGGAATGAGATTGAGTGTTATGACTTTTGGGCTTTTTTTCTGATCTAGCTATTTACAAAAGAACAGAAATTGATGGAACCCCAATTCTATTCTCCTCAGGCTTGCATCTAGATATTGGTGATGCAGTGTTTAGTAGTATCCATTCTCAATGGCCTTTTCTTCACGGGGGCGCTTGGTCTCCCGAAGCTCCTTCGCCCATACCTCTGCACCTTTAATCGCCATCTCTGGGTCATCTATATGATTGAGTAGATAACCTTGGATCTCGGCGGCAGTGAAGATACCACCGGGGACAATAGACGCAAATTCGGATGCCAGAGGGTGGATTCGTGAACGCAGAGACTCGACATGGTTCCGATAATCCTGAATTTTCTTCTTTTTCCACTCTATCTTAATCTTTCTCTTCTCAATGTTGTGACAATTGCTCCAGTCCGTCTTGAGCTCCGTCTTGTCATTACCGGGGATGTCGCTCTCCATGGGCATGTAGATAGATGTGAAAAGATCTTTGATGTTTTCCTTGGTGGAATACCCGAGGAAAACTTGCATATCGACACGACCGATGCGAATAAGGGCCTCGTCAAGCCTATCGACATGGTTCGTGGTCATAACAAGAATGCGACCTTCACTGGAGGCAACACCGTCGATGACGTTCAACAGACTCGAAAGGGTAATACCGTCTTTTACTGACTTGTCCAGCGGTGGCTTATCAGCGGAAGACTGTTCTTCTGTAGAGGTCTCTTCAGTATCAGCGCCAGCAGCGTTATCGCCCTTTGATTTGATGGTGGCAGTTTTGCCCCGACTGTGAGTAATTCCAGCGGTATCCACATCCTCGATCAGAACGATGCATTTGCGAGGCAAGTCGGCGAACAGCGTATACAAGTTATCTTCATCAAGGGAGTTCGAATTAAGAGTGAGCAGGTAAAGTGGTAGACCCAGTTCACCTGCAGCAGCAAAGCAAAGACTTGTCTTGCCGGTGCCCGGAGGACCATGAAGTAGATATCCACGCTTATAGGCAATTCCTCGATTAGAATGCCATCGTCGAGTGCGACTTCGCAGATATCTCTTCATGTCTTTCACTAGATTATGTTTTTCGTTCTCTTCAAGGATAACTGTAGACAATGGACGGGGCGATCTTGCCATGCAGCGAACCCAGACGAAAGGATCAGCTCGCGAGTGCCGCTGGGCACGATAGATGACAGTCTTGTTGCCATCACGATTCTGGAATGCTTTGCTCGCCTCATCAATGAGTTCCTTGATCAGGGACGAGTTTCGCCCAAGACAGGATAGGAAAAGTCGCTCATTGAAGAGTGACCAGGCCCCATTGCGGGTCCGCTGTTGTCGTTCCAAAATCATCAATCGGCCCTTGTACCAGAAAAAATGACGGCCTTCGGATGGGGTGAATCGCAGCGGCTTGCACTTTTTTCGAGAGACGACATTCGCTTGATGCTGACTTTCTTTCTCGTCATCCGAGAAATCATCGGTATCAAAGTCATCATCCTCGGAGTCCTCTTCAGAACCATCCATTTCATCATCGCTATCGCAGAAGTAGACATTGGCCCTGACGCTAGCTACAAAGTGGTTGGTGCGCTGCATAAAAGACTGTCGTGACATCCACCACATTATATGATTAAACAGCTCATCGTCTGGTCGAATCTCAGCGTAAGAGATCAAGTATTCTTGGAAAAACTCCGATGCGTACTTGGAGATGTACCGTAGGGACACCGCAAACACAGCCAGAGCGACAACGTACTGCAGGTAGGCAGTAAGATCGATATGAAAATAGGACAGAAAGAAACGTGATATGAGGGTATACCCGGGCACCAATGCCTCTAGCATCGCTGTGTCGGGGGTTGCAGAAGACATCCTCGTCGACGACGGAAGGGACTGGTTAAGAGCCATTTACAGCAACGGGAACAATGCAGAGATCGCAAATTCAATCACTGTACAAACGGCGAAGAGGATGAATAGTGAGGATAAATCTGAAGGGAGAGCAACCTGGGGAAACAGTTCCCTAGGCTGCGGTCGGAGTGGTGAAGGTTAACGCAAGTCTAGAAACCTAGACGAGCGACAGTTGCTAAGTTGCGAACATGGGCAGCAAGTTGGGAAGCAAGACTTTATATTTTTAATGATGAGCCTCATCGTTTTGACGCCCTATTACCAAAATGGGTCCCCGAACCCGACATAGTAGGCTGCCTGCTGTGCACAGCTCAGCCCCTCCTGCGCTCATAGTTCTTGACTGCAGCTGCTGCCTGGGCTTGCATCAGCGGTCCAGCGGTGAGTCGTATACGACAAAAAATAAGCACTAAACACATTGGCGCTATCCGTGGAAGTTGGTTGGGTATCTATCACCTTAAAATCCTAGGAACCTGACGGCCCCAGGGTGGATAATAGATCAAAAATACAAAAAGAAACTCTCCCTCGGGGAATCGAACCCCGGTCTCCCGCGCTTATCGGTGTTAATGACAAGCGGAAATCATGACCACTAGACCAAGGAAGATGTATCAGTCGAGTTACTGCTCGACCACTTGGGTGGTTGATAAAGATTCTGACTATTTTATGTGCTAGAGCCCACATGAACGAAAGAAAGCCCCTTGTCCGCACAGTCCGGTCTTGTCTCCCTGTTCAAATTATCGCACGCTAATGTTTTCTACGGTCGTATCTAGGCACTCTTTAAAATATGTAATAAATCATAACCAGACCTCAAGCAGCGCTCAAGTTTCCAGATATTCATTCGCTAGAATTCACCCAAAGTTGGTCGTTGGAGTGTCTGCTGACAATCAATTACTTGGGAGTATAACTTATTCATTAGATTGTGAAAAATGAGAGTTCCGGCGAGAGTGATCACAAAATCATGTCAATTAGCGTGTAAGGGATACTAAATCGTCTAAAAGTTTTTCACAAACCCCGTAGAAAGCACAGAAAAGACATAAAGAGACAGCTTAATCCTGGAAACAATTCGACATAAGTATACGGCACTGCGCATAAGCTGCTGACGAGGTCTTGGCGGGTCGTCACGCCGATCACCCTTTCATCTCTCCAACTCCTCCGAGCTTCAAGCTTCAATGTCTCGCCGCGGCTGACGCGCCCGCCATGCGAATTCCTACGAGCCCTTCTCTCCTATCGCCGGCCAACTACGATAATGATGCGGCCTCACTGCGATCGCCTTCCGAGCAGGATTCCGACTCCGAAGATGACGAGTTCCTTCGCCATCCCCGCAGCACTCTGGAGCTTGCCAGCCACGACCGGGCAGTCTTAGACGACGAGGATGAATTGGAAAAGCTATTGACGAGACGTGGCCCCGGCCATGGGCTGCGCAGGATGTTCAGTCCGAGTGGAGGAAATGTGCGGATAGGGAAGAAGGAGCGGCGACGGGCACGCAAAGAAGCACGTCGCCGAGAAAGAGTCAGCGAGGAGGGGGAGCTGATGTACGAGATGGAAGAGGGACTCAATGATGATGATTCCCTCATCAGTGACTCGTCTTCAGATATCGATGGAAAGGAAGATTATCTGTATGAACCAGTAAGTCCTTGAATATCCCGTCAATTTGTTTGCATTCGACTAATATTTGTCTGCCCTCTCTAGCCAGCCAACCCGTCCTGGATAAAATACTTGTTTGTTTTCGCCGTCGTCGCTGTTCTTTTCTTCATTATCCTGCTAGGAGCATACAAGGCGTCGACTGGTTATAGAGCCGAGCACGCCAATTCCGATCTCCAAACACTGCTCTCGAACGGCACCGCGCTTTTCGGCCCTACGACTATTTTGATCTCCCTCGATGGTTTCCGCGCTGATTTCTTGGATCGAGGTCTTACACCAGCTCTCGACTCGCTTGTCGCCAACGGTGTTTCCCCGCAATACATGCTCCCTAGCTTTCCGAGTGTGACATTCCCGAACCATTTCACATTGCTGACAGGGCTATACCCAGAGAGTCATGGTGTTGTCGGAAACACTTTTTGGGACCCGGAAATGGGGGAGGAGTTTATCAACACCCACACCGCGATCAGCATGGTGCCAAAGTGGTGGAATGCAGAGCCTCTGTGGGTAACCGCAGGAAATCAAGGTATTAAAAGCGGTATACACATGTGGCCGGGTTCCGAGGCTCATATTGGAGGCAAAGAACCGGCCTATGTGGATAAATATAACGGATCGGAATCTTTGTCGCGAAAAGTGAATCGCGTCCTTGAGTTCCTTGATCTTCCCGGCGCAGAAGATGAATTGCACCTGGTGCCAGAGCGACCTCAGTTCATTGCCGCTTATGTGCCTGATGTGGACCGGGATGGCCACAATTTTGGGCCCAACAGCACCGAAATTCGAGGTACCATTTCCCATGCAGATGAGATGGTGGCGGGGATTCTTGCGGGTTTGGAGAGCCGCAACCTCACCGATCTTGTCAATATTGTGGTCGTCTCCGATCACGGCATGGCCACAACATCCAACGAGCGACTTGTTCAGCTTGATGACCTGATCGACATGACCCTTGTCCAACATATCGATGGATGGCCATCCCGTGGTCTGCGTCCCAAGCGACCGGAAGATCTTATAGTCTTGCAAGAACAGTTGGCGAGGGTGGCATCCGATTACGAACACGCGATCGAGATCTACACGAAAGAGACCATGCCTGAGCGCTATCATTTTACGAACAACGACAGAATTGCGCCTCTGTGGGTCATCCCAAAGACTGGCTGGGCCATTGTCGAGCGCCCGGAGTTCGACGTGAAGGAAGCCCTGAAGACTGGCGAGATTTATCACCCGCGAGGTATTCATGGATATGACCACGAACACCCGCTGATGCGAGCGATCTTCATCGCTCGCGGTCCGGCTTTCCCCCATACACCTAACAGTCGCCTCGAAGTCTTCCGTAAGTTTGCACATTTACTTTTGAAACACCCGAGCTGACATGATCCAGAAAATACCGAGGTTTACAACATCCTTTGCGACTCTATGGGCATCGAACCTCATCCTAACAATGGGACCTTGCGTCTGCCATTGAAGCCAGTCGGTCTTCATTCCGACGAGAACACGCCGACTCTAGAAAGGCCAGCCGATCCACCAGAGCAGCCATCACCAGCAACGGCACCAACAACGGCACATCCTGAGCCAACATCCCCAGCCCCTGGAGCCCCAGCCGAATCATCTACCTCGGATTCCGACAGGGAAGACGAAAAGGTGTCGACATGGTGGGGACCTCTATACGATAAATTTGAAGAGTGGAAACATTGGACCAGCGATTTATTTTCGTCCGCGAAAGACAACCACCCGCAGCAGCAGTGACGCTCAGGGTATTACTTGCTATGTGATTTTAATTTTGGATCGATTGGATGGTCATGAATGTTGATAGATACCCTTGGTCATAATAATATCGTAATTGAACAGACTTCAATGTTGGTAGGCTCTCAAGATAGGGCTTGATGCTAGTGGGGCCTTGCGATGTTTATCTCCCCAACAATATACTCAACCTGCCCATACTCGGGATCCTGGTGTGGCGAATCCATTGCCAGCCAATAGATTTCTGCTCCGTTGTTTCCACTTGAATGGTTCTGTACAGAACTCTGCAAAGTAGCTGTGCTGGTCCGTTGGGGTTGTGACCGTAGGGCCTGTATCACACTCTCTGGATTAGCTGTTTGAGATCAGGGGTAGAATTCACCATGATTGTATAGTACCCACACCGGCTGAATCCCTTGCGATCTCCAGGTTGAACTGGGGCTGAGTGGTGTTGGTTCCAAAAATGACCCGACATCCTCGAGCAGATTGATTAATCTTGATGGCTATAGAAGGCACAGTTCTATCTGCAACCTGTTGAGCCTTTTTGAGACACTCAATACTACTTCTAAGTTTGGCTAAATCATCCCGTAGAAGCTTTTGTGATGAAGCTCGAGAGTTATGCGGGAGTCGAATGCTTAGAGCGGGTAAGCTGCCGAGGACTTTGCTGTCTCTGCTGCACGAATATTTCACATTGAATGGGACTCTACCGTGTGCAAACCGACTGGAAGAGGAGCATTATGATGAGGCAAGCCAATTTAGGTACGGTGCGTTCCAGAGTAAGCTGCGAAAACAAGTGGAATTTGTCCTGCGTGACGTGTTTTTCACATTGAATTGCTCCATGGGGGTGTGAATCATGAGATATGCTCTATAGAATAGCTTGTTAATTAACGCCTTCGCTCTTGGTTTCTGAAGAAAGTGAAATAGTGCTCGGCGATGAAGCTGGCTTTGCACCGGCCTGTGAAGAGCACCACACCGTGGCATGGTATCAAGAGTTACATGAGCACAAGACAGCTAACCCCACGAGCATTTCGCGCTTTCGTTTCGACCTGGAAACAGAGCACACAGACAGATGCCTCTAAGTCCGATTTTCAGCATCACGTCATCAAAATTCTTTGGCTGAAATTTCATCTGGGGTTGACGCTCCAACATTCCAGCCTTAGCATTCCTACGGGATAGGCGTTTAACGTTGCAGCTGTCAGATTACTTGGCACTTCATTTCTGTGCATGGTTGAAGCCACCGGCGCAGGAAGATTTCCTTTTCCGGAATCAGCTTGACGATCGTGCTGCATGTTGGACTGATGCATTATCGAGATGCCAGAAGGGTCGGGAAATGCTTTGTTCGACTTGAGAAGGACATTGGGATGTTGCAGAGGTCCATGCCCGCCTTGCTTGATCTGGCTTGGAACTTAGGCTACCTGGTGGTACAAATTCGAGGATATGACGGGCCAAAACGCTGTTGAGGGTCTGGGAACCCGTCTCTCTTTATAAAATGCGGCAGTCGATGCTCATGCGACAACGCCGCAGCCGAGCGGCGGAACCGCTAGACAGCAGCCCTTAGATCTCTACCCTGGGTTTCTTCTCTCTAGAGTCAGATCATATGAGAGCATTTCAATCAAGAAGGCTTTCATCGCTTATTGTTCTGGGTGACACGTTCCGCATTCTCTCGTGTCTGTGGGGAGAGAGCGACCTGCCGAACGCATCTCTGAAAGCAACGGTCGTGACCCGAGCTTCTCGAAGGAAAGAAGGCCATTGTCCTCGCATTAATTGGAGGATCGACGTTGTCCTCGCATTAATTGGAGGATCGACGAGGAATTCCAGAGTGGTGCGGTTGTGCCGTGATGAAGAGGCCTGAATTTCCGCATGCGATGCCTTCCTTCCTATTTAGGAAATATACACCACGTGACCTCCATGTACCCTCGTCGACAGCTCTCCAAGCTCTCCAAGGCTCCACAGCGCTCACAGCTTGGCGAGTATCATGACGATATCGGCCCTGATGTGTCTGTGCCAGGGTTGCACGATCTTGGCCGGTCCCCTAGTGTGACATCTAAAGGTCCACTACCGGATGCGGAAGTCTGCGACGAGCAGATCCTGTCCCAAACCTCTACCAAGGCTCCAGTCGAGGGCACTGAGGCACAAAGAATCATCGAGAGGAACATACAGGAGAGAAAATTTTCGCTCCCTGCCGTTACATGTCATCATCCACTTCCCATAGCTTGACCAATATGGGCCGGATTTGGACGCCTCAAAGCGCCTCAATGAACTATAAGTATGGGCTCTTCATCGCCTTGGACCAAAGTTCAGTTTCTTCCTTAGATCGTTCTATCGCATCCCAATCTACCTAGGTATGTATTCTCTTAAGCTCTTGAAGAGCCTTCGAGGAATATCAAGACACTAACACTCTTGCAGCCGTCATTCGTTGAGACATTCGCTTCAGCTCCATCCATCCATCAAAATGAAGTTCACTTCCGTTGCCGTCATTGCCCTCGCTGCCGGCGTCCAGGCCGCTACCTTCAAGCAAAGCGAGCCCGCTGCCAACCACGGCAAGGGTATCGCTAAGGCTGTTGGCACCGCTGCCACCGCTGGCACTGCTGTCTCCACTGGCACCCACCCCATCATGACCGGCACCTCTGGCGGCACCAACGGTACCAGCGGTACCAACGGTACCCACGGTGGCGCTGGCTCCAGCACCATCCCTGTCTCCGTCCCCAGCTCCACCCCCTCCAGCGGTGTTAGCGGCGGCAGCGGCTCTGGCTCTGGCTCCTCTGGCTCTGGCACCTCCGGCTCTGGCTCCTCCGGCTCCGGCTCCAGCTCTGGCCCCTCCAGCTCTGGCTCCTCTGGCTCTGGCTCCTCTGGCTCTGGATCTTCCGGCTCTGGATCATCTGGCTCTGGAACTTCCGGCTCTGGCTCCTCCGGCTCCGGCTCCGGCTCCGGCTCCAGCTCCGGCAGTGCTTCCAGCCCCAGCTCCTCTGGCTTCGTTCCCTCCAACCCCGGTGCCAAGGTCTCCATCCCCATGGCTGGTGCTGCTCTTGGCAGCGTTGCCTACGGTGCTCTTATCTTCCTCGCATAAGAGGCTCGCCTTAATCAATAATTGTGCTTTTTGATTTCATGGGTATTTTTACTTCGCCCTCGGCCCTTTCTCCCTCTCATTTTGTCTATCTCGTCATCTCGAATTATCAATGACTGCTGTTCATTGTACTTGTTAAGTCTTGAGGGCAACTGAGATCGAGATGCAGGATCACCAGGGTGATCGGCGTTCAGGTGGTCTTTAGATCGCGGTGTTTGTACTGGGATAAATATGACCTAATATAATTATAATTCCTTAAAAAAAAGATTGGATGGAGCTTTTACTTCTACTGGCTTTCTGTTTTTAAATCATTACCGCCCAAGTCGAAATTTGGCATCAAAGAACTCACCTGTGCTTTTAGGAAACGACTTCCCAGAGCTTGATGGTGACTTATGCAAGTTTTCACCGACCTCGCGAGCCTCAAGCCAAGGGGAAGTGATGATATCTAGACTCAAACCTTAGTCCCCAAATTGTGGCAAATGCAACCTGCCTCCTGCCACCACAGACTATTAATAGTATGTGGCGAGCGAAGCCTCCTTTTAACAGGCTTTGGTCCTGGAGGTACGAAGCTCCCCTCTACGTCCTGCAGGAACTTACTGTAGGAACAGGCTTAGAGTTTGAGTTTGAATTTTTCAGATACCTTGATGCAACATCGGGATGTGGGTGATGAGGCCATCATACGAGACAATAAGGTGTGCTTTTAGATGTTAATTCATAGATTAATAATTGCTTGGAGGCTTCGTCCTGCCTTGATTCTATTTTTGAATTGGCTTGGTTTAGGGTGGTATAGCTATATGTGTGACCTTGCGGGGTCCCTTGTTGGGTGGCATCGCCGGAAACGGTCAATGCAGAATTAGGATGAGAGCAAGCTTTCTTCTCACCAGAATATCGCCAATTTAACGCATCAAGTCCAAGGCTGGAACCCTGCTGAGTGGTGTTTGTGAATGAGCAGATAATCATGTATCTGTAAAGAAGAAATGTGGGGCGCTCTTTTTTTCTCCGAAACGACGACAAATTTTTGGATATCCATCTTTCCTAGAAGGCCTTTTGAACATATTTAATTCTCTAGCGGCCACTGGCAACTCTGCACAATCACCGTACGGTGATAAAAGAGAGCCTAATATAACTCTATCTCTCTCTTCCCCCCGCCCTCTTGGGATCTCTTTTCGCAGACCTCGGCTTTTTTACTACAATCAAAGCGTCAAATGGCTATAAAAATCCAAAATTAACATCATGCTATCATAATATCGGTAGAATTAGCCATAACTCAAGAAACAGGCGCCATCCACTCTCCGATCCACTTCTCAAGCCACTCATTCTTTACACCAGGAATACTCCTCAATTTACTACTCTTCTTCTCAGTTTGCCGGGTATCCAACACATTTTCCTCCCCAAGAGACGAAATCCTCTCAAAGAACTCTAAAAGCTTCGCAGCCGGGTTCTTCTCTAACAGGACCTGCAGATCCCTTGATTCTGACCCAGTCTCGATATCCCGACGGACTCGCTGGGTCCATTCAAAGAGACATACTTTCTCAATTTCTTTGTCTGAGGACTTGTTCAAAATATTGATAATATCTGGGAGTAGTCGGTCCCATGTTGTCGGGCAAAGATTGAGTGGATGGTAGACTTTACACCCCTCATCGTGCTGGCTGAGTACGAGATCCACCAGGACCTCTGCTAACAGGTCGATTGGTACCCAGTCAATGCGATCTAGCGCAGAGCCCATAGATTCCGGTATGGCGCCAACTTGAAGGGAGCTCATCACTAGACTTGGGAACCATTCGCTTTGATTCCAAAGACCAGGCATCTTGACAGGGCCGGCAATTTGCCCGACACGAGCGAATGAGGCTCGAATCGAGTGTTGTTTTGAGGCGTGGTGTAGAAGTTGCTCGGCGAGGTATTTGCTGTTTGCATAGCCGTTTGGTGCTGGTTGTGATGTTTTTACTGTGGTTTCGGGTGTGAGGCGGGTTTCGGTGAAATGATTCATCACTGAGCTGATGGATGATATGAAGAATAGATGGGGTGACTTGGAGGAAGTGGTTGTAAAGTTAATTAGGTTTGCCATGCCTTTTAGGTCGGATTTGAATGATGATAGGGAGAGGTTGAAATTCACGTTCCAGGCATTGTGGATGATCACTGTTGCTGTGTTTTGTAGACGTTTCAAGATCTCAGTGGCTAGTCCAAGGTCTTTCCGGGAAAGATCTATGCGCCAGAATGTGATTCTTGAAGATTCTAGGGATGTGTGCAAGTTGTAGTAGTCAAATTTCTGGCGTTGAATGTTTGGAGCATCCTCCTTCCGGTTCAGGCAATGGATGTGTCCAACGGATGGGCTTTTCAGAAGGGCATCCAGCATGTAGGTGCCTAGATTACCCGTTGAACCAGTCAATATGACTGTTTCAAGCTGGTGATCGTTAAGCTGGGATTGAAGCTCTTTCAAAAGATCGTCCCTCTCTCGCAGATACGCCTCATTCAACGTCTTTTCCGAGGTCCTATCGTCCCTCATAAGCTGCAAAGTAGCCGGCACAAGGCAAGACAGTGACGGGTGAAGATAAATAAGATTTGGCGTAAAGGACGAAAGATGAAGTCCATTCTTGATTGCACGAGCGGCCGTGATAACCTGAAGAGAATCGAGACCGAGACTGAAGAAATTCTCAGTCTTACCAACTTGCTCAGGGTTCCAACCTGTAATCGATACCAGAGTCAATTGTATAAAGTTGGAAACTTGGTGCTCATTATCAACCGTCCCAGGTCCAGCTATCTCCGTCTGCACGGCCAGCTTATCCGCATCCACATACAACGCATTTATCTCCTCTTTATAGAGCGCCAGAGTACCAGCCCTTTGAACAGTGCCTTTCCCAGCACGAAGCATCGGTTTCTCAGGTGTCGTAAACAGTACGTGTGTCTTGGCAATCCGGGCATGAGTAGGACAAACCCTATTGGCCTCTTCGATGCTGGGCCAGATCTTTTCAATAGCAGCCGCTCGTTCGCTGGGGTTAAGTGCCTTGTCCCCGATTTCCAGCAGCAGCGATGCTTGGAATCGTTGAAATCCACCAACCAATACGCCGGTAACTTCCGTATTTGAAGCAGCAATATGCTGCTCCACGGAAACGGGATTCGTTTTTTCACCATTCAAGAAGATAATCACATCATCTGCGCGAGAGCTCCAGCGCCAGAGATTTGACTTGGTGTCGTTTGGGTGTCGGACGAAGAGGTCTCGCGTGGAGTACTCTTGTAAATGTGGAAACACGGCGAAAGCGAATTGATGAGTTTCTTTCTCTGGCGAGCGAGTCATCCAGAGCTCGTATTCGTCTTCCGTGACTTGACGGAGCTCGACGCCTAGATCTGGATGGAAATGCATCCATCTCCAGTCTGTCAGAGGATCCCTATTAGACGTAGAGTGAATCAAACTCAAAAAGCCCATCTCAGTTGCACCATACTGGTTAGATAATTTGATCTTCGCTGCGATTCTGTCCCCTATGGGCTGGGGCAGATCTCCACCTGCGTACATGAGATACTCCATGTTTTGGCTGCAGTAGTCCAATAGCCTGGGGCTCTCTGCGAGCTCATTGAGGATTGACGGTACGAGTAGAGCAGTCTCAAACTGAATCTCTTTATGCGCTTCAACCATGGCAGAGGCTGTGGGAAGCCCGCCTCCCGAGGGAACAATCACGGTCAACTCGAGTGGGGCGTTGAAGAAGAGCACGCTAGCTAGACCTGCAGCGTGGAAAGGTGGTAGAGTCAGGAACTGCCTCTTCCCTCTCAACCAGCTGTGCTGGTTCTCATGTTCATCCACGGAATTTAATGCAACCATCCGCATGTGGGCGTTTGCAGTCTCGAGGGACCAAACAACTGGTTTTGGAAGACCAGTCGAGCCAGATGTATGCACGACAACCATCTTATCAGCGGCATCCTCGGGATATGTTTTATCGTACTCGACATGCGGGTGTTTTGTTGATAGCAAATCCTCAACACTGGGTACGTCGAGAGACTCCAATTGCAATGCATCAACCACGGCGGTAACAGGGGGTGGCCGTGGCGATGAGAATAAAAATTTTGTGCACTCGAGACTCTTCAGTAGACTCTCATGAGCAGCAATACTGTTTCGGGGAGACGTGAGGAAGATGCAGTATCCAGCCTTGACAGCCCCAAGCACCAATGCAGGATACCGAACATCGTTGGGGCCGAAATACGCAAGGACCTCTCCAGTTCCTGGTCCAAATGTCTCTGTCAGCCAGGAAGCAAGGCCATTGATCACATTCGCAAACTGGCGATAAGTGATCGGGCGGTAACCCTCGGCATAGCTCACAGGCGACCTCGGATACTCAGCGTAAATTGCATCAGGCTTGACTCTCGCATAGTGATCAATAAGATTCGGAAGCAGCTGGTTCTCGGGACGAAACTCCATAGTGAGTGTGATTCAGCCCGAACCCTCAAACGGGAGAACAGGAAAGCAGAGTTTATAACGTGCCTTCTCCACAGAACGTATGCAGTTTATTGGAGCCGCACCCTCGGCCACGACCCACCATATAGACACCATACCGAGTGTCGTACAGCTAGGATCCCATCCTCTACTCTGTACAACCTCACAAAAAAACAAAACAAAGAAAAAGAAACCCTGGCCAGGCTACGAGTACGTAGTTCGCAACTCCTAACCTGGACGCTTGCATAAAGCAGGAAGCCTGCCACTAATGCAGCTGCCAGAGCCATCGACACCACTTGGGCCCCGTAATACGGAGACCATTCTCCACCATACAGAACCAGTATCGGGGGCTTAGTGGGGACCCTAGCTGGTCTTGGATGTTCGTGCGCGTCCCATAATCCCCGGGCCACACGGAACTCGATGTCAACTAGGCGCGATTTTGAGGCTGAGGCGGTCAATGGTGGTGCTTTGTTTTGGCGGGGATGGGGATCCGGGTGGGTAATCCGGATGTCATTTGACGTGGATGCTGCGCGCTATCGATGTGCCTAGGGTAATTTTGGGCTAGTTGGTATGCCATCGAGATTCTAGGTGGAAGGCGCGGTGATAGAAGCGCATTTCGGGCTGTACAGCGCATAAAGAAATGCCAGCTGAACCATGGAAAGACGCGTCGAGGTGGATGGAACATGTCAGATTTTATTAAGCGGAGAACGGGGCAACTTTGGAGAGAAATGGCTCGTCTACTTCGTTATACTCGGACTTGGAGATCTATAGCTTCTGCATTTAAGATAACTAGTGAGTACATTGAAGTTGGATTCAATCCCGAAACACCATAGAACCAACGATAACCACCCAATGTAATGAAACAAAATACAAGACAGAAATCAAGAGGTAGATATCCAATTCACCCACTGACACTCACAACCCCCAGTTCCCCCATCAATGCCCCCATACGTAGAATTCCCACTAACATCATTCCCATTCGCTGGATTAGTCCAAGTGCCCCCAATACCCCGATATTCAGCCTGCAACTTCGAGTCCGAGACATTGTAATGCCCGTTCTCTTCGATTGCGTAGCAATAGACCAGTTTCGTATCTGCATCGCCACCGTGTCGATCTACTGTAATAGTGACGGGGTACGGGAATGATCCAGGTCTGGTATAATCCGTCGCTGAAGAAGAAGATGTCGCTGTGGAAGAAGTGGATGTCGGCGTGGCAGAAGATGAGGTACTTGTCCCGTTTGATGGGGAGAGGAGATCATAGCCCATTTTACCAGGCTGCGTCCAGATTTGAACGAGGAAGCGGGTCTGAGACCAGGTACATCGGGCTTTTGCGGAGGATCTGCTAACGCCATCGCTTTGATCAGACGGGTCGGTGTCGGTTAAACTTCCGTTAAGAGAGGCGCGGGAGGCGAGAAAGATCGATTTGTCGTAGTAAGTGTAGAAACCGTAGTGCTCGTCTGATTGGCCGCGGTTGTAGAGGCGGATGGGTTGGGATTCGGGGAGGGGGTAGAGGACCGCAGCGGCGGCGGCGCCATCGGAATCTTCGTCGGGAGCAGGAATGATTGTTGATAGGTTGGTTGAGGTGGTGGTACTTGAGCGGCGGAAGAGGCTTTTAGTGGAAAGATGAATGGGTGAGAGAAGTGTCATGTAGAATGGTGTGGCTTCGCCGGCATAGGGAACCGAGTTGCCGTCTGTGGTGTTGCCGATGAAGGCCTGATCTGCGAGGCTTGGGGCAGCTGGTTCGGATGTATAAAGGCCACTATCTCTTCGGAGCTTACGTGTCGATGTTGAGGTGACAGTATCGGTGCTATTGGTGTATGTTCCATTGCGGAAACGGATTTCGACGCGGAAGCTAGGGTTATCTGCCGCATAAGGCGTGTTCGCAGACTCTTGGGCCGGCGGAAGGTCACAGCTCCAGAGCGTAGAAGGGCTGATGCAAGTTGACTTTGCAGTTTGTGTTTCTGTACCAGCGATTGTCGCAATGCCCGTGGGCATGGGTGGATAGCCTGTTAGATTGAGCCAGGTGGATTGAACAGGTGTGCTATCTCCCTTGTGTGTCAAAGTGAGGGCAAGCACAATTGCGAGAACCACAATGATCAGAAAGATAGAGCATAAGGCGAAATACCATCTCCGTCGAAGTCGACCTTCACGCCCTGGACGTCCAAAGCAACCTTTGTTACTAAAGCATCCTCGTCCACGCCATAGGCCCCCGAATTTTTTGCCTGCAGTATCTTCACGCTCAAGCCTGCGACGTTGTGCCTCTCCCGGACCTGGCAGACCAGTAGGATTCATGACGCCTGCTCCTGGAGCGGGGTGCAGGTCATATCGCGGTGGAAGAGGAGCCTCTCGAGGGTATTGCGAGTAAGCTGGCGCGGGAGCATTTACATCAGACATTGGAATTGCGCCAGGTCCTCCTGCAGCGCGTTGAAATGCTGGGGAAATAGGCGTAGGTTCTTGAGTTAGCATCCCGCGTGCTTGGCCTTCGGGCTCATGGGTTGGCCCATGAATTGGCTCCTGGGGCGGTTGTTGAGCACCTCCTTGTTGCCAAGGCCATTTTGATGAACTCAACTGGTGATGTGGAGCAGATGATTCCCTGGGTACTTCAGGTACAGGTTCCTCGGAAATGGGCATGGGCGTAGGCATAGATCGCGGTGGGGGCGGCTGCTCTGACATGCCATTGTAAGGAGGAAAAACCGGATTATAGTGAGGTATCGCTCGTTCCACCGTAACAGTCTGCGGCTGAACTGCTGCCGACACCGGTGGATAATGATAATGGTTGATGATCTGCGGAGGGGCAGGAGCAGGAGCAGACTCTGGCACAGGAACTGGGGCCGGAGCAGGCGTTGGCTCCCTGGACATCTCTAGCAGCGGGGGAGGTGAAGGAGCTTTTGGTTCTTGAAAAATCGGTGTCGGGGCAGGCGCACGCTGAGGCTCAGGAAGAACCTCCCTAGACACTTCGGGCACTCCCTTAGATACTTCCTTCGGCGGCTCAGGCAAACTTTTCTCATGGTCATCCGGAAACGAAGAACGCCAGCTCTCAGAACCAGAAGTCGCTGTTGGTGAAGGCGCATTTCTATTATGACCGGTCTCCTTCAAGGCCTCAGGGTTCGGCGAGTCCACATCAATAAGTAAACCACGAGATGTAGCCGTCTCATTACTCGTTTCCTGGGATTTTGGAACGCCAATACCGGCTTCAGCAAGAATTAACCCTCGGTCTCTCATTTCTCCTGCCTCGGCGCCATCAGCAGCTTGTCGACTTGCAATTACATGAGGGGGTGTAATTGAACAGATGTGATTATAGCATTCGAAGTAGGGCGTTTTGCTGAATAATTCATGTGCACAGGCTTGATAGTACTCAGCCGCTTCACCCTGGATAGAGCGACCACCGAGCATGAATGAATGCGTGGTTTTTCGTTTGGGGTTTGAAATAGTTGCATCGTCTTTAATGTCAAGCGAGCGAGACTGTTCAATGCCATCTGGGCTTTTAAGATCTTGATCTTTATCATCGTTCCACCACTCTGTCATTGTCGTATCTGGTGTTTCTGGGGAGAAGCATGAGACTTCTTTCTCCCACCATTCCTTAGGCTTTTTTGTGTTTGCCGGAGATGAAGCTGAAGGGCTTTGGCGGGGAAAATTCGGGCTCAATGGTGATTTTTTGCCGAGGAGTGGTGAGAGGAGGTAAGTCCACCATCCTTGGGACTGTGGCCTTGTTTCCGTGTTGACAGTTAGCGTCTGCTCTGTCAACGGTGCTTGATCGTTGTCTTCTATCGTGCGGGAGTGGGAGTCTCCCTGTGCAGGGCTGTCATCTTCGATAATAGTATCCGCTGACACAGATTGACGCTTTTGTTCTCGGCCTACGGCGATGGCATGTGCGTTCAGGAAGATAGAACCAAATTTAGACCTCCTGGAGGTTGAGTGCTCAGCTGGGATTGCAGGCACTGGTGGGACATCAGCCTCGTTTGACCATAAACGAGGTGTTGGTTGGGAGTAAACACTGGATGTCGCTCGGGGTCGTAGCACCTCAGGACTGGATGTAGACCATGGTGCATCTTCGCGGGCTGGGGTAACGATGATGGATGGTGTAAGTGGAGTATGTTGATCGCCTGCGCTATCGAGCTCCCTGTTCCGTTCCGAGGATTCATGGTGTGGTACTGCCAGGCCGATCATAACATGGCGGTCTGAAGGGGAGAGGCCATGGTAATGTCTGTCGACAAAGGAGTTATCGAGACTCGGATCCAGAAACGGGTTGCCGCTTGATTCTATCGTCTCCGCGGACGATTGAAAGCCTCTTGAAGCAACCGATGCGGTATTGAAGTTCTTCCTCTCGACAACTTTTGACTTCTGCGTGACGCGCTCCTTCTCTCGTGCTTTTGACAGTTGTTTCAGATCATTCAAATCTACAAACGGCGCAAGTGCGTTCTCATCCGATTCCCTTTCGGGCTTTGGCGGATTTCCTAGTGTAAAGTCCGTGACCAGGTTGAGTCCAACTGGCTTGGCCGCGTTCTTCTTCTTCTTTGTGATGCCCCGAATGCTCAGTCTCGGAGTCCTCTGGGTCTCCGGTATATCACGATCCCGATGCGAGATATTAGGCGATCTAGGTCCGTCTCTTCCACTTCCAGATCTCGTCTCGAGTTTCTGTCGCGTTGCCTTGACCAGGAAATCAAATGGTCTGCTTCGCTCCAACTCGCGCTCCTCTGCCGATGAACACGACGGACTGGAGATTTCCTCACTGATAGGTGATGAGAGAGGGAACTTAGGGGCTGGGACTTGTAGCTGTGGTTGTGGTTTTTGTCTCGAGGCCATCGCGATGTCTCAGTGTAGATCTGCCGAACTTAGCGGAGATCATGCGATGTTGAAGTCGAAGTACCATGAGATGGATAGACAAGAGCGCAGTGGTGTGAGAATCTTGAATGTTGTAGACAAAGGAGATATAAATAAACGTGACGCCTGAAACAATGCATTCAAAGAAACGCCATTATTCATGCAGAGCGTAAACAAAGACTGAAACTCGAACGTGGAAAGAAAGTTGCAGAGAGAAAGCTCCGACTTGGCAGTCTTCATCCTCATAAACAAAAGCTACCGCTGCATTATTTCTGCTCCTGCGCTGCACGAAGCTTGGCCGGTCTCATCCCGGATGTCACCAGTATCCCCAGATCCAATCAGACTCCCTCAAGCTCACAGTCTGCAGACATCCCAGACACTGCAACTCGATAGCTTCCATTCCAAACCCCTCCATTGGTTCGAACCTGGGGAGATCATCAGGGGCCAGTGCTGCGATGCAAGTGCGACTTGAGGCTGGCGTTACGCGCCGTGGTGGGCGGGCGCTTACAAGGACCAACCATATCAACACCTCGACTCTCAAAATAGATCGTACTCTTGTGTAGCTCTGCAGTGACTCGTCGATTTTCACGTTAAAATGGAGTTGTTTGCTCACTTATTTGTTTTCTCTATCCATGGCTTAGGTGCCGTTTGAGGTAAAGTGTCAAGCAATGGACGGGCCTCGGCCTCATCGGATATTCATTTCCATACGAATAGCACGCTACAGCAGTGCAGCTCTCGCTTTTGGATATTTGATACATGAAAACACCCTTCATTCCACCATGCCGATAATCGATAATCCCGTTTCCCAGTTACCCCAAATGTGAACATGCAGTGAGTGTCGGGTTCGCCCCAGAGCCAAAAAAAAAAAAAAAAGAAAAAGAAAAAAGAAACAAACCAAAAGAAAGTACAGAACTGAACAAACAGCAAAGCGATTGCGGGTATGATTGATGACACAAAGAAATCAGGAACAAGAACAGAGACAGAAAAAAGCCAATCTCGCATACAAGGGCAGCTGCTCTGTGTGGCAACAATGTCCATATCTAAAACAAGGGATATATAGAAAGACAATGTGAAAAGAAGTCGCGGACATTTCGCGGGTACATATCCCGGCATGACTAGTCATTTCTCATCCATGGTGGTGCCATGGGCAAAAGGCTCTACCGTCGCTCGTCGGTGTACTGGATTCCCTGCATCGGGGCCACAGAGCCGTTCATGAGCGGCGGTAGAGTGCGAGGCTGTTCATGGGCCATGTTAGACCCATTTCCAAATCCACCAAACACAGGCCCTTGCTGGCCGTTGGTCGGGGTGGCCGACATGTGGTGCTCGAAGATCGAAGGAGTTCGTGAGGGCCCGTTGGCCTGTTGCTGGTTTAATTGCGCTTGCATCTCCTCGAGCTGTGTGCGCATGAGAGAGTTCTCTCGCCGTGTTTGGCCAAGTGATTTCTCAAGGGAACTGATGTATTCGATGGCCCGAGTGAGCGTTTCCCATTTGCTGGACTTGTTGTTCTGCGCCTGGGGAAGACGCACGCGCAGGGCCTCGAAGCAGTCCTTCATCTCGCTTCGTCGCTTGCGCTCGGCGAGCTTATGTGTGACGCGTAATTCCGGGGTACGGCTATATGGCGTATTGCCATCGGCTTCACCAATCAAATCCCGAACCTGCTTGTGCTGCAGCGAATGGTGATGTACGTTTTGCGGCAGTTCTGAAACATCGGGTGAGCACGGTGTCAAACGAGACGCCAAAATGCAGAACTTACCATGTTGTCCACGAGGCATGCGCGACTCGGAGTACATGCTACTCAGCGACTCCGCCGTACTGCCTTTTCGGGAGAATGGGGGGTTGGTGTTCTCGTTGGACGAGATCGAGCTGGACCGCGCCACGTCGGGATCGGGGAAAGCATACGCCATACCTGCCGTCGGCGCCTCGGCGTTATAAATCTCTGAGCGCGGATTAGAAGAAATCGGAGGTGCGCTGCGCCCTGCTTGGAAGTTTCGGGGCTCGCCCGGGCGAGGTCCCAAGGGAGACAGAGGTTGACTGCCACCGGAGTAGCGCGGTCCCCGGTAGGAATTCATGTCGTTGGTTATTCCGCGTTCCCGCTGCAGACTGGACACGATCGAGGACTGTGACGCATTGGTGCTGTGGTAGGGTGACGCCGGGTTGATGGCGAGTGAGCTGATCCCCTGGTTCATGCGACTGTCGATAGAGCTGCGACGCGATTCCGTTACTTCGGCGACGCTACCCCGTTGTGACGAGGCGTCATAATTCTGGTTGATCGAGGGAAGCGCGCCATTTGGCTGCGAGGTGTTATAGCTCGGAGATGGCTGCTGCGCGCCAGCCGAGGAAGGGGTGGATTGGTCGTGCCCATAGGGCGAACGGTCGGGCGCGGGCGCAGGGTGATTTCGGTTTGGTGAAGGTTGCGAGGTCGAGGTCAAAAAGGTGAGAGAGGGATAGTTGTTGCCGGTGCCATTGGTCGTGGTCGAGTAGGTGGAAGATCCTGCAGGGTCAGCCCGCCGCAACTCATGCGCTCCGGGAGGAGTCCTACTTGTGCTTTGGGGCATGGACCAATTCCCCGAGTCTCGTTCAATCGTGTTCAGCGATGAGTTCCCGGGCGACTTCTCTGACGAGTTCATCCCGTTCATATTCGCAGTCAGCGTCGATATGGATGGTAGAGTCTGATTTGAAGCGGCGGGCGTCTGAGGGCCCGAGGCTGTCTCCCATGGTCGATGAGCGACCGAGTCCATAGTCAAAAGAGTGATGGGGACTGGTCTTTTGGGGATGTGAGGAAGCGTAGGTGTCAGAACGCGATCGAGGGTAGCTCCACACTTATCGCATATTCCGCCGGGATCAATTGGATATGGGGGGGGAAAGGGAAAGGTAACGACCGGGCGGATATCACAAAAAAGAGAGAGAAGCAGAATACAGTTAGGGTAGGATAGGGAAAAAAAAAGGAAAAAAGATGGGAAGGGGATACAAAGTTGAAGGAGGGGGGGGGGAAAGGCGATCTCACGCTAGGTGAGTTTAGAGAGTATTGTACCCGATGAGATTTAGGGTCGAGTCCCAGTTTTTTTTTTTCTTCTTTTCTTTTTTTGCTGTTCTTTTTCTTTTTCGAGTTATTGACTTTTTAGACCGGGGAAGGAGGAAGAGCTACCGGGTAAGCGTACGGTAATAACGAAGCGCAAGGGAGCATCAGAACGTGGCACAAGGAAAGGGCACCTTTTGGGGCAACACGGCCGAGGGAAAACGGTTGAAGAAAAGAAGACGATGATCTCCTCTTTTCGGGTCCTATGTTACCTTGTAGATCCCTGGATCGATCGGGGTACCGCTCTAACTATATTCTCATGATCGCCGCGCAAGCTCAAGGCAGAAAGCAGAAGGCAGAAGCTAACTAGAAAACAACTAGAAAATGGAAAATAGAAATCCTAATCCTAATCCTAATCCTAATCCTCATCCTAATCTGAAGGATAAAAATGACAAACAATCATGGAATGCGTGTATTGTTACCATGCGCCAAGCCTCGGATTGTGCACTACTGCGACACATCTCCACCTGTGTGCCACGAGGCTGACCCTGGAGAAAAGAGAGGCAAGGGTGGAATTCTCTCAGAGTTACATTTCCCTTGCTAACAGGACCGTCCCCCGTCCCCCCTCCCGCGGCCGCCCGTTATTCTAGTCTATACTTCGATGGCCTATGGCCTATAGCCTGTAGCCTGTAGCCGATAGCCTCTGGTACTCGCTTAGTCCCCCTACCTAATACTTTGAGTACTAATTATTCGCGTTCACTTTCCTTCACTTCTTTCTCCCCCTTCGATGCAAGGAGCCACGTTTTATTCGAGTTCATCGATTACATCACGACCCTAACACCACTAGAAAAAGTCTTCACGTCATGCCGATCGAACGTGGTTGAGTTTGGTGCGACCCGCCATACCTAGATACCTCGCAATTGCCTACCCTTTCCCTCGATGGGGACCTAGGTACCGGTGGTGGCGGCCACCATCCCTACCTACCAAAGAAATGAAATTGAAACTGGAAATGGAAATGTGAAAGAGCTACCCTTTTTCACGTGGCGAATGATCGGCCTCAGGGGGAGAAGGCTCCTTGCAGGAGTGATAGTGAAGGGTCCAAAGTGGACAAACTGCAATACGACCGGGGGGGAAGGCGGCTGCATGCCGGGCACACGCTAAACCCCATCGACGTTGGACACATGGCAAGCACTCTGCAGGGATGTCCTGTATCAGATACTTCGGCTGCCCGAGGACTGCGCTCGGTAGAACTGGTACCAGTACTTCGGACTCCGTACTTCCTCACTGTGCCACACGCACATGGCAGACAGCACTTTACTAGCTTACAGTATAGCCCGATATGTGTGTGTGCGTGTGTGTGTATGTGTGTCGTGTATTATAGTGTATTATAGCGTGTTATTGTGTTATATTATTTCATGTTAGAACAGTATCAGGTTATACCGGGTCCAGCCCCGAACTGCTTCGTACCACCCCGGGCGCTCACAGCTTCAGAACTAAATTGCCAAGCCGTGACATCCCCAGGCGCGTGCGCCGGCTTAACTTGAAGCTTGACTCTAGACTGGTCACCCTGCACTCTCCCGGGTCGGGCTACGCGCAGCCGGTCTCTTTCAAGACCCGCGCGCCTACTCTTTGATTTTAACCTACCTCTCCGTACCTATATAGTCGGTAGACTCTGTACCCATCCTCTCTACGCAGACGACCCCCTCCCCTTTCTTCGCGCTCGGAGCCTGTGCGACCGGTCTCGGGGGTTTATTCGATGTATCAAGGGTTCGATGCCCGAGCTCTTTCGGAGTCGTCAGAAGGCGGCAGCCACCCCCTCCCCTCCCCTTCCAGGCCCTTCTAATCTCGATCTTCCCCGGCCACTCATCTATTTACTCCGTCTTGCTCGGGTATTAAATACGCGCTGGTTTGATGTGTTCGATCTCGGCTTTTGTTGCCCGAGAGGCCCCCCGATGTGAACTGTCAGGCAACAGGATAACTATCCTGAGTTCGGTTTGCTAAATTTGGGCCTGGGATCGGCCCGGCACCGCCACTTGCAGCGTGGCTTTTCACCGGACATGTCTACTGTACGTATTCAGTACACCGTACAGACCCAAATGGTATCCGTACTTTGCATTGTACCTTGCCACATGGCGTAGCCTTGCAGAATGTTTCTGACTTGGATCGATCGACACGCGTACATACGTCCTCTTTGACACCGTAGCAGCCTTCCATACCGGGCCCCAGCCGTACTCATGGGTTATAGCTTAATCGTTAGGAATGTGCAATACTACTCCGGACCCTAGGGATGGCATTTTGCAAAATAGAGTTAGCTATGCTCTGCCGACCATGCGCTCAGCCATGACCACGACCATGACCATGACCACGATGATGACCCAGCTATGGCCCATTCCGCCGCCCACGCACCCATATCGTGGTCATTTCCTTGCTGCAATAGTCTCCCCTGAACACGCGATGTTACCACCATGAAGACTAGCCTTTCTTCCCCATTCCACATGATTCAGTAGCCCTCCCCCAAGTAACTCGGGTAGCCTGTCGGAGATACATTTCCCCTGGTGTAGCCGTCGATCACCCCCCGGCCCTTTCTCCCCGATGCTGGGGGATGTGCTGAGCGGGCGATCATTCCCATGTCGCCCTCCCTTTCTCATGGCGCTGCTTTCCATCCCTTGAACTACGTGGGCGGCGCTGGATGCTTTTGCCCTCGCGTGTTATGGACCCTGTCTCTCGGAATCCCCAGGAACCTGGATAAGAGACATGTTTGAGATTCCGCATCCTGCGCCCGTGCCTTCCACGCTGCTTTCTCACTGGTCCTGTCTCGCCCATGTACTTCCCGTTACATCTGCCATGGAAATAATTGATTGTCCCTAGTTTACTAGCCCAACCTCGTGGTTCAATCGTTTCCTGTTTCAGCGGCGGGTCCGAGTTGCACTGGTTTCGATTGCCGCCAGCCTTGATGTCGACTCCCGCCCGTAAGCTTTGGTTTGGCTCCTACCCGTTCGGTAGGCGCCGGTGTGGAGATTAGACGGTTGGGGATGTGAGGGGCGAAGATGAATTTGCAATTATCGTCCTGTTGTTCTGCAACTGTTGCCTGAATGCAGATCTGAGGTTTCGAGCTGCTTCGAGACTTTCTGTACGCATGCGTCGTTTCAACATCGGTGCCTCCTGGGTTTTTGATTCGATCGAGTTCTGCGCCAAGATTGATCGTGAGCCTGTGATGAATTTGGTTTCTGCAGTGCTGATTTTGGCGCGACTCGCCACTAGGTACAGCTGGGGCTGGGTTGATTTGTTTTGAGCCATGCATTATGAAGTAACCTAGGAAACCTTGACTGCAATGCAGACTCCATCAACCCTGGTGCCTAGTCGATGGGTTGCTGTCGAAAGACTACCTCAGCTTTGCAGGTATATCTCTGTTCGTTCTGGAGAAAGAGTCGAGAGAAACATATTGCCCATGTGGCTTGTGGCTCGAGGCATCCAAGGATCCAACTACAAGGCTTGGAAGTGTAGGCTATAGTTCAGCCGTTGGAGTGGTTGGGATCATCACCATCGGCTCAAGCATTACTATCCTGATAGATTCATGAAATTCGAGTACGTAAGTTCGATTGAAGCCCCCACTAACTCCGCTCTATCTCCATCTCACCCCCCAGTAGCGTCGGGCCACCATTCTTAACCCCGACAAGCTTATCTCTGACGGCTCGTATAAAAGCTCGGAGTAATGCTCGGTTTCCATCCCTGCACCTTCCTACAAGCTGACATCCTCCCGAATCCAATACCAGTTGACCGGGGCATACTCCTACCAAACTAGGAAACTCGTCGCCCAAATATTACTAGTACTTTGGCCCCCACGATATATCACAAAACACGACCTGGGCACAATCGGCCCACAAAACATCAGCACTAGTCCTCCTTCCAAGCTTGGAAAGACCAACCCAGAACAAACCTTGAAAATGACACAGACATGGCTCGTAACCGGCGCTTCTTCCGGCCTAGGGACAGCAGTTGCCGAAGTCGCCCTACGCTCCGGGCACAGAGTCCTCGCGACAGCGCGCGACACTACAAAAGCCGCGCGAGAAAACCCTCAAATTGAAGAACTAGGTGGTACATGGGTTGAACTCGATGTGACGCGTGTCGCCACGGCGAAAGAAGTTGAATTCGCGATCCGGGAGGCCGGAGGTGTTATTGATGTCGTTGTCAATAACGCGGGATACTCGCTTCTGGGCAGTATTGAGGATATGAGTGAAGAGGAGATTGAGATGCAGTTTAGTACGAATGTTTATGGACCTGTTAGGGTGTTGAAGGGTGTTTTGCCTTTTATGCGGAAGCAGAGGTCTGGGACTATTGTTAATGTTAGTAGTATTGCCGGGATGGATGGCGGGCCTGCTTGTGCCATGTATGCTGGGTCGAAGTTTGCGCTTGAAGGTATGTTTTGTTTTTTCCCTTTTTCTTTTCCAAATTTCCATGTTGAATGAGAGTGATTTGTACTGACTGGATATAGGTATGTCGGAGAGTCTTGCGAGAGAGTTACAGCCGTTCGGTATAAGGGTACTGGTTGTTGAGCCCGGCCTGTTTCGAACGAAGTTCCTTTCTGCTTTCGTGGAGCCGGCTGCTGGATTGAGAAAGGATTATATTGGAACGCCTGTGGACAATGCGCTGCAAGCATTCAAGTCTAGAAACGGCTCACAAGAGGGCGATCCTATGAAAGCCGCTCAAAGGATCTTCGAGGTTGTGACTGGAACAGGAATGGGCGCTGGCAAAGAAGACTATTTTCGATTAATGCTTGGTCCTGATTGCCATGCGCGCTTCCAGAAGAAGACAGATGCTCTCCAGGAGAACCTGGATCAAATGAAGGATATCTCTCACTCCACTAGCTACTGATATAAATATACAAGACCATGATACAAATGTTGTTATGATATATCTACAACCTTTTTAAATTCCTGTGCCAATGCTAAATCACAATATACCGCCCCGGTTTGTTCATTCTTCGTCTTCGTCCTCATCATCCATGTCTTCATCATCGTCATCGTCATCTTCCTCAAACTCAACGCCGATGTCGCCGGTGATATCCCACCGGTCACCCTTGGCGTTGGCACTGACGTACTTGACGAATTTGAGGGTACCGCTGTCACGAAGCACAATGCTCAGCCTGTTCCAGCCTGCCTGTGTGCTGAAGAGAATTCCATCGTCCTCGTCTCCGGAGGCGCGGTAGATTGCAGGGTCGGCCTTCTTCTTCTTGGGTCCGAGGACTTGGTCTGCGTTCTCCTCATCTTCTTCATCATCTTCGTCCTCGTCACCGGCCATGTAGATCTCGTAGCCGCCCACAGAGGGGTGCTCGGCAGCCTCGCCGTTGGTATCCTTCTTGGGCTCCTTAGGCTCCTTGGGCTTTGCGGACTCGCCGTTCTCATCTTCATCTTCGTCTTCCTCATCCTCCTCCTCGACCTCCTTCTCCCATCCAGTTGTCGGGGTGAGACCAAGGGTGAACTCCAATCGCGGCTCTTCGCCATCGTATCCACTGGCCAGTGTGTAGTCGGCACCGTGACGGAAGCGACGGGCAAGCAGGTTGTAACTCTTGAGGTGATCCACGCCGGTGATAAGCGCCAACCACTTGCGGAAGGCCTGGGAAGGGAAAAGAACGTTCAACAACTCCTTAATAGGGTTGCTAGTATCCATAGATGAGACCTGCTGATATAGATAGCGGTGCTTGTGCGGAGGCTGAGCGACAGTCCACTCAGTCTGCTCCTGGATCTCCTTAGCAGAACCGGGCAACTTCTGCCTTTCTTGCTCCTCGATGTATGCGCTGACCCGAGAAGAAAATTTATCACTGAGGAAACGCTCGAGACTGAGTGAAGACTCGCTCGCAAATGTATCTGACATCTCTTCCGCAATGTCCGGGGTCAAGTAGGACGGTGCAAGGTACTGCACCAGGAACTCGAGATCGGGCTCAGTGAATTCATTGCCCTCGGCTTGTTCTTCAACCTTGCCCTTGCCCTTGCCCTGCACCTCGGGCTCTTCCCAAGACACGGGCTGCGGCTGGGGCAGATCGTACATGTCACCGCGGCCCTGCAGCTGCGCGAGACTGCTGCGCTCAGCCAGCTTCTCCTCCAAACCTTCCTCGTATCCATCCTCGCCCTCCTGGGGAATGTGGAACCATCCGCTGATGGCCATGCGCACGCGCTTCTTGGACTTATCTTCGCCCTCGCGGTGATGGTAAACTTCCTCGACATCGTGGAAACTCTCACCGGGCTGAACAGTGAAGAAGCTCAACTGGTTGAAAGCGGGAGGAATGGAAAGGCTGAAATCGGGGCTGGGAATCTTGACGTCCTCGCCCTTGGCGTCCTTCTCGGTCTTGGTAGGGTAGAGACGCAGAGCACCACCCCATTCGGCCTGCCACGGAGTATCGGGATCGGTAAGGTAGAGAATATAACTGACTCGGCGACTACCAATGACATCGTCGTGGCACAGAAGGTGACATCCCTCGGTGTAGACGTTGATAGCCATGTCGGTCTTCTTTCCACTGAGCTTGCCGGAGTCGGTCACGGACGACAAGTACTCGCGGAAGCGCGCCGAGTACATGGCATCACGCAGCTTCAGCACCGACGGAAGCTTGGACAGTGAAGAGTCATCGAGACCGTCTAAATTGGCTAGATCACCGGACTGGAAGATCTTGTAGATATCGGTTTCCTTCTCGGTGAAGTGGAGGTGTTCTTGAATTTCCTCGCGGACGGAGCGCAGGAGCGAGTCTTCGATCAGAGGGTGAATAACGCCGTGATAGTACCTGTAATTCAAGAAAGAAAATTAAAAAAAAAATTAGACAAAGAGCATTGAAGTATTTGGTGTTGTTGAAATACATACGGGCTTGACTTAGCATAAGAATCGGTGTACTGCTTCTGCTCCGCGGGGTCAAACAAGCCGTCGCGGAAGCGCGCAGCAGCTTCCTCGCTGGAAAGAGCGCGCTTTTTGGACTCGGGGAGTCCATTGCCATCAATTGACGGTCTCTCATTTGTCGTGCGCTTCATTTTGCTGTATGTATGAGCAAACAACACCAACGAGCAGTGGCCTGATCTTAAAAATTTCGGAGGCGGTGAGCTGTCAACTGGGCGGTCAACGATCTCCGCATTGGGCTGTTGTCGATGGATGCAACGATAGCTCAGTCAACACGTTTGCTTCAATTTCGAGGTCCAACTCTTCTCTCAATTCTGTGAAACGGCGTCTGCCGTATTGCTGATCTGGAGGGGGTGATTCAGATGTTTCATCCACGACTCCGAATCAGTACCTAATCAGGTACGGACGCCTACACTTCTCTGCTGGACAGAGACCGTTACGCTTTTTTCAGATCTCGATATTTACCTACTCAGGTGTCTTATCACCGATAAGAAGTGACTCGATCGATTCCTGTTTGTGTCGTGGCTAAACGCGAAAGTGGTTCCTGGCAGAGCCTCAACCTTCGCCACTATATCCCGACTGCACGCCACCCTGGAATTATAAATTCCTCGCTTGACACACCGGATTCTGGGCCCCGTGAGTGTCTAAAGTCTTGAAGGGCGAATCGCTCCAGTTGCCGTGAAGTGGTTCTTATTCACATAATCCACCCACTCGGTGTCGTCACTTCCCGTCAGCCTGGAATCGCTGGAACGCCTTGGAGTCTGATTCTGCACTTGGCTTCAAACACTGCTCCAGGCCTTCAATAATCGCGCCTGGGGTCCTATCCTTTGCCCGTTCATCATGCAGCCTGTGCCTGCTCCTACACCAGAGGGTCCTGAGCCCATGATCCAGGATGATCGGCCAGGCACTCCACCCCGCCCGCCTTATTCCCCGGTGACACCGGTCTTCGCCCACCTCGACCCTGTTGCGTCCAGCAACGCAACAATAGTACCACCGCCTTTATCGCCGTCGCCAACAAGTCGCATACCAGAATTCTCCGGCTATCAACCTCCGCGACCACCAGCAACTCCAGCCGTCTTCAAGCCTGAACCGCCGCCCGTCCCTATCTCCGAGAGCGAGAATCCAGATGCGATCGCACTCCGTTCCGCTATATCTATTTTGCAGATGCAAAAGCAACAAGGCCAGCGCGATTTGATCACATTGGAACGCATGAAACAAGCCGCCGCCGCGGATCCCGAGGGCTTTGCGCGCGAGTTGGCAGCCGGGCGATTGCGCACCGAAGATCGCGGGGCTGTGATTCAGTTTACAGACGGCGCAGACGATGACGAAATGGAGACAGAAAATGATAGCGAAGACGAAACAAAGCAGAAAGGTGATAAATCGCCTGCATCAAAATTTGGTCGCATACCACCGGCACAGAATATTGTTCGAACGCCGCCCATCAACTGGGCCAAGTACCAGGTGGTTGGAGAACCGTTAGATCGTATGCATGCGGAGCAGCTGCGTCGGCCCTACGCTGGAGAGCCAAGACGAGACCCTGCTCCAGAGTATGTGTTGGCATCGCCCTATCGTCCTTTGGTTGATCACCTGGATACTCCCGCACGGCTGGCCCGGCCTAGCAAGACCAAGAAGTCATGATCATGAATGCTCTTTGAGCAGTATTATATATCCTTTACGACGTCATGTACCTATCACGAGAAACTCCAATTAGAGATGTTTTCAAAAGCTCCTGCATCCCCAAGTTTATCTGTCTGGTCAAGAACTAGACTAGTTCATCGTGTAGATGCACTCCGAGGCCATCACCAGTCGCTGTCGCCACCTCCTGCACCACCTCCTGCACCACCGCCCCTTCCAGCGCCGCCGCCGATACCACCGCCCGAGCCAGCTCCAGCACCGAGGCCAGCGCCAGAACCACCTCCTGCACCACCACCTGCACCACCACCTGCACCACCACCAGCGCCTCCGCCAATTCCTCCGCCAATACCGACACCAAGGCCAGCACCGAAGCCTGCCCCGCCGCCAACACCACCTCCCCCTCCTGCACCTCCACCGCTACCGCCGCCAAGGCCAGAACCGATACCAGTCTCAGTGCCTTGGCAACTTGTTAGCGGTAAGCACATGTTGAAAACATTATGGGGTCCCACGAACCAGCCACAGGAGCAGCAATAGTAGCACCAACAAGCCCAAGGAGGGCGAAAATGTAGTTCAACTGCATATTGACGGAGTTGGTTGACTCAAACTAGTCTGTTAGTTAGTCAAAGTCTCCAACGCCGATGGAACGGATTTCCTTACTAGAGAATTAGACTAGTGAAGATCTGATCTGGAGGGCTGGAGGGCTTGATGAAGAACCTCAACCCTTGGGATCCACTCCCTTTTATACCTTCACCTCTCTATAGATAGATTGCATCCAAGAGCCTATTGTCCAAAGTCCAGACCTCGACCCATACCCTCCACGTCTTCAGCTCAGAAACTCGGCGAAGACATTTCAATATGCTCGAGGATCTTCACGTTCGCAGCCAGTTCCATTCGCACTCCGAAAGTCGAGTTTATAACCGCGCGGAACGATTCCCTTGCCAGTTCGGGATTTGCTTCTTTCCGATTGAAGATCGGCCGGGCTGGAAACTCCGTGCCCAGAGGCGCTTGCCATCACGCTGCAAGTTACATGGCCGCGTGTGCGTCGCCTTCATGTAAGTGTAGGTACAGATTCAGGTGGTGGTTGCAGGTCCTGGGCTAATTTGAAGTTCTTTGTCTCATATTGTTTTAGGTTGGTCTTGGATGGCTGGCGATTTCGTATAACGCTCTGGTCGTACAAAGGGAATCGAGCTGGCAGGGAGTATGGGAGTGGAATATAGGCTAGGGTTCGCTTTTGACATCTGACGGCTCTGGTGCATAGCGTTTAGTGTTTTGGTTTGCTTGTTTACTGATTCGCTTCATGCTACAAATTGTTTGTGATTCTGACCGCCCCATACGCTTCTGCTGTCATTGCCATTAGTTTGGCTATAAAGAGCAAACATGCACAATGGGATGCAGCTTACTTCAGATTTTCTCGACAGCTTTAATATCTCAATCTTCGAAACCAAGCTGGCCGAATGGCAGTTGAAGTGGTCGAGCCCATTTAGGTTGCATCGCAGAGGCATAAGCAAGCTGCAAAGGGAGCATCGGTGTGAAATTGAATGGCACAAATGCATCGAAAGGACTCGAAAACGGAAACACCGGAATACCAATCCAAAGGCTTCAGGATTCTTCGGGATACTGACAACTAAACGCTTCCATAGCCCTCGAGGCTGAGTGTAGTGGCCTCTGTATATACAATTAAGCATCTATACACGAATGGGTCCTACACAAATCAAAGCTCAAAGCTTCGCCTTGCTCCCTTTCTCAAAGTCCTCCACATTTTGCAAGGACTTGCTTTGCAGCTGCTCTTTCTTCTGTTCCACCTTCTCACGCCATTCAAGGTTGCCCACGTGGTCATCAAGGCCGTTAAGCACCCGCGCATACATCTCCTCCTTCATTGTACCGTAAATCCCCGTTTCAGCCTTGTTCAACAGCTTACGGCTGCGAATCAGCGCAACAGCCTCCTCGAGTCCACCCAATCCATCAACAATGCCCGCCTGCAGCGAAGCCTTGCCACCAAACCGATGCGCCTCCAGAACCACATTTCGGAAGGTGGCTGCAGGGAGCTTCTCCCGGAAGATAGACATCATAGGTGTCTGGAGGGGCACTCCGAACTCCAACTCGTTGACACAGAGGAAACCCTTGTCAGGGTTCTGGATACGGTAGTCGTGGTACATGGCGAGCATGAAGCCGCCTGCAAAAGCGTGGCCATTCAGCAAACACACTGTTGGCATGGGGTATCTAGATCGACCTTAGCTTCTTATGCCTAGCAAAATGGCCTAGACAAGCCTTGAAGTAGAAGCTTACGTGAGGAAGCGGCGGAATAGCTTCCAGAGCCACTGGTCAAGGAAACCCTCTGTGCTCATGGCGAGATCCAGATCCAGACCATTGCTGTAAAACTTGGCAATTCCGCTCGTGGTAACAACAACGCCCTTCGGGTATCGGTGCTCGATAATGTCCAGTGCAAGAATGAGCGCGTCAATGAATGTGGGCGTTAACCGGTTGTCTTTGGGCGAGGTAAATGTAAGCACGTAGATGTTCTGCTGCTCGCTCTGACCAGCTGTCGGGTTGGTGCAGACGATAGAGCCTCCGGTCGAGGCGATCGGAACGGTAAACAGAGCGGCCATGGCGATATGTGTAACTTGTTTGAGCTCGGAAATGGAAGAAATTAATCTTTTGAGGTTCATGGGAACGGAATCCGGGACACTTGAATTGTAATCCGGCATGTGAACCTCGGCCTGTGCATTGACCTTAGTATGTTTTGGACTGGCAGTAACACCTGTGACTCACACCGCCACAACCACCGCCCGATTCACAAGGCGGAGTAGACTCCACTACTAGCGGCGTTGTTGGACCTCTTGAAGACCCTTGGAAAGTTACAGTAGATTGCTCACCTGTAGCATGCAGTGTTTTTCAATGTATTGCAATCTACTTTGTGCGCCAAAATAGAATTAAATGGGAAAAGGATAGGCTCCGATCTTCTAGCAAGCACCTTACGCGATGAGGGCTTCCAGCACAATGACGATGCCTCTCGCAATACCGGAAATAGTATTATGCTATCTAGTGGGCAAAAGATTTAGGGACATGTCCCGGTTGATGATCTATCTCCCGGAAGACCCTTGCCATGTAATCTCCCAGGAGTATCGTACTCCAAGGCCGGGGAGGACTTGGACCTCGAAGAAACCTATGGATAGGAGTATAGCTACCAGGAAAGTAGGTGGAAATCTACAATAAAACGTTGCGTATCACAAAATCAACTGAAGAAATGGGGGACTTCGTAGTCTCCAGCCGGATACGAACATTCAACATCTACAGTGATCCGCAATCCAAGCCCAAACACAACTTGACCACTCCGTTAAAGAGACCAATTACTTTGGTAAACTATTAGAATTGATTATTTGAACCCTGTTGCTGTAGATAGAACCTCTAGAACCCCTAGAACCCCTAGAAACCCCAGAAACCGGCTCCCAGGCCCTGACGTACATAGTAGGCTCTGACGTCATGCACTGAAGCACTCAGATAAACTCCATTGCACTTCTACGCCCCTGCCATCTTCAACTGTTTCCTACAAGCCAAGTCTGTATTCAAACTACAAGGTCTAAAATAAGAAAACAATCCCAAAATGGAGCCCCGCCAAACTCGCTCGCAGACCGCACAAGCGGCCCAGTTTTCACAGCCACCCAAACAAGCTGCTTATGCGCAAGCTTCGAACCCCGTCGAACACACCCCCCAAGAACAGCGCACGTTGGGAACACAGTCGCATCAATACGGAGAGGCGGAGCCTTCGATTACACGTGGGGCGAGTTCGAGACCGTCGAATGACGAAGCACGAGCGCTTCTTGAGCAGCAGCAACGACAAGATAAACGCGCGATGCAGAACCATGCCGTGGATCTGGAGTATGGCGTTGAACAACAGCCCTCGGAGGGGTATATTGCCGATTCTGTGGAGCGGAAGGGGATGGGACAGCGTCGTGCTCAAGCTGGGGCGCATGCAGGTCCTGTTGGTAGTGCTGGTGGGCCTGGACATCCCGGGTTCGGAGACCAGGTTGATCTTGCGGCCGGGATGGATGAGAAGAGGGCTGAACATGACCGGATGCTGGACGAGAGGGCAGGAAAGGGTTCTGTGCCGATGGATCATGATGTTGCTGAGAGGGAGGCTGTTCGGCAGCGCAAGTTGCAGCAGAATGAGAATGTGGATGCGAAGGAGGCTGTTAAACAGGCGACGGGGGATCCAGTGGTTGGAAGTCACTAAATGCATTGATGTCTTGGATATGATATTGGTTGAATGGAACGGTTGAAAGGGAGTCATTAATTCATTAAAAGCCTGCTTTCTCCGGCCGCAAGGTACCATGAAAGTCAAGTAGAAGCTATGATCAAATGCAAAATCAGATATCCGCATCCCCTGATATTCCGATTGAGACCTTCTTGAGCTCCAGATCCTGCTTAAGTTGCTGGATTCGTCGGCCCATCTTGTTGCGTAGAATGACATTCTGCATTCTCTCCCAGGTTGCAGTCTCGGTGCGAATGAGTGCCTCGAGCTCAACGACTTCTTCACGGTGTTGCTGCATCTGTCGCTGCTCCTCAAGTTGTTCTTCGTCGAGATCATCGCCCTCGTCTGAATCGTCGCTATCAGAGGATTCACCCGCAGGCGTAGGCGCTTCGGCTGGCGTTGACGGTTTCGCGGATGATGTACCTACTTGCTCTGCAGGCGCAGCTGGTTCGTCATCTCCAGCAGCAAGAGCAGCCTCCATCTCAGCAGCAAGGTCGTCTTCGAGATCATCGAACATGTCATCGTCCATCTCGCCTTCTGCATCCTGGTAATCGTCATACTCATCGTCATATTCTCCGCTCTGCACGAAGCCCTCGGCGCGGTTCAGAGACGCGCTGTCCACCAACTCGAACCGAGGCGGGAAGACGGAATTCTCGTCTTGTGCAACCAGGTCCTCCACTGCCTTCTCGACCTGTTCGATGGTGCGCGAACTGACACGGTCCCGGAAACGACGCTTGCGAACCCAGTGCAACGGCGGTGCGAGACCGTGGGGATATTGTAATGTCTTGTTATCTGCATGGTCGACCTCTGGGGGAAGAGGATATTCCAAAGCCTCTTGATCATTGGCAACAGGGCCCAAGATCAGAAGCATTTGACAGATGTCCGCTGACTTGTACCATCCCCGCCGATCCCAGCTCTTCATGCCCTCGATAATGCAAGGAAGATCCACCAAGGATGCGGCATATTGTTTATCTCGAATCTTCAAGATGGCGCGTCGTCCGTCTCGCGTGAGGGGTTTGAATGAGAATTCGGACTTGTCAAACTTGCGCTCGTTGATCGTTTGACGTAGATATTCACAGTCCTCGCCTGGTAACATTCGTAGGATGAACTGTTCTTCGATGGCCGGATCGACCTCGTTGTCAGATGCCTCTGAGTCGTAGCCCACACCGACAGGTCGGTTAGGCACAACACCCTTGTTCTTGATTCGGATCGATTGGAGGCCGGGCTTCTTGGATGGGTTCAGCTTGAGCCTTTTGGGACCTTGTTGGACCGTCGTGGGTTCAGGTTGCGTGACATTCTCGGCAGGGCGCTTTTTGGACGGCTTCTTCTTTTTGGGCTTCTCTTCAGGCGCATCGGGTAGAGGTTTTGTTTTGCGACCGATCTTTAGGGTGAGCTTCGGTTGAGAGGGTTCAGCAGGTACTGGCGTAGGTTCAGGCTCGGCCGGGGGTTGTGACGGCTTCTTGCTGAACTTGAGCTTCAGCGTTGGGCGCGGAGCCTCAGACATGTTGCCAAATGAGCAACAGAATCCCTTATAGCCGGAGGCGCTTCGGTTCCAAGTAAACAGGGAGAGTTGTGAAGGTGGAAGGAGATTGAAGGACGTAAGACGCGGCGGCCCGAATTCTCCGCTCCGCTTTTGATCCGCGCGCAAGCTGCATTCACTTCTCTCCATCACCTTCACCTTCTAGGTACGCTTCACGTCTTTCCCTGACAGACTTTCTTTTGGGTCTTTTATTTTCCTCGATCGGCATCCTTTTCATCGTATGGTCAGCCGTCTCTACCATCATGTCCGCGAACAATCTCCATAATGCTCTCCTTCGACCTCCCATCATCCAAATCCTCCGCGCCCAGGGTTTCCACTCGACGCGCCCCTCTGTCTTAGAAACACTCTCCGACCTGACTGGAAGATATCTCATGATTCTCGCCTCCTCTGTCGCTGCGCATGCTGCCAATGCCCACCCCGATGATCCGTCACCAGTCCTCGAGGACATTTACCAAGCGCTTCAAGATGCAGGAGCTCTACGACCGCAACTGCGAGAATGGGAAGAAGACTGGGCGGGTGAAGAGGACTTGCGCGGTCTTGAGTCACTCATTGGATGGATTACTGGCCCTTCACATCGCGAGATCCGGCGCATTGCTGGCTTTGTGCCCAGCGAGGGCGATATGATCGACCCTGATGCTGTGGAAAAGGAGGATTATCTTACTGCTCTGAAGAAAAAGCACAGCAAGACTGGCGAAGAGTCTCGATACGCGGGGACCGTGCTTGGAAAACATGCTGAAGAACATCCTCTGGTTATCGAGGGCGGCGCGCCCAGCATTCGCGAATGGGGTGCGCAAGTCCGATCTCGCGCGCCACATAGCCCGGCCAGTGACTCGTCTGGTGTCAGCAGTGCGCCAAGCAACATGTCAGATCATGATGGCATGGAGGTGTGAGCCTGTTCTCGGTTTCTCAACTCACCTCATTCAAACCACCCAACCACCACAGCGGGACTAGACACGGATCATTCTTCTCGGCCCAGAATCATGACACCTGTCACGACACCTCTACATGTTATGATCAAGTGAACGCGCAGTGAAGTGTGCAATATACACCAGTGTTCTCAACAGTCCTACCGGCCGACGTGACTCAATACATAAAGGCCAACACCTGAGATGCCATCAGCGGAACGAGCCACACGTGATCAACCCGGATTGAGATCAGCCACCAGCAGACCACCCGGCAGTATCTCTTTAAAGGCGAGCTCGTCTTCAAATCGGGAGTCATGGGAAGATAAAGGGATACCAGGAGATCGACAGTACCGTGATTTTCACATCCACAAAGTGCAATGTATGGTGTTCTCTGACACGAGATCACAAATAGATCAATTCGGATATGTTTTCCCACACGTGAAGGTACCTCTGTCTCAGCACTAAGCAGGAGTTTTGTATGCAGCTGAATGGAGGACAGAGTATTCGAACAGCGTTCATACATGACTTGAACAGCGATAGGAAGATGCCCTAGTAGTAGGAGAAAGACCTTTCAAGAAACCTCCATGGATTGGGTTCGGAACTGTAAGAAAATAGAATGAGACCCTGTCCCGTCTGCATACAGTGATGCAGTCATAGGACGAACAATCAAGATTGTCTCTACCCAACCACGCAAATCAGTGCCCGTGTCTGATCACGCTCTTCCTGGTAGATATAAGATTACCGCCATGTTTTTACCGACTCTAATGCCCTGTATGCTGTTTGTTTTACTACAATAGTCTTGTCGAGCGGGTTCTTCTCTCAGGAAGCGCATTCAATGCATCGATGCACAGACTGTCTCCCCAGTTTGCTGGAACCCAATTAACAACTCTAGAGCTAGATGATACATCCGACAATCGAGGAGGCCGATAATAAGCTTGAGCTTGGCTAACTATACGGCATCTGTTTGAGTCTCAAGGGGGCAATAAATCGAATAGCCAGCTTCCTGTTTGGGACAGCGTCAGCTGGTTCTGTTGGCATACTCCAGATTCTGGAAGACTAGGCAGGAAGGGCCCCCACTTGAAATAAGTATCGTTCACGAATCGGTCTATGCCCGTGACCAAGTCAAAAAATTCTTGGACATTTTACGCGGACTGTGGTTTGGGGCTGACGCTAACCTGAGGAAGTGGATCTAGACTGGACCGTGGTGTCGTGAAAGATCACACAGAAGATGTCGTCCAATGTGCATGTGTGCTCACTCTCTAGTACTAAAGCGTTGACTGGGTGTGCTCTCAAACGTATGAATAGATAGGGGTCAATCATGACACAGTTGCTCGAGTTAATTCTCTATATCCAATGCGGGTCTGGGGCACATCGTGGAGCCCCGGATTTCCCCCGCCGTGGACAGTCCGGGGGGGTTTGGGGTTTCCGTCAAACGATCCTGAGCTCTTCAGTCAACCCAATCAGCCACAAAGTAAGCGAGAGCCAGAAACAAGCAATCAAAAAGCCAATGACAGCGCTACCCGACTGGGCCGACTTGGCCACCCATTCGCACAGGCCCTGTCCGATATCTCCAGTCATCAAGCCGGGATCGTCCATCGGCAGTTGGCTCCAAGGAAGCGAGGCATCTCGGTCGGTGCCAGATCACCGGGCAATGGGCCCGGCGACCATCCAGTAGGAAGGCAGGGAAGAGCATGGGTTGCCGCCCATCTGACAGCCCGAGTCTCCATCGGCTCCCGTTCTGCGGCAATGTAATGGCATAAAACTACCGGAATGGTCTCCACCGGGTTGAAATGTATGGCGATATCTGTCTTGGCTCCAGAAATGACCATTAGAATCAATTCCAGCCCCAGACTCTGCGTTCCTATTCCCAACCAGGCCCACTGTTGAGTCAACAGCCCCATACCCCGGAAATGAAATTCCCGAAAGCCCCCTACGCGGGGTTCTGGTGCCCCATTTTGTATGACCTTCTCCGCTGCTGGCTCCTCTGTGGTAACATCGTGGCCTGATACTTGCTTCAACCTCTACAGTCATGGCTTCGGATCATGGAACCCTCGGGGCAACGCCTCCTAAATCGAGTGCCGACTATGTTGAGGAAAAGGGTTTCAATGACAATCTCGATCCTACCAGATTTCTCTCAGAGGCACACAAGACCTACCTAGTCGAGCGTCATGGTACCCTGGATATTGATCCCATTCCCAGCATGGATCCTGCGGACCCATACAATTGGCCGCTATGGAAGGTCAGACAGAATGCAATGCTCGGTCTATGCATCGCTGACAGTATTTGACAGAAAACGGCGAACCTGAGTCTGGTCGCTTTCCACGCCTGTATGGGCACGTTCACAGCCGCTGCTATTATTTGCGCCTACGAAGACATCGCTGAAGATCTCGGGGTGTCCATCCAGCGCGTTTCATACTTGACATCTCTCCAAATTGCCATCCTCGGTGGAGCTCCGTTGCTCTGGAAGCCCCTTTCCTACAGATTTGGACGCCGCCCGATCTTTCTCCTCTCACTGATTTTAAGCTGTGTCTGTAATGTGGGATGTGCAAAGAGTCCGGACTATGCATCCATGGCCGCGTGCCGTGCATTGGTGGCATTTTTCATTTCCCCTGCTATGGCTATCGGCAGTGGAGTCGTCACAGAGTCATACTTCCGACACCAGCGAGCACGCTACATGGGTGTTTGGACTCTGCTGGTGACGCTGGGAGTTCCCACTGGGCCATTCATCTTCGGCTTTGTGGTCCAGCGAGTCGGATACCGCTGGATCTACTGGATCTTGGCTATCGTAAGTGCTGACTCTGGTACACCTCGAGACTTCGAATCTGACATCCTACAGACCAACGCCGTTCAGTTCATCCTCTATCTCTTCTTCGGTCCCGAGACCCGCTATATCGGCGGCGATATCGAGACTCGCCCATCCGGTGTCAAGCACCAGTACCTGTCCATCCGCCGAATCGACCCGACTCCGCTTAAATGGACTGAATTCACTCACCCTTTGACTCTCTTCACGAACATCCCCGTCCTCCTCGCCGCCATCGCATACTCGATGGTCTTCCTCTTCGCCTCCGTCCTCGGCTCCGTTGAAGTCCCCCAACTACTCCAGAGCAAATTCGAGCTCAACGCCCAGCAACTCGGTCTCCAGTTCCTTGGTCTGATCGTAGGCTCCCTGCTCGGTGAAGTACTAGGTGGCTTCATGTCCGACATGTGGATGAACGCCCGTGCCAAGCGCATCGGCCACAAGCCTGTGCCTGAATATCGCTTGTGGTTGAGTTATATTGGATATCTGCTGGCTATTGGTGGTCTTGCTATGTTCCTGGTCTGTACGGAGGATGCCTCGCAGGGTGTGTGGAATGTGAAACCAGTTATTGGAACCGGCATTGCGGCGTTCGGTAACCAGGTTGTTACCACCGTCCTCACTACTTATGCCGTGGATACGTATCCGCAGGATGCAGGTAGCGTGGGTGTCTTCATTAACTTTGTTCGATCAACTTGGGGATTCATTGGGCCTTTCTGGTATGTTGATCTAATTTTGTTGTACGAATGCCTGCTAATGAGTACCAGGTTTACCTCCATGTTCGACAGCGTCGGCATCGCTGCTAGCTCTGGAGTGGTGGCGGCCTTGATTATGGGCGCCAGTTTCTTCCCAACTTTGTTCTTGCAGTTCCAAGGAAAGAGGTGGTATAGGCATGACTAGAGCAAGCAGCAACACGATATTATATCGATGGTTGACTCGCGTGCCGGCTGCAGAGATTGTTTATGTATATCAGGATGTCATTGAGTATAGCTTAGAATGATAAATATATGTTTAAGATATCCAGATGTTCTGAAGCTCAAACGGCCGATGCCCTATTAGGCCTGTGATCCTAAATATTCAGCCCTGTGGAGCTCTCAAGTGCTCGTAGAACACCTGTTGAGATTCTATATTTGGAGACGAAGCTCATGATCGCAGTCGAGATCCCTACAACAAAACATCACAGCTCTATTCATTTATTAGAATGGACAGAAATAAGCCAAGAACAAGGTACAGATCTTTGCGCCTCGCCAAGTAATTCACAACTCGCTTCTTGGGCCTTGGCCGTCGGTGACATCAGGCCCGCCTTGCTTCTCCAACTCCCCGCGCTTCAAAATGGTCTACGCGTTTACCCTCCCAACAACCTCTCCACTATCCTTTCAATCGTTCATAACCTCGTCTACACATCCATCCCTCCCACAGGCCGCCTCAACTACCCGTCATGCCCTCCGCCTCGCCCTCAAGGCCCACAAGCGCTTACCCCGCGGTGCGCGCCAGGACGCCCACCTGCTCACCGTTCTCTCCGCTTTGAATGACTACATTCCATCCCTTTTCACGATATCACACGTCCTCAGCAGCAGAGCTCTCGCAAATGACCCCCCCGCCTCGAGCAGCAATGTCTTCGCAGAGAAGCTCCCATCCGGGGAAGCGATGGAGATAACACTCCGCGCGGAGATCGAATCCGCCTGGAAACCTACTTTATCCGCCGGGAATGCATTGAGCATAGGCTCTACCAGCTCCGGGAAGAAGCCTCTGCGCGCTCGAGGTGGCCGTATCGCAGGTAGAGGTATCGACTTCGAGGTCGCATTTACTCTCACAACGCTCGGCTATGTACTAAGTCGCCTTGCACGTATGGGCATTGTGGAATCGCTATATGCGTCGACGACACCTACGGCTGAGCAGCGCGCTGTTGCTGTGCAGACTGCGACGAAATATCTCCTACAAGCTAGCTCCGTGCATGACTTGCTTGCATCATCGCCTGCTTTCGCGGCGGCTACGGCGTCTGCAGTGCCGGATATCGATGCTTCGACGCAGTCTGCGCTGGCGAAGTTGGCGTTGGCGGAAGCTACGCTGCTGGCTGTTTTGAAGGACGATGCGTACGTTGTTGCGTGTATCCAGTCACGGAATCCGAATGATAAGGAATGGATGGTTCGTGCGCCGGAGATTCCCAAGGTCAGGGCGCTTGTGTTTGCGAGATTGTGTACGAGGGCTGCGGAGTATGCTAATCAGGCTGCTGCGGGGCTTGGGGCTGTTGGGTCCTCTGGAAGGACGCGAGTGGATGAGGAGGTTATTCGATATGCTGGTGCTCTTGAGAGAGTGGCTCGTGCTCGGGGTTGTCGGTTCTTCGGTGTTGACGCTGAGTTGGCTGGGAAGGTGGGTGAGGGTATTGCTTGGCTACGCGGCGCGCGGACTACGCTTGCGCTCCGTGGAGGTGCGGGTTCATCATCCGCAGGATCGGATGAAGTTGGTGAGAAGAAGGGTGGGTTCTCACGATTGAAACGCGAGTGGAATGAACGCCGCGAAGAGAAGAAGATTGGCAAGGATGCTGGTGGTGGACGCAGCGATAAGGGCCCTCTCGCACCTGGAGATGATGCTGGCCGCGATGAAGAAGGCCGAGTCATTGACATGCTAGAGACAAAGTGGGTGCGCATGAATGACACGGTAAGTCTCATATTCTCTATGCTCTCGTGTTGAAGCACTGACATATCCCAGATCAACACCCAACTTATCCCGTCACCAGCCTCGTTGCTAACCAATATCCCATCTGGTCGAGATATTCACCAACCTCCGGCACCATACAAACCCCCGTCCTTGGAAGAGGATCAATTGGCGCGCATGCGGGCTCCACCGGATGAGCATCAGCAATTGCACTTCGGAAGCGATCCCGACGATAGTGAAGAGGAAGTTCTGCCGGAGCCTCGAGGACCACCGGGTAGCTTCCCAGATCGGAGCCAGACTGCTTCCAGCGCGTACTACTGATGAGATACCCAAGTAGTTCTGCAGAATTAGACTGCAGTAATATACTCCTAAGTTCTATAAAGAAAGAGTGTAAACGATCCACCCCCAAGCGCAAATTTCCCATCCTTAAGACAAGGCTTGAACCATGTAATGATCATCGCCAGTTCCCAGCATCCTCTCCAGTTGGATTTCTAGGAAAACGAAGATGTCTTTAAACAAAATGAAATTGACCAGACAATGATATCTTATATGTACAGTACAAGAGAGAGCAAAGTAACCCCCTCATCCTTTCAGGCAGGTCGTTCCACAGCCGGCCGCACCAGACTCGCAAGAAACATTCGAGTCTGTAAGATGTATCGGTCTATCGGCGAAAATCCGCAATGCCCGAGTCGTCCCGTGTGATCCTCGATCCGGAGCACATCGACCGAACAGGCTCACGACCAAACCTAATTCCCATCCCAAATACAGCATTCAACCCGTCTTTGAAACTCTTTATGCGGACTTCTCGAAGTAGTTCTTCTCCTGGCCCAGGTATCCCTTAACCTTGCGCTCGCCGAGGAGCTCGAAGTATTTTTCTAGAGGAGTCCGTTAGCCTGCATATCCAAATAATATTCCCCAGACTATCCAGATAGATTCAATGGGACTGGAACTCCGCGGAAAAAGCAGAATTCAGACTCAATGGACCGTTTACACCACGGTTAGAAAATCACTCACCCCGCAAGACACCGCACTTCTCAAGGTGGTTCACGCCCTCGCGTGCATAGCACTTGCCCAGCTCCTCACCGACAAGTCGGGACATCATGCTGCGCACCCATTGCTCGCGGATGACTGCGTCGCGGGCGTTGTGGACGGCGACGTTGTCTTCGAAGTCGACGCCCTCGTAGGTCGGGGGCACGGTGGGCTTCTTGGCCAGGAAGGCTGCGGACTCCGGGGTCGGCATTGTGAGTGTGATTTGTCGGATGGGAGGTGGGAGGTGGATGGAAGGCCCGGAGGTGATTGGGGTGGAGGGCGTGCAGAGGAGGGTCTTGTTGCAGTTGATGTCGAATCCGACGTGAGGGTGGTTGGATTAGCTGGGTGGTGATTGGGTGAGATTCGGGCGGTGGGAGTGTGGTTACGCGAAGAGAACAAAAGTGCACTTTTCAAAGGGTCATGTGACCTCTATACTTTGCTATACTTGGTTGAATATTTTCAATATAGACGAAGGTGTAGTTATATGGGAAGAGTGTAGAAAAGGGAAAGTTCACGTAGTATTCGCGAAATCATATGCAACTGCAACCGTCCCATGCAGAACCCAGCCCAACTCCGATGTACACGCCTAGCAATTTTATTGATACAATGCGCTGCCGTCTAGGATACGTGGAGAGCGTGAAACATGAAAACCATAAAGCAAAAAAAAGATGAAAGGGAAAAGATAATACTTTCAGGTTTGATGGGACTACTGTCCATCGTCATCATCCGTGCTGTCAGCCTCGTCATATGTCCCGCGCCAGCTATCCATGAGCTGTCTCCAGATACCGCGGTTCAACTTGTTGCTCAGTTCACGGAAGTCGTGAATCTCGGACCAGCAGTCACGACCGAACATGCATCCGGCCATGTTCACTACCATGTCGCGATCGTTTTCTTGGTAGTGGACTTGCAGGTTGTTCTCGTCGCCGCAGGCGCCTAGTGGGAAGGAGTTGATGGTGCGTTGCGGGAGGAAGCCAACGCTGCTTCGGATCCAGGGTTGGCTTTGGTAGACGTATTCGAAAGCATCTTGCTCTTTATGTTCCCAGTTCATGTGCATCTGCTCGTACATGACAGGGTCCCACCATGAATCAAGCAGTCGGTCGGTCCAGAGGGACCGTCGTAAGAAGAAAGATCCTAGGTTGAACCCGGTGCAATCCTGCGACAAGAGCATATTGAGCGAGTCTGGGTCTCCATCACTCTCCAGAGCGCGACCAAGGTCATCCAAGTAGAACTCGGGTAGTGGATGTGTGATGTTCATGGGATTGTACTCGTTGATATCACGGTAGACGCGGTCGTCCAGGTGATCAAAGACATGGCTCTCCAGAGAAGTATCGGACTCCATAATCCAGGTATTCAAATCAAGCCACCAGAACCACTCGGCCTGCGGATATTTGCGCATAGCTTCGCGGATCACGTCGCCTTTCTCCCAGCTCTCGCGCCATTCGTGCGAATACCGCTTCTTAGCCAGCATATTGGCGACCTCAAGCTCGTAACCCCATTGCTTCGCGTACTGCTGTTTGTTCCAGATGCTGTTGCGCTCAATCGCCCATTCGCGCGCGCCTTTCCATTCCATCACGCCGCCCTCCACGTTCGAGCCGAGGATGATCACGAATTTGCGACCTCCGCCGAGAGCAGACCGTCGGTATAGTTGGACAATTGCTAGATAATCAAATTAGAATGTGACCAAGTCGCACTGTGCATCACCACTCACTGGACCAAAAGCACAGGTAACCAATCCAGAGCAAGAACAGTCCGAGGACCAGACGAGATCGGCCCCGCCATAACAGTACCCCAAAGGGCCCATGACCACCTCCATGGCGGTGGTGGGCGCGTCCGTATTGGTGTTTATCCACATAGCTGTGCGTCTCCCCGCGGAAGCTGGGCAAGCGCGCGGAGATGCGGTGTTTCTGTCGGGAGAAAAACCCCGAGTTGCGCGTCGAGAATGAAGGGTATCCGCGCACCTCGTCGCTCTTCGCTTTGGCGGCAGCCCACGAAATGCCGCTGGGAGCCAGTGAAGCGCCCGAAGGCGAATAGCCGCGCGGAGTCGAGCTACCACTGCCGGGGGTGAGGCCCGGGCTGGACCACCCCCCTCCCGGGTGGGGAGAGGGTGATCGCGACAAGGACATTGCGCGATCGGGAAGAAGATGGAGAGTTTTTTAGAGTTGAGTGATGATGGCTGGAGTGGTTTGAGGTTGAGTGAGTTCCCGCTGAGGTCAGGATGACGGGGAAAGGGGGAAAGGCGGAAATTAAGACATGAAGAAATTAAGGGACCGTCGCCGACGGATTGAGCAGCTCAAGATGAGACGGTGGTTCCATTCATGACTCGCACAGACCAGGATTAGATAACGAAGAGAAGAGGTCGACCGTGGGTTGAGGACAAGACGCCGGATGCAGTTGAGGTGACACCAGGCACAAGACAAAAGGCATAGGCACTGGCACTGGCACTGGCACTGACACTAAGACACGGTCGCACCGGTGATCTCGAGATAGGGGTCGTTTTTCATTTAGTTCATTTTATTCTTGATGTTCATTTTGTTCTTTCAGGTGAAGTACCAGGTTCCACTAAATTAGCCTACTGCAGGTACCGACTCGGGAGATCGACCTGTCTACACTACATCTTCATCTTCATCTTCATCTTCATCTACACTCGCCCGCATGCGGATAACGACAATGACATTGTGGAGCCACATGGCCTGTACTACCTCGGTCTCATACCTAATGACGCAATTTCATATCAATCCTCTAATCCTATTCGGCTTCCTTCTTTGGGTTCGTCCGAACGGGCATGCGGTTAGCTCTGTCCGACTTGCCAAGCAGCGCCTTGCGAACCACAAAGCCGGACTCGTGAGCTGGGCGGGGCTGCGCGCTTTCGCCGTGGTAGAATTCACATTGTAGATCGAGATAGGCGTCCTTGTGTCTGTAGATCGTGATGATATCTCCATTGTACAAATGGCCGTATTGCATGTCCTCTGACCCGGCTTTGTGGAGCTCAGTACCGTTGACCCAGATTCCCTTGCGTGCTTTTGTGGAGAGAATGGCTGCCACGCCGGGGATTTCTGTCCAGTCTTTGCCTCGCGCGATTTGGAGTTCCATTCCCTTCACCCAGAAGGTGACTTCCACGGCATAGGCGGGGATTCGGACGTCCATTGGATCAGGATGCTGGAATGTGGCGCTTGAGCCACGGCCCCATGAAGTCATTCGTCGTTCAAGTCGGATGTTCACATCAAGGATCGAGCCTGGAGTACTCTTCAGTCTGCCCAGGAGCTTGGGTGGTTTGGTGAACTCTTCCGGGGACAGAGTGCGCAAAATGGCGAGTTCGTCGGGCTGGTGAACAATCGGCTCGGATGCTTCAATCTCGGCTGTGTTGAGCTGCTCCATGATAGCCTGACCGGTTTGAGCGTCGAGGGTGGTTGCAAGTTCAGGATCGAAACCTTCGCCGGGGACGTATGAAGGTGAGGCGGGATCGTAGGGAACGCTCTCGGCGTTGACACTGGATTGTTCACTGGCAGTGGAGGGAGTGTAGTTTCCGATACGTCGACGGTGCTGGCGTGGCGGCGCCTTCGGAGTGGTGTCGACGTTGTCGCTGGAGGGTGAGTTTTCACGACATACGCTACCTGCCATCGTGGGGTCCTTGCTTTGCCAAGGGCTCGTCTGCCGAGTCGATTTCACGTTAACCGGGCCGGCCTGAGGATGGAGGAAAGGATACGAGGAATTCATGTTCAGTCGTCCAACGAGGTTCTCGGCGCCCATTAAACTGGGTGCGGTGCCGCCGAACGGGTGTTCTGGGAGAGAAATGATCGAATAGACGCTGCGATCATCACTGATGGACTCACCAGAAGAGGCGAAGCCTTCAATGTCAAACTCGTCACCGTTCCAAGAACCAGGGTTGCCCAGTGCGTGGGAGCTGCATAAGGCGGACGAGTTCACTTCGCCGAAGAGTCGTCGGGCTTGGTGTTCGGCAACAACTTGACCGTCTTGAAAACTTTCGATTCTGGGAAGCGAGGGGTAGCGAATATCCGGTGCAACATATTCAATGCGCGGCTTTTTAGAGAGTCCTTCATTACTACTGCCCTCTTCTTCCTCGCCATACGTGTAAGCCTGGTCATCTCGGATGGATAGCTGCGACGCATCGAGCTCCTCCTCTGCCTCGCCAATAACGGACAGACCCTCATGGGGTTCACCAAGAATATCGTCGTCGCCCGGATACTCATCCACATCAGGTACCTCGGAGATCCAGGGACACTGGAAGCATTCCTTCTCTGTTGGACGACAAAACGGATCTCTGTTCAACAACTGGGCGACGAAACTGACTCCGGATTCGGATACACCAGCACGGCGCAGAACGTCAAAGTCCGCCTGTGACTCCATGATAGTGCGAAGCATATGTACACCTCGATCTTCAGCACGCCCCGAGTATGGTGGCACGCCAGAAAGAACATGATACAGTACTGCACCGAGTGACCACATATCGACGGACTGGCTGTATGGAGATGTCTTTGGCGGCCTGTCATCATGATCATCATTAGCAAACCACCCATAGCAACATACGAAGAGACTTACGGATCTCCAACACGGCGTCTCTTTCTCAGTTCGCCGCGACGGTATTGTTCATAGTCAGGATATACCTCTGGCGCGCAATACAGCAGTGTGCCACAGAAGGTCTTCAGGAATGTCTCTTCTTGCGTGACCTTTGACAGCCCAAAGTCAGACAACTTGACACGCAACGGATCCAGAGATGCAATAAGGATGTTGTCAGGCTTGATATCACGGTGCGTGATGCGTCGTTTGTGACAATAGTGCAGCGCACGAAGAAGCTGGCGTGCAATCGTTCTGACCATCTCTTCGGGGATCTTGCCATGGCTTGACAGGTAGGTCGACAACTCGCCCCCAGGCACATATTCCATGATGATGTAAATCCATCGGTCGTGCTCGTGGTGATCGATATATTGAACAATATTTGGCTGAGGAAAATGTCAGTATCGCAGTCCGTTATGAGGTACTTGAGTGAACAATACACACATGTGTGAGGTCCTTCATAATCTTCATCTCGTTATCGACCTTCTGGTCCAGTATGCCGTTCTTCATGAAACGTCGCTTGTCGAGCTCCTTCGCTGCAAAGATTGCTCCATGCTGCTTAGTGGCAAGCTTGTATACGGTAGCGAATGCACCCTTTCCGATCTGGCCAGTGACATTGTATGTCGGAGCGCCCGTCCAATGCATGCCGTGACTGTTAGCAACGGACCACGAGAGAACAGGCGGCGGCCCAGGCCGAGTCTGGTGATGACCAGCAGCATTGACGACCTGCTGGACTCGCTCAAAGTATCGAAGGCAATTATGCGTGTATTGCATGGCAAACCCTTCGCGAGAGGGAATCCGGACCACGAAGCGAACCTCGTCTGAGCCATTGTTACCAGTGACAACTTGTATGACTGAGCCGTTGGTAAGCATGCGGCTGTTTTCCTTCTGGCTCTTTCGAAGTCGGCAGTTGTCTACAATGGTTCCATTGGTCGAGGTATCTTGAAGCATGATGATGCCGTCGCCAGTCAGATAGATGCGGAAGTGAGTGTTGGAAACTCGTTTAGCTTCATCATCAACGGCCAGGAGGACATCACAGCGCGCCTTGTTGCGCCCAAAGCAAAAGCCGGCGCCAAGATCGTGAACATCTGAGGATAGCCTTAGTGCCACGTCCAGTGCTGCCGTCTCCGAAGTCTCCATTTCCAAGACATCTTTCTGGAGAATGTGCTGGTCGCCTAAGCTTGCCGTCGCCGCCACCGCATTGTGCGCCGCGTGTGAGTTCGGATGGAGGATACAGATGATGTCGGCCAGATCTTGATCTTGAAGTCCGGAGTTGTTCAGTCCCATCCGACGGGGGTCAGCACATGGCTGAGTCGATTCCTGTGTCGCTTCCATGATTGAAGAAGGATGAAAGCAGATGTAATGCAGATGCAGGCGCTAAGATGAATGAAAGGAAGCAAACTACTAGCAGATGGCGAAGGGTATATGTGCTGGATGATTCAAAAACTTTTGCATAAAAGGGGAAGGAGTACACGGATGGGCCTAGAGGCCTGTAAGTCAATCGAGTTGAAGCCCGAGGGCACAGGGTATATATACCTTGGAGGGGTGCGGGTTCGGACGAAACGGTCACCGGGGGCAATTCACCCGGGTGAATACGACAAAGGCACAACACAGGAAAAGAAAGAGAAGAGCCGGCAAAGGAAGAGAAGATTGGGAGTGTTTCCAAGGTTACTAACGTAACGTAGAAGCCTCTAAGGCTTCTAAGATTGATGGGGAGCGGACGTGGCGTTTCACGGAGGGGCGCTTAGGACTCCCTCGCATTCACCTCGGGCAGCTAAGGCTCAGCGAAGACTTTAGAAAAGATCCTTGCAGACACTCTAGCAAAGAAGATGCGTATCACGACTTGTTCCGGCAGGTGAATAGGTATTCAACGTGTAGGTAGGCGGCTGTGCCAGTGGGTTAGGCTAGGCTGAAGTATGGAGCGATATGGTTCATTGGAATCATCCGATTTGGAAATTTTTCGATGATTGTACAGGCTTGGAAGGATAGCGGGATATTTCTAGAGAGATTGAAGTAGAGAGTCAGTAGCTGATCTTCATAGATTAAAGTCGACGTCTATTGTTTAGACAACTCCACAGACTCGAGAACTCGACTGAAATCAACTTACACAGCTTGACAGAAACCCTCTGAGCCCATCCACGACCGATGATATTGACGCGGTGGACTGAAAGGGGGAATCCGGGACAGAGACTGCAAGGTCGTCGTCCGAGAAACAGGACGACGAACGAAGGAACGAGCCGCACATCTCGCGTCGCCTCAGGCAGCCACCGCGTTCCTGACCTGACTCAGCATATTCCAGTTCCGTGATTGGTAAATTGTCTCGACTTTCCATGGATTCAATGTCAAATCTTATTTACTCCGTCTCTTATGTACAAAAGCTATACAAAGGATATTGTTGACGTATAAATACCTCAAGTCTGTTTGCTACCATAGGCTCTGCTTGAATCATCACTACGCCGATATTGGCCCTTCATGGCAATGTCAAACACCTGTTCGAGGCGCGCAATCGCCTCGTTGGAGACCTCTGCGATACGTCAGCTTTTAAGTCATTACGGCAGACCGCATCTGGGTGCAATACTTACGGTAGTGGATGACTACTCGATTGCCGAGTAATGTTAGACCTTTCTCCTCGCCAATCACTGCCAGGTCGTTGGGTCCCACCCCGGACGCCTCCAGATCCAGCCAAACCATGTTGGTGTGCACGGGATACTGCAGCTTGCCTCCACGACTAGTCCAGAGTTCTTCGACCCGCTTAGCCTTGGCATGGGTGGCCGATAGCTTGCCAGTCTGACCGTGGTTGTCCGTTCCGAAGGTTTCGTCGAGGGCCACCCGGGCGGCGGCAGCAAAGACCCCGGTTTGACGGGCACCGCCTCCAATAGACTTGCGGAACCAGCGGGCCTTTTTGATGAAGGCCTGAGATCCGACGATAATGCTACCGATCGGGGCGCCAAGGCCCTTGGAGAAACACAAGCTAACACTGTCGAAGATATTTGTATATTCGGACAGACTGCTAGCACCCGACACAACAGCCTCCCATAGTCTTGCGCCGTCCAAATGCACCTTGATATCATTTTCATGGGCCCATTCGACAATACGGCGAGCCTCCGTCAAAGGCATGATCATACCATCTAGGGTATTCTCCAGACTGATCAGTTTGGTAGGACAGTGATGGATGTTATCATCGAGAATAGCATATTTCTGGATATCCTCAAGAGTCAAATGAATGCCGTTCTTTGGTGCCACGGTCTGGACCGTTGCTCCGGTCCAGGCGCTCACCCCCCGGCCTCGTAACAGACGATGTGAGATCGATGGTCGCACAAGACGGCATATGGGGGTTGGGTCAGATGCGAGCGAATAGCAACCTGGTTGCCCATCGTACCTGACAGGACTAGGAGTGCATCTTCATGCTGAGTCCGCTCTGCCACATAGCTTTGTAATGAGTTGGTCGTAGGGTCCTCGTTGAAGACGTCGTCTAACAAGGTGGTCTGGCAGATCGCGTCGAGCATAGACGGGGTTGGCTTGGTCATTGTGTCGCCTTAGATTGTGAACATTAGTACTTTGAAGAGCACTTGGTTCTATGAATTGTCATACTGCGTAAGTCAAACTCGGCAGCTCCAGCGCCATGCCAGGTACTGAATTTGCTATCAGGAGTGGAGTTTTGCGCCATTGCGCTTGTATTGAGACACGCTCTCGTGAACTTGGGCGTGAGGTATACCGATGAGAGCGGGGCAGATGACCGGAAGGCCGCCAGGGGCCGCGATAAGCAGCGAAGCGGGCGATTCATGGGTTCGTGCTCGGTTGTAACGCCATGCCCTCGAAGACGATACGCGGGGAACACGACATCACGTGACTTTGCGGGACAGTTCTACGCTGAGAAGCATACTCGAGTCTTCTTTTGCAGTCGGATCATATTCAGCTTTAGCAGGAGCACCGTGAAATGAACCGTACCACACTGGCGTCAACCCTGGAATGACGTAGTTCCTGATGCCCTTATCGATAGTCCTAATATAGACTAGTGGCTGCTGATGGACTGGGCCGCTGACTCAGCATTTCATGATGTGAATTCCTCCTGGGAGTCTTCAGTGCTCTCCCTGTCGCATTGTACAAGATGGATCTAGCCAGTCTCACGAGACCTGCGATTCTGACCCAGTGTATTCGATGCTCCAGCTCACTGGCCGTGCTGGAGAATGAATGGGCCAAGTTGTCCAATTCATATTCCATTGCGGCAGCATGGCAGAGTGTGAATCTCCACCGCATCTCCGTCTCTTCGGAGCGGAAGCAGATTCCACAGACATCCGACATGAGTATGCTTCGGGGGCGCATAATACAGGAAATAACCTGCAAGTTGTGTCAGCAGAAACTAGGTGTCCTCTGCGGTCTGGATAATGGGTAAGCAGTATAGTCAGATGCCATATGGTTCCACGAACTAACTTGCGATAGAACGAATATCCTATGGAAAATGTCCAAGGTGTCGTTTAGGGAGATTGTAACCATGCGCACCGCCGAACCTATTTTCAAAGACGAGGCACTCGAGCGTCTATGTCCCCCGAAAGAACCCCCCGCCGAGAACGCAATTCCATACAAGAAGGAGCCTTGGTGCCTTCGGGCTCTCGGAACTTCCATTCGTTGGATCCCTCGATGCAACAACAAATGCAACATCAAGGACGGAGTATCGATCAAATCTCGAGCTCAGTTAACAATCTACAAGATACCATGAACGACTTGAAGCACTCCTTTACATCACTCCGCATTGAATTGAATGGTCCAAATCGACATCCGGGAGAACATGGACCGAACAGTGGCCCCGGATTTGATATGATTGCCACCGTTTTGAAGGAGCTGAAGTCGAAATCGGACGAGATTGAGAAATTAAAGCTAGAGATTGAGGCGTTGAAGCTGAAGAACCGCTTCATGGAGGACCGCAGACCCTCTGATCATTACAGTTCTCAAATGAACGTCCAATTGCCAGAGGTGAAGAGCCCCGGACTGCTGCAGGCAGGACGGAAACGCGCCTGGCCCGATGCTTTCTCGAATGGGCGACACGACCAGGTTGCAGATTCATTCGATGAGGAGGAAATGGTGGATGACTTCTCCCTTGCCGACCTGCCTATTCACCCAGCCCGAGCTCCACTCAAAGACTCCCAAGCAACCGAGGATGGCCACAGATATGGTCAACTTTCTACATCACCCCCGCTGCGTATAGAAAGCCGCCGACAAAGTCTAAGCGCTGCATCAAATACACCTCAGGGGCAATTTATCAACCCAGATCAGAGTCCAGCTAAGCGACAGCGAATCACCCAACCAGTGGCAGATGCACCCAATCCTGCACCCAGTTCCACAAGGGGAAGAGGTCGGCCTAGAAAGTCTGTGAGCCACTCTAATCTCAAAACACCCCATACCGCACCGCCTTCCCAGCAGCTAGTCAGAGAAATGAACGACACCTCTGAGACGAGCCCGGTAACGATTCCTAGAGGTCGGGGCCGCCCTCGGCGCAGTGTTCGTCCACACTCCGTGGGACCGTCGGGGCTCAAGGACCAAACGGAATCAGTGGACACAAACCAGACTCCCCAAGATTCCAGAGAGAATCGGACCAATAGTGATTCACAGAAGAACGGCGATACCTCAAACATGACCTCCAACGGAATCCATAACTCCGATTTCAATGGCAATGAGGAGGTTGTGTTAGAGGAGCAGCGCAGAGCAAAGGTCGCGGCGCGGGACGTCATGACCAAGCTGGCTTTGGAGCGTGAGGAGGCGATGGAAACAGATAACTCGCGATGAGTGTGAATATGGTGGAATTTTAAAGGCAAGAAGTTGTCTTTAGTCTGCAAATTATGTACAATAGAGATTCGACGTGGACGTTACTCCCAGTGGAGCTGAATGTGATGTCCATCAGTGAAGAAGTGTATCAATAGAATTCCAAATCCGACTGGATCTACCCGATTGATTCACGGTGTGTCACAACTCCAGCGCTGCTTCTCCGAGGTGAATGTAGTCTACGCGGTCTATGGTACCTGGTATTTCCTTTGCCTGGCCCAAGTCCGATGACGAATTTTACGAATGAAACCCTCACGAATGCACTCTTTCGCTGTCTTTGAGAATGAAATTTCCATTGCCCCGATGAGGGGTTCGTCTCCCAACTTCCATCGGAGCAGAGTATGTCCACGTGGACCGAGGCCCATTCAATGCTGATGCCCAGCTTTGTTGCCAGCATGTCGCAGCGAACAAAGACGGGCCCAACAGTATCCGAGGTAGCCGTCGAGTCCATCATTATTTGCCAGGTGAAGTGGGAAATGGCCAGTCCTTAAGAGTGTCTGTACGATTTCTTATTGACTCGGGCGCCGGCGTCAATTCCATATTTCGTCGTGGCCTCACGACAAGTCCGCTTCACGCCGCGGCATACAGAGGTCATGAAACAGTGGTAGAGATTCTGATATCTCGTGGAGCGAATTTAAATGCGGACAATGAAGGAAATTGTCCGCTTCATGTGTGTCATCACGATGCTAGTGGCGCACGGCGCAGATGTCAGTGCTAGAAAAAGACGGGGCCGTCCAGCGTTAGATATAGCCGAGCAGAATGGCCAAACCGAAACGGTCAAGCTTCTCACGGGTTATGGCACTGAGAAGAGATGCCTTGTTTGGACTGTTAATTACCAAGGGAGTGTTGTTCGCCATCCACCATCGGCTGGATATTTAGTCTGTAATTATAGCTTTTTTTTTTCTATCTTGCAGGCGCGTAGGGGACTTTGGGAAACATATGGTGCCGTCACTAGTGGGCGTGGGTACACTTGTCGCCCTTCCAAATACTGGCGAGCTTCTAGAAATGGAGCTGTGATAGGCAAGCGCTTAACTATTCGGCACTCTTATTACTATACGGGCTTGTGTATTTCTGTGCATATCTGTAATATATCCTCTCGCGAGGCGTACGTATCGGTTGGAAGTGGGCCATTTTCTAGTCGAGTGGAAGAGCTCCGTGTACACGGAACTTGATAGATTTACTGAAGATTACTTCAGAATATGTATAGTTACCTAACCCCTGCGGTCTGCCTGGCCAATCACTCCACTAATGCTAAATTTTGGATATAAACAACTTTTCAATAGATGAAATGAACAAGAAAAGAAAGCCTTCCAAAGTTTCTTCAACTCAAGCGCTTGGACGATCTCGCAACAACACCAAGTCCACCCAGAAACGCAGAAACACCAGTGAAAACAATCAAAGGACCATAGCCAGAACCATAAGCCTTCGCAGCAATGCCCTTCCAAGCATTCTGATCAAGCAAAGCCTCACTGAGCGGACCACTGACAATATTTCCAATCCCTCGGCCAGTCGACAGAACACCGAAAACAATGCTAGGTTCCACATAAGGACTCTTCTTTCTAATCTCGTTCACAACAGCCGGCCAGGTAGATGTGAACGAGCCAGCAAATAGACCGTAGAAAACGCAGAAAATATACAATGGTGCGAGGCTGACGGAGAATCCCCAGATCAAGAACACGGCAATGGTACTCCCGACCGTGGACAAGAGGATGCAGGTTGTCGCGTGGTATCGATCGACCATTGAGCCCATAATCACGCAGCCAAACACAGATGCAAGATTGAACAGCATGACTGTTAGTGTCGCCTGGAGATTGTTTGCGCCTAAGCTTCGGGCGTATGTGGGCAAATAGATGGTTGGGAGGAAGTAGCCCATCGCTTCAAGAATATTGCCCGTTTCGTAGATCAAGAAGGTTGCATCCCAGAGGAATCGGAAATCAAATGGACGAGTACGAGATGATCGGGAGATTGGGAGACGGGGCCGAACGTAGAAAAGAAGTGGTCCGCCCATTATTACGAGGACGATTGCCCAGACACGCAGAGCGGTTTCGTGGCCATAGGTGTTGAGGAGCCATTGCATAACGATCGGGAGAATGACGCCCGACAAGCCAGTGCCAGCCTACAGATGTTAGTGGGGAATAATAATATCTGTATGAAAATTGGAAACACTCACCCACATAATCCCAAATGCCAATCCCTTTCTCTGCACAAACCACTCATCCATGAAAATGATGGTCGGGGCATATGCCAGACTGGCTCCGATGCCATATGCGACTCCCTGCGATACAATGAGCTGGCCGGTGTTGGTGGCAAATGAGCTCATGGCGATGGCTAGACACATAATAAGGAAGCCGATTGGCGCCGCCCATAGCTTCATGCGGGGAAATGCCTGTAGCAGAATGAAAGCTACAGGGAGCAGCATGTATGAGATTCCCTGATCAATGTTAGTTGTGAGCAGCAAATTACATGAGTTTCATGACTGACCATTGCACAGGTGCCAATGACAGCGATGTCTCCTGAGCTCTTGAATGGCTCATGAGAGCTGTAGTAATCTTGGAACACTCCATAGGAGAAAGTGAATCCTGAAGAATATCTTTTTAGTGCACTGTCACATACACATGCCAAGGAAGAGGCTTAACATACCCCAGATCAAAGCCTCGAGCATAAAGCAGGCGGTGAGGAACAGGTAGGCACCTTTGCCTCTATCGACCGGTGGTAGATTGTCCTCGTGGTGATTGGAGATGGAGAGGCCATCCTGAGAAGAAACCTCAAAATCCTCCATCTTGCGAGGAAGCTCGATGAAGCCGTGTTCCAATGCTAGAAACTGCTGGGGGGAGAAAAATGACAAGAAATAAAAACTCATTAGCTTTTTTGTTGGACCCTTCAAAAAGTGCGCCTGTGACATCCGCGTGGGGCATTTATCCGTGGCAATGCGATGTCGTGATTGGTTCATCTTGACTAATGGGAACCGGAAGGCCCCACAGTTCTCTTTACACTCGAGCACAGCTGGAAGATATGAATTGGGCTGTAGGGAACGTTTACTAGTGCAAATCTTGTGTTTCTGAAATACACGTGATCGTCCAATCCATGCCAAAACGTTGCCTACGGTCCTACTTTGGAGACAGTCTTCATGAACAACTAGATTCAGCTGATATATCGTCCGGAAGAGCGACACAATGCGTCTAGATACGATCAACATCAAAGATACATAACTAGCTTCCTCCCACTCACCGTACCACCTGCCATAAGATCCAGCGCATGCTGCACATTCCCCAGCCTCCCCTCAACAACTTGCTCAACAACTTGCGCCCTAGTAGGTACAATCAAACCACTCTCCAATCCCTTAGGAAGGTACTCCTCAAAGAGCCACCGACCAAATTCCGCCTGAGCCGGATCCTCAAACGCCCAGCCATACGATGCGAATCTGCGTTCCACGTTCTCCGGGAGCGGATCCGCTCCGGGGAGACTTGGGGTCAGACTATTGTGCCCGCCTCCGCCGATGGAGAATAAATAGTTCGCGGTAATGTTTGTTACGGGCGGGAGGCCAATTGTGTCAAGGATAGCAAAGTATGGACCTTGTTGATGGAGTTCCGTTTCGATTTTCTCTGCGGAAGCTGTGTGGTCGATTATATATGTCGGGCCGAGGGATTGCACGAAATTGTGATTTAGAGGCGAGGAGATTGTTATCACTGTATAGCCAGCACTCACGGCATATTTGATAGCTAGATGACCGCTTGGGTTGGAGCCTCCATATACGAGAATTTTCTTACCATTCGGCTGTGCAGAACCGGAAAGTGGCGGCCGATCTAGACCGAGATGAATGGAAAGTGCGGCGACGACTGTTGTTAGATTGAGGATTGTGACTGCGCCACTTTCAAAAGATGTGTTTGAAAGTAGCTTAGAGCTCCATTCTGCCTCCGCTAGGGCGTATTTCTGGTGAGCGCCAAAGCGAGAATCGGTCACTTTGTCGCTTCCTCGAAGGGTGACAACGCGATCTCCGGCTCTCAGGCTTGTCACATTAGATCCAACCGATACGACCTCCCCGGCAAATGATGAACCCAGATTCGCAGGATACTTGAGAGGATGGAGCTCGAATCTGGTCATGGAAGTCAGCTGAGGGGTGAAATCTACCGAGGGGTACTTTCAAATTACCTCTGTAGCTTTGATTCGATCGGGCTGAATGCGATGACTGCCACTTTGACTAGAATTTCACCCTTGCCCGGGGTTGGGATTTCAGCATCATCAAGAACTACATTAGCGTGTTTTCCTTGATCTATGCGATTTGGTTGGCCATATTGAGGACTGTGGCGTTGAAAGTTGAGGTATCGCTCAGAGAGGCTGTTACCTGTTGGTGGCAATTAATATACCGCCGCACGAACTTTTCAAGTAGCTACCAATGAGTTTTTCCAGTCAATAACATTAATAAGAATGTCAGATCCGGTATGACCGAAAGCCCGAATTATTCGGAGATATCGCCATTAGACGATCTTAAGGTTAAATTACTATCTGATCAATTACGTCGATCCGCCCGATATGGAAGTTCGAGCGTCCTGAATTTCTAAGCCCGAACTCTCGCGCCATTCGGCCTCCGACTGAAAAACATTTGACGGCAAAGATTCTCCAGGAAAAGAAATTGCGATCGTGGAAGCGTCAACTTGAAATAGGGCATGATCATTTACTATGAAAATATACCTATCTTTGGTATCTATTTCATAGTCACGATGTCATTATCTCGTTGTCTCGTTGACACTTTACTTGCATCTAGATATGTTGCTTTTCCTTATGGCCCCGTCGTAGACTAAACATTTGCAAAATCTCAGTCCAGAAACCAGGCGCATAATCGGTGAAAGTAGCCTCATATGCGTCTATAATGGGACGATCCCAGACAAGATCCATTTCTGTCGCCTTTACCAGCCTCGTGCGCTTGATAAGCTTCCACGTGAAGAAGAGAAGCGGCGCAGCTAGAACCATCGTGTAGTAAGTGAAGAAGCTACTGATGCTCCAGTTTCCTGGAAGGAAGGTTGAGTAGCCGTAAGTAGTCACCACAAAAATCATCCAGACCAGGGCGATCCAGGCGGAATAGGGCTGGAAGTAGCCGTAGTAGGGCAAGGTGCGGCGGTCAATTTTCTGGGCACGTAGGGCTCGGTAGAAGAAGAGGTAAGTCGTGCAGATGATGATGTAGTCGATTACCTGAGCGGCGGTGATGATGTTGGTCAGCCAGGTTAGGACTGTTGCAGAGTTGCTTGATACGTTCAGGAAGCCTAGGAAGGGAAAGACCATCACGACGCAGAGGCAATAGATTGGGACGCCGGCTTTGGTGCATTTTCGGAGGAACTTGGGGGCTTGGCCTTGGATCGAGAGACTGTAGAGACTTCGCGTTCCGTAGTAGGTGTAGGCATTGCCGGCGGAGAAAATACTGGTTACGAGCAGGGCGTTGGTAACATGGGGGAGTACGCTGATGCCGAGGTTTTTCATGGCAATCACATAGGGCGATGCGGCTGCAGTGCCTGAGCCGCTGGACGAGCCAGAGAGGATGGCCAAGAGGGACTTGTCGTTGTAGGGAATGACGATACCCACGCAGAGTGCACTTCCGATGAAGAAGAATGCAAATCGTAGGTAGGTGGTTTTGAAGGCTGTCTTGAGATAACGACGGGGAAGCTTTGCTTCTCCAGCGATCATGGATATGTATTCAGGGCCGACGACAGTGAAGGATGCACTCCAGACGGCACCGAGAAACCCTTCAAAGCGGCCCAACGAGCCCGTAGCGATATATTCAGCAAACGCACCGGGTTCGTTCCAGTAACGGAAGCCGTAGGCGTCGTGTTTCGGATTACCTCCAACCATGGTGATGAAGGTGAAGAGGAAGACGATCAAGATAAGCAGCACCTTACCGCTTGCAAGCCAGAACTCAGCTTCTCCGTACCACCTGACGGTGAAGGCATTGAGAATACTAAGCCGATTAATATATATGCACACCAGACAAAGAATGGCCAACTCACAAGTAAAGAACGATACAAGCAGAAACGACCGCCTCGACTGGGATATCGTCCCGCCAGAAAGTTAAAACAAGTTGCAAAGCGGAGATCTCAAAGGGAATCAAGAGAACTTCGTAGAGGAAAAAGTTCCAGCCAGCCCAGAACCCCATTGCTTCGTCCACCCAATGGCCAGCCATACGGATGAAAGCACCACTGACAGGCATGAAGACCGCCATCTCGGCCATACAGTTGTTGACCAGGCCCATCATACACGAGTAAATCAGATAAGCCAGGAAGAGACCTGCCGGTCCACCTTTGACAAGACCAGAAGAGATGGTGACAAAAACTGCAGTTCCAATGGATCCTCCGATGGCGATCAGTTGTATCTGGCGATTGCCAAGGTGTCGCTTCAGCTCATCGGTGTTGTCGATGACAGTGCCAATATCGTCATCGGAAGTACGGCGAGCCGAGGAATCGGGGATTCCCTTCTCCTCGTACCCGGTCTCTTTTGCATCGAATAGACCCATCGTGATGGTTGCAGGTGATCTTCACGGCTTGCGCGTGTACGAGGACACGAAGTGAGGAACACGGATGTTTAAGTACTTCGATTCAATCGTGTATTGAAGGGAAATCTGGTGTAGGACGGGGCCCGTGTAACACGGAAAGGAAATATCTTGAGCCATTTACCTCTCGTGGCCACGCTAACACATTCGCTTTAGCTCTCAGATCCAATGATGGCACATGTCCACGCTATCCCCGTAACTTTGTCTCCAAGTTCCAGCAGTTTTCCTATCGCGCGAGTCACATCAACTGGGTCGAGCCTCAAGCTGATCTTGCCGTTTATTTGACTTTGGTGACCACTACCGGGCAATTTGCGCCGACCACGCTACTGCATATGCGGATCGACCATCCTTGATGAGATTTGATCAGGCATTCGATCAAATCTCGGTTGCATGACTGGCTAGGGCTTAGAGAGATAAGCATAGGTACCTTTGCAAGTATCTGTCTTCAGATACTTGAATCTCTGTCAAGGAACAGGGCTTATTCTGGTCTGTATCTCTAAGCCGTCAACGGAAGCTCGCCCGTAGCCCGAAGCCACATCCAGCTGCGCTCCCTATCAATGTCCCTACCACCATCGTTAGTGGCCGTCCTCGGGCGCTGTCCCGACACGGGAAATTGCGGCGAGGCCGGTGGTACCATCTGATTCGCATAATCTGCGACATATGGAAGAGCGGACAAGGCTAGATCACTGGACCCAGTAAGTTTCAGTGGCAGTCAAATTGAGGAGAAAAGATCCTATCTGCGGGGTAATAATGAACACACCTGGAGAGTTCACTGATGACATTATTTGGAGATCCAACTGTAATTGCCCCAAACCTTATCGAGTTCCTATCGTGCGGGGATGATATTTGGAGTTCAACTGAAAGCTTAGGTGAATATAGACAAACGGAGAAACTACATCACTACAGCGGGATAAGAATCATGTTAAACGGAGCTAGACTCCAGTTGAAAGGCGTGTAGAGGCATGCGTTCGACCGTTTAGAGTACGCGGTGTCCGTGCGCAGGCAAGCTCTGGAGGTGGTTTATATCCGCGGCTTGCGGGCATGGAAGTACGAGTGGGAAGAGGCTGAAACCAGTTTCGTATTTCGTACATCAGCCCTTGACGGGCATGCAGCGATCATCGTTTTCATTTACGTCCAAAACGATCAAGGCCGTGGTATCTTGAATCTATTTAACACACATGAATCCACATCCCTCACGAGCACGCTCGCAAGCCTTCTTCAACGCTTGCTCCTCCGTATCCGTCCACTTCACAGTCAGCTCGTCCCATGGCTTACGCGAGTTGTACTCTTCGCGGAACATCTTGTGCATCGCTTGGAGACGGGTCACTTCCCGAGGGTCACCGGTGCCGGTATACACAATGAACATGGTGCACGGAGGAAGCGATTCGTGGATGCGGGAAATATCAGACACGGTACGCGCGACGGCGTCCTTGAGGGCCTCGGGCGTCGTTGTTGAACCATCAGAGGGTTCCTCTTGAGGAGCCACAGTGGTAGATTCATTGGAGTTGTTCGCGTCTGGCAGTCGAGTACACCAACCGCGGAGTTGCTCGAGGTTGCGGAGACGTCCCCACACGAAATCGACACCACTGCCTGGAATGGCCTGATTCGTCTCGTCGCCATTGACAGCAGCTGAAATGCCATTCACAACGGCATCGTCATCTCGGCACCCGATTGCGACAGTCGCCTGCGATCCAAAGCCGCGTTCGGGATTGCCCCAGTCCACTACTGCACCCGTTCGGCCTTCAGCGGGTGTTTTGCCGGGCTTCATAGATCGGCCGATTCGACGAAAGATGCTTTCATTCGAGGCATCACTAGTACCCCAGCGCTCGCCCTTCTCGCATTTCAGCTTAACAAGGTCGAGCACAGCGCGAGCATCTTCAATTGAGCTGTGACCCTGGGTGCCTTTCTGGATCTCTCGGTTGAGGTATTTCTGGGTAAGCCACTTAAGACCGCACTTCAGAGGCGGCCCACGTGGGTGAGGATAGATGATCGTAGTGTCCACAATGAACGGATGGGTGAGGCGTAGTGCAGTGAGGTCGGAGTTGAGAGAGTGCCCAATCAAGACAGTGCGAGGAGTGATGAGCTCCAGCAATCGCTTTTGAATATCCTCGATTGTGGTCGTGACATCCTTCAGTCCCTCTTCGGTCATACCTGAATATGCTGTGAGATAATCGATCACGGGCCGTGATGGTTTCACCAGCTCATCCAAAACAACATCGCCGCTCCAGTTGACAATACTGATGCGGGCGAGCTCGAAATTGTCGCCTTCCGTCTTCACCATTTCACAATCCACGGCCAGTACTTCCTTGCCGGCAGTCATGCTACCCTTTTCAACCTCGGCGTCTGGCACATCGCCGGCCTCCAGGCTTGGAACGTTTGTATCGACCCATCCGTTCTCTGCTGTCTGACCGTTGCGCTGACGAGCCTCGGCGTGAGATGATTTTTCTTGTTCTGTCGAGGAAAATGCGGGGTGCATGGGGTATTCACTATCACTCAGGTCCATGGACGAGTGGATGAAAGCCGTGATGGGTGTTCGCTGAACCACGAAGCCCCTCTCGACCTTGGCCGCGCGGGGGCCTTTGTGCTTCGGGTCATCTCTTGACTTTGGCAGCGCTGACAGCAGCATTGCTTGTAAAGGTGAATGCACCTTGTTGTATTTATTGTCGCCTGGGGCTTTAACCGGCCAGACATGGGGGAATACCTTGGCGAGCGGCTGCAAGGGCTCGGGGAGGGAGTCGGGGGAGAGGTGACGAGGGTTGAAAAGATGCGATCGATCCGGGGGTGCGAGGCCTTGTTTCCATCTCTTGAAGTCGGTGGCAACTCTGTCTTCGGCCGATTCGTCTGCTCCTTCGGGCTTTTCGTTCATTTCCTCTTGACTAGTCTCAATGGGCTCCAATGGTATAGTGCCGTCAAACATGCCCATTTCCAAGCCAGGTACCATCAATACAACCACCTTGCGCATGTGCCCGGAGTGTTTGACAGAGATCCATTGTGGTGCAACACCGTCGGCAAGGCAGTACAGCATCAAGCCCTGCAGGTCTGCGATCCGGATAGATGACTGCATCTTGCCATCCACGTATGTAAGGTCAGGGTACTTCGTCTTGGCGCCATCCACGCGCTTCTTCTTGGGGTTGCGATATTGGGCATTGTCCGGGCTCTGAGCTCCATTGCGATCACTGGATTCTGAGGGCGAGGCAGCGTTCATGCGCGACAAAGTCTCACCGACACCAACGCCGGAGCCATTGTTTGCCACGTCGGCGACGGGCTCAGAATCTTCGTCCTGGCGCTTGCGTTTGTTCTGGCCCATGATGTTGAGCTGGGGTCCAAGCTACCGGTCGAAAATCGCGAGAATAGAAAAGTCCGATCACGAGGAGATAACGATAAGGTAATAAAACCGGCGCGATGATACCAGCCGTGTACCGGAAACGGTACGTTAATACGCATCTGATAACAGCGATCGCCCGGAAAATTCGCCCTCGTCACGCCATCTTCATTCCCCTCGATTGGGCACGAGAGCTTTCTTCCTGGACGTCATTGTCGCATCCCCCCATTCATCTATATCGAACCCTGTATAGCGCTCTTGCTTCAGGTCATACCTCTTTCGACTGCCATTTCCTCTCCTCTGCCAGACTCCCCTCCAAACTAGGAGACACCCCGGCACCATGTCGGCGCTCACCGAAATCACCTCCGAGGCCGACTTCTCGTCGCACTTGGCCACGCTCTCGCCCTCCGCGCTGGTCGTCCTCTACTTCTACACCCCATGGGCCGCACCCTGCACACAAATGAGCGCTGTCCTGTCCGCTCTCGCCTCGCAGTACCCCGCCACTGCCCCGCCGACCATCTCGTTTGTCAGCATCAACGCCGAAGAGCTGCCCGACATCTCAGAGGAATACGACGTCTCCGCAGTGCCTTTTGTCGTCTGCCTGCGCAGCGGCCAGGTCCTCGAGTCGATTAGTGGTTCAGACCCCATCAGAGTCCGCAATGCTCTCGATCGCCATGCTGGCGCCGGCTCTGCAGACGGTGTCAACAGATCCGCCATTCCCCCGGCGCTCTCCGCCGTGCCCCGTGAGGATGGCCCCGTGATGGCTACTCAGCCCCCTGTCACCTCGAGCACCCCTGCTGGTCCCGCTGCCAATGCCACCGCTGTCCCCGCTGCCCCAACTCTTACCCCCGAACAGTCGAAGGAGGCTCTCATTGCTCGTCTTACCGAGTTGGTTAAGGCCGCCCCTGTTATGTTGTTTATGAAGGGTACACCCAGCTCACCTCAGTGTGGTTTCAGCCGGCAGTTGGTTGGTATTCTGCGTGAGCGCAGCATCAAGTATGGTTTCTTCAATATCTTGGCCGATGAGGATGTTCGACAGGGTCTTAAGGAGTTTGCCGACTGGCCTACATTCCCCCAATTGTGGGTTGACGGTGAGCTGGTTGGCGGGTTGGATATCGTAAGTGTCTCCAAGCTATCCAGCCGCAGGATATGATTGCTAATACCTGGATTTAGGTCCGCGAGGAAATCAACGCCGATCCCGACTTCATGGGCCAGTACTCGGTCAGCAAGCCCGTCGCTTAGGAGGATTCTGATCCTTGCATGATACCCATGACGCTGGGGCTGGATGCCTGAAAACTACCGTGATGATAAACGTTTTTCCTTGATATGAAAAGACATTTCAATTCGACGTCATTTAATGCTTTGTATATCTCCAGGCTTGTAGATGACTGGTTTACAAGTGGACATTGCGGAGAATGTGGCGAGGATCGTCCCGAGGTTATCATTGTATACTTGAGGTGTGCTTGTTGAACCTTGGATCGAGTGGATTCTATGTCTTCATTCTATACGCTATGTACTATCTAGGCAATATGTGCAATGTACTTCAGAAATAAAGGTCCTGATCTATAAAGCAATATCTTGTCAATCACTCGTCCTTTTCTAAGCCTTGATAGGCCCCAGGCATGAGTTGGTTGACAACCCTTGGGTCACTTTTAACCCAGGATTCCAAATTGTTCTTCCTGGTGACAGCAAAGCGAGACAGTACCGCATCTTGATCGACGTAGGCACCAGCAAGCCAGCGCGAGCCATTTGTAGTATTGAACTTATTGCGCGCGTGAACAACCCGACGATTGGCAAAGATAACGCACTCGCCAGGGTTAAGCTTCAATTGGAACACAGAATCCTTGGATTCCATGTCCTTCGTGAAATGGTACATGGCTTTCCAGAATTTGTCGTAGTTCATGCGGGTTTGTTTACCGGTCTCTCCTTTCCAGGTTGGAATTGCAGACTGGAAGGGCGGCGAGTAGTTGACGTTCCGTAATTCCTTTGACTGTGGATCCAGTTCGAATACAGGCCAAGTGTTGTGGTAAATTGAGTCCTCATGCACATATTCATAGCCAACATGCCTTCGTGTCAGCTCCCAGTAATCAGTGGGGCGCGTACGCTTCATCCTGTCTGCAATGTTGAAAGTATCTGCGAAAAGCGACTCGCCACCCTCACATGAGTTCTCTAGGCAGTGCAAGAGCTGGTAGCCGGGTGGTTCGTTCATGTACAAGAGATCCATGTGGAACCCGAGGTGTTGGTTGGTGTAGGCCACGTTCTTTGCCTGTGGGACTGTACGTACGTCCCATGTCGAGCCGTAGAAAGAATTCCGCAGCGGGCCCATGCGAGTGGCAACCTTTTCCACCATCTCGCGGGATGATGGGATATCCTTGACAAAGACTAGACCCAGACGGGCCAGATTTTGCATGGCGAATGTGAATTTCGTCTCGCTGTGCATATAATCGTCAAACGAGATCCAGTGTTGATACTTTTCCATGGTTGCAGCGTTCCAACGGAAGGGTCTCGTATGGGGATGGGTAGTGTCGTGGGTATTGTTAATGGGGTTCCGGAGATAGTGATATGGCCATCGAGACGTGTGCTCCGGGCCATATCCTAGGATATCCTTGTTCCATTGGATCTCCAATTGGTTACCATCCCATTTCACTCGCCGTGGGTGAATAGTGGGATGTATATCATGAGTGCGGAACGAGCGTTGCTTCGAATGCGGATCCACGCATTGCGGACATTTGCACAGGTCGCGAAGGTAGTAATATGGGAGGCGTAGAGGCCGTTCCTTGTCTCGGGCCAAAGTAAGTTCGTCGAAATGGAGATAGCATTTTGCGGACCGACTGGTGGTCAAGGCAGTCAAATGCTCTCCATCACTCGGAGACTTTGGATGCTGGAACATTCTAAGAGTCACCTCCTCGCCATCGTGCTCTATTGTTTGCGTTTCTCTTTGGGGAACCCTCGGTATCCGGGTGGAAAATTTGCCGGTCTCAGTTGCTTTGCCAGCTGGAGGTGTCTGAGAAGAAGGTTGCACGTTACGCCGCGTATCCGTCGAGACGAAAGTCCTCCTGGCAGGGCCAGCCAGGAGCTGCGGCAGTCGCCGAAGCGCAATTGGAGGGATAGGGCGCATTGCAAAAAGAATCCCCGAAGCTTACAGAAGACAAGAAAAGAGGCAAAGAGAAATATGAGGGAGACGAGGAACAGCAACATGTGATGACCCCGGATTAGCGGGCAATCTAAAGACAAGCTCCCGTTTCCCTACGGTAAACTGTAAACCGAGGCTCGGAGCTTGGTCTGATGCCTTGATGCCTTGGTGCCTGTATGCCTTGATAATTCATTGAAATTGTTGACGCCTGGTAAACATGGCACCAAGGAATCAAGGCATATCGGCCGCCACCGTTCCAGGCTCAAATTTACCCGCAAGCGGCCTTTTTCCGAAAACGTCATTACTTTGCCCCAGGAAAAATCAACAAACACAGGGCTTCCCCTCGATTCACTAAATGGCTTCCTAACAATTCTTCAAAATGTCTGCCGGTGGTGATCATCTCAAAGATGAAGGTACAAAGCGCCAAGTCGTGCTGGCTGGCGGAACCGCAGGTCTGATCTCGCGCTTCTGCATTGCGCCGCTGGACGTCGTCAAGATTCGTCTGCAACTGCAGATCCACTCCCTGTCCGATCCAACCTCACATCGAACGGTCGTCGGTCCTGTCTACAAGGGTACACTATCTACGTTAAGGGCGATCGCGAAGGCGGAGGGCATCACGGTATGTTCATGTTTATCTGCGCCGGAATGGTGTAAAAGCTGGGAGATAAGCTAACGGAGCTCTAACAGGGTCTTTGGAAGGGCAATGTTCCCGCCGAGATGATGTATGTCTGCTATGGGGCTCTTCAATTCACTACATACCGTGCCACAACCCAGGCGCTGGCCGAATTACCTTATCGCCTCCCTCCTTCCGGTGAATCGTTCGTCTCCGGCGCCGTCGCGGGTGGTCTCGCCACCACTACCACATACCCACTTGACCTTTTACGTACGCGATTCGCAGCGCAAGGTTCGGAACGTATCTATCGCTCGCTGTTCGGCTCGATAAAGGAAATTGCGCAGCATGAAGGACCAGCGGGCTTCTTCCGAGGTTGTTCTGCCGCCGTAGCGCAGGTCGTTCCATACATGGGATTCTTTTTTACCGCATACGAGGGACTCAGGCCGGTGATGGCGCGCTTCGACTCGTTGCCTTTCGGCACAAACGATGCTGCGGCGGGTGTGGTTGCCAGCATACTCGCTAAGACTGGCATCTTCCCACTAGACTTGGTGAGAAAGCGCTTGCAGGTCCAAGGCCCGACTCGTACGCGCTATGTGCATCGCAACATTCCGGAATACGATGGTGTCATCAGGTCCATCGCCATGATTCTGCGCACACAGGGCGTGCGAGGATTATATCGCGGGTTGACGGTCAGCTTGTTAAAAGCGGCGCCGGCAAGCGCGGTGACCATGTGGACCTACGAGAGGGTTTTGAAGCTGCTGCAAGAGACGGAGCTGCACGCATTGGCTTGAGGAACATATACAAACTTGCATTATCGGTCGCATTGACTCGGGCATTGAACGGCGTTTTACATGGCTACAAGCGAATAATATACATTTTAGAGCAATAGTTTAGAAAAAGAATCATCACCAAATTTCGAAATCATCAAATGTGCCGAAATTGTGTCCATCACGGTCAAATAACGCTGGAAGTGCAGAATTCAAGGAGGGGGTGATTGTCGTGGTGCACGTACATTCAAGCGGCACAAGGGAGTAAAATCGTGCGAGCAAGGGAGTAGACCACACCGTCTAGTACTCAGGCTCTTCGTCAGAAATCCCGTCGCCGGCGACTTCCTCATAGTCCTTCTCTAGAGCCGCGAGATCCTCCCGTGCCTCGCTGAACTCGCCTTCTTCCATGCCCTCGCCCACATACCAGTGGACGAACGCGCGCTTGGAATACATAAGGTCGAACTTGTGATCCAGCCGGTTCCATGCCTCGGCAATGGCCGTTGTGTTGGAGAGCATGCTGACCGAACGATCAACAGGGGCCATCGCACTGTCGGCAACGCGCTTGGGCTGTGAAAAGTTGATACCCAACTTGAATCCAGTGGGGCACCAGTCAACCAGGTGGAAGGAAGGCTTTGCCTTTAGTGCAGCTACGGCCTTGTTGCAGTCGCTTGGCACGACGTCGCCACGGTACATCACTGTCACGGCCATGTACTTGCCCTTGTGAGGATCACATACGACCATTTGGTTGTCTGGTTCGGCGCCTTGAATATGCTGTCAGCTTTGATATTGTGGAAGGAGATGGATGGTCGATTGATCACATACACTGGAAGGTCAGATCCTGAACCTTGAAGCTCTCGTGCGAGACACGGTTGCTAGATACTACTGGAGCATAAGAGATCAACGGGTAATGGATACGTGGGAATGGCACCAAGTTGGTCTGGAACTCGGCCAGATCGATGTTGAGAACGCCGTCGAAGCGCATACTCGAGGTAATGGAGCTAACCACCTGGGCGACCAGGCCGTTCAGGTGTTCAAAGCCAGGACGGGGGATATCCAGGTGACGACGACAGATGTCATAGATAGCCTCATTGTCGACTAGGAAGGTGCAATCGGAGTGCTCGATCGTGCCGTGGGTGGACAGCACAGCGTTGTATGGTTCCACGACGGCGGTAGATACGCGGGGAGATGGGTAGACTGCGAATTCCAATTTGGCCTTCTTGCCGAACTCCTGCGCTAGCTGCTCCTGTAAGAGAGAACCGAAACCAGAGCCTGTGCCACCGCCGAAGGAGTGGAAGTTTAGGAATCCCTGCAGAGAGGAGCAGTTGTCTGGAGGAAGTCAGGAAGTTAGCGGGTGAAGTATTGGGATCAATAACACCACATACCGGCCAGACGTCGCACACGGTCAAGAACCTCGTCCACCATCTCCTTTCCAACAGTGTAATGGCCCCGAGCATCTGAATTGTATTAGCGCCCATTCATGCACGTTCACACAATCATCTGCACAGTCATACAGTTGTTGGCTGCGTCCTCCTTGCCGCTGATCAACTGTTCGGGGTGGAAAAGCTGGCGATATTTGCCCGTTCGGATCTCATCGATTGGCTATGTAACCCAAAACTCATCAATATGCAATTCATGCCTTTCTGGAGTTATTCAGAGGAATGACGTACGCTCGGATCGAGATCGGCGAAAATAGCGCGGGGAACGTATTTACCGCCGCTCGTCTCGGTGAAGAAGGTCTCGTAGATGCCGTTGGGGCCAGCATCGCCGGTGTTACCAGAGTCAACTCGTCCATCGGGCCCGAGGCCGTGCTCTAGAAGGTATCTGCATTCGTCACGGCGAGTGTCAATCCCATGTGCGATCGTGCATAACAAGCGATCAGTGAACTTACAGCTCCCATGCGGCGTTACCGAGCTGCACGCCAGCTTGGCCAACATGAATGTGAATGACCTGGGGAACTGAGGTGTCAATATCTTCTGAAATGTATCCTCGAAATCGAGCTGCACAATCGGAGTTGCACTCAAATGGCACGAGAGAGGGGCACGGGTGGGGCCACCAGGCTCAAGTCTAGAGCATAAACATGGGGAATGAGGGAACACGTACCTCGCCTCGGCCGGGCATTGCGCAGAGAATTGATCTGTACCTAAGGGGAAAAGTATGAAACAGAACTGAATCCGGAGACAGGTTTGCGAGGTAGCGAGTGCCAGGTGGGAAGCTGTGGGCCGCTAGTGAAGGCGCCCCCTGACCAGCGAGACACGACTGGGTGCTGCTGGCGGTCGGCACACCGCTGTGGCTGACCTCTGGTTTGCTTGACCTTACATCTTTCTCTCTCACTGGGTTCGGATGTTCGCTCAATGGTATTTACGCCGACCATGTTTACATTTTGGCACCCTGCCACACCGCACGGGAGCAGCCCAAAATTAGGTCACACAGAATTTAAGCGAACACACTTCCCGGCCTCCTCAACACATGGACCTTGGAATTCATCTGTGGTATCTTGCGGTTTTCTAGATCACCGGGACACGTTCCGGTTCGACGCAGATCACCAATAGCATTACCGGTATAGACCTCCGAGCAGGGTCTTGGCGCTCGGCCCTACAGATAGAGCCTTAGATCCGTGCCGTCTAGGGCATTACATTTTCATGGAGTTTCAGAGCTCTGGACCACAAAAAAGGATGAAAGCCCCCTTAATATGTTATCAAATGCGGCAATACATTCATTAAATATTCTTTCATCAGTCTCGTCGTTATCATAACTTAAAAAGCTCTCCACCAATTCGAAACAGTCCATCAATAGACATTTTCATAATGAATGAACTTCTGCGGTCGCCCTTTACTCACTTTGGAATGTACCTACTCCATTTGTTTCGCGTGGTAAAACGACCGGAACTCAGACGGCCGTGCGAGCAACGCCTGCGGAGTATCGAATTCCACCAGCCGACCATGCTTCAATAAAGCCACACGATCAAACCGTTCAATATATCGGAGACGATGCATGACAGAAATGACCGTCTGCGAAGCAAAGTCCTGCTCAATAATGTTCTGCATGATGGCTTCTGTATCCCAGTCCACACTGAAACGCACGCAAATGACATCAGTATCTGAATGAATCCCTTCATGGGACTGACTTACCTGCTAGTTGCTTCATCCAGAATAAGAATTGAGCTCTTGGTCACCACGGCTCGTGCCAGAGCGAGAAGCTGTCGCTCACCCATGGACCAGTCCGATAATGACAGTTCTTGGTCAAGTTCTCCACGACCGGAAGAAGTGCCGCAGACCTTCTTCCAAAGATCCACTATCTCAAGGGCTTGAATGAGACACGCGTCTGGGGCTGGATTATGTTCTGAATCCCGGTCCAAGTTGAATCGCAGGGTTCCTGGCATGAAGAAGGGGTCTTGGGGAACCACATTGACATGAAACCGGACTGTGCCGCAGGAGAGGGTAGATAGGTCGACATCATCGATCGTAATGGAACCATTTTGGACCTCAATCATTTGCAGCAATCCGAGAATGAATGATGTCTTGCCACTACCAGATGGGCCACAGATGGCAACCTTCTCACCAGAATGGATAGTCAAAGACAAATTCGTCAGAACAGGCGCAGATGTCGGGCTGGTTTGAACTTAGTTACATCTGGGCAAGAGTCAGAGAGTATTACTTACTTGTATGTGGCGTTGACATCTTTGAATACTATTTCACCGCCAGAAGGCCACTGCACGGGAGGTGGACCAAGCAAGTCCTGGCCCTGGTCCTCGGGCGGCGTATTCGCAACAAACTCCTGTATACGAGAGACTGCCCCGATGGAGGTCTCAAGAGAAGTCCAAAATTTGATCAAAATCATCAAATCCTGATTGAAACTCAGAATCAAATTCAGCGCAACACCGATCGCGCCGGCACTAAATTGGTCCTTCAGTGAGATGACTAACGTAACGAGGACGACAGCCAGCGCCATAACAATGCAGTCGAGAACAAGCTGTAGCCATTGCTGGATGCAATACAGCATATAAAATGGCTTTTGTGATTGGTTTAGAAGCTCCTGTAGTCGTTCCTCGAATGGCCTCTGCCAGCGCATGGCTCGAATGACAGAGATTCCTTGCATGGTTTCTACGAAGTGGGTGAAAAGCGGCGACTTGGCTTCGATATCTAGAAGCCGTACCTGGCGGGATGTCCGAAGGTAGTAGTTTTGAACGAGGAACAGAACCACTGCTAGGACAGGCACAGTCACTGTGAGATACTTGCCCATTATGCATAGAATGATAAGCTGGACTACGCAGTTTGCAAATGCTGCCACGATCCATTAGCTTCAACAAAGAGTAAAAATGTGGCGAACTTACACATGGATGTGTTGATGGCATCGAGCGGAAGGTTCATGTCAATGAGCTCTAAATCCTGGCTGAATCTATGCGGTATTAGCATATCGCGCTCCTAAAAATTATCGCCGTTACTCACCGGTTCGTCGTCAAACCAGCATCTACTTTCTGGAAGAAACTGAAAGGGGCACTTCAAAAAAAGAGTCAGTCATGTCGCTGAGGTCTAATGATATAAGTGGGGATGGCCGATGTACCTCAAGGTAGTCTTGAGCAGGTTTGCATGCATTCTAAGCCCCGTGTTGTTGATCACTCTCACAAGAACTATCCTGTACCAAAGTCAGCAATGACCCCCTCATTTGAAGATATAAACCCCTACCAGCACGTAGATATAAGACAAAAGACACCTATGGAGACAAGGACAGCGTAGACCCCAATGTAAAGCCCGAGCTTTTGGCTCGGATGTTTCACGTTGTAATCGGACCATTGTTGTAGCCAGACCGCTATCGTGTGGTTAAGGAATGGTAAAGAGTTCCACGGATATAGTAAGCTTACTTGAAAATTTATCGACAAATGAAGCAATAGCTATTGACGCAACGAGGAACGCAATGAGAGTTCGCCCACTACTTTCAAAGTAGTACGCGTAAACAGACCATTTCCCTTGTCTGCGCGTGTTATTTGCATTGATGCTGTCCGCCTCGGTAGCGCTGACGATCCTTGAAATGGTGGTAGATGCTACATTCTTCTCGATAAATGGGGTCTCATCATCAGAGGAGCTCTCGTGGACGTGATTGTGTTTTTCTTCCGGCAAGGTTGAGCGAATTTGATCGTAGGTCCCTGTTAGCGTGATTTTCCCACCGTCCAAAAGGACAATCTCGTCCGCAAATGGTAGTAAGCGATGATTATGCGTTACAAGGACGACTGTTCTTCCCGATTCTCTGAAATGGCCGTCTGCTGCAAGGAGGCGATAAGAGATTGCAGCAACAGACTTGTTGTCGAGACCACTGAATACATCATCCAGAACTAAAGTTGATGCTCGCGAATAGACGGCACGAGCAAGAGACTGCGAGTTTGTTAGCAAAACGCCGTTCATAAATTTATCGCAATGTGCAGCAATTTTATCACGCACTATTCTCTGCTTTTGACCACCACTCAGCGTTATGCCAGAGCTTCCAGCCTTGGACATGTCCCCGCCCGGTATATTCTGAAAATCGTTCTCTAACGCACATGCCCAAACGACGAAATTGTACCACTTTGCATCGAAAGTCGCGACACCGGTGATGTTTTGACGGATGGTGTCATTGATGATCCATGGTGTCTGTGGACAGTAAGCCACCATTGACTGGAAATAAGACACAGAACCACTTTTGCAGATGGTTTCTCCGATTGCACTTTCCAACAGGGTCGATTTTCCACTTCCAACCGGTCCTATGATGGCAGTGATGGTGCCCTTTTTTATGGAAAGGTTCATATTATGAAGAATGGGATTGGATATCTGAGACCAGGAAAAGCTGGCACCTCGAAACTCGAGCACCGAGTCTAGGGGCGGCGCATGGATTGAGGATAACTCGATATCCGCTTGTGTCAAAGACCTTTCAGCAGGCGCATCAAATGGCGCTTGAACACAGTACTCTTCAATGCGATCGAAGCTTGAAAGTGACTGGTAGAGTTGCGGAAGGGTTTGAATGAAGTTGAGAAGTGGCTCTGTCATCAGCGAGATCAAGGACAATGAAGTGAACACTCGGTCAGCCAAAAGCGTTTCTCCTCCACGGACGGACTGAACTATGGCGAAGATTGTGAACGTAGCAAATGGAGCTAACGCCAGCGGCAAGTTTGCTGCAAATAGTTAGTATATGTTCACACTTAAGGCAAACATCTAGATTAAGCGTTTCATACATAAGGCAACCATCCAAATTAACAGGACCCGAAATCGTTGAGAAGCTTTCAGCTCCGCTGTTCGCAACAGCGAAACTGCTTTGAATAGCTTCTCGCGTAGTCCTAGCATTTTGACTGCCTTCATATCATTCAACATTTCCGATGTTACGCTTAGCCGTGTCTGTACGTGTTCGATCCAGATCTTTTGGGCGACATTGGACTTTGTGGAGACCGGTATTGTGCCAATTACAGCAACTGAGGATATTAGAGCCTTTATACCTTGGCTATTAATCTAAGCCTGTAGATATCAGACTTACTGATGGAGATGCCAGCTGGAATGAGGCATACAACGCCTAATTGTCGTTCCAGGAGGAAGATAGCGATAACAGCTTCGACCGGTGTAACCCATATTTCATGAATGTTCCGGAACTTTTGGACGATACGCTCGACGTCGGTTCCCATCAAAGTGATGGCAGACCTGGACTTGAACTCGGCGGCGTGCATCTTGGTCGTTTGGCGGTAGACTAGTGAGATGAGACCGGCTCGGACAGTGGTGTTGAATCGGAACGTCTGTCGCCAATATACTGCAGTTGATATCTGATTTACCCATGAGTTTTCATATACCGTGAAATCCAAGAAAGAAGTCTAATTGCTCACCGCCAGTCCCATGTAGGTCAGCACGTATGCGCCAACTAATGGCGATCCACGAAGATTATTCTCTGGTGTTGAAGGGGCAGTAATGAAATTCAAAGTAGCTGAGATCAGGAAGGGCTGGCAGAATTTGAATGCGGAAAGACACAATCGGGGGGGGTATTGCGCTGACGAATGGCCAAATATACGCCTGGAAAGTAACTTTTAGCAGCTTATGCCTATGAGAGTTTGGGTCTAAATTGATAAAGTTAGAGCGACCTCTCATCCAGTTTGAAATTCAGGATCAGTTCGCCTCACTTTTGGCCCATGCAATTTGCAATCTTTCTTTTGCAGAATCTCCTTGTAGCGAACGGTCGACATCGGGCATATCATGCACTGACAGGATCGTGGAGAAGCCAGTCCGGAACAGTGGAATTACCCAGATAAAGAAGCTTCGGACCCAGAAGCTTGATGTGCTCTCCTTACTTGATTCGCGATAAGCCAGCCGCACTGTTTGAGTCTTATGAATAGACTCTAAGCACAGGACCAGGAAAGTGGTGACGGTAACTAATGTCCATAGAATCGCTTGGGTGTGCACGATTGGCGATAGAATCCACAGGGTTCTCGTTCGAGGAAGCGCCAAGACACTTGATATAAAGAAATATAGAATCATCAAATCGGCAGGCCTCACGGAACGTTGGTCCTCTAGCCATGAGAGCAGCACTGCTATGGCTACGGCAAATACTTGCAAAAGGCTCGCTGCCAGTGATGCCTTTGTATGCAAAAGAGAAGTCTGGACTTGAAACGCTAGTTGCACGATGTGAAAGACTAGCAAATGCGCAAGGGCGATCTAAGCCAAAGTTAATACCATGGTTTTTCTTTTACGGGAATGCTTAAACACTATACCAGTTTCCATGTGGCGAGACGATGTGAAGTCACTTTGACAGGGCCTCGAATAAGCACTGTAGCTCGGAAAGCAGCCAGCACTAAGAATAAACCCGCAGGCAGGATTGCAAATATGGCATCCTCAAAGAGAAGAGTAAAATCGAATGGACGACATTGGCTAATGACCCGAGGGCCAAACTGATCGTCGCTTCCAATGGGACATGACATTGTGAAAATATGAGGCACTATTAGCACACTGTTTACGGAAACTTGGCGGTCGCGAGGGCTACGGAGAATAATGGGAGAGAGACAGGTAATTTATAGAGATCTACCAGATTGAGCGACGCAAGTTAAGTCTCAAGCGTTCGTCATTCAAGTGCATGAGTCAAGAGCGATCAACCCAGGCAGACAGATATATCCGAATATTAGCCTCTGAAATGTCAGAGCCGGCGAGGAGAACTCCGACGGCTCTAACCTTGCTCCGAGCGCCATCGAGCATGGCTTCCGGGCTTGGGTTTAGCGCATGGCTTATCTGCAGCGCGATGTGACCTTACGATTGGCGCAGGTAGGCTGAACCAATAATGACTCCGAATTCTTAAATTTTAAAAGATTGATCTTTGTGGTCTAGCGTTATGATTTGCGTAAAATCTTTGATGCCTAGATAAATTCGGGGTTGGGCTGTAAAGTCGGTAAAAAATGAGGCTGAGAATCCCATCTCGCGATGAGGACCCGAGGGGAATTTCTCCACGCTTGCCAGGTAAACTTTCATTGAGTCAAGTATGTCTAGTCCTCACTCAACCTTTAGCACTTGATATTTTCGTAACACCTCAATAAGCTAATATGCGATATTTGAGCAGCCACATGTCTAAGGAGGGTTGGGTCTATCTCCAGGGGCTTGATGTTCCATGGGATTTGTTTGATAGGAAATTCGTGTCTGGACATGCAGGCGCAAGGAAACCTGACTTGAGATTTTTCAACTTGTCTTGAAGGAGATCAACGTGCAAGAAAACCCGGAGGATGTCCTGTTTATTGATGACAAGGTTGAGAATGTTGAAGCAGCGGAGAGACTGGGAATCCGTGGGGTGCAATTCAAATCAGGTACCGAGACGTCAGAGGTAGTGGGGGAGCTATTGGGCATGCGGGGTTAAATGTTCCCCATAGTCATCATACTTAGCGGAAGGGTTTGTTGATCTGGTCAGTCAGGCGTAGTTGGTGCGCCGAGTTTGGAGTTTTTTCCGTTGCCGATAGACATCTGAAGGCAGACATGTCATCCGACGGCAATTCAAAAATTGCAAACTTGAAGAGCTCGTCTTACATCCGGTTCATGCTCGCGGTGTCACTGCGAATGGTTAATTAAAACCCGGTAGTTATTTGCAGTGAGTGGTGAATATGTCATGCCCCCCTTTACCGTCTTGCCTTGCATAGCCCATTATCTAATCTTCGAAGGCCCGATCATACGATATCCATCTCTCTGATCTCGCTCGCTTTTGTTCTTACTATCACCCGGAAGGGTTGCCTTCACGTTTTTGCAGCTTCTAACTTGATCCGAACTCCGAGACCCTGCAGGTGATCCCCCTTTCTCCACTTGCGATCGCCGCAGCTTCCAAACCCCGGAGGCTCAGTTTCTCTATTTTCTAGCGTCAATCAGATTAATAATCTTTTGGAGATGTCAATTAACTAATCTGATTCCCTTTCATTGTCCCCTTTTTGGGCACGAAGTTTCAAACCTACGGAAGGCACCTACCTAGGTAGTGGCACCAATCAGGCATCTCATACTTCCCTGCATTCAACTTTGTTGATAAGTCGACATTACTATCAGCTATCGTGCCCCTTTTCCCCTGTAAAATGGTGTGAGCCGACTATCATCTGCTTGATATGACCTGGCTTCCAGTGGCCTGATCCGAGATGTGGGTGAGTGCCGGGCCTCCGTGGTAGGTTAACTCCGCTATGTGGGTACTTTGCCGGTTATCTACGAATGAAGTGAATGTAGGGAATCCCCTACATTCGTAATATAAAGGAAAGAATACGTCTCCTTTTCGACATTGGGTTGCTCAACTAAAACGACTTCTACACAATCATGGACGTTATTCTAGATGTACTTGATACATTCTTGCTCGATCGATTCTATGCCTGGGCTCTTCCTGGAGCTCCGACCCTGGAAGGTGTTGCCGATCCCCTTTGGAATCAACATGTCAATCTCTATTATCCTTTACAGCCTTCGAAATGGGTAGAGGCGAGTCAATGGAAGCGGGACAATATGATGAGGCAAGCATTGAGTTTATTCATACTTTCATGGTAGGTTTTCTTGGTGATATCCTATTCTCAAAACTAACCAAGATCAGGGCATTTGCAACGATACTCTACCTTGGCGGTAGCTATGTCATGTATCACACATTATTCGACAAAAAGCTAGAACGGCATCCGCGATTTCTTAAAAACCAAATCCGCATGGAGCTTCACCAAGGCTTGACTTCAATTCCTGTGATGTCTGCTCTCACTGTTCCTTTCTTCCTCGCCGAAATCCGGGGATGGTCTAAGCTTTATGACTTTGCCAGTGATGCTCCGTTCTCGCTGTGGACTTTGCTGCAGTACCCTGTTTTCATCCTGTTCACTGATAGCGGAATCTATTGGATCCATCGCTGGGAGCACCACCCTCGTCTTTACCGGTGGTTGCACAAGCCTCATCACAAGTGGGTTGTTCCGACGCCATTTGCTAGTTATGCTTTCCATCCGTTGGATGGATGGGCGCAGAGTCTGCCCTACCACGTCTTCCCCTTCATCTTCCCATTGCAGAAGGTGGCGTACCTGGGATTGTTTATGTTTGTTACGATGTGGACGGTGTTGATTCGTAAGTTTATACAGAACACGCTGGCTTGAATTTGTTTCTAATTTGATGCAGACGATGCCGAGTACGTGACTTGGTCTAAGGTCATCAACGATGCCTCATGCCATACCATGCACCACCTCTATTTCAACTACAACTACGGACAATATCTCACTTTGTGGGATCGCATTGGGGGCACCTACCGCAAGCCCAAGGGTGACAGCTTTATGGAAAGTAATGGAGCAGCCTATATGGACAGCCATGGGTCAACGAAATTGGTTGGGAAGGCCGAGTAATGGCAGGGCTCTTTGACTTGACACTGTATAATAATTAATAATACATATAATACATTTTTTATGAGAAATTACGATGACACCACTGAATGAACTCGTTCAGGCTTCCCATGTCATCCGTCGCTGTGCTGTCCAGATAAGGGAAGCTGTTTCCACTCTGCTCAGTAACATCCAATGTTGCCTTTAGTAGCCACCAGAGCTCTTCAGCGTGTTTGGGGTAGCCCAGATGGAGGTATTGGTCATCGTCTAAAGAGCCAATGACAGAGTCCCAGATTCGTTTCCAGTTCTCGGCAGCAAGGCCGATCTTTTCAACTAACAAGTATGGAAGTAGCCCTGCCCTGGTCTGGAACGCGAGGGAATTGATGGCTATTTCAATTAACACGAAGGCCATTTCAATTGTTGAAGGAGTTCACATACCGTAAACCAGAATCAAGAGATGTTCCGCAGATATCGAAAGACTCCAAGAAATCGGGGCCGTTTGAGGAATCTCAAGTAATTGCGTGGCTACCTCTCGTAATAGCGGAAGTGGAAGCTCCGATGAGCGCGCTGCGGCAATTTTGCTGAAAGCTGATGCACTCTCAGCCTCCCACAAATCAGCGCTCCATGGGAAGTTGCAGTTCATCTCGAAGATCGAAATCGCGGGATGGTTCTTGAGACAGACAGTCAGGAATCCATCGGCAAGGAAAGCCCAGGAAGCAATTCTAGAACGTGGTCAGCAATAGATCTCTATAGCAAGATTATAGCAAGCTTCTTCGGATAACAAGATACCTTAAACACATCTCTTCAGCAATCAAGTTCTTCCAAGTAACATCATCGCAACCATCAGGTATCGCGCTCCGCTTGAGTTGAAAAATTCCCAGAGACCTAACAGTCGATACCAGACACGGATGTCGAATGATACGAATGCGACGTCTAGTACTCAGATCGTCGCGTGCAAATTGAAGCATCTCAATGATCAATGCGCTTTGTAGTGTCTGCACAGTGGGCAGCAAATTTGCCGGATCCATTGGCGATGGAACAATTGACAGATGCGACACTTGCCGGAAGATGTACTCCTCTGCGACATCAATAATCCAAGATGAAGAAGAGGCGGTTGTATCGTCCATGGCAGTACTGTAAGCTGCACCAGCAAGGAAGATCGCAAGGAGAAGGGGATTGGAAACCGCGCCTGGGTCGAAACTGGGGGAATGGACAATGGGCAAGTGCCAATGGAAGGCATGGAAGAAGACTGAGACGAAGACCGAGATGTTGGAAACTCCGAAGACGGCTGTAAGTTGCATGATGTCAAGTTCTGGGTTCTCACTGCGTATCCCCATGGACTTTGACGTTTCCACTAATTCTGCGGTGATTTTGGTCAATTGGTTGGAGAGTTTTGATGGGAATAGAGCGTCGGAGAGGTAATCCGAGAGAAAACCCTCGTCTCCATCTAGCGGGTTTGATGGGTATTCGCCAAATCCGAGGAAAGCGGACAGCGGGTTGCTCGGGATGAGCGCATCTTCAATGTGAGAATACAATGTTGCAAGATTTCTTGGAGTCGAATGTTTTCCAGTTTCTCCAATCGCAAGTCTATCTTTCTGAACAGATGGGCTGGCGAAGTGTCGAAGGAACGAAAATGGTCCATCCCGTCTGGCTGAGGGTTGCGAGGTTGTAGGAGGTGAAGGCGAGGAGGCAGCTTCCGAGCATGTTGGCCCCGGCGAAGGCGATGGCTGAGCCGCGAAATTACATGGTCGTCCGAGGGAAATGCAACGTGAACAAGGTAATTTTTTATCGCAAGCTGCTTTTGCTTCGAAGCACGAGTCGCACGACTGGCGTTTCCGCCCTGCCTTTCCTGCTTCTGGAATGGGCTGGTCGTGTTTCTTAGCACACGCTTTGGCATGTCTTCGGGTGACCTCTCTGGAAAGCTATTAGAGATATATCACAAAAGGTAGAAGTCCCAAGGTCGTATTCTTACGTCTTTAAGAAAGATTTCCCACAGAAAGGACAACTCGACGAGAGCTGCTGTTTATCTAGTAACTGTCAGCTTCTCGCACCCGGTGCCTCAAGGTCTCCCAAACCCACGAGTAGCTTCATGACGAATCAAATGCGTCTTCCTCTGATAGCCTTTATCACAATGTGAGCACTGAAACATGATACATAGTCTAGGGAGAACAATGGTGTGGGAAAGTTGAGGATGTAGGGAAAACCCTGGTAGGGAATAGCCGCAAATTTGCAGTGGCAAGCGCTCGGGAATTACCTACCCGAACCATCCTATAGGTACTCAACCACGCGTTCAATTCTCGGCTTCTCTGTTGATTTGTTCTTGGGTAGAATGTGATTTTTCTGGTGCCGGTCACAGTGGCAGATGGATAGAGACATTTAGACATTGGAAAAGCTCTTAAGATTAAACACTTCGAGGTCCATGGGTGGTTGATCCTACGCAGGAAGCTGGGCTTGTGAATGTCGCAACAGATTATTGGAAGGATGTGGTATAATCATAGTCGATCAAATATTGTTGACTCCCATGCAACACATCATCTAGAAAAATGCACGCCAAATAGAGAAAAGAAAATGTGTCTAGGTAAACAGCTAAGAATAATAAGTTCATGAATCAACTTTAAACCACATTACACACGCTTGGCGTGGTCATGCTCATGCTCCAGCTCCACCGCAGCAGGCGGAGGAGGCGGAGGCGCAGCACCTTGTTCCATCATATCCTCATGGTTATGCGAGATACTGCTCCTATGTCTGAAGAAGCGATTGCGTGACACAGAAGACGCTCCACTGCGCACGGATGGCGCATCTGTAGAAGGGCGTCCGGAAGGAGAGAAAGCGCTGTTGTTCGACGGACGACGGCTCTTCGATGTTCGCGATGATGTGTGACTGCGTCGCTCTTCTTCCTCTTCGGCTTCCTCTTGGATTCTGCGCTCGGCGGCTTCGCGATTCGTGTTGCGGACGATATCTTCGATTTGGACGGACCGGTCTTCGAAGACGTCGCCCATGATGTCGCCACTTGAGATGCTGGACATGCCGAGGGAGAAATCGACGTGTTTGCGGGATGTTGATTGGCCTCTGGCCCGCGCGGCGGCGGTGTTCATGCCTTTGCGGAGAATGGAGTGTTGGCGGCCAGAGACACCGGTGCTTGAGCCGCTGTTTTCGGGGATGTTCGAGTCCTCGATGGCAACTTCGTCGTCGATGGCTTCTTCGGCCTTCGGGGGTGTTACGGGTCTGTTGCCATATGCGACGTGGAGGGGCATGCCGTGTTTGGCACCGGGCCAGTTCATGCGAGGACCCTCGATGCCGATCTCTTGGAGGGCGATCATCATCATGCAGATGAATTTGTTGCGCCGTTGGAGACGGAGACCTTCGTTTTGCCAGTTGGATTTGTAGAAGAAGACGACGTTGAGGGTAAGGGAGAAGTTTTCGGTGACCTCGCGCAACTCGGTTAAGATGTTGCTTTGGAAGTCGCGCTTTTCGCTACGGCAGAACTCGAGCAGGCGTTGGCGAAGTCCGTCGATTTGTTCGATGGATGTACCGTATTTGATGACGATGGGAACTGCCTCGGCCAAGGCACCGGATCGGCGCTGGTTGAGAATGAAGAGACCATTCAGGTAGCTGTTCGGGGCCTGGACGACGTGGCCCTGCATCTTCTTGAACTCAGTGTAGAGCAGCGTGATCTCCTTGACGAAGTAGTCATCGCCAAGACCGGCATCACCGGCGTTACCATAGATAGTAACACGGTCACCGACATCAAACGGGTGCTTGACGAAGACGAAAATAATAGACTGCAAGAATTCCTGGGCCGTGGCGGAGAACAACCATGAAAGAGCCAGGATAGTGGATCCAGCCGAAGTCAGAACACCAGCAGCCGAAGTGGAAATTAGAGACAGGAAAACAATAATCACAATGATGATAACGAAGAACATGAAAACGTCATCCAGCTTAGAGACGACCGAGTCCAGATCCTTCAGAGACGCAGTGATAGCCTTGCGCTCACGGCCAATCTCCACACAGGCGGCTTCGAGTTCCTCCATTGAGATATCACCATTCATGTCACGATCGAACATAGCAAAGGCCGCTTCAGCTTCCTCGTTATTCTCATAGGCCTCCTTGAGATCACCAGAGAAAACGGTATCAAAGCCATCGCGCACGAAAGTACGATACAGACGACGAGCCAGGACCTGGCAACCAGAGGTAGTACGTAGCAAGGTGAGAATGACCTGGTAAGGATCACTGCTACTCTTCGCAGTCTTACCGGTAAAATCAGCAGCGACGGCACCGGCAACATCGCCGACCTTGTTGCCAACCTTGCTCAAAGCGCCCTTGGCCACCTTATGGGCCTTGCCGGCAGCCTTCCCGGCATAACGGAGAGGGGTCTTGGCTCCAGTGGGGGTATCGTCGGCCATCTTTTCCTCAAAAGCCTCATCTTCCTCCTCGATGCGGCTGCGCGACCAGATATACAGCTTGACCAAACTTCCGATCTGGAACTTGTTGATCTCGATGCGATCGGCATAGGTGCGCGTGTGGAAGCTGATGGCGATAAGCTGGATAATGACCTTTTCGATCAAGTTGAGGATGGTCCAAACGAAGATCACAATAATGATCTTATTCAGCGTGTTTTCCCAGCTCCGCGTGGATTTATCTCCGTCCACGTGATGATTCTTCATCGTAGGCAGGAATGATATCTCCACGCCGAGCCACCAGAAGAACAGCGCCGCGTGAATCTCGAGTTGCTTGCCCATATCGCGCCATTTTTTGGCATTGTTGGTAAAGATACTGGCTATGACTCCAATCGCTGGGGGTAGACATTTGCTAACGATCTAAAGCAATTGTTGTCAGTGGTCAGGCTCAGAGGAATGTCGGTCGCATTGGAAACTTACTCGGCCAGCCCACAGTGTCAACCACACAATTTCCAACCAGATCGAGAACCACATCAACTTGACACCACCGACGCTGGTATTGGGGTATATGAGAGCCCCGACCAGCAGGGGAACTAGGATGATCACAACCACAGGTACAATGTAGGTGACATAGCGGACGATGAAACTGGACTGGTGCAGCGTCTTCACGAAAGCCGAGAGCTTGGTATTAGGGCTCTCCGGAGGCTTGTAAGCGGCAGCCTTTTCATGAAGCGGGTTCGTGGCCTCGTCGAACTCATCGACGGGCTCGCGACGCGATCGTACCCGACTAATGGAATGGTGCTCGCCGTCGCCGACTTCACCCTGAGTGGACCGGGACGCCACGCGTTCGGCTTGCAGAAGCAAGAGATCATCCTCGAGGCGAGTGGCCTGTTCTCGGCGGGCGGAGGGAGTGCGCATTGCCCTCTGCTCTTCATCCTCGTCGATCTCATAGGAGGTGTCAACCTTTAGGTGGTCTCTGGGATTGCGTTCGGTTACATAGGTATCGTCGGAGGGCGAGGTATCTTCGGCATCCCTCTCCTTTTGTTCCTGGAGGTGGAAGGCCTTACGCTCTTCGACGGGGCTCGACATGGTGGCACCAGGCCGAAAGAATGTGGGGAACCGTTGGCTCTACGGATCAACCTGTAGAGACGATATTAAGTGTAGATCAAAGATAGTGACGGAGGCTAGGTGAAGCCGACACCCAAGTGATGATTTAAAAAGCGAGTGTAGAAAAAAGCAATGCTGAGCAGAGCTCGAAGGTATAGGAGAGAAAGAAAGAATTCACGATCAGAGCAAGAGATGTGAAACCAGTGGGCCGCGGTGGGTCGCGGACGAGGCAGAGCCTGGACTTTGGGCGGGCTCAGGGTCGAGCTCAAAGGTCGAGATCCGATCTACAGATGGTTACTAGAAATAGAATTGAAGGCCGGGTCTTATTTGTTTGGAAGGGTCCCATTACTGTTACCGTGCTACACAATTCTCTACATAGTTCGGGATAGTACCACCGCATGAAATGTCAGTGCAACAATTCCTTTGTAAATGCCAAGAGTACCACGTAATGCACATGGAATTGTGCACGCATCTCGAAAACCCATCTGAGAGCTATCTTAGCCCTGAGAGGTTCACGCTCTGATCCCCTGCTCCACCCGGTGGCGTCGGGGGCGACAGCCACCGGTACCGAACCCATTTAACCCGAATCATCGTACGCAAGATACGCTTTTCCCACCTACGTAATTAGGGGGTCTCTTCAGATTTTTCACTCTTAGAGGATCACTAATCATATTTTCAGATAGATCGAACAATAGTACCATCTGGCGACAAGATCGAGACGAGAACACCTGCATCAACCGATGATTTCACCTACTGATGTCTCCACGGAAGTCACCAAGTGGGCCAGCATCATCCACACCATCCACACCGAAGTCCGACTTTACTGAAGATCCTTTTCCCAAACTTACAGTATCAACTCCCTGAACCAATTGTGTACCCCCTAATAATTTGCGGTCACATTTAATGAACAAGGATAAGGGAAACACGCATACATAGCCCCCCTCCATTCAACCACTCAAGCCCAATCGATAGCCGCAGATCGCGTGGGCGTGTGCTAATTGTGATAGAGAACCTAGTCCAAGTTCGGGCTTATGTATGCATGTATCCTGCAAGTGGCACCGTGTGCTATTCCATAGGGGTCTCTTATTTGCAGGATGATTTTAGATGCCCTTGCCTTCTGACTTCTGACTCTAGAAAGTAGGATCGACGGTGGAGCGGGAGGCCGTTGACACTGCCAAGAGCTTTTTACCCGAGGTCTCGGTTTCTTTGACTAGGGGCAGTTAGGGGGCCCATGTTCCGATTTGTCTGTTGAGGGTGAGGGGGGCTGGTTTGGTTTGTCTTGTCTAATGTTGACACATTCTGAGCCCGGTATTTATAGTAATTGCGTGAGGGGTCTAGACTGGACGTTGTGCGTGGAGAGGTCAAGCCGCACGTAAGAATGATTTTAATCTACTTGTTGGACATAGGACATCCGGGAGGGCGGGATCGATCACGAGAGCGAGGAACTATTCAGTTATTCAATCAACAACGGATATGAGTAAGAGGAGAAGTGAAAGTAGAAATAGAGACAGATATACCGAGACTCCCTGCTCCGGTAGCCACGGGCAATAAAGTAGACATAAGAGACGTGAAGGAACGCGTATGATGACATGTCCGCTAGACATTGCAGTGATGGTAAAAGACAAACGAAAAGATGTTTACACGAAGGCAAATGTGAACATGTCGAAGATGCAAACTATGTGGGTAGAAGCAAAGAGAAGAGTATCGTAAGATTTTATGACCTGGTCATCGCTTGAGGGAGAAATCGGGTCGGTACCGCTCTGGCGGACGTGGCGTTTCCTCTGGATCGAGGTTGGATGGTGGATGTGAAGGTCGTGGTGTCGCCTCCGAGTCAGGTGTCGGGCTGCAGTCGGTGTCAAAACCGGAGCCAGAATCGGTTGTATCGTCCGTGATCTTGACCTCGGGCGTGATGGGATTGGGTGCGCCGCTTGGAGTCAGTCCCCCTGGTGGAGTGGTTTGGCCGTGCTTCAGCTTGCCAATGCTGGTCTTCGATAAGGGGGAGGAAGGTCCCGAATAGATAGAGGTATCATGGTGCGTAAGCGAAGGCCGATGGGCCTGGGAAGGCGACAATGAGGGCTGCGGAGGAGAGTCACGAGGGCTCAGCGGTTCCTCGGTTTCAGATTCCTCTGGAATACTGAGTCCCTCAAAGCGATCTTCAAGGCTGGTACTTCCAGGCGATCCCAATGGGCCATCGGAGTCATCGGCATCTCGTTGGTTTCGTAGCGCTTCCCGCTCCTTCTTAAGAAGCTCTTCACTACCACTGACCACACTGCCGCGACTGTTGGTTCGCATCATCTCAATTCCCAGCTTAGAGCCGGGTCGACGGCTACGGGACGGCGGGCTTTTGCGTTGTTGAGAATTGCCGAGCTCTTCGTCCTCGTCATCTCCTGACTCGGCACATTCGTATCTCTTCTTCTCCATAGACTCTCGCTTGGCGCGGATGGATTCACTGGATCTTTGCTTGCGAGGCGTGAGTTCACCGCTTGGGTCCATTGCCGCAGGTGCGGTCCTAGCATGGAGGAGATTTGGGATAGGGACTGCCTTGGCGTCCGGACTGCCGGGGTGTTGGTCCTCGGAAATCCCCAGACCTCCAGGGCCATGGTCCCAATCATCGTTGTGGCGGCTGATGATCACTGGAACTTCATCCGATTTGATATTTTCCATCTCACCAAATACGCTGCTGCTGACCGAATCGTCGCGGCTTGATGCTCGGTAGGAACTAGGAGGTTTGGGAACGAACCCAGATGACGCCGAGCTTGGGCTGTCATCCTGAGGTTGTGGGTTCTGGCGAGCAGAGGGAGTAGGAACCGACAGAGGCTGAGAAGGGTTGTAATCCTTGGGCGGCGGCTTCCACATACACCATTTGCACAATGCCTCTGTAAGCTTGGAGAGGGTCGGAGGTTTCTCAATGAGCGCATCGAAGTTGTGGTTCTCAGGAAGGTCCTTTAGGTAGCCGGTGACTGCGATGATCGGAGTGTGTCGATTGGCACTGCGAGTCTCGCGCACCATGCGTGAGAAATCGGCGCCATTGACCTGGGGCAATTTGTACTCGGTCATGATGATGTCGAATTGAACTTCACTGAGAGCAAATCGCATAGCCTCGGCACCATTTGTGACCGTGATAGTCCGACAGCGCAGCTTCTCAAATAGACGCTCCATCACCAATCGCGAGACAGGGTGATCCTCACAAATAAGCACATCCAGTGGGCGGAAGAATGGCCCATCCTGGAAGTTAAACTGTGACAGCCGGCGAGAGCTTTGTCGCCGACGCTGAACTTTGAGTAGCGCTCTGGTGCGAGGGTCCTCATTGTCCGAAGAAGAGGGCGAGATATCGAAAAGTTGACTTCGATGCTTGTGGTGAGAAGGTACATATGACTCTTTGCCAAGTGAGCTTAACTCGATACCATCTTGAGAGCCAATTGTCTGTGATCGAGCTCGGCTTGCTGGTACGCTTCCATGCCTTTGGTTGGTCGGATGCTTGTCGGGGGAGTGAGCAGGCATGCGGTTGGCTTTGACGGGTGACGAAGCGACCGATCCAAGTCGAAGGTTTGGCATGCGGCCCTGTTCAACAGAAGAAGGCTGGAATGTGCCACTTGACTGGTGTGACGCGCTGGACGAAGAGCCAGACGTCTTGCGACGCTCATGGTTGTTTCCAGTACTGAACTGCACCAGAAGCGGCGATGAAGGCTGCGAGGGTCGGCTTGGAGACGAATTCGCCTGGCTTAGACTAGACGGCGAGGAGGGTCGGTTGTTCCCCTTGTTCTGCGACAGCGTGCGCTGCAGAGACATCGGGAGCGGGCTTCCCTCCAATGAAGGCTGGGAGTTCGTCAAGGGTGTCTGGACGGTGGAGGAGGAGGCCGAAGATTGACGATGCTGCGCCTGCATAGCTTCTTGGCGCATTTTGTTGATTACATCCTTATTCGCCTTTTCGAGCATCGGCAAATTCTTGAAGTTGAAGCTGCCAAAGTCATCGGCCAGGGCTGGCTCGCTCAATCTTCGGCTACGCGAGTCACGAGCATCCCGAACATGGGGTGGGATGTGCAGCGGCATTAATGGACGCTTCATCGAATTGACTTGCGAACGCACCTTAAACAGAGCATCATGAGGACGATCTGGATAAGCGCCTTGGGCGACGGGCTCTTGTGACGGATTCTCGTCTTCCATCTCCTCGGCAAATGCCTGAAGACTAGCACCGCGAGCGTCGAAGTACTCGGTGTCCTCTGGATTCTCAAGGTTCGGCACGAACTCAGCCTTGTCCTCTAAAAGAGTGTCCCAGTTGATATCGGAAAACCACGGGTGATGACGGATTTCAGCACCACCGTTGGGGAACTTCTCGTCAACATTAGCTCCAATGCGCTCACGCGGGTTCAAAGTCATGAGCTTATTCATCAAATCCAAGGCTTCTGGTGTAGTATATTCATCGGGATCATCAGGCCAGTTGATATTTCGCCGCAAGATGTTCTCAAAGACTTCATCAGGCGTCGGGGCATTGAAAGGAGGATACCCAAAAATGAACTCAAACATAATGCAACCCAACGACCACCAATCACTGATCTCGTCTTGGCCAACACCATTAATAGTCTCCGGTGCCAGATAATCAGGGGTTCCAACGAAACGCCGGTCGTGATCTTCTGGGTCAAAGAGTGCCATCACTGGAGGAAGCATGCTTTGCTGCGGAGGAGTGTTTTGCGCCATCGGGTTGCTGAAGGTCGGTTGCAGTGCATAAAAATGAGGCGACTCTCCCGCATCGCTTTGCGCATCATCTTCGGCCAGACTGCTGGAGAGCATGCTCAGGGAGGGGGCCGCGGGGTCGCTGATGGGACCTATGGGGTCGTTCAAGGAGAACGTTCTGAACATGCCGTTCAAGCTGTCACTGCCCGCACTATCACTGCGGTAGCCAGATGCCCGCCGGGAGCTCTGTCGACTCAAGGCGCTCTGGTTAAGGCTGAAGTATGACGGCTGAGAAATATTGGCCGCTACTTCTGGAGTGATAAGTGGGGTAGATCCAGGGGAAGAGCCTGCTTGAAAATCGAAGGATGCGGAACGTGAAGAGGCAATTGACATGGCTCGAGGGAAAGGCCCCTGCCTGAGGAGATCAGGGGCCGGCTCATTGGGACTCTTCAAGACACGTTTCTGACGTCCAACGAGACCCATGCGAGAAAGACCGAAGTCGGTCAATTTCAGATGACCGGTCTGATCAATCAACAGATTATCTGGCTTCAAATCCCGATGAACGATTCCTCTATTGTGGAGGTGTTCGACTCCAAGAACAACCTCGGCAGTGTACTTTTTGGCCCAATCTTCGGGAAGACCACCAAGAATCTTGACGAGTGAGGCACAATCACCTCCGTTTAGATACTCCATGACCAGATAGAGATATTCTTTACTCGAAAAGGTCCAATACAACTTAGCCACAAAGTCACTCTCGCCTTGCCACATCATAATGGCGCGTTCGGCTTTGACGTTCGTGACTTGATTCTTGGCAATCATATCCGCTTTCTTCAGGACTTTGATAGCATAGTATTCACCGGTCGACTTCTTCTTGGACAAGTACACACTGCCGAAAGCACCTTTGCTGATAGGCTTGATAATTTCAAAGTCCTTGATGGATGGTGGTGCAGGGCGCGGTTGTTGGCTAACCGAGGACAGCCGCGGCGACGGGGGTGGCTTTGTCATGTCTGAGGAGTTGGCCGACGACTGTCTGCGATGATGGCGACAGCTATGAGCCAATTCGCCAGCGTAGATAGATGGTGAAACAACAGGCGATGGAAGACCTTCATTTGAATAACGAGGCTTGGGCATCCTCAAAGGAGAGTGAGGGCCTGAACCGCGAGCAGGGGAAGGCTGCCGACGAGGAGAACTCGACAGGTTGGGAAGCACCAGGCTTCTTCGTTTTCGATCAAAACTCCTCTCAGAGGAAGGTGAGTCTGTTCGCATACCCGGGAACGCAGATGGCAAGCTGCTATCACTGCTGTCGCCTGCATCAATTTCCGCAAGAGACAGACGATGCCGGGATTGCTGTGAGGTTCCCAGAAGGCCAGCCATGCTCTTGTGAGATCTGGGGGTCGGGCACTCCATAGGACTGTTGGATCCAGTTGAAACCGCAGCGGATGCTGGCCTGTTCTCCCCCTGAGCCATCAGCGTATGATCTGGGGAATTTCGCATAGACATCGTGAGGGCCGAGGTTGGTTTTCTTGGTGTAGGCGCTGCTGGCTGCGCTTGCATGGGTAGAGATTCCTGGCTAGGGTACGACTGCAAAGACTCTGCCTCCGCAGCCTCAAAGTCAGCAGTGTTGCCGAAATTGCTGCCCATATGGGTGTCCTGCGAGGCAGCCTCATCTTCTGAAGAGCAAGATGAATCACTGAGCTGGCCGGCAGCTATACGCTCGGCTTTGCTCAGAGCAGCTGTGATGCATTCTTCCACGAGCACGGTGTATTCGATGCGAATACGTTCAGCATATTCGACAATTTTTCGATGGCGGACAACGGCGTCAACCTTTGCCTTTGCTACCAGTTCTGTGTCTGCAGAGAGAGCAGCAAGGCCCTGTTCCTGTTCGAGCGTGTTGGAACTGGGTGAGTGCCACTGCAGAACTTGTGAAATGCGTGATTCAGACTGTGGAGACAGTGTACGGAAGTCCTCTCCATTATCTGGTCGTGAGGACTCCTTTAAGGCTGGCATGCTGATTTCCGACGCAGTGTCGCAGAGATCGAGAACCAGCTCCACGATCCGAGCCAGCGGTCGTCGTACGGTGAATGCCCGCGGTCGTCCAGGGACTATGCCAGAGGCCGAGTGATCCCGCGAGCGAGGGGGGTGCCCGGGGCAGAGCTTACGCCCGACACAGGCGCTGACGATGGTTGTGAGCTAGCAGGGGAGGGCCCGATGGGCAAACCTTTATACTCTGGTTGGGGGAGGGGCATAATATTGCCATCACTACCGATCAACGGTCTTCCTTGTCGGGCTTCCAGTGCATCCAACACTTTCACAATAGCATGCCGGTGCTCGGTGAGGTTTTCCTGCGCAATTTGTACGTCCATCTCGGCCCGATGCTCCTGGAGGCAAAGGTCTGTGTGTTTCTCAAACCACCATGGTGTGATCTGGCGTTCGCAGATACGACATAGTACTGGGGTTGGGGCAGGGTGTTTGGAGGGATCGGGTTCGGTCGCGGCGGCATCAGCCAGTGTAGTCAAGTAGTTCGCTAGAACCTCTGCTCCGACGCCCAAGGACTCCACCAGAAGGGCCGGTAGATCGATTGTAACTTCTCTCGGTTCGGTTAACGGTCGGAGCATCCACATGGACTGTATTTGATATAGGTGTTAATCACTGTTAGACAAGAGCATAATCTCCGATAACTTACATGTCCGGCTTCGTCGTCCGTCCGGTCATATACCATAATACCCTGTCCCTCCATGTGAAGGACATCGTTTCTCTGTTCGCCTTCGTCCTGCGACGGCTCCACGCTTTCATCGGTTTTTTCATCCTCGGTGCTATCCGCTGTAGGAATTGGGCGCGGTTCGGGCGCGTACTTCAGAACCGAGTCCGCTCCCATCTGCAACGAGAAACGAATGAACCGACTACGCGAGTCATCCTCTTTCATCGCCTCGATCGCGTCACGAAATACATCCTTATTTCCAAGGAGGATGTCCGAGATCATACGGCCCTCTACAGTCTCCGGAGCCGAGCCGATCACCTGCTTCCACGACGGGCTGACCCATTTGATGCGGCACTCGAGATCGAGGTCCACAATAGTATTCAAGGTCTGTTCCGCCGCTTCTTTCAGGTCTTCCCGTTCCTCCCGCATATTGTCGCTCATAGTTCGAGTCATTTTCGGGATGATGTTCCGAGCCTCCTGCCGTAAGGCCGTAACGGCGGGAGGTGCGAGGAATTGAGGTTTGGGAGAGCCATTGTCCGCCATTCTGACGCTGTCCGTCAAGCAGGCGAAATGACCGCCGGTAGTAGTGTATTCGATCGGGATTGAAGCACCGAAATCACGTAGAACGAATCAAACAGCTTGTCGAATGCAAGCAGAACCGTCTGCTGGTGGGCAGAGCGGGTGCTCTCGAGGCTGAGGCTATCGATTCATCCGTAGGATCAAAAAGCCATGTCGCGTTGAAGTATAAAAGGGGGAATCGATCGGTCGACCGCGTTTATCGCTATCGCTAGTCGCGAGGAGGTGAGCAGGTCGAACTTGAAACACGGAGGATCACGGAAACCGTGACTATGCGGGGAATAGCGCGACAGGGACGCGCACAAGTCATCGACGTCAAGCCCAGCAGAGGCTGACCGAGAGGAAAAACAGACCGAAGATATTTGATTTTGAGTAGAAGGAGACTCAAAAAAGAGGGCGAAGTCCGAAAGCCAAACGGGGAGAGGGGGAGGCAGGGCGGTCAATGATTGGATGAAAGCCCCAACTGGGTACTGTGCGTCTTTCTTTTTCTTATTTCTTTACCTCTTTACCTCTTTTTACCTGCTAATTCTGGGTATCAGGTATTGGCATTCACCCAGTTCCTAAGTCCCTAGGTCCCCAGGTCCCTACCGTACTAGCTTACTAGCTCCCTATGCTCCGCTAGCATTCTGAGTTGTACTCGTAGCACATTCTTGTAGGCCCTCATGACGTGGTGCAGCTATACAGAACAGACTTCACTGTATGGCGTCGAGTCTGGATCCCTTTTCTTGTAGCTTTGTATCTCCTGCGTACTTTTGTGCTTGCTCATCTATCGTATCGGATCCCTGTCTTGCGCCTCTTTTTGTTTGCCCTCTTATCTATGTTCCGTCCTCTGGGCCCCGGTCCGAGCTGATGTAAATCCATCGCTTCTCCACCTCCCCCCTCCCCGCCGCCTCCTGCTATGGGTAAAGAAATTCTCGGACTCGATCCCTTCATGCCGTGTAGCGTGTTGGGATGTCATTCCGGCCCGCTAGTACAGAATCCGCAAGCGTCATCTCACTGGACGCCACCATCTGCTCCTGGCGTGTACATGAGACCTACCCAGGAGACCCGTGGGCCGGGACAAGGTCTCCAAAACAATGTCCTACTCAGATTCCAAGATTATGGGATAGGAGTGGAGATTGGGGAGTGGAGACAGAGACAGAGACTGCAGGACTGCACTTGTTCTGCAAAGGACCGACCGGTTGCACCGGGCTGTGGCACGATTAGAGAGACGCAGTTGATCCTGCGTGGTCCCTTACTGGTCACCATTCACGGCCACGTCTGGGGGGATTGCCGATCCGTGTCAATCTCACGAGGGAAGGGAGTGATCTCCCTCGTGCCCTTCTCTATCTGGATGGAATGTGGGAACAAGGTAGGAAAGAGAGAAGAAAAAAGAGCAAAGAGTGGTCCGTGGCGATCACCGGCTCCACCGTTTCTTCAGATCCCCGGTTTGCGGGGTATAGTCACCTGATGCTTCAATGCCACCTGAACCACTCATACTGGCTCATGAGACTCCAGATCCGGTCAGCATGAGCTCATCTGCGAACCTCGCAGGTCTCAGCGCAACAGGGGCGGTGCGAATTTGGAAGTGCAATCCACCCCGTACTTCTTGACTGGCTGTACCTCATGCTAACGGCCCTAGACTCGCAAAGATACTCCCCGAGTAAACTTTATGCTTGTCTCCTCGCAAGTGGGGTAATCCAATCATGCTATTTTCCAAATAACCTGCATCCGCTTCTGATCTGTGGGGAGCCTGTGGGCTCCCTGCGAGGGCTGTGGGATGTATTTCCGACCTCGTACCGTGGATAACTAACCTAGGAAGGTAGCCGCGAAGATCCGTTACGTACATTCGATGGTATGGTGAATAATCTAGAATGCCCAACTCTCAAAGATACCCGAATATGCCTGACATAGGCGGTCTCCGTCTGCTTAAGTCATGGTCTGACACTTTTACGTTAATCGTCGCCTCGGGGCAATAGTATGATCCGTTTGATTTTTGAGAGCGTTTGAACCGTTCAGTGTTGGAAATTAATCCGACCTCCTAGCCTAGGGACCCTTACTACATCGCTACGTCGTCCATTGAGTGCCGCGTGCCGAGTTCCCGGCTGCATGAGGCAAGGCCCAGACGCAATGATATATAGTTCTCCCAACTGTGGCTGCAATGCACTTGAGTGACCTCATGTGGATCGGATTAAAGCTGGTACAAAATGTGGAAAGCGAGCCTCAAGTTCTTGGGATAAATCGGTATTCGTAAATAAGAACAGGTACCTAGTACGTAGGCGTGTCTGCGGAACCCCAGATATGCTATTTGAGCATAACTCGAATCTTCAAGGCGCTTCCTATTAAGGATATTATCGCTTTGCCAAGGGCAAATGAACAACAAGCGAGCACTCAGAAGCGACTGGGTATCAGCCGACCGGAGACATAGTATTGCCCTTTGAATCCTGAAATTAAAGCTGTCAACCAAGAAGGTATTTTACTATACGTATCTTTCCAAGCCCCTCCCCCGTCACCCAAACACATGTGCCTACATAGGATCGAAGCAAGGTTCACCTTGGAAATTCTTGGGCTTCAGAAAGTTTAAAGCAACGCATGGCTTTCGTGCTCAACAGTCCTTATCACCTCGAATTGATCAAGTATATCGAATTTGTGCAACCTTGGTTATTGTAAACTTTTGTGATGGTATGGTCACTAGGCTACTTGAAGACGGGACCGAATAGGTAGAGGCTGGAACCTGCTCAGGTGATAGCCAATGTCTTTGAAAAGGCTAGCCTTTTACATTTCCAGTATTAGAAATCAGCTATGATCATGAAACCCTACAATTTCCTTTTAAGTTTGTTGACAACCTTGGAAGTTCCATCCATTTCCAGGGTCGTGGGGCACGGGATATATTGAAGGGGTTGAGATCAGATACGTCAGATAACCACATTGGAATATGCGGCTCCGTCCATGGCTTCAATAGACATGCTTCGGTGGATTAGTTCAATAGGTTGGATGGTCTGAAAGGAACATGATGGCTTCAGCGCAGTAGGAAGATTCTGGGGTTGTTCATCTAGCCTCAGAAACAAGGTGTCGAACCCGTGAGCTGCTGATTAATTCATCACCCATTCTGCCTGGAGATGCATCCAACCCTGCACCATCCCTTCGGATCCATATCAATGAAAGAGACCTAGCTCTGTATCTGACATAAATCGATACTTGGCTATATGTCGTCTACAGCTCCAGTGGATGACCCCGCTGCCCGAAGAAAGCGGGCCGGGAGAAAGTATACGTCACGGGCTTGCGAGGAATGCCGTCGACGAAGAGCAAAGGTATGTTGAGTTACAACTTTGCAGAGCATTCAACGTATCTGCTCTGAATTATGGCTCTGACCTGCTATTACCTCGCAGTGCGATGGAGCTAGACCATCTTGTTCACGATGTCTCGATCGAGGGACCCGCTGTCAGTATTCCACTGCTGAGGACGGGAGACAACCAGCCCCCAAGTCCTATGTTGTGATGCTGCGTAGCCGGATCGAGCTACTGGAAAAGGTACTTAAGTCCCACGGTATTGATGCCGATGCATCTGTTGCCCAATTGATAGCAGAGGAGGAATCCTCAAATCAACCAATCTATCCGAGCTGCGTGGCAGGGTCATCGAATGTCGATGATATATGTGTGACTTTTGATGGAGCCCTCACCCTTGATGAATCCTTGAACTTTGATCAGGATGGCGAGGTCCGATATTTTGGTCCTACCAGTGGGCGTCTGCTATTCCGATCTTCAGCGAACGGTGAGAGGTTAAAAGCTCTTTGTATTGGTTTCATTTGCTAAGAATCTGCAGCCTCTCCAACTGAAGAGGCGTATCAAACAGACGCTTCCTGTAACGGATGTGCACCGGGAGATCCATCTCTCAGCATGTCCAGAGTCTACAAGACCTCGACAGATGATCATGTTGACATGCTAGGGGATAGCTCGATATCAGATGAACTCGAAGCTTATTTGATCGATCTATATTTCGAATGGGAACAGCCGTGGCTCCAGGTAGTCAACGAGACACTGTTTCGAGAAAGTTTGGCCTGCGGTGGGCGGTACTGCAGCCCGCTCTTGCTGAATTGCATCCTCGCTCTGGGTTCTCGCTACTGCGACCGTCTTGAAGTGCGAGCAGACCCAAATGATTCAAATACAGCTGGAAAATATTTCATTGCCAAAGCCGAAAAGCTTATTCAACACGATCTCAGGTGGCCCAAGATCACGACTATTCAATCTCTGGCCATTATGGGCATGGTCTACATCGTAAGAAACCATCATTTTGTCCCGAATAATCGAATCGAACTGACGGATGATGAAAGGCAATGGGCTCTGATGCCTCTGGATGGCTTCATCAAGGAATGGCAAATCGCCTTGCCTTGGACATGGGGCTCAACATGGATCCTGCTGTGCTCGCAGAAAAGGTCGCTCTGTCACCGATTGAGATTGAGTTACGGAGACAGATTTACTGGGCGCTTTACTGCAATGACAAGCTTTCAGCAAGTTACACAGGCAGAGTGTGTACTTTGCTGGTATGTTTGAATTCTGATATGTACAAAATTCGACGTCTAATCAAGCTCTTTTATAGGATTCCCAAGGCGCCGTCAATATGCCGTACCTTCAATGCACATCCGAAATTCGCCTCCCTTCTGCAAATGGCGGGCTACGAGCTGCATCCCAGAAAGAAGTGACAGGATTACATCGGTCAATGATCTCCCTTTGTCGTATTCTGGAAAAGATCCTCCTCTCCCTGTATGCCAACCCTGTGTCCTCACCATGAACAGAGCTAGCTGTTAATCTTCCAGATGGTCACCAAAACCCCTTATCCACGCCCACCAGCGCTCAGCATTTTTCGACTCATGTATTCTCGAGCTCAAAACATGGGCCTACGACTTACCCTCTGAACTCAAGATGGATCGACCAAAAGGACCCTCACGATTCCCTCACGTCTACACTATGTCTATGGTGTACCATACCGCCTACCTACTTCTCTGCGAACCGTTCATGAAAGAGCATTATTCATCGGACGATGCAAGCAACACAACATCCCCAGTCGAATCAAAAGTAGGCAAGAATTCATGCGAATCTCTCCGACTCGAAAAAGCAATATCCAGCTGCTGCGCCTCGGTTAGGTCCATGGTCATCATCGCTCAGAAGTATAGACAGATGTTTGGAAGCTTCAAACTAAGCCCCATTACCGCTACACACTGCATTTTATCTGCTGGATTGATCATCGTCGAGAAATGCTGTTCTCTTGATTACTCCCAGCTGAAGCAAAGTTCCGGAGATGATGTGCCTCGCATGCTACCCCCGCACGCTGCCGCAGGTCTGTGCTTCCAAGTTCTCCGAGAACTCTCTACATCCTGGAATATCGCCAAGCGAATCGGGTGTAACCTCGAAAAGGTATATATCCAGCGCTACGGAGTCGACCACCTACCCCCACTGGTGCAGGTCGGTGATCCCATCACCGAACCCCGGTCAGTAGGACCAGATGGTCCATGGGAACCCGGCATTCCTCCTTTACATGCATTCGAGGGAGTATTCGATGTCCAGAACGGGAAATTTGAGGATCCTCTCTCGCTTCATCTGGAGAATCCATTTGCCCACCCGCATAACCCAAATATGAACCAGCTTCACGATCAGCCTTTTGATGGTACCCAGCAGAGTCTCCCCACTTTAGACGAACTCTTTGCGCATAATCTTGGGGTTGCATTTACCCCGGATTGCTTACCGAGTGATTACAACATGTTTGATACTTTGAATCAGATGTATCTAGAAGAGACTTGGTGATATAATTCTAGAATAACTTCTGTATTCAGTCCAGTATCCAATCTTCTCGTAAGATATACAGCATTACTGAATTTGGAATTGGTAATGTCATTGACTTGAAACGTCAGCCGCATGTATAATATCTGCAGCGATCTTTTCAGCCAACATATCTGTCAATCCTATCAGCAATGCTTAAGTTTCAAGGTTAAGGGGGAATACTTGCAGACAGTTGATTGAGGGTGACCTGGAGGCAGTATGGGGAATGCGCTGGCATCAACTACCCGTAGGCTATGAACACCATATACCATCGCCTTGTGATCAACCACAGCCATTGTGTCGTTCCTCAGGCCCATCTTGCAAGTGCAAGCGGCATGATAGATAGTCATTACGGTATTTCTGATCAATTTCAAGATGTCGGCATCCGTCTGATACTTCAGTCCGGGGAAGTATTCGGGTCCTATTAAAACCGATTGCATTGCGTCGGAATGGAATGCAGCCCGTATTCGCTTGTAGGCTGCCACAGCCACTTTCTGATCTGTCTCCGTGGCCAGCCAGTTTGGATTGATAATAGGCAGGTCCTCGGTATTAGAAGAGCTGATAGTGACATTTCCGCGTGATGTGGATGCTACGAGACTGGCGATGATGCTGCCATACTGTCCCTGCAATGGTTGTTGTCTGAATGGATCGGAAAAGTTTCCAACATATGCCGATGCGACAAGATACTACCCTTGGGTTAGCGCTTTTCAACCAATTCTTCGACACCCCGACTTACCTCAACCTCCGGCCAATCGTCGGAGAACCAGGAAAGATCCTGTTCATTATCGGGTGAGAACTCCGTTCGCGAACTGGCTGGTAGATTTTCGAACGCAATGTAGTCAGTTGACGGATTTGTCAACAGACCATATCGAAGGAAAAGATAGGTTGCAACTTGCTTTGCAAAATAGAGAGGACTTTGTGTCATTTTGGTGAATGTGTCCACATTGACCGGATATGATGGTCCAAAGAAAACGTGATCCCACATGTTCTGTCCAACTCCAGGTAAGTCCGCAATAGGCTGGATTGAGTGTTCTCGCAGTGTCTCAGCCGGTCCAACTCCTGATACCATTAAGAGCTGCGGGGATTGAAAAGCACCAGCAGAGACGATCACTTCCCTCATTGCTCCTATCGTGATATCTAGGTCCCAGAAGCCCCACCGCTGCTTCACTCTAATGCCAGTTGCTTGCTTGTGCGTGTTGAAAAGAATTTTCTTTACTAAAGATGATTCGTAGATAGTCAGATTCACTAATCCCTGTGGCGGATGGAGGAATGCCGATTCTGAACTGCTCCGTGATTGATCCCAAGGACGAATGGTCATTGAACAGTACTGATGGCCCATGAGCGACCCGCTGTTGAAATCTTGGGTCTCATTTATCCCGATCGCACTGAAGCCGTTGCCAGCCGAAGCGGAGAACGGCATCGCATAGCGCGGGTAAGACACTTGGAGGGGACCACCCTTTGTGTCAAAGGCGGACTCGTTGAAGAGGCTTCTGTTGGCATGGAGTCGACTTCCAGGCGATGTGAAGGAAGTTGTCCTTTTGAAAAAGGGAAGGGTACTCGCCCATGAATATTCTGAGTCCTGGAGAAGATCTGCCCACGTTTCCATCGCACCTTTGGATGGCCTTGTCAAGGTAGTCAGCTTTGGACACTTAATCGTGTGCGCTATACCTACCGTTGGTATATCATGAAGTTCAATGCCGACCTCAAGACCTGCTGTCAGCATCCCATAAACGACTTTGCCGATTCCATACGTACGATCCGCCCATGCATTTCCCCCGAGGATAATGAATATCACGGTAAGCGGCACCCGGTACCTTCTTTGCTACAAATCTCCAGTCTGCGGCTGATGCAGTATTCACATCAGCACCAACACCCAGAACAGCCGAGCCGGGGACTTCTGAGATGGGATGAGTATCTTCGTAGTAGCCGCCCGCTTCGACGATGGCGACTTTGAATCCATGCTGGGCAAGGCGTGTGCCGACCGTGATACCCGCAGTGCCTCCACCAACCACGACATAGTCAAATATCGCATTCCGCGAGGGAAGCCAACGAAATGAACCGGGATCTTCAGTGACTGGAAATAGAATGAGGAGGCCAGGAAGTGCTGCAAATACAGCGCCTGTGAGTAACCGAAAGATGAACGTGAAATACATTGAGCATTGGATGATTGAAAAAGGCTTCTCTGAAGACAAGCTCCCCAAGGGCAGATCATGGCAGTTGTCGGGGAGGTGCGGTCGCGTAGTTCCCGCATCGGGCAAGCAGGGCCTGTCCCCATTTCCCATAGAATCAACTACTTTCAAGTATCAAGTGTCTTGAGTATCCCTGAAATCAAGTCAACGAGCCAGGTTCGTACTGGAACTCGGCAATAATGTTGATGATCACGTTCGATCCACCTTACTCCTCAGTGTTGACCACACTGGCTACTTCAAGTTGCTCACTGGTATCTTTGAGCGTAATATCGCATTCTTCGACCGTAATCCATCTAAGTGTGCTGTGCCTTGATTAGTCTGAATCTGCTAACAGTGGATTTAACATTGCGCCATGTGACCTTGTGCACCCTTGAAAATGGTAATAGAGTTTATCAATCGCGAATTCTTTCACCAGAAGCCGAAGCCGGAGATGGATTCTAAGATAAAACGAGTGCTAACAAGTGCCTCAATAGCAAATAGTTTCCTAAACGTAGACCCATGTTAGTTCTAGAACCACTGCTTTACATATAACTCCCGACAGTTTTTTAGGCGAATCTCCTATACAATCCTACTTCACTGCTCCCGGGGACCCTACACCCCCAACCCACCAAGTAGCGAGAAAAGGAAACAGCACGTAAATAAGCATTCTTCTTTTTCTACTTTGGAAAATCACACAACATGCACCTGAAATAGATATTATGCGCATAATAAAGCGTTTTGTCTCCGACAGGGTTTCAAACACGAGATTCCTCTTGAACAACATCTGTTTCTGCACCACCATCTCCAATCTTTGGTCCCACCGCATCCACGAACCTTGCTGCATGATCCGCCACCTCATGAGCCTCCTTGATAAACCCTAGAATGAGCCCCGCTCCAAATGAATCGTGCGGCGCTTGCGGGGTCTCGAACAGCTCCAGCTTCGTCCCATTCTTCTTCATCGCCTCCGCGTACTTCAAGTGGTCCTCATGCATAAGCTCCGTCGTGCCAGTATGTAGAAACAGCGGTACCGTGCTATGAATCTCGTTCCCCAGATGGCTAATGTACGGGTGTGTGGTGGACCAGCCCTTGGGCGTGAACCGCCGGATGCCCCACGACGACAGAGAGCCGAAGATATAGTCCTGCGCCCGCCTCGGATGCTGGTCCATCATGTCGCGGCCCACTGTCAGATCCAGCCACGGGCTCCAGAGCAGCCCAGTGCGTGGCAGGGGAAGTCCCGCCTGCTTGCCATTTTCGGAGAGGTACCGCACCAGCGAAAGAACGAGGTGCCCTCCGGCAGACTCCCCCGCGAGCACTATTTGGCTAGCAGGTACCTTGAGCTCATTCAGGACGTACACGTACGCCGTTATAGCGTCCTGTAGCGCCGCAGGGAACGACGCGTTCTCATCGACAGAAAGCCGGTACTGCGGCAGCAGCACGGGGCAGGCCAGGCGCGTGGCCAGCACGCGCGGGCCCCATCCGCCTTCATATTCCCGCACGCCGCCCAGTACGTACGCGCCGCCGTGAAAGTAGATGATCACACGCTCAGGCACCTCACCTGGCTTGGGACTCTCGGCGTACCACACTCCACCGACTGGGCATGGGACTATGGCTGGGTCGTGATTGACTAGGCCTGTATATGGGCAGGGTAATTTGGACGAAGGCTTGATGATAACGAAGCGGTCTTTCTCACTACCCGGATCGAGGGTCTTACTTACGTGGAGCTCGGTATCCGTGGCGAACTGGAAATAGAGCTTAAAGAGTCGCATGCCGATGGCTTGGTGGTAGGTCCATGTGGGGTTCGGGCGGAGGGTCTTGGGAATGAAGTAGACTAGGATGGAGAGGACGCGTAGAGGGAGGAAGGCGAGGTAGAAAATCGTATATATACCCTTATACGGCTGTCGGGTGAGACATGAGGAGGCCATTTCGTCAGATGTGGTTTTTATAGAAAGAGAGGGCAGTGTCCCCACAGCCTCGCTCTTAAATAACAAAAATAGTGGGGCGGGGGGGCCTAGCCGCACATGTAATAAGATGTCGCATGCTTGTGTGTTTTTGCTAGGTTTAACTTAGCTATACAGTGGTTGCCAAAAACAAATTTTCGTCTGACATCATTGATTTCTTTCCTAACCCGTACAGTAGTTTTCGAAATCACCTATACCGCCATGCTCTTACTACTTGATTGCTAGAAAATAACTCCGGGTGACGCTACGTTTTGCCTCTTCTCCCCCATTCTTTCCGCATGCAGCGCAGCAGCCATCTTCACTCGCCAGTCATAATTCAGAAGGCTGTGCTTATTCTGTAGAGAGCTAAACATGGCAGAGAAAGATATTTTGTCCATCTCCATGGATTTTGCTTTTTCTACTACGCTTCTCACCAGTCTCAAACCTTTGGGTTGTAGGGTCCAGCCAGCTAATGTGGACTTTATATGGATCTTGATTATTGTGAGAGACGAGCTAACATCGCCTCGATGATACATCTCAATTTACAGAGCACGAACCATGGGAGTACCACTTGCATTGCGCCCCAACACCTAGCTATTGTGGCAGCCCCTACGCAGCGCTATCGAGCGTACGAGTGAACCCGCCCTACGCACTCTCAAAATTTCTCCAGCTATATAAGTGGGAAGATGGGTATTTCACCCGTGATATGATAGAGAGCCAATCCACAGTAAACAAAGAGCTTTTGGTGAACTAGTCAAGAGGCAAAAACGTGCGTGAGCGAGGAGTGGGTCTATGTTTCCCCTAGGCCACATTTGCCCTAGCGGTCACATTTGTGCTAAAAGGGCCGCGTCCTCGTAGTTCCCCACGACTTGTTGCTCCGGGCACTTGATGACTCTTTAAAGCAACGTACATCTTGTAACACCCTGCTGCCCTGCTGTGAACATCTCAGCCAAATTATCATGAGCGTCACTTGTACGATGATTACTGACGGCAAACGGCCTCAAGATATTCGTATCTCCCCTGATGGCGAGCGTATCGTGTACAGCCTTTCTCCGCGATGCCGTGCGCAAAAGGAGGCTGTGTCTTCAATATGGATAGCAGCAATGGGTAGAGCCAACTCTTCGAAACAAGTCACTCCAGGAATATTTAACGACGTTGCACCCGAGTTCTCCCCAGATGGAAGATACATTTCGTTTAAGTCGGACCGGCTACATCGAGGGGTTACCTCGACGATTTACCTACTGCCAGTGGAAGATCCTGGAGAAGAAGCCCTGCCACTCACCCCGACAAGAAACACAACCCATATCGGCAGCTATCAATGGTCTCCTGACGGCAATTACATTGCCTTCACTAGTGCTGATGAAGACACTGAGGAGAAGACAAACAAGTATCAAAAGGGGGATGATGCTCGTGTGTGGGGTGAGGACTGGGCCCACGCTCGGCTGAGGGTCATTAGTGTCCATGACAAAACAATCACTACCCTGGTTGAGCAGCAAGCCCACGTCTCTAGTCTGGCGTGGAGTTCGGATGGGGAGTCCCTCGCGTACACCCTTCTACCCAGCTCTAGGGAAGAGCACATGATTAACGGTGGAGACATCTATGTTGTCAACGTACAGAGCCATATATCCCGAAAGGTGCATCACTATGCAACCAGGATCCGTGATCTCAATTGGTTCGAAGATAACTTAGTCTGGGTTGGTGTACATGATGGAGAGTCAATCTGGTCCTCGTATGCCGTGTGGCAGTGGGATTCGTCCACTGGTCACATCACGAAAGTCGCGCATGGAGAGAAAGACTGTGCGCGGGCGCTGCGGTCGTGTAGGGGCCAGCTTGTGACGTATGTCCAACACGGCTTGATGGATATTCTCGATGTTTTCTCCGGCCAACGCATATTTTCAAATCGCTGGGATATTGGGGCAGGTTGGGACGTACACGATACGGGCAGAGTTGCCCTCTGTAAAGGTTCGCCAGCGGGTGAGGAGGTCATTTCGATCATCGATGGCCAGCAAGTCCAGCTATCCTCACACAGCAACATACCTCCTACGGCGCTCAGATACAGTACCCTCGCGATCGAGACGGTGACTCAAGACGGGCTCCCACTCGATGGGATGCTCTATATTCCCGAAGACGGCCACAAGCCGTATCCGGCTGTGGTCATATCTCACGGTGGCCCATACTGGCGCGTGACTGAAGGAACAGATGCAAGCTTGTTCTCGTGGACGCCTTGGCTGCTCTCTCTAGGCTATGCCGTCTTGCTACCGAACTATCGGGGCGGTGCTAGCCATGGCGCCCGCTACGCAGAGGCAGTCACAGGCGACCCGTCCGTGTCCTACCAGGACATCGTCGCCTTCACAGAGCATTGCATCAGTCAGTACGGAATTGACGGCCAGCGTGTCGTAAGTGCTGGCTGGAGCTACGGCGGCTACCTGACCTACATCGCGCTGACGCGCCAAGCAAACTTCCATTTTGCAGCCGGAATTGCAGGCGCTGGTCCTAGCTGCTGGGATACGATGGTATTAACAAGCGACGTACCTACCTTCCAAGGCGCGCTGACAGGCGTGCTCTCCTGGAAGACGCAGTTGTACGCTGGCACGGCTGGGCCGGGTAGTCCAATGAGGCACCTGGACGGTGTCAAGTCGCCCCTTCTGATCCTGCACGGTGAGGACGATGCCCGCGTGCCGGTCAGTCAGGCGAAGAGCTTGCATTTGGCTCTGCGGGCACGGGGACACATGCCCGAGATGGTGCTTTATCCCCGCGAGGGTCACATGGATTGGGAGCGGTTGCACGTTGTTCATATGCTACAGACTATAGAGAGGTTTCTCCGCAAGCATGTGCCACATACTATAGAAGCACCAGACAGCGAATAGTTATGGAAGTCCAGTTTTAAATAGACAGTACATTTCTCTTTTGAACCCATACTTCATGAAGTCACCGCGTATTCATATTGGTTACTGTGCCGGGCGCTAACTTATATCTCGTTGGCTTGCATCGCATAGTTAAAGGCGCCTAGCGGCTTTGGTCTTCATTAACGCATCTATCTGTAGAGTAGTTTTTCGACGGCAATGCAACCTCACCAACAGTTTTTTGCCATTTTTTATATCAACTACTACCATCTTTACCTCTCATGTGATCAAAAGATGGTCTCCAGTCACTCGAGGGAACTATCAAAACCTTGGGCCGGGGTCTATCTCACAAAGACTCCAGTTACGCTCGGTAGAACTTTGAAGCTCAGCAAAACATTCTTCAATTAAAATGAGTCAGGCGATTATGGCGGGAGATAAAGCCAATTTCATCCTAGCATCTGCACACAGTTGTGCGATTGAAATTTCGTAGTGTTATGCAGATAATACTCCCTTAGATCGACATTCTGCTCTCTTGCACGTTGCGTCGCAGAATTTCTAGACCAGCCTTTTGCGACAAGGGCTCTTCTGATGCTAGAGATTGTGGCAAATGTGCGAAACTCATCCCAGAGGAAGATGTGAATACTGGGAGTTTGGCTCGTTGGGCTGTTCCGCCATACTGTGCCTGAATTACGGGAGGAGTCTTGATCTTTGAACCCATGAGTTAAGATCTAATATCCAATGATCAATCTTTATCTTATGAGGTTTCATTGGTGCTTTTAGAGTTCTACCACTTTTCAGCCCCGGCAGGGACCGTGCGTGTTCAACTAACAGGGTGCTATTAAGCGGTACGGTTGGGGCAAATCGAGATTGCCGAGGGTGTCGAACGTCGATCGACCCTCCCTCGTGGCCGCATGAATATCTGCTTTTGCAAAAGAAACGACCCCTGCGATCCCTGCCAAAAAGATCGTAGACTAGATACGTATGGCCATCGCGCACGAATGTCAGCCCTTGGATCCCATTAGGAAGGTAGTTCCGGTGATAAGGCAGGCCACCAATAAGATCGGATGTCAAGCTTTTTGGGATGGAACCCGCCTAGTCCGTCCCTCTGCGCCAATAATATGGAGTATACCCCACTGATATCTCCTGAATCGTGGATGTGGACATGAGCAGCGGGTCCGAGAAAGACAAAGCCACACATGTGCTACAGTAGGCCGCGTCAAACCGGATTAAACGAGTGTTCTCGGCCCGCGAATGTTCTTTTTCTTCCTTTTTTTTTTTCTTTTTCTCCTTTGGCTTTTTTTTTTTTTTGCTTTTGCTGCTTCTGTATAACCCCGTCTCTCATCCATTGCCAACCGCAGTGCGACTAAACATCATGGCGGATACTATTGAAAAAGCCACTGTTGGCGATGCTGAGCTTCGCCAGCGTCACGATAGACGTCAGGTGGAGATTATTGGGCCAAACGGCGAGCGGAAGAAGATTGCGGTTGCCAATATGACACACGCCGACACCGAGTTGGCAGCGAAGTTTGGCTACAACCCGGTGTTCAAGCGTGAGTTTGGATATCTGGCAACCTTTTCTTTCGCAGTCAGCATCAGTGGTCTGTTCTCCACCATCATGACCACTCTGTCCTACCCGTTGGAAGCCGGTGGCAGTAGTGCGGTTGTGTGGTGTTGGTTCGTCTCTGGTGCTGGCTGTATGTGCATTGCAGTGAGTGGCATAGCGCCAAATGATAAGGACCTGAAGTCACTAACGCTAGCGCAATCGATAGTGCTCCGTCGCTGAACTAGTCTCTGCGTATCCGACATCCGGTGGCCTTTACTTTACCATCTCTCGCCTGGCCCCTGCAGCCTGGGTGCCCTCTATCAGTTGGTAAGCAACCATACGAAAGAATGACTTGATGCATTTCTAACACTCTCTCAGGTACACTGGATGGCTGAACCTTCTCGGCCAGGTTGCCGGTGTGGCCTCGTCCGAGTACGGTGCTGCGCAAATGCTTCTGGCCGCCGTCTCCATGAGCCGCAACTTCAACTATACAATCACCACCGACACCACCGTTGGCGTCATGGCGGCTCTTACGGTCATTACGGGTGTGGTGAACTCTCTGTCGACCTACTGGATGGAGAAGATGACCAAGTTATATGTCATTTTCCACGTTTGTGTTCTCGTAGCCTGTGCTATTGCCCTGTTGGTCTTGACCAAGGATAAGCATGATGCGAGCTACGTCTTCACTCAAGTTGAAAGCTCGAGTGGCTGGAAGCCGATTGGCTTTAGCTGGTTGTTCGGTTTCCTTTCCGTCAGCTGGACAATGACTGATTACGACGCGACCGCGCATATCACGGAGGAGATGAGCGAGCCCGAGCTCAAGGCCCCGTGGGCTATCTCCCTGGCTATGGCCTTCACCTACGTTGCCGGTTTCCTGTTCAACATCGTTCTGTGTTTCTGCATGGGTAATCCTGAGGAGATCTTGAGCTCCCCGATGGAGCAGCCCGTGGCCCAGATCTTCTATAACAGCCTTGGCAAGGGTGGTGGTATGTTCTTTACCATTGCGGCTCTGATTATCATCAAGTTTGTGACCTTCACGGCCATGCAATCCCTGGGCCGCACTGTCTTTGCCTTCTCTCGCGACCGCCTCCTGCCTTTCTCCAATATCTGGGTCAAGGTGGCTCCCTGGACCGGTACTCCTCTTTATGCTGTCTGGATCTCCGTCTTCTTCTGCATTGCCATCAACTTGATTGGTCTCGGATCTTACATTGCCATCTCAGGTGTCTTCACTGTTTGCGCGATCGCTCTGGACTGGAGCTACTGCATTCCTATCATGTGCAAGCTGATGTTCGGCAAATTTGAACCCGGCCCTTGGCACATGGGACCATTGAGTTGGATTGTCAACGTCTGGGCTTGCTTGTGGACTCTTTTCGTTAGTGTGATCTTCGTGCTGCCCACGGCCATGCCAGTTGCCGCGGATAACGTATGTATTAAGATTGTCGAGCTTGTTATCCCGTACGCTAACCTGATCACAGATGAACTACGCTTGCGTCTATCTCGCCGCGCTTCTTGTTTTCGCCGGGATCTATTGGTTCATCCGCGGCCGCGTCGTCTACACTGGTCCTATCACCGAAGCCGTCGCTGATGATCTCTCTGAGAGCGAGATTGTCGCCACCGAGAAAACTGACAAGGGTCCCTCCGCCTAATTGCCCAACATCCCAGATTCACCAAGCTTTGCCAATCGCGACACCGGATGACAGCCATTCCCTCCCTGGACCCACTGCAACTTCCAATATCCTTGATTTTATACCCGCAGCGCCCACACCGGTCCCTGGCCCTTGCGACTGGCCCCTTGCAATGATCAACACAACCTATGCAAGCCTCAACTCCGCCCAGACACCCCACGCCTTGCACAAAATTCAGCCCGAGAATTTGCCATGCGACCTCCCAAAACCTCAACCCACCCTTGCGCCAAAACTTCCTTGCGACCTTTTCCCCTGCGACACCTTCGAGCCATTGTATGACCCAACTTCAGACTTATGTAGAGTCTTGCGACTAGGAGAGGGTTGAATGTGTAATTATTTAGTGCAATATCTGTACATAATTGATCAAGAGATACCTATACTATAATGTTGGAAACCTTGACCATGATTTTAACCCGAATCCACAAAGTATTCAAAGCTAGAGCTAACCCGGCTACTGTATGAATGCGGTGGAGAATTCCATCTCGATTGGAGACTATCTCCGCGCTATGTCGCAGAGCCCATGATTGGTCGATCGGTGTGCTCCGTCTTCCCCGCACCACATGCATCAGATAACCCGACAACTTGCCCCGGCTGCACTGCGCCATTAGCGCCAGCTTTGAGCTGGAGGAGCATTGACAACCCACCATCTGGTCCGACTATGGCCTTGACGGAGACCTCGCTCCCCAATCGCACTGGGCGGCGGCGGGTCGTCAAGAAGCGAGGCACCACGCGTGAGAGGACAGGTTGTTTGACCTGTCGGCAGAGGTGAGTTACCGGCGATCTCGATCTATATACGGATCTTCATGCTACCCCTCCATGTCATCGAGTCGTCGGCTCGTGCTAATGTTTTCCCTCAGAAAGAAGAGATGCGACCTAGGCTATCCCGTATGCAGGGAGTGCGTCCGTTTGAACTACATGTGTACATGGGAAGATCCGAGACCTCTTACCGGTGATAAGCGTCAACCTGGAGCTGCCCAGCAAGGTAGTCAAATGACCAATGCGCCATTTCGTCTATTGTCTTCACCAGACCCAGTCTTATTTTGGGTCGACGAACATGCCGACTGCGCAAGTACCTCTAGCCGCCGGCATTTCCTCCGATACTATACCCAAACTTTTACACACCTTTTGACTACTAATATCGAAAACAATTCTTTCCTTTCCGGTACGTCTTTGGCGACAACCATTCTCACGGAGACATCATCTAATCCAGTGTGAACCAAAGTTTTCCTCCCAATCGCAATGCACAGCCCGCCCCTCCTGACCAGTTTAATAGCCTGGTCCTCATCTCACCTCTCGTTACGTGACAAGTCCTTCCAACAAGTCGCAATGCAAAACCGATGCGCGGCTCTTCGCGATCTCCGAGTCGCACTGGATTCCGATCCGACGAATGTGGAGACCAACCTAGCAATATCATTGGTGCTATGCTCGCTAGAAAGCATTATGGCGGACAATGGCGACGCGTGGTTTCTGCATCTGAATGGTGCGGCGGGCGTCATTGCGTCCAAATTATGCACAGTGGAAACATCCGGCGGACAAGGTGCAGCATGTCTGTCACAGAAGTTTGAGGATGAGCATTCTGGGCGGTGGTTATTGCGGAACTTTGCATACCGTGATATCGTCATGTCCGTGGCGCGAGATAAGGCGCCTCTTTTGAGCTCTCATCATTTCTTAGGACCAGATGAGCCTCGGCTGCCTGATTCACATTTTGGTCTTGCGTCGGAGATTTTGGAGATCCTCTATCATACCACTGTATTGAATGAGCAGATCAAGGCGTCACTCCACTCTCCGTCGACATTGCCAGACAGTGCTGCAGTACATCCCAATATCCCACCTGGAATTTTTGCCCAATCGCCTGAGAATATGACACGGTTTCTTTCTCTAGAGGCTCGACTCGTGCGTTGGACATGCCCTCCATCAGCGGATCTTTCATTAAGATTGCTTGGCGAGACATATCGCTATTCGGCTCTGATCCATCTGTATCGTGTTATGCGTCGGGCCTTCCCTGGTCGGCAGGATGAGTTTTCATCAAAGGCGGGTTTCCAGGTCGCGTCTATTGTGGGATATGTCGAGCAGATGCCGACCCGCAGTCTGCCTGAGTGCACTTTGCTCTTCCCGTTATTCTTGGCTGGCGGAGAAGCCACTGATGAATCGCATATCAAATGCATTCGGAATCGAATGATCGACATGATCGAGTCTCGCGGCTTCCGTAATGTTGAAGTTGCATTGTCTGTTCTAGAGAAGCTTTGGCGATTGAGGATCGCCAGAAAGACGGCTGGTGCCTCTTTGCGAGTTGATTGGCTTAATATTGTACAACAGGAAGGTATTTCCCTCTCCCTGTCCTAATGGACTGATGAACATATGTATATTATTGTCAAGATCTGTTTGGTCTTCTTACCTTCAATGTATGTTTAGGTATTCGATACTTTCTAACGTACAAACTGATCTGCAAAAGACGCCCCCATCCCAATTGCCTCGTAGTGGTTCCTCGCCGCCTGTAGCTTACTAAAGACATCTTCGATACCCAGGGAATTCCCATCGACATCAACGTAGATATACGCGCCCGTCACGTGGAACAAAGTGACCATCTCAGGGACTCCATCTGGAACTTCCAGTGTGTGAATATCCCCCGGGGGCTCAAAAGCATAACTGCCTTCCTCGGCCCACCAGTCATGCTCGAGATAATGCCATCGGCCTCTTAATACTGTCGCGTGTACTGGTCCTGTGTGTCTGTGACGTGACAGAATGCCGCTTTTTCTCACGCGTAGGATGTTGACGAAATAGCCTTGGGAGACGTTGAAACATAGCGGACGGAACCAGACATCTTTGGATTGAGGAACCCAAAGTCGCTCATCACAGTCTAAGTTGAGGACTCCGGCGACAACAAGATCGTCGGGGACGTTGGGAAGCTTAGGACCCCGATAAGGCTCAGCAGAAAGATCCCCTTTTTCCATTACGTTGTGACTATTCAAATATTAGTTTCGGATTTGGTGGTCGTGAATTTCGATATTACCTGTAGTCCGCGACCTTGGAGTGATCAATCATGTCTGCAAAGTGAATCTCTCGTAGATCAGCGGCCAGTCTTTATATGTGCTAACCCGACGCGACCTCGCTCTAAGCGGCGTCAAGGGCGGCGAAGTGCATCGATTTGGTTTTGAACTTCATCTTGGCTTTCCTACGTGGATCTCCACCGAAGGGATGTTCTTCTAATCGGATAGGTACCGAGTTTGTGTGGGGACAAGATCAGCTCCACTCGGCGTCAACAGCGGCCTTTCTCATCCTGGCCGAGTGCCGGGTGATCGTCCATATAAAATAAAATGCCATCGTATCAGACAACCCTTCTCTGATATTGCTATTTCACTATCTCGTACAGTCTACCCATCATGACTACGGACGCATTTGTCGCGCGTTCTCACATTCTTCATCGCTCATTCTCCGAGCGACCCGCCAAGATTGTCGCTGGTGATGGAATCAGCCTCATCTTGGAAAATGGAAAGAGGATTATCGATGCCAGCTGTGGCCCTTCAGTCTCTTGCCTTGGTCACTCACAACCAGAGATCGTCGAGGCTATCACAAATCACCTAAGAAATGACATTGCCTACGTGTACTCTGGTTCTCCATATACCAACGGCGCGACCGAAGAACTGGCCGATCTGCTGTTGTCTGAAAAGCCCGGTGGACTGTCAAAGGCTATTTTTGTCAACTCAGGTAGCGAAGCTACCGACGCAGCCCTCAAGTTGGCGGTTCAATACTGGCACGAGCGAGGCCAGCCTCAACGCGCACACTTTATTGCGCGAAAACAGAGTTATCACGGTAACACCATTGGTGCCCTATGTGTTTCTGGGCATGAATCCCGTCGCGAGTTTTATCAGGACTTCATGTCCTCTAATGTGTCATTCTTGGATCCATGCTATGCTTACCGCATGAAAGGTGACGGCGAGTCGGATGAGGAGTTTGCTCAACGGCTTGGTCGCCAGTTTGAAGACGAGATCTTGCGTATAGGGCCTGATAGAGTCGCAGGATTTGTCGCAGAAACCGTCAGTGGTACCACGCTAGGATGCGTTCCGCCTGTGCCGGGGTATTTCAAGAGGATCCGAGATATTTGCGACAAGTATGAAGTTCTGTTGATTTTGGACGAGGTATGCATACACCCAAGCCTCTACGACGCTCTGGCCGGCAGTTGACCGGGCTGTAGATCATTTGCGGTATGGGCAAAACAGGCACAATGCATGCATGGGAGCAAGAGGGCATTCGGGGCCCGGACATTCAAACTATCGGCAAGGCCCTGGGTGCAGGCTTCGTGCCTCTTTCCGGCGTATTACTCCACCAGAAGATCTTTGACGCGTTGTCTACTGGCTCTGGCGGTCTGGCGCACGGCCACACTTTCCAGGTATTTCTCCGAAGAATTCGGTGATAATCTCAGTTGTTAATTACGCACCCAGGCCCACCCCCTTGCCTGTGCCGCGGCGATCGCGGCTCAAAAAATCATTAAGCGGGACAACCTGATCGAGCGGACAGCGCACATGGGAGGGAAGCTCGAAGCACTCTTACGCGAGGAGATTGGCCCTCTTCCGTTGGTGGGTGATATTCGTGGTCGGGGCCTGTTCTGGGCTGTGGAATTTGTCCTCGACAAGAAGTTGAAAACTCCATTCTCAGCAGAAGCAAACTTCTGTAACCAGGTGGTGAAACACAGTTTGGAAAGTGGTTTGAATATTCTTGGGAATCTTGGTCATACCGGTGAGTATCAAGTTGACCATGTTATTGTCTGCCCACCGTACAAAGTGACGGATATCGAGCTTGAAGAGATCATCTCTTCGCTCAAGGCCGCTATAATCAAGGCAAGTCAACGGTTTCTCGAGGATGAGTCATGAAAGTGGAAAACCACGAGAAGATGACCGAGATTGGCATTCTGGGTTGATAACTCAAGGACGAGATGTTCGGGGTTACTGTAGGAGTTCCTACAGATCCTGGTCGTGTTGAATGCTTGTGCGTACTATACCTTCAAGTTATCTAGGTACGGGATGCATGATAAGTCTACCTTTCTTGCGTAATGGCAGTCTTTTGGCTATGTTGATTAGCGTGCCCTGGATGTGACCGGAGGACACCCGGTTGGTCGGCTTACCAAATATTCAAATCCGAGGAAAACAAGAACTTTGAACTCTTCAAATCTTCGGACTCAGTTTGATCTGAAGCGCAGTCATCTCCTTTCTCGATTCGAAAGGATCAATAATCACGAGGCACGGGGACAAACGAGAGAGCTGATCGGACGGAGTTACCCCATCTGAAGTCGTCCTATACGCTCCACCCCTGGTTTCCCCCTGGGGCTACAAACGTCCTGGGCTACATCGGTATGAAGTGACTGCTACATATGTACCTGGCTCCCGCTGCCCAGGTAATAGAAAAAGAAAGGCCCCTGTATACTGTAGCAACAGCAACAGCAACGCCAAGCTTAGTCTACTCCTCCAACGACAAGACACCGAATAGACAACATCATCCCTATTGGATCTACCTCATTGAGAATATAATCCGACCCCTTAAACTTAAGCACCGCCACGAAAGACGGGACGCTCGAGCCGACCAGCCGAGCCGCAAGATGTTGAGGTCATCAGCTCGAGGGACATGTGGGGCGTGGCAGATTGCGGAGAAGATCCACCGATCGCGGATGTCATCGTCTCACTGACTCGACCATGGCCAGTTACGCCGGATTAAAGCCAAGGTAATGCGCCACGAGGAAGATGCAGCAGGTTTGAATGGCCCCAGATGTGCGTCAGCTGGATGATCTCGGCGCATGTCCATGGGCCGCTGCTATAAGAGGGAGCGAGCTCTAGTTCCATGGCGTGCTATGGCGAAATCAGCGGGCAACGGTTGCGTGCTGGGGTAAGGATGCGCACGCCCATGTCCGTGCTCGACATTTAGTCTTCCAGGGCGTTCTTAACACAGGTACTGCGAGCTTCTTTTTTTTTCTCATTCACTTTTTTTTCTCTTTCGTTCTTTCTTTGTACTGGTCTCCCCGTCTCGCGTTCGGAAAGTGCTGCGTATAGCGTTCAACGCCCCGTGTCAAGCTATGGGAAGACTCAATGGAACAAGGCTCGGAGCCTTCCGAGCTTATTTCTTCGGCTTCTTCATTTGTACTGCTGGTTTCCTGTTTGGTTATGATACCGGCATTGTCGGTAAGTATCCGGATGAGTCCAGACGTGCTGCATGCCCTCTGCTAACCAGTCCCTTCACTAGGTGGTATACTCGAGTTCGACTCATACGTGAGGGACTTTGGATATACCGATAAGACCACTGTCAATGCCGTCATGGTCAGTCTGCAGAATGTCGGTGCTTTCATAGCAGCATTGGGCATCTTCCCTATTTCTGAACGGTTCGGGCGCAAGAAGACCGTTCAGGTTGCTATGACGATCTTCTGTTGTGGCGTTGTCCTGCAGGTCGTCCCATCGCATTCCCTCGTGTGCTTCTATATTGGTCGATTTGTGGCTGGTCTTGGTCTCGGAGCAGGCACGGCCGTGGTCCCGACTTACAATGCTGAGATGGCACCCAAGGAGATTCGAGGTATGCTTGGTTCGGGTGTACAACTCCTCTTTGCTCTGGGAGTGATGATCAGTTACTGGATTGACTATGCCGTCGAGCGTACCATTCCCTCGACTTCTTCCTCTCAGTGGCAGATTCCCGTTGGGTTGCAGTTGGTGCCGGCGTCGGTGCTTGCGATGGGCTTGTTCACACAGCCTGAGAGTGTTCGTTGGTTGGCGAAGAAGGGTCGCTTTGACGAGGCCTGGAAGAGCCTGACCTGGATGCGAGCAGATGATGGTCAGTACCTCACGTCCCCCAAGATATACATACCTTGCTAACGTCACTCTCCTACTATTAGGCCCCGCTGTTAAGGCCGAATTCCACGAGATGCGTGTCGGTCTGGAAGAAGAGGTCCGCGCCAGCGAAGGCCTTAAGAAGCGCGAGCTTCTCGAGCCCGCCAACCGATACCGTCTGCTTCTCGGATTCTTCATGTTCTGCGGTCAACAGTGCACCGGCATGACTGCACTCGCCTACTTTGGTCCGCAATTCTTCAAGCTGATCGTCGGTGATGACAGCAGCCGGTCTTTACTCATCACTGGTCTTTTCGGCGCAGAGAAGTTCATCACGGTCTTCATCTACATTTTCTTCTTCTCGGAGTCGTGGGGACGCAAGCCTACCTTGTGGATCACGGCCTTGATCATGTCCGTCCTTTTCGTCATTGTCACTATTGTCAACAACACGACTCCCAAGCCGCAATCGTCACCTACACCGGCAGGCATTGCCACCGTCGCTTTGATTTTCTTGACCAACTCCGTCTACCAGTTCGGTTGGGGCCCCCTGCCATGGCCCTACACTACGGAGATCTTTCCCTCGCGTATTCGCGAGATCGGATCCTCTGTTTCCGTTTGCTCACAGTGGCTCTTTAACTTCCTTTTCTCCCTGGTGACACCCTACATGCAGAAGTCCTGGGGTAGCTACATCTTCTTGTTCTATGCTTGTTTAGACCTCATCATGGCTGCCCTGGTGTGGTTCTTTGTGAAAGAGACTAGGGGCAAGAGTCTCGAGGAGATGGAGACCATCTTCAACAGTAAGGCTGCATTTGATGTTGAGGTCGTGAGACATGAGGGTATTGAGCCAGACAACATCAGTGCTTTGGAGGTGTCACACAAGAAAGACTCTCGCTCAAGGAGTCCGGAATCGTCCGAGTAAAGGATGGGCTGTGGTGTTTTCTTTGCAAATTATAGAGTCTGATGACATGATGAATGCCACTGGTTTGGCTTGTGTACTTACGAATACTGTTCTTCCTGTAGTTTCTTTAATTCTGTCATTTCCGTAGATCGTGCAAGAAAATACTGATCTCCATCGATGCACATCGGTTATCACCCTTCGCCTTCCATAGGCTTTCCAAAGGTCTACCGGCAGCCGGATGCATTGCAGGACAAGACTGTTTCTGCATGTAAAGCCCGGTAGTACGTGGCATGATGCCCATTAAATGAAGATTGCGGTTACAGCCTGATCCATGGGTGTATCGATAACATTGCTCAGAGCAGCGGCCCTGCTATTATTACAGTATAGACAATACTTTTCCAAGTCCCCCTCACAAACCCTTCTTACCTGCGTCCTGGCGTTGCTTCTCAACAACATAGCCAACGGCACGCGCAATACCCTCATCCACCGGAACAACTGGCACATAAGCAAGACGCATACGGGCCTTGTCGATAGAGTAGTAACGAGTCATGCAGGAGTACCGCACAGTGCGGGGCGTCAGACGAGGAGTCTTTCCAAACAGGCTCAAAACTGACTCTGCCAGCCCACCAATAGACAACATCAGGCCTTCTGGCAGAGACCACACATCTTGCGGCTCAACCACCCGGTCGATGAGCGCCCACATGGCCCGCGTCACGTCCCAGAAGTACAGCGGCGAGTCGTTGGTGATGTTGAAGGCTTCACCGTCCACGCGTTCGTGGTCCAGGGGCCCACCCTGATTGCTCTCGTAGCGGTCATACGTGGCTAGTAGTCGCGCTCCGGCGAGCATGTGTGCGTACGCCACGTTGCCGACATACGTGAAGTCGAACAGATTGTCGTTTGTGCCGAGTTGCAGCTTCAGGACTGTGTTTGACGCGTTCGCGCCGTGCTCGAGAATCTTGTGGGTTACGGTCGTGTCTTTCTCGCCGTGAATTCCAGCGGGGCGTACGGCGCAGGTTACCATGTTCGTGGGGGACTGGCGGTTGTACTTCAGAACGATTTCTTCGGCGTCGGCCTGTGGGGGTGGGCGTTAGCAGGCGAAGTGAAGGATGGACTTGGGAAGTATCGGCCGTAGACTTACCTTAGTCTCAGAATAGTACTCCTGTTGCAACTTGCCGCGGATCAAGGGCCAGCGCTCGTCGACGTTGATCAAATCGCTTTGGGTGTCGTGCACGACTGAGCTGGAGCTGGTGTAGACGAATGCCTTGCACTTGCCACCCCAGTCGCCGTGCTCACCACCAGCAACCTGGAGAAGGGTGCGGGTACCCTCGACATTGACCTTGTACAGCAGTGGCTTGTTACCATCGAGAACAGACGGGGTCGCAGTGTGGATGACCAGGTCGGGCTTGACGGCGCTGAAGACCTCCATCATGGAGTCCACCGATGTGATGTCACCATCATAGTAGGTCGCACCCGGCAAGCGGTTGATGGATGTGCGCAGATCCACGACGGACACCTTGGCCTTGTAGTCTGGGTAGCGAGAGCCCAGAGTTGGGAAGTCGAATCGCGCATCGTCCTGCGGCTTCGGCAATGCGACGCTGGCATCGGACTCGGAGGGGAAGTTCAGAAGGTGGTCGACAATGTGCCATCCCAGGAAACCACATCCTCCCACCACCAGGACATTTCCGAGTTCTAGCGTACGCTTTTTGGCAGACATTTTGACGATGGAGTGGAGAGAACGGGGACGAGATTGAAGTGAAAAGGGGAGCTCGGGGGGGGCCAGATCAGCTGACGATAAGACTGTGGGGCCGCGCTGTATATCGAATATCGAATATCGAATCCTCCCTTTGCGGCTCGATCTTTTCCCTGCTTTTAACGTTCATTTTCACCGAGAAATAACTCATTTTTTGGACTTTATGGTATTTGATATTTGTAGCACTTTTCTCCCCGACTGCGAGTATTATGCTCTATATCGAACGAAGAGAAACTATGCACCGAGCAACTCTTGGAAGAACTAGATTTTACGGTGAAAATGCAAATTGGTTGGACCGTTTCACAGGTATCTGTGGAACCCATTGTCAACTGAGCTTTCTCAGGTAACGGCCAATGTACTTACTCAACACTCTCCTCAACCGACCGACGCAGCTTGCGGTGATACCGCTTCTGCTCGTCCTTTGAACCCCAGAGCAGTTTCGTTGCTTCTTGATTGACGGTCATCAGCGGATTGTAGGGCGGGAAATCTTCTTCTATTGCAGCAATTATGCCATCGATGTGACGACTCATCTCTTCAGCTCGTGCTGGGAGGTAGATCAACACCTTCCTAGTGGATACGCGTACGTGGAACAGAGGTGTTTCGACAAACACTCGTGGCTGCTCCACGGGGTGACGAGGACTGATATAGATTTTGATGTTGAGGATGCCTCCATCGTACTGCGTCATGGGACGACCGAAGTAGACAAGTTTCCACAGAAACGGGTTATCGTCCACCATAGTCAGATCCACAATGGAGTCCGCGCGACGCGCGAGTCCTGACACAATCTGTTCATGTTGTGCGCGCAAGCTCACGGCAATCCCCGCATCCTCCTCAGCAAGCTTCTTTCCCCCATCTGGCCACGCATAAGTCTCTTGCAGGATTTTGGTTTCGAGCACATTCATTCGCTTTTGAAGATCTGGGTAGTCCCATTCACCATTCATTGCGTTGCTTTCAAACTCGAAGGACACGCAAGGGAATTTGGTTCCGTGTCTGAAGACCTCCTTCTCCACGCCTTCCTGGACTGCTTCTTTGTACTGTTCGAGGTACCATAAAAATCGCTGCTTGCGGAAATCATCAAAGGGGCCTGTCATTCGGGTTATCCCATGGTGAACAGGCTGATTTTCACTCTCGGGGCCCTCTGGGATCTCGATCGAGACCTTGGGGTTAATCGCTTGCGAGTGGTTGAGCCTGGGGCGATAGGGATTTGACTGTGGGGCTATCAGGCCCAGCGCTTCCTCCAGTGGCTGAATGACTGCGAGTCTGAGATTCTCGTGCCGGATCTGCTATTCATTAATATGCGGTAAACAATGGGTGAGGTATATACGGGGGTTTACTTTGGAATTGTAAAACTCAATGTTTTGCTTGTCGGATGCCTTGTTATGATCCTCGTAGCCCGGTTCGTTGAAATAGGGCGTGGCAGACAGCAGGCTTTGGATGGACAACAACACCGATTCTAGCCCTTGGGCTGCAGACCATTCTTCGCCATGAGAAGCGTGCCAGGTTCTATCGAAGATGGTTAGACAGACTCCGTGTCGCAAGCTGTCATGCGTACCCTAATATCGAGCTGATTGGAAGATTAATGTCGGATTTTGTCGCCAGAGCAGTTGAAGACTTACAGGCAGACTTTGCCGGTAGCGTAAAGGTTTGGACCAAAACGAGTTTTGCCCTGGTTCGTGGTCTTGATAAGAACTGTGGGTGCACTTGCAGGGTAGTCTATTCGCGGTCAGGCACTCGCTCATTCCAGGATTATGAACTTACCGCTGGGAAAAGAAAAAGCAAACTAGACAAAACGGGTCAATATAAATTGCGTCTCGCAGGGGTCCTGTCTTCCGCCCCATGAACGCTTACCTCGTAGAAGCCGAGGGCGTATGGTGTGCCGGGGGGACCCAGAAGCAAGGCGCTGATCTCACGGACATTTTCTTCTTTATAGTGCACGGTCATCGCTGTCACAATTAGTGGCCGATGCGGATTTCCGAGTTTGGCTCACCCAGTTGGTCACTTCTCTCGAGCGCGTTCAGCTCCTGTCACAGGTCAGTCAAGTCACTTGATTCAGGGTCTCATATACTCACCCGCATCAGGCGTATTGTAGACTGGTCTGCCATGATCGCGGTATTGTGGCTGTGGAGTGAGGTGCCGTTACAACCAGTGCAGATTGAGGAGAGTGAAAAGCCAAGATATTGAGGAAGGTGAAGGGCATACTGCGAATGTGACAAGACAAGTGAAGATGAAGCAGCAACGTCAAGGGCGACTCGATTATATTCTTCTTTGATTTGTCAGGATTGACCTCTGGACACTTGACTTTTCACGCATTGCACTGAACTTTTGGCTCTGTGTCGTGCAAGGACGGTTCCAACGGTTATGCCATCACAATGAAGGGTTGACATGTCAACCTTCCAATGACGTCTGGGGCCCGTGGTTGGCCCTTGGCAGACTCTGGTTGGGCTCATTGATTGACTCTCTACGGGGCCGTGAATGGGCTACTGTGTTTTCTAGTATCTGTGCAGATTTCAGATGCGGCCGACATAGAGAATGTGCGTGGCATCTGAGTGCTATAAAAAGCGCAGCGGGTATCCATGGACAGCGCCGTGTGGTTCGGCGGGGACGGCACACAGGGACATTCAGGTACACCATCACAATCACAGAAGGGAATGGGTGATCACTGATCAACCTCGTAAATTAGGATGGCCTCGGAATAGCCCGAAATACATCAACGGCAATGCCTCACCAGCAATAGACCCATAGACACGAAACAAAAAGAAAGATCCAAAGAAAGTCGAGTTAAGCGGTGAACCCACGTGACCCAGGGACTCCGATTAGGGGGGCAACTGGGTGCAAATGCCCGATCCTTCTCCATTCTCCATTCTCCATTCCTCTCTTCATCCCCCTCTTTTTCCTTTTCTGTACTGCTTTTTCCCCGGGGGTTGTTTGCTGTCCAGCTCTCTTCAGCTTGTTGTCCTAGCGTGCGCCCGCTCAGCTTAGCTCGAACCCTTTGGCCCCCCTCCCCGCGTCCCGTCTGCGCACTGGACTCTCCTTCTCAATATTTTCGATCTCGAGCCTCATATCTATCGGGGCCTTTCGCGTGAAATCCGTGGTCCCCTGCCGCTGCTATCGCCTCTCCCCCGCGTGTTGTGACTACATGGCGTGAAGGTGAGTGAAAGCTGAACGGCGATTCCAGCTACCCACCACTGCCGCAGGCCCCATTCTAACAAATCGACTCTAGGATCGAACAGTACGCGCTCGATCTTTTCTCTAAAATACGCTGCGATCTGCTCCTTGGGTTCCCCGGAATCGAAAATTGACCTCTGCGTCTCGCCCTGAATTACCTTGCATGCTACGTTCGTCGCGTTGTCGCTCTCGCCATTCGCTCCTGATTTCTGACGGGGGACCAACATGCCCCCCGGTGAACTTCCGGCCAGCCTGGTCGCAGGCAAGCCGACCCCGATGCTGAACACCTCGGGATACGGAGCCGGTTACCAGAAAAACACACCCACCTCCCCCGAAGACAGCTTGATCCCGTTCGACTCGCCCACCACGCGCACTGCAGGAAATAGCCCGCTCAGCCAGGATGACCGCGCAGGTCGGGGGTTGGAACCAGAGCAACCCGGCTACAGGGATCGCTCCAATGCCCGTGATCGATCGCGCCCCAATGGTCGACCCAACAAGTCACCAAGCTCATCACGACTTTGCCAGAAGTGTAATGAGCCGTTGACCGGTCAGTTCGTGCGAGCGCTTGGAGGCACATTTCACCTGGAATGCTTCAAATGCGAGGTAAGTGGAGATTTTGACGTGTGGTTGAAACTGAACTTTTGGACGGCGGTCTAACACAGCATAGGATTGTGGGGAAATTGTCGCATCCAAATTCTTCCCAGTCGACTCCGATGACGGCAGCTGCCAATTCCCACTTTGTGAAAAGGACTACTTCCGCCGCTTGGGTCTCCTTTGCCACGATTGTGGTGGTGCACTCCGTGGCTCCTATATCACAGCCTTGGATCGCAAATATCATATTGAGCATTTTACTTGCTCTGTATGTCCTACTGTCTTCGGTGCTCAAGATTCATATTACGAACATGAAGGAAAGGTCTACTGTCACTTCCATTATTCCACCCAATTTGCCCAGCGATGCCACGGCTGTCATACTGCAATTCTCAAACAATTCGTTGAGATCTGCCGTAACGGTCAAAATCAGCATTGGCACCCCGAGTGTTACATGATTCACAAGTTCTGGAATGTCCGGCTCTCTCCCGCTGGCCAAACCTGGGAACCACCTCCTGTTGATGTTGATGCCACCACTGAGGAGCGTGAGAACATCCGTCAGGAAGAAGATACAATGGAAGAGAAGGTTTACAATATCTGGAGCACTCTCTCCACCTTCGAAGAATCCTCAGCGGCATGCATCTCCGACATGCTCCTCCATGTGAGCAACGGAGCTTATATTGATGGTGTCCTCGTGGCCAAGAGGTTTATTGCCCATGTGGAGGTTCTTTTTTCTGCAGTCGACCAATTGGCTGTATTCATTAAATCACAGGGAGTCAAGGGTGAGTTCGACGAGATATTCTCGCGCTTCGAGCATAGCTGACGTGCAATTCTAGAACTATCCTACGGCCGCGAAGCCAAACTTCTCTGCAAGAAGATTGTTGCATTCTTTGCCTTGTTGTCGAAGACGCAAGAGACTGGAGTTCGGAAGCTTGGCGTCACCCAAGAGCTTCTTTCCCTGGTTACTGGTCTCGCCCATTATCTCAAGCTTCTCATTCGTATCGGTCTCCAAGGCGCCCTCAAGCTCGAACGTGAAAAGTCGGCAGCTGATGGTTTACATGATTTTCTGGCGCACCTGTTAGATATTGAAGGACTTGCTCCGCCGGAAGATGAAAACGAATCAGTTGACCTGACTGCTGGAGTTGAGGGTTTGGCCGATCAGCTCTCGGATTGCTGCATTTCGTGCAAAGAGCCCATCGATGACGAATGCGTTCGGTCTGGAGAACAGCGATGGCATCTGAAGCCACCTCATCTGTCTTGCTCCTCATGTGACAAGGACTTGACTGTTGCATTGGCGGATGCATTGTGGTGTGCAGATGAAAAACGCACTTACTGCTCGACATGTGCCCATCAACAAAACCTGGACTCGAGTGTTCAAGGTGGATTTATTGAGGTCTCGAAGTTGCAACAATTCGTTTTCCTTCTGAGAGTCGCTCTCGCCCGACTTCTGGCCGTCCTTCGTGCTGGAGGAACCATTCCACAATCTTCAGGTCTGTTTTTCCTTGCATTCCACTCAGCGGGTTTTGCAACGTCACTGACTCCCTTCATAGATGATCCTAATCTCAAAGATAACGAAAACAAGGAGAGCTTCCGGGTCCAGCCTGGTGAGTTCCGACGGTCTAATACGCGCTCTCAATCTTATAGCGGCGGTAATCGCGAAAGCATCCAAGAATCGTCACTCGAACAGACCGTTGGTGAAATGCGTCGTCTGCGTTCCATCCGCAATGAACGAACTTTATCCACAACGTATAAGAGGGCACGCGCGTCTCGAATCATCGACGGTCCTGAGGGTCGAAGTGCGACTCGTCCTGGATCCTCCGGACACGATGGTAGCGACCCTCGTGGTCCAGGTTTTCAAATTGTTGAAGAGAAAGATGCCAACGGGGAAATGGTCAAAGACTTGACATTTGGAGCTCAGGATGCTCTTACTCTAGACGACATTCCTCGCATTGTCGCAGCCGAACAGGCCAAGGAACAGCGACCCAATGCCTATCGGCATGCCGGCACCAAGCTGGTGGACGCCCGAGAACCAATGCCTAGGTACAGAACTGGACATCAACGTGGTCTATCCGGAGCCGGATTAGACATGATCATGGAGCCCACGAGCCGTACGAAGCGATACTTCTCTGAGCTTACAGCTTTGGAATACTTCATTGTTCGCCATGTCGCTGTTCTGTCCATGGAGCCGTTATTGGAAGGCCAATTCACCATGGAAGAACTGCTCTCCCTTATCGAGTCTCGCAAACCGACCATCTGGAACATTTTCGGTCGTGCTTTCAAAGAAAATAAGAAGGCTAGCAAGAAGAAGGGGGTCTTTGGTGTTTCTCTGGACTACTTAGTCGAGAAGGAAGGTACCGAGTCTAGCCACGGCGTTGGTCCTGGAGCTTTGCGCATTCCGGCCATTGTGGATGACGCTGTCTCCGCCATGCGTCAAATGGATATGTCCGTCGAGGGTGTTTTCCGAAAGAATGGAAACATCCGCCGACTCAAGGAAATCTCCGAATTAATTGACACCAAATATGACCAAGTGGACATGTCGAAGGAGGGCCCTGTGCAGATCGCGGCACTCTTGAAGAAGTTCCTTCGTGAAATGCCCGACCCACTCATGACCTTCAAACTGCACCGCCTCTTTGTTGCGGCGCAAAAGCTGTCCGATCCTGATAAGCAAAAGCGTATCCTTCATCTGACCTGCTGTCTTCTCCCTAAAGCCCATCGCGATACGATGGAGGTTCTCTTCACCTTCCTCAACTGGACATCGTCCTTCTCGCATGTGGATGAGGAGTCTGGAAGCAAGATGGACATCCACAATCTCGCAACTGTTATGACACCGAACATTCTTTATCCTAATGCCAAGAACAGCACGGTGGATGAAAGCTTCATGGCTATTGAGGCAGTGAATGCACTGATTACGTATAACGATACAATGTGCGAGGTGAGTTGGCAGCCTCAATTCTCTTCTGCGTATTTCAAAAGCTAATTCGTTCTGTCCCTAGATCCCGGAGGATTTGCAATCTGTCCTAAGCGATCCAACTCTCTTCAAGGAAAATACCGAAGTGACGACAAAGGAGATCTTGAAACGGTACGGAGATATTGCTCGGGGAAGCTTCCGGCCCGAGAATGGCGGGGAGACTTTCACCATCACTCCATCCAACCGCAACAACCAGAACACCCCAACCTCGGCAAGGATCGAGACCGATCCCTCCCAGGACGCTGCCTGGCAAATGCAAAGCTCGGTTCGCCATGTTGCTGGACCTAGTGGCCATGCTCACTCCACCAGCGACTTTGGGCCGCCCCAACCGTCCTACAGTCGTGAGCGCAGTGCCAGCAATGGCAGTCAACAAAATGCGTCCGATAACCAAGGTCAAAGCCAAAATCTTCCCTACCGACCTCGTCCAAGTCCTGGTGCCATGGGCGTCACTGGGTAGATTATCGGTTTTCTTGTCTTCCTTCATGCACAGTTACAATACCGATACACCATTTCTCGATGAACCTTGATTTGCATCAACTGACCTGGCGCCATATCTTTGCCCATGGTGTACTTTTTTTATTTTCCTATGGGGGCTTGTCTTTAGCGTTCTTTCTTCCCTTTCATCTCTTTCATCTCGACTGACAGGCTTGGTTGACGGAATTCTCTTCTTTCCATCCTCTCCTACATTTAAATTCTGAAAAGTGATCAGCGAGCTGATTGGTCCTGTGATTGATTGCTGTGGTCCTCCGTTTCTTCTACGAGGCCTTCTTTTGTGTGTGTTTTTCTTTATTATCCTTGCATCTGATTCTGCGGATCAGTCATACCCATATTCCATTTCAATGGACTGTTCCCATTCCCCCATTGAGCATGCGAAGTGTCTCTTCTTTGCTTGGACCAGGCTCCGGGTCTTACCTTAGTCCTCGTTGGTTCTTGGTTTTTTATTCCCTTTACCTTCTTTTGTCCGATGGTCTTTGCGCTATAGGGTCATGGATCTTGTTTTCATTTCGATTTTCTTTTTTTCTTTTCAACTGTTGCTCGTCAATCAGCATGATTGCAATGATACCTGTGCTGAGTTCCAATGTAGCTTTTACTTTACCGTGCTGAACTCTTCAAATTTTCTTATATCCGGCTTACCTGCCTCTCCGCCTTGTATTGGATCCGTTTGGTGTCTTTCTTAACTCTGAGCTTTTGTAACGTGTCGCTGGTCCTGCAAGTTTGGAAAATCATCCAAGATTTGCAGGGCGCTATCTTGGCGTACAACACTAACTAGAAATCAACAACATTCGAAAGTAATGCTCAACCTCAAGCGCAACTGTAAGGGCCTCCACATTTAACATGAAATGGCAAACTACTCTGGATTAGTCAGCAATGGTGTTGAACTGATCACCTTCACATTTTGTCTCGTAGAATTTCCAAAACATGAGATTACCCACGCGATATGAGATTCTTGGTCATTATGAATCGGCTGGCTTTTCGTGGCCTGTCCGGGTTTGTGGTAACTCGACCCATAGCCAATAGCAGATTATCTCTTGCCGCCTCCGCTACTGTACATTGTGTCCAGCATGAGGCTGAGCTTTGGGGGCCGAGACGGCTCCTTGTCCCGTCCCCATGAAGTGATACTCTACTCAGCCGCTACTGCTGGCATTTGAATTCTCTTCCAGCATTATCGCTCCATACCTCGCTAGATTCAGTGAACCAGAGCCTAAAATGGCTTGTCCCCCACGAGAAACGTTTCAGATCGGTTGGATATGCGCCCTACCGATTGAGGCTGCCGCAGCCAAGGAAATGCTGGATGAACATTTTGGCATCCTTGATGTGCAAGATCAAAATGACTCAAATACCTATACTTTAGGTCGAGTTGGCAAACACTATGTCGTGATCGCCTGTCTCCCCGGCGGCCAATATGGAACTACGTCGGCCACGACTGTCGCAAACAACATGGTTCGCACTTTTTCAAAATCCTTCCGCATTGGTTTGATGGTCGGTGTTGGGGGTGGAATCCCGTCGCCTACTTATGATATCCGGCTCGGCGATGTTGTGATTAGCTGCCCTGAAGGCCTTTCTGGCGGAGTACTCCAATATGATATGGGGAAGGTCGGTGCGAGAGGAGAGTTTCATCGTATTGGCTCTCTCAATAGCCCACCTAGGGCTTTATTGACAGCAATCAACTCGTTGAGGGCCGCTGAGCTTACGGATGAACCTGACTATCCTGGATATCTTCTTAAGGCGATCGGTAGAACGACACGTACCCAGAAAAACTTCGGCCGACCACAACAGGACCGGCTATTCAAACTTGAACATAATCATCCTAAGACTGCGAATAACTGCGATAGATGCCTAGCAGAATGGGAAGAGACACGCAGTGAACGAGACACTAGTAATCCACAAACCCACTATGGCGTTATTGCATCTGGTAATGCTGTTATCAAGGATGCATATACGCGCGAACAGCTTAGGCTAGCTACTGGAGCATTATGCTTTGAAATGGAGTCAGCCGGCTTGATGGTGGACTTCCCTTGCATTGTTATCCGCGGTATCTGTGATTATGCCGATATGCACAAGAACAAGCAGTGGCAAGGATATGCAGCCTTAGCAGCAGCATCATATGCTAAAGAGCTACTAGAGTACGTACCTATTGGTCATGTGTCGCAAGAGGATTTAGTGGTCGACAAATGCAGTAAGTACATTCTTCAATAATTTTACCTTGAAAGTAAGATTTGTTACTTATATAATTCTATACAGAGGGACTCAAAGAAGAAATTGAAGCCACTAATCGGCGCTTAGACCGAGTATACAGTCAGCGAGAACAACATTATCAGGAGCAGAAATTTCGCGCTTTGACAGATCAGCAGCAGAGATGCCACCAAGTTTTCAAAATCGCAAATTACACGGAGCAAAAGAACATCAATCCAAAACGGGCAGAAGGAACCTGTCAGTGGGTTTCGAATAGTGACGAATACGTCCGTTGGTCGAAGAGCTGCCGCAATGATCTTCTCTGGGTATCAGCCGACCCAGGCTGTGGAAAGTCTGTCCTCGCCAAATCTATCGTCGATGACCACTTGAAGAAGACCGGATCGGAGGTGATAATATGTCACTTCTTTTTTAAGGATAACGATGAACAGAATAGTCTTGCTACCGCATTATGTGCAATACTTCATCAGTTCTTCTGTCAACGTCCTGATCTTCTACATTATGCAATACCTTCGTGGGAAAAGAACGGAGAGAGACTTCAGCACGAAGCCGACGAGCTTTGGCGGATATTTCTTATAGTAACATCAGCTGAGACATCATGCAAGACCGTTTGTGTCCTTGATGCGCTTGACGAGTGTTGCGATCCTGATCAAGGCCGGCTAATTGAGAAGCTCGAAAGTTTTTACTGCCAGTCGCATTCATCAACACAGGAAAAGTGGTTGAGATTCCTAGTAACTAGTCGCCCCTACAATCATATCCAGTATCAGTTTCGAGTGATCATGGATTCTTTCCCGTGCTTACACCTCAAGGGAGAGGAGGAAAATGATCGAATTCACGCGGAGATAGACCTAGTCGTGAAGGTCAGAGTTCGAGAGCTAGCTAAATTGGCACGATTACCTTCGGCTATAGAGCAGCAACTTGAAGAACGACTCCTTCAAATGGACCACCGCACATATCTTTGGCTACATTTAGCCATAGAAGACATTCAGGAAACCTTCAAGAATAGCCTTCGGCCTGCTAAGGAATCAATCCGACTGATACCGACTTCTGTGAACGCGGCATACAGGAATCTTCTCAGTCGAGTCCCACTCAAGCAGATAGGTACGGTGGTAAAGATCCTACGAATTATTCTCGCGTCACGACGTCCTTTGACTATACGAGAGATGGCTATGGCGCTAGGTATAGCTATCTCTCCATATTCGAAAACTGCAGCGGAGGCTGGACTCGACCCGAATAACTTGGATAAAAAGATACGACAGCTATGCGGTCTATTTGTTTTTACCAACAATTCCAAGATTTACCTGATTCATCAGACAGCGAGAGAGTTTTTACTCAGAACAGAAACTGCAGACTATCTATTTTCTGGCTACTCGTTTAGCTCAAACGCTATCGAGGGCCAAATGGCTGGGGTATGTTTGAGATACTTGTGGATGGAGGATTTGGAGAACAATGAAGCCTATAAATGCTCTAATTCTGGAAATTTTCTCGAATATTCAGCGGTATATTGGCCTGATCATGTGCGAAATTCGACCTCAGCTCTGGACTCAGAAGAGAACGAGTTGCTGTATCAACTCTACAACACCACTACCGAGCGATTTTCACTTTGGTTTCCTCTATTCTGGAGGGCAATGGGTCCGTACGGGGCGCCAACAATGAATGGGATCCATCTGGCGGCTTTCAACGGGCATTTGGAAGTGATCCAGCGGCAACTTAGCGAAGACGAGACTATTTTGGATATAGCAGATAGCACAGGATCATGCCCATTAAAGTGGGCCTCATTTAATGGGCACCACGACGTTGTACAACTGATGCTGAATTACTGTGCCGACGTCAATACTCCTGATAGTGATCACGGTACTATCCTGCATGCTGCTTGCATTGGAGGACACGACAAAGTTGTCCAAGTGCTGTTAGATAGCGGAGCTAAAATCGATACTGATGTTGAAGGGTTTGGCACAGCTTTGCAGGTTGCTTGTGACCGTGGATACGACAAGATTGTGCAGATCCTGTTAGAGAGCGGAGTTGAGATCAATACGCCGGATGGGTACTACGGCTCTGCCCTACAAATTGCTTGTCTCGGAGGCGACGACAAGATTGTACAGATGCTACTAGACGGCGGAGCTGATACCAATTCTTGGAACGCTTGGTGTGACGAGTTTGAGTATGGCAGTGCTCTGCAGGCTGCTTGTTTTAACGGTCACGACAAAATCGTGATGATGTTGTTAGAAAACGGAGCTAATGTCAGTGCGCAAGGTGGGAAATACGGCACTGCTCTACATGCCGCGTGTGACCGTGGACATAGCAAGGTTGTGCAGATGCTATTAGGGGGTGGAGCTAATATCGATACAGGGGGTGGATACTACGGCACTGCTCTTCAAACAGCCTGCTTCAGAGGACACGACAATATCGTGCAGATATTAGAAGATCACGGATCTGATGTTGATGGGCAAAATAGGCAAGTGTAGCACTGCTCTACAAATTACTTGTGGATGTAGAAGCGATAAGATTGTACGGATGCTGTTAAATCACGGAGCCAATGTCAATATTCGACCTGAAGATCACGGCACTGCTCTGCAGGTTGCTCCTGGCTGTGGACACAATAAGATTATACAGATGCTTCCAGAGGGTCAAGTCGAGCTCAATTCTAAGAGTAGACGCTACGAAAACGCCTTGTAGGCTGCTTGCTCCGAAGTATGAATAATCTTGATAATTAGGTCCGAGAGAAAAATCCCTCGGCAAACCGACATCCGGTAAGTTACATTTCAAAATCATTAAAGTCTTGTGGCACCCTTGCAGTGATCATGCCATGGTATGTTTCAAGTAGGTTCACTCGACGCCCTCCAGGCTCGATTGAATCATTAAATGGGTTAAGCCTAGTGGCACCTCTTGAAAATGCAGAGCAAGCAGCACTGTCACTAGCTATGGAGGATGAGACTTCGCTCAATAGGTACAGCCACCTAGATGCACAGCTTTATGCGCGGCCTTCACCCTCGTCACAAGGGCGTGTGGTTTCGCCAACTCTCGCAACACAACGATATCGACAGATAGAATTGGCCGAGCTTGGGAGACAACAAGTTGAACGGACAGTGCGACAAGAACGGCGGGAAACAGAGCTACGTGGTCAATCTTTAAGCGCGGAAGAAGAGAAAATTTTCGCTCTTGCCCCCTTGGGCAATAGCCAAGCGAATGAAATGGAGATCGGCGATGCGAATGTCCTTGATCTTCATTAGGAACTATTCTGTTACGGGCCGCAGTTCAGAGACACATTCGCAATTGATACCGATACTACACAGGTCGCAACCATGCCTACTTTGAATATCTACATGGATGCGTGTGGATGTTGAAGACTTGGATACAACGTGCGCATTGAAAGTAATCAAGGATATGACCTTGCGTAGATAGTCCAAAACAACCAAATTGCAAAACCACAGACACAGCAAACACCTATTATGATTCCTGCCCAAAATGATACAAAACGCCTTTCAATTTCATGTCCATGGTGGAGACATTGCCCGCTCAAAATAAAACACCCCCATTGTAACACCGAGCTTGTATGCGGCAGTCAATTCGATACAGACGTCTAGACTCGCTTCCGCAGGGCTCTTGTGCGGGTCGTGGCCTCTGTTGTGGATGCGGGAGCGGTGGTCTTGCGCACTGTAGAAGTAGTTGCGGTTTTCTTCACCGCCATAGAGGCAGCCTGTGGCCGAGCAGCAGCGGCTTTCTTGGCCGTGGAAGAGGCGGTTCCTGTGGTTGCCTTCCTCGCATTGGTACCAGTACGAGTTGGTTTCTGGACGGTGGTTCCCGAAGAAGCTGTGGATGACATGCTGTTCTTGCGCTCATTTCCCTGTCGAGTGGCGGGACGTGGAAGAGGTGACCTGACGGGCCGGGGGCCGGTTGCAGCTCGAGAAGTTGTTTTCTTGGCTGGAGAGGATGGATAGTTATCCCGCACAGTAGAGATGGTAGTACCGCGTGGGCGGGAACTAGGACCGCCTGCGCGCAGGGGACTCGAAGGTTTCAGTGGAGAGGTGGGGCGTGACAAGTATGACGGCTGTCCCTTTTCGGGAGAGGCACGGAAGGGAGAATGTGGGTAAGTTCGTGAGTTCAGAGACTTGGGGGACAAAATGCGGTTGTCATTTGCTCGCACTTCTTGGGAAGCAACACGCGAGGCACTGCCAGCAGCAGGGGCTTTGCCACGACGCTTAGGGTTCTTCAAACCCTCAGGTTCACCCGTTGCCGGAGCATTTTCTTTGTCAGAGTAGTGATCATCATGGCTGTAAAGATGTTAGTTAGTAGGAGACTTGGCTGGTCAATGTGGATTGTCTTGCCTTGTGCGTCGAGATCGGTTATCGCGTGCGGGGGAAAGAGCCTGATCGATGGAGATGCTGGGAGGAGCTCGGAAAGCCTTGATAGGTGAAGCTTTTCGGATGGGTGATGTGTTTGAGATTCCAGAGTGCTTGTCGAGGAGCTCGCCCATCGTGACCTTGCGTAGAGAGATGGGGATACGGTTGACGCGTCGTTCAATGCGCGATCGAAGGTCATTTGCCTGCAGGGCATATTGCGAGCGAAGCTTGCGAGCTCTCTCAGTGACTGTCCACCGGTCAGTACTGCCATGGCCCTTAATTTCCCGTACAGTGCCATATTCTACTCACTTTCAAGCTGTAAGTTGTCGACCATTGCCTGCTTCTGACTTTGGGTAAGACGCATACGTTTGGCCGGAGGTTCGGTAGGCGTGACATCGGCCGCGTCCGCAAACTCAGGAGACTTTCGTTTCAAGGTAGCCATTGTGTAATCGAATTAGGACGATTGGTGGAGTAATCGAGAGATCTAGGAACAAGAAGAGGTGGAGGCGCGGAGCCACAACAAACAACCATGGCGGGCGGAAAGCATCGGCAGAATCCAAGCTTCACCTCATCGTCATCACCGCCGTCCTTACACATCGACTCTACCTCAGCATCTCCTCATTTCCTTCCCTCACAAAGCCGCCATCATGTCGCTCGAAGCAACGATGATCATGTTCGTCAAGGTACCCCCTCCGAGCTAACAGCGTCGCTAATTCCCTCGTACAGTGTCGACAACAGCGAAAGCAGTCGCAACGGAGACTACACGTGAGTCGCTCGTCTCTTCGCCCTCTTTGCCGTCTTCGCATTGTCTAATCCTTGCAGATCAACTCGCTGGCAAGCTCAAGTCGATGCCGTTAGCATCATCCACAGCATCAAGATGCGCGTACACCCACAGTCGGCTGTCGGCCTTATGAGCATGGGCGGCAAGGGCCCCGAGGTGCTTTCCACTTTTACCTCTGATTTCGGCAGCATTCTCGCCGGTTTGCATCGCACGAAGATTCACGGTACATCCCATCTGAGCTCGAGTATCCAGGTCGCCGGTGTAAGTGGTCTTTCCAAGCCGTGGTGAGATGGCTATGCTGACAATGAACAATCTAGTTGGCGCTTAAGCATCGTTCCGAGAAGTCCCAGCGGCAACGAATTATCGTATTCTCCTGCTCCCCAATCGATGAAGATGAGAAGACTCTGGTCAAGCTGGCCAAGAAGATGAAGAAGAACAATGTCTCCATCGACGTGGTGGCATTCGGTGACCTCGAGTCCGACCAGACCAAGAAGCTGGAAGCCTTTGTGGATAATGTGACAAGCGGCGAGAGTTCTTACTTGGCCATCATCCCGCCGGGTCCCCATCTCCTCAGTGAGGAGCTCCAGCAGACTCCCATCCTCGCGGGTGAGGGGGCTGGTGCCGCTGCCTCAGGAGGCGGCGAGGGTGGCGATGCGGGTGAATTCAACTTCGAAGAAGCTGCTGAGAACGATCCCGAGCTCGCGTTTGCCTTGCGGTTATCCCTGGAAGAAGAGAAGAACCGACAGGAGAAGGAGAAGCGTGACCAGGATTCCCAGGAGGGCAAGACGGAGCTGGGAAATATCCCCGAAGAGGGCCAGGGCGAGTCGAGCGGTCAAGATAAGAAGGACGATGACAAGATGGACACTGCGTAGATTCGATCCCCCGTGGAAATGATCTGTCATGCATACCCGGCGTTTACTTGGGTTTTAATGTTCCTGTATGCAGTACTCAAGAGCTTCTTGTAGGAACGGTCTACTGGGACGGAAATGTTGAAGTATTGATGCGATTGGTATTATGCACAAGTCGGGATGTGGATTTTGTCCAGATCCCAAGTAAAGCGAAGAAACAAATTGTCTACAGTAGTCGTAAGGTCATGATCCCAGTCCCATTTCAAGGATTATGTTCTCCCCCTCAGCCACGCCCCCAGATGTCGGTCGAACGCTTCACATCGCACCGGCATCTCCAGTTGGTAGAAGGGGTTTTTCATCACGTAGTCCGCATACAAGTCATAGATCTTGTTGATGATGGTTTCCACATTGCCGGTCATGGGGTCCGTAAAAAGCAGGAATTTGGTGCCGGTCAGCGTCTGGAAGCACGTCAATCGGAACTTGTCCGACTCGAGATAATCTAGTCCTGATACGGAGGCGCCAGGGTTGGGATAGCTGTAGCTTGACGCCGCAGGCGTGCTGGTGCCGGGGGAGGCGGCGGGGGAGTTCGTGGTCGGAGCGAGGGGAATTTTGGGTGTGATGGAGCGCGTGATGGCGTGAACACTGCGTAATCGGCATGGTTAGTGAGTGAAAGATAGATACAGGGGTTGCACGCGACTTTACCCGTGAAAGGTACCGGCGAGGACGAGGTAGTCGTTGGTCGAAAGCTTGCGCAAGCCAGCCTGGAACTCGCGTTGGTAGATCAGACCACCGGCCTTGTTGATAATGATGAGAGAGAAAACGGCCCTGGTAAGACAGAAGGTCAGTCGCGCATTCAATAATGCGCCGCAAGGTGAACGCACATGATGGAGTCGGGAGTGTCGGGGGTCTAGACAACGTGGCTGATAGGGAGAAGAGGCGCTACTGTGTATGCAGCATGCCTAGACAGCAAGTTATCTTCACAGCGAAGAGGAGTGATCGGCGATTGGCAATTGGCGTGGTTGAAATGTTAAGCCCTGGAGCCCTGGAGATTGATGTCTAAGTCGGAGTCGCGGGGAGTTGGAAGTCGGGCTCCTGGTTCCGCGCCCGTGTGCGGAGCTGGACCCTTCAATGTTTTGATTTCAACTACGCAGCTATAGAGCGATGAAATGAGTACTAGTTCAGTTTGTCAATTCATATGTGCTTTCCCACTATTTCCACGAATTCCATTATTTATCACCGGCTTTACAGATGAACATTGCTGGGGAGTCAAGGGGGCCACTTCTGCGTGAGATATATCTAGTCCATTCAAGGTTGTCCCAAGCGAAGTGCACACCTTAACACCTTTGCACTGGAAACTAGAAAGCCTACCAGGCAAAACAGACATAAATTGGTCATATAGAAGAAGGCAGTCGACTATGTGACGTTAAAACTGAAGATGGAAGTGACATAGCAAAAGGAAAGTCCCTAGAGATCATTGGGCACGATCAGTCTTGGCAATACATTTCCTAGAGTAATGTCTCCAAGTATACCAGCACTTCCCAATACCTATCGTCTCGGCCTCTTTCACTCCGCTGAATAATAGATGTGCATATCCCAATCTGACCAAACCGACCTCGGGAGTGGCTTAGCAGGGCACTAAACCCGGTGTCAATATCCTGATCGGGAGCTCAGATCCGACGTTCGGTATTGCCGCTCCGAGACAACTTCGGGATTGAGATCTATACCATCATGCCCGTATTCTTGGCGCACAATGCATGTATAGAGACCTATGAGTGTTAAGCTACATGGTATGACAAGACGGAGAGATGTTTGGAATCGCCCTGATATGACAACCTTGGAGGAATTCTGACCATCGCGGGGCTACGAGCTCGGAGACAAATGAGTCCGACCCACAAGCACACGAGTCGCATGCGTTGATGTTAACCCCGATGATGAAGCACTGCTCTCAATCCAACTAGTGTCACCTCTGCTGCTTTAAAGATCCTCATTAGGCTCTTCCAATCTCGCTTTCCGGTCTCATGCTAATTTCATTCGGCTTTTACCTACACAGACTCCTCTGCTCCGTCACTTCAAAGCAAAAATTGCATTATGACTACCCCGGCCATGCAAGACGTGTTCGCCAAGCGCGCTGCAGAGCTGCGCGAGTTCATCTTCTCCCAACCTCGAAGCGACCTCGAGAATAATCCTTGGGCTGTGGCCCATGCTATTGATACCTTCACCGAGAACGTCGGACACATGATGACTTTCAACCAGAAGAAGCTGGAGGTTGCGCAAGCGCAGCTTCTGGCTCAACAGCCTTCTACCCGGACCATTCTTGAGTTTGGAACTTTTGTTGGCAAATCGGCTGTGGCATGGGGTGCCATTCTTCGTGATATCTATGGCAAGAATATGCCCGAGGATGTGAATGTTTATACCTTTGAAATGGATCCCCAGATGGTTGCCCTCTCCCGTGAGCTCATCAAACTTGCTGGAATTGAAGATGTTGTACATGTCTTGGAAGGACCCGGATCCGAGTCTCTGAAGAAGTTGCATGCCGAAGGCAAGGTCATCGGCGTGGATATGGCCTTTTTCGATCACTGGGAGAAGTACTACCTGCCTGATCTGCAGTTGATTGAGGAGTTGAAGTTGTTTCATGTTGGATCGCTCGCTATTGCAGATAACACTGATTTCCCTGGCGCGCCCGATTACTTGAAGTATGTTAAGGCGGGAGGATATGGCGGTGTCAAGTACGACAGCAAGTCCTTTGAGACGGCGAGCAAGCCTGGACGGCCGGTAAGTTATTTCTCAGAGAACCTGACTTCAAGGAGTATAGCTAATTCGGAATTGCAGAGCACCGTGGAGGTTAGCACCATTGTTGCTGTTTGAACACGAGACAAATCATAGCGCATCGTCTTAGCACTAAGGGCGCGGATTTTCACGATGTCACGACAATCTCTTCCGGGGTTTGATACAGTCTGCGCAGAAATGAGAATTCAACTGAAAGCAAGCTTCCTCGACTCACTCGGAGATTCTTGTCTAGAGGGCTATCTTGCTGTATGTCGTGGCCAGCGTTGTGACGGCCCTTGCATTGTTGGCTATATTTTTAGTTAGATGTAGCAGGGATCAAAATCCACAAACTGACTGCACCAACAGCTCAACCATAGAGCGCGTGCTTGTGAGGCTTAGAAGAATTAGAACATGGCGGCTATGCCTATTAAATGCCAAGCTTATGGTGGCAACTCCACTAGTGCATCCTTCAATCTAGATGTGATATGCTTAATCTCATTTCACGGTCAAGCTGTACAAACTCGCTTCATATCTCTAATTCGTACTTTGCAAGCTTTCCTAAGCCGGATTATTCCGGCATCTTGCTGGCAGCAGGGATGCGAGTCATGTCAACAGCCACATTCCCGCTTCGTCCCGCCCGGTGGGAATCCCACGTTTCATTCCCTGAAATACGCCAGCCCCCGCCCAGAATGCCTACGGAAAGGGGGCCTGACCATTGGGCAGAGAGTACGAACTCTTGCATGATCGCTTCGGGCTTCACGGATTTGATGCCTTCGGAGCAAGGATACAAATGGCGATTTCCCGTTCCCGTTCTAACGCCAGTTTCTGAGTATAAGTATTTAATAATATTCTATGTAGTCAACTTAACTGGAATTCTCAATTGAGACCCGGTAGCTGCAGTAAGTGTGATCCAGTGCCAGATAATCAGCGTATCGTAACCCCTGGCTTGCATGGTCCGACTAATGCTGTTCTGACGTCGACAGGACCTGCGGGGCCTTTTCCGCTCCCCGTGCATTCACCGACTCGTGCAGTGCCGTCACTGTGAAGGATTTCCGAGATGATTTACTTCTGGGTTGGTTGATGGCCGCTTGTCCTACATTTATCAGCTGGTGTGACATTTTGGACTATTATATGAAGACACATCAAGTTCTCAAATATGAAGTCTTAACATTGAATGTATCTGAAATATGTAAAATTGGTCTTCTCATTATCATAAAATCTTTGACATTACTCGATGGTAACAAGAGCGCGTTCATCGTTAAATGTGAATCGTTAAAGCCAAGATGGAACTCCCCAAAATCCACAGACGCGCATATCAACATGAAACACAGACCGAATAATATATCTATTAGGGTGTTCTAGAAGTAGTTGCGAGCGTCAGTCGGCATTTGCCAGCCGTAAGAGTCAAAATTCCCTCACGAAGTGCCCAGTCACGTAACAATAGGTCTTCAAGCTCCTCGCCCAGATGGGTTTTGCGCTCGAAATGTCGCCCGACATGCTCCATCCGCGCGTCCCAGCTTCCTTCACCGACAAATAACTCTTGGCAGAATCCGCAGTGGCTTTGGTGCGGTGGTTGGCGTAGACTGTACCAGCAGCGTGGGCGAACTTGATTGAGGCTTTCTTCGAAGGCTGCGTGCTCGACTTCTGTAGGAGCTCGTCGCCGACCAGATTGGAGCCAGGGAGCGTGCATTCGGCGTAGGTGTTGAGTGAAAAGGTCTTTGCGGTTGAAGTCGTTGGGTTGAACTGGGGCTGAGGTGGAACTGGTTGATTTCGGAGATGGAGAGGGTGTCACGAAGTTGTTTGGGCTGATCTGGTGTGTGTCCACGCTGCATTTGCCCACGTCGCAGCGGTAGAAGCCAAGTTGTAGATGTTTCGAGGTGACATGCCTCTTCCACTCGTTTTTAGAGACGAACGTACTTTCGCATCCGTAAGGAGCGAAGCTGCAGACGAACGTCCGTTGTGTTCCGTGACAACTGTTGTTTCCACTTTTCGTACTTCTTCCCCGGAGGATGCGGCTTTGTGTAGACATCGACTTCCGCTCACTTGACTTGCGTGTCTTTGAAATGGAGGTGAATGTGGATAGGTTCTTGAACCGGCGTGCGACTTTCGGGCTGGCCGTGGAATTAGGGAGAGGAGTGGACCATTGCTGTTCAGGAGTCCCGTTATGGTCCGACTGGCTGCCGCTACAGCGGTCAAGCTCGTGATCGTAGAGAGACAAGTGGTTGGGTTGAGTGTCGAACATAGGCAACCTGGGTATCATGGTCGAGGGATCGATATCAACCAGACCCCCAGGAGCCGGGAACCCGCTCTGCTCTGTGACAGTGGTGATGGGAGACTCCTCATGCTGGCATAGAGGAGAGGCGATGTAGTTCATACCGGAAACACTGCTGCTGTTACTGCTGTGGGGGCTCTGAGGGTCGGAAATGATAGAAATGCCACTGTCCCAGAGTGAGATGGGCTCTGAATAGACAGTGTAATCCGCGGGTAGATAACCCCTGTTCAAACCCAGCTTTTCGCGGCTCCACAAGTTATGCGGTGTCGGAGAGGCCTCAAGAGGCTTGGACTGATCCAAGAGAGGTTGGAACTGGGGCTGAGACATCTGCGTCACGCACGTATGGCTGGTAGGTTGAATAGGGTAGGCACCACAAGTGGGAGCAGTCATGCCCGACACGGGCATGACAGGGATTTCCGTAAAGGATGGGTAGGACTCCATGGTGAAAGGACGAAGGGCAGGGAAGAATGAAAACGGGGAACTCCGGAGATAAATGATAAATCAGAAGCGCAATAAGTTCCATCGAGTACCGTATGGCCTAGGGACGGGCCCCAGTGTTGCATCAAGCAAAGCATGAACGAATCCCATCAAACACATCAACGTCCAGAACCTGTGGATCTGTGGGGCCGAGAGAGATGAGCCTCAACAAGCCTTAGTCAGTGGGCTATGGCGAGAAATTCATGAGTCTGTGGGCGGGCAATAGCTCTGTTATGCACCTAGCAATTAGTGTAGAATTGTTCCTCGGGGCAGAAGTCATAGCAAAGAGGCCCTGGAAGCTGAGAAAGATCGGCATAGGGCAACAACTGGCTCGGGAGGTCGCAGTTTTTACCACATAGGGCAATTTGGACCCCAAACATGCCCCGTTTTTCCTCGCATCTTCCTTGGCCGCAACCCCCGGGGCCATGACTCAATGCTAACCGACCCTAGCTCGACTCTAGTAGGCCCTTAACAGGCCTACACGAGCTGGCTTAGTGTTGCAGAGACCAGCACGCGGCTCGCATAACCCGATGGAGAAGAAACTGCGAACCCACGAGCCTCCCCATCCCTCCCGTTCTCCCTGTTCCCCGGTGCTGATCCACGGTGGATTGATCCTGGCCCGAAGATCACCGACCGGATCGTGCCAGACACTTGGGCTCCACAGGTCAATGATGGCCGCGGAGATGTGTTGTCCGTGTCCCTCTTTTCTGAGCAGCTGTTTGCTCCGTGATCGTCCTCCATGAATAGAAATTCGTGATTATCTCTGGAAATATTGGGATAAGTGATTCACGTGCCATAGGCTAGGTGTACTATCCACAAGAGGGTGTAGCAATTGGGATAGCCAGAAAAATGGAAAGTGACACCTTGGGCCCCACGACCGCCCACTTGGCCTTGGCTCCGCCCGCTTCAGCCACCCGGTTGAAGTCTAAGCCTATTTATCGGAGCCATGGGGCAAGGAGGAGTTGATTCATGGACCTTCGAATTAAAAAGTGTGACGTATAAATTTTCATAGATCATGAATTGATTCCTGTTCTGGAAATACGCGTCAATTCATGCCTTGCGCTCCCAAACTTTCAGGGCCCAGAAAACCCAATAAAAGAACAGCGTAGCCACAATGTTGAAGCCCATGTAAACATTAATCAGCCTAATGCTGTGACAACGATCGAAGTATTTGATGCCAAGGAATGATCAGTGCTTTTGATGGCGCAGATCGAGCCCCCCAGGTCGACTCCGGGATGAGTCGATTGCTATGGTAGAGTTGTACACGCTGGCTGAGGTAAGCACCACAAGATCCACAACGCACAGCAGTAGGGTCTTTCGAAAATGAGGACGCAGGTGAAGAGGAAGATATCATTTAGGACCCGATCGATCTCGCTAAGTGGGGTACCTTCTGTGTCCACATCACGTACAGGCTGGGCGTATTCGGATCTATTGAACTAAAAAGCATTGCGCCCGCCAATCTGGGCTTGTTGGATCAGATTGTAGCCCTGCAATGGATCAAGTCTAACATATCCTCAATTGGTGGGAACTCAGACAATGTCACTGTGGTCGGACAGTTCGCCTGAGCGGATACGATTATCTGTTTGATGGTCTCCGGGGGTGCTACAGGCCTATTTTGTCAGGCTATTCTGCTCAGTCCGCCATTGCAAGAGCTCAAGGAGTGGACTGGGACTGTCCTATGTTTACGAGAAGAGCAGAACAGCTCTTGACCCGAGATTCAAGAAGATGTCGGTAGACGAGTTGTTGGCGCTCCAAAAGAAGCTTTTGATGGCAAGTTATGCTCTTTACACCTGCACTTGGGTTCTACCCCCTGCCAAGTGAGCAAAGCTTTGACCGGAAACTCGAAGCAGTTGTCAAAAACATCCCGATTCTCATCGGTTGGACCGCCCACGATGGTCGCCCTTTTGCAAGCACGATGGGCCCGCAGGGCCTGCAGCATCTCCCAATCATTGGGTCGTATTTGGAGTCTCTCGGGACATGGTATATCACCTTCAGCTATTTCAAACGGCCATCGCAGCGGTTTTATGAGCAGGTGCTGCGAGCTAGAGGCATATCGACAGCTTATTCTTTTAACTTGGGAGCTACGGAGAATCCACTAGGGGCTTGCCACAGTATCGATATTCCCTTTGTGCTTGGTAACTGGGAGGCCTGGCAACACCCCTTATGTTGGTGGAAAAGGATACAGAAGACTCTATCTCGCAATTGGGAGCTGCCCTTAAAGATCTTTGGGATGATTTTGCAAATGGAAGGCGCCTGGGACCTGGGCACATTGAAGTGATAAGAGACTGTGTTCTGCCTTAGCCCTTGAGTTAGATAGATTTGCTTGCATAAGTGGCGTATTGCATGCCTATCAGCGGTAAGTTCAATGACTTGTGGTACACTCGCCATATGCCAATCTTCTTCTATTCGCCTACTTAAGCTACCTTCTATCTACCCTTCGCTCTCACCTCTACTTGGCTGACATATTGATGAACTAGGCTTGCAGGACAACCTGCCTCCAGTTCTCGCGATCCAAAGATTCCGCAGAGAGCAGAACAGAACCGGGAGGGAGGACTTGTTCCTGCGGATGGACCGCTTGCGTCGTCCTCAGAACACGGCCATGAGCAGATATGGCTTCCGCGGCAACATGATCATAGGAGTGACCGGATACGAAGAAAGATGTTTCGAATCCCTGGCGCTTCGCTTCGCCCAAGAATGACCGAGAGCCATACTTGTCAGTCACGGCATAGAATCTCCAGGCGGAAGTCTCTGTGTCACCATTCCACGATACGTACAGCTCAGTACCCAAAGAAGTCTTCTCGGCAACAATGGCAGGCTCCTCTGTGGGATAGCCTGTCCAGTTGTACCGAAAGGCTCGGTAGTTCTCGACACCTTCACTGAGCAGACCAGAGTCCATGTACGCGTGGAAGATCGGAGTACCATCAGACTTGAACTCGGTCATAGCTCCTTCAGAGCCCCAGTTGACCAGGACATTGCCATTGGGGAGAAGTTGAGTGCTGCCCTGGGATTTAGCAAGCAGGCCATCTGGAGGCTGAAATGCTTGCACAATTTGGGCGGTCCAGTCGGCTGTGTTGACAGAGATGATCTTGCCCTGGGAAAATGGATGGGTATGGACTTCATGGCCGCGATGGTTTTCAGTACCGTGAGCGGAGTTGTCAAACAAAGAAATGATCTCTTCGTCGCCGGTCCTTTCAATGAAACGGGCGTGATGCTGGAAGCAGAACTGCACGTTGGGACCAAGTTCAAAGTCCGACTGGAGACCTCCCAGGCGCCAAATGATCTCGCCAGTTGTACCATTGATCTTATGCACTGCACATGCGTCACGAGCAGAAATTAGATAGTTGCCCTCGGCGTCCTTGTCGACAGAGTTGATATGGAAATAGTCCCATGCATCAGAGGAATTATATCCCGCACCCGCCTGGCCAGGATTGAGCGGGAGAACAGCCTCTATTCAAAATCAGTATTTATGGACTTTTATAGCATAAAACATTGCATACCATCAGGGGAGACATGCTCAAGACTCGACCACTCAAAGAGCAACTCGCCAGTTTCAATGTTCAGTTCTGATGGAGTCAGCTTACAGCCTTCTCAGCGACACACCCACTACATACCTTGGAAGATGGCATCTACAATCCACTGCTGCTCCGGACTACCACCCCAACGACTGAGATTGGTCGGAATAGGCTGGTAGACCTGGAGAAGCGCGGTCTTTTCATCAATAACATGGAACTCGTGCTTATCCATGAGTTTATGGTTACCCGCACGCAGCTCACGAATGGTCTCATAGCGCTGATTCAGAATGGTGGCATGACCATGACCGTGACCATACGCAGGATTATGATCACCTTCGAAGCTGAACAGAACGTCATGTCCCTTCCATTTAGCAGCCTGGAAGTTGGCTGCCCAGATGGAATAGTACGTGTACCCGGACCACACGAGTTCACCGTCATCGCGGAAAATGTACGGGCCCTCCTGGCGTGGTCCATGGAACTGAGGCTCTGTCCATTGGCCAGGGAAAGGTGCCACAAAAAGAAAGCCCTTTTCGACATCCTTAGTAGCCGGGATCGTGATGTTCAGCCGAGGTGGCGCCAGATCCGTTCGAGACTTGAACTGCCAATCGGCGGCCGCAAGAGAAACCAGCGCGGCGGCGCAGGCAACAGTCTCAAGAACCTTCATAGTTCGGGAAAGTACTAGAGCAGGGATCAGTTTCCATGATGAGATCTACAGTATGCAACATAGGGTACATTAACCTTAGGAGAGTATTCTGCACTGGAAGAATCGTTCTTTCACGTTCAACCTTGAAAGTTGTATATTCTCGGTAATTTTGAATATGGAACGACCGGAAGAGGAATTCGCAGGGTTTAAGGGTTTATATACAGTTGGTCAACGTCATTGGAATATGCGTCATAATGTGGATAGTGCGAAATGCGCGGCCAATGTCGTGATCGGATGGACGTTCCGCCCTTCCCAATTGAGTGCCCGCTCTGCTGCCAATGCTTGGTTTTCCCCTCGTTCGGAAGTTTTACGATTTTTCATCCTCGGCTCTCTCTCTCGGTTAGTGGTCGACCTTGGCACCTTCACATTTGAACATTTGAAAATTGTGCTCTTAAACTCAACATACGTGATCGGATTAACCCCGCCATGGCCACGCATCACCGTACTGAGCATACGACCTCTGCCAATTTTGTGCAGACTAGTATAGAACGAGCGGAAGAAGCAACAATGATTTTACCAAACGAGGAAGAGCCTCTTCTGCAGTCAGATGCAGTCGCGACCTGGAAACCACCCCCTGCCTTTTTATGGATTGAGCTTGGTTCGTATATCCACGAGCAATCATAAGATGAAGCTAATCGAGTATCCCACAGCGATCATGTTGAATGTCTTTCTTGGTGGCTTCGACGGCACAATTACAGCATCAACGTATGCCGTCATTAGTTCCGAGTTCAACGCTGCCAACACCGCCTCCTGGTTGACCACCTCTTATTTGATCACGAGCACCGCATTCCAACCGCTGTATGGGCGATTCTCGGACATTTTCGGCCGACGCTTGTGCTTCTTCACCGCGACTGTATCGTTCATGGCTGGTTGCTTAGGATGCGCCGTCGCGAAGGATATCGTTTTTCTTAACATCATGCGTGCGTTGACTGGTATTGGAGGTGGTGGTTTGATGACAATGGGTAGGGAACTTCAATCCTCAGATGAAACGGATGAAGCGGAGTGACTAACTGGAGAAAATAGCAACGATCGTCAACTCGGATCTTATTCCATTTCGCCAACGTGGCATGTATCAGGCCCTTCAGAATGGCTCAAACGGCTTTGGCGCTATCTGTGGTGCCTCTTTTGGAGGTGCGATCGTCGACACGATTGGATGGCGATGGTGTTTCTTGTTGCAAGTGCCTGTGTCACTGATGGCTCTGGTTCTCGGCTATTTCGTTTTGAAGTTCCCGACAAAGGAGAGTGACTCTAGCAGCCAGCAGACTAGAGGAATCTGGCACCAGATTGATGTATCGGGAGCGTTACTTCTTGTGTTGGCTTTGTCAAGCCAGCTGGTCGGACTGAGTTTGGGTGGTAACGAGCTGTCCTGGACAAACGGCTGGGTAATCTCGTCACTAGTTGCCAGTGTCATATTCCTTGCGGGCTTTGTGGCTGTCGAGGCAAAGACCACAGCTGCTCCTCTCATCCCGCTCAAGATGCTTCACGGGCTACTTCCAGTGTCGACACAAATTGCCAATGTGTGTGTTGGAATGGCCGCCTACGCGGTAAGTTCTCACTGGCTTCACAAGATCAGAAACAGGACTGAGTGATCATTTCTAGTTCCTCTTCACGATTCCCCTCCTATTCCAAGTCATTTTGCTTGAAAGCCCGACAAAAGCTGGCGCTCGCCTGGCGATCCCCTCTCTCGCCACACCGCTTGGCGGATTACTTTCAGGAGTTGTAATGTCGCGTTGGGGAAAATTATCCTACCTTGTGCGCACAGGTGCTAGCTTGATGTTCATTGGTAACGTGCTGGTGATGCTTTTGCGTTTCAATGACTCGGGCTGGAAGTACTTTGTCTATATCATTCCCGCCAATCTGGGACAAGGAATAGTCTATCCAGGCATTCTTTTTACGTTTCTTGCCGCCTTCGACCATGCCGGTACGTTGAATAAGTCGGTCCCTTGACTTCCATGAACCAAGCTAACTCTACCTTCTCCATCTAGATCACGCCGTCTCTGCTTCGACCGTGTACCTCATCCGCTCCCTCGGGAACGTTTACGGTGTCGCCGTCACCTCAGCAATCGTTCAAAATACATTGCGCTCAGGCCTCGCTGAGGCCTTGAGTGGACTACCAGACAAATGGAAAGTACATCCCCGCCTTGAACTTGCAATGAGTTGCCCCTGAGCAATTGCTGATCACTTGCCATTTTCTTAATCTTTAGGTGATCGATGAAATCCGTCATTCAGTTTCAGCTGTCCGTGATTTGCCTCCTGACGTGCAGCTGGCCGTTCGGCTGGTTTACCACCGTGGTATTCAGCTCTCTTTCGGCGCATCAGCCTCATTTGGGCTCATTGCAAGCATTGCAGCCCTTTTCACTCGCGGAAAAGGACTAGAACGTGCTGATGGGGCTTAGATATCCCCCCAGCCATAGATGATTCAAGAGGTTGAGGTGTAGCCTTTACGGTGAGAAGGCTCGAGCCAACTTCGCCATATAGTGAGTCGGTGGCGCTCAAAATATTCAATGGGTAAGTTGCTAAACGATTGACGCAATTTACGAGAGAAATGATGTTGGTTTTGGGACAGTGGAAGTAGATTGTGTTAGCTCGAAGACTTGCAGAGATCATATGAGTGGCTGTCTCGACTTTATTTAGAGTGATAGAACCGGAGACTTCAGAAGTCTTGTGAAAGATATTGTGTCTCTGGCTTGTGAACTTCTATTTAATTCCGTTCGTAAATCTTCCTTTTTACAAACCCTAGAAACAGACAAGTCCACCGCTTCAAGCGTTGGTTGTGAGGACGGCAACACTCAGATTAGGCAGACTGAAGCTAAAGACGCCCTTCTTGCCGGCCTTGACCGTGGTAGTCTGGCTGTGCACAACGTTGGCACCGCCAACTTCGTTCATTGAGAAAGCGTTCGGTGCTGTCAAGATCGTTAAGTCTGCAGTCGTGCCCCGCCCAACACCCTCAAAGGTAAGCGACACTGGTACATCGGCGGTGCTGTTATATACTGCCGCTTTGAAGATGTGAGAGTCGGTCACACTGTCTAGACCGACGGCATAGTAAAGCGGACCATACGTGCCATCCCAAGTTGCAGGTAGAGTGTTAGTCATGTGATTCTTGTTGAAGAGCTTTCGAAATAGTCAGTAAAAGGATGAGAAATGAATCTGAACATGCTTACATTGTACACATGCCAGCTGGTTGACCTGGCCGTGTCATCCGGGTCGGCATTGAAAGAGATCATGGTCGGCGACCACTCATAGCTGTCCAGGTTCATGAAGTACGGCGCCTGTTACTCGTCAGCTAGGTCGCAAATAAAATTGGTAGGTTCTTACATAGGTCGTTCCGATAATCTTGTCTGCGTTACGCTCAGCACCCAGGAGGAAAACAGCTTCGGCGACTGAGCCAATCCACCAAGGATACAGTGAGAAGTTTTTGTCGTTCCAGTCAATTCCGACACCATTGTTGAACTCTGTCACAGCAATTTCGCCTATTTTTTGTCCGCTAATTAGCAGCCAATAAAGTTCAACATTAATCATTGGGACTTACCAAGAAGAATTGGGTGCTTGTCTGTGTAATTGTCGAACATGCCGAAATTGGTGACGAAGTTATCCGGGACATCGTACAAATGATAATCACCACCAGCTGACCCAGGTAGGGTCATGTCGATGGTTGACGCCAGGACCTGGATATGCGGATACTTGGCAGTAATTGCATCATAGAATGCTGCAAAGCGGTATGATTCGTATGTGCTCAGGCCGCCATTAAGGTTATCTTCGTTGCCAACCTCGACGTAACGGATAGTCCAAGGATCCGAGTGACCGTACTTGGCACGCAGAGCACCATATTTGGTATCAACAGAGCCAGTCAAAAACTCCAACTCATCCAGGGCATCTTGGACGTAGGCATCAATATCGGCCTCTGCGACGGCATCTCCATTTAGAGCAAACCCGGCCCATATGGCAAGGACTGAAAATATCCGAAATTAGTATTCAGCCATGAAGGGTCAAATATCAATACTCACTGGGCTCCATGCCAAGATCGTCGCACCATTCCATATATTCGACCAAACCCATTCCACTGGTCTCTTCATAGCCCCAAGTCGTGGCACGACCAGGTCGGCCCGTGAGGGGTCCAATGGTCTCATTCCACTTCCAGCGGCCATCGATAGTATCTCCTTCGAGGTTGTTACCACCGGGGAAGCGGAGGAATTTCTACTTGGTCAGTATAAATCTCCCACGTGAGCATCTATTCAACGACTAACCGGACCCAAATCGCTCAAGGCCTGCATCAAATCACGTCGCATCCCATTGGGGCGATCATTCCACGTTGGTGGGAACAGGCTGATCAAGTTGAAGTCAAGGGAGCCATCGGATGCTTTCTAGAAACTGTTAGTGTCAAGATTCATTCTTATCCATTCACGTATTGAGACCCACGGAAGCATCAAATGTAAGTGAGAGTGTGTTGTTCGTATTGGCAGCAGTTTTCTTTGGCGTCAGAGTAAATTCATGTTGGACCCATTCACCTGCCACACTCTTAGATTTGACCTTGGTACTTGCCAGGGTCTTTCCGCTAGTGGCCGAGAGAAGAGAAGCTGTGAACGAGCCCTTGTAAGAGCCCTTCACATAGAAAGATCCAGAGTATTTCTGAGGTCGCACATCAATTCCCCAGAATCCATCATTTGATAGACCTACGGTTCCTTTTCCTGAAACCTTGACAGAAGTTGGAAGAGCAGAAGAAAGTGGGCTAGTCAGGTTTTGAAGGGAGAGCCTTGAACGGCCCACGGCTGTCCATGCATCCAGAGATGATGGATAAGTCGTGCTGCCTTGGAAAGCTCTGTTGCGAATCAGTTCCGCGTAGAGACCACCTTCACCACAATGATTGATCTCCTATGCATACTGTTAGCGCTGGTCTGTCTTAGCATTACAGTTGACATACCTCCTCCATCACGCCATACTGCAAGTTGGTGGTGGCATTGCCGCCAGACTTTGCTACAGAGATATGTACTGCCGCACTGTACGTCGCCAGCAATGGTAGAAGCAAATACTCCGTCAACATAATGGTGTTTATTGCTGTACACCAGTCGATGCAGCCCGCAGATCTTATCCAGAATAGACCGTTTACTACCTACTTGTAGGAGGCCACCGCGACTATTTATGCGGGTGAACGCAAGTCGATAGGAAATCGAATCATTATTCCAAAGCCATGTTCTCCCTGAGGCCAACCCATAACCCCTCAGTGTACCCATGCAAGAACCTAGGGGTTGGAATGTTTCGTAGTCGATCATTTCCAGTTCTGAAATCACATTATCTTACTAAGTTGAAAATTGCCGATATTGCGCGTCCCTTTTCGGTAAATTTCCTTGAGGAGAGCCTAAAATTGCTCGAGAACAGCCTTGGCTAGAGTGAAACCCCTCAACATGGACAGGGTATGGTAAAACATCGGCAGAACTAGAGCATAATTAGTGTTGGGATCCTTGCGTAGGGCTCGGCCAGAGACTTTCCAGCCTCTCAGAACGTAGAGATGGATAGAGTTGTGGAAACAGCGAGATAATCCCAGCACAGGTGGACCATGCCGAATTGATTGGACTTTCGTCACAGTCCGGGGCGGCGCCGGGTAAATACGCCCACTGAGCGGGGAAACGATTGATGGAACAATGCGGATGAATGCCTTTCTCGCATCTCCGCACCAACAGAGCTTCGCTTTCCGAGGCTTGGTGTCTTGTCTGGCGGCAAATGTCCATCTCCCTAAGACCCGAACTGTTTTGTTTCATCTGAGCGATTGAAGTCCATGCATATGTGAAGTGAATGAATTTGAAGGTCTTGTACGCGGGAATTGCGGCGGATACAATTGTCCCATGGTTCTGATTGCGACCGAGAGTAGAACGAAGACTATTTAATTAATTTGTAGGGTCAAAGTCGTAACTAATCTACCTGTGCACCTTCAAATGAGGCTTTAGAGCTCGATAGGATCAGGATATTCCCCCTAGGAATCCATCCATACTGGTTTCCCGGGTTTTGAAAGACCAAAGCAAATTTAGATAACAATCAGCTTCCTCACCCGGCGATGAATGTTCTGAAAAAGGTAAACCTGAATAATATTTTGGCCTCAATCTCAACTTAGGCCGAGGGTGCTCAAAGCTCAAAGTAGTGCTCAACTCGGCAAGGCGTGCACATCGATCGGGTTTTCAAGCTGTCCGAGATCTCATGAGAAGAGCTTCCTATGGCATTCTGGAAGATGAAGGCCCCCAAAAAGCCGTTTGAACACGACGACGATATCTTTAGTTGGCTTGTTGCAGTTATCCTCAAGCGATATATCCGTTCAAATCATGAACGCAGTCATTCCCTGGGCGCCAACAGGAATTGGAAGCGCCGCCTCTCAATAAAAGTATGGTTTGCAGGAAAAGTACCTATAGCCCATGCACGTGACTAGACTTTTTGCCACTCTCAATCGATGTATATGTAACGTTCGAGGTAAAACAAATCTCTCTATCTGGAACTATCTAGACTGTGGTCAGGTGACTACGAAGAAAAGAAAATAGAGGAGGGGACTTTCGAGTAGCAAGCCTTTCATTAATGTTCCCGTTAGTACATAAACTTATCTGCATAGCTTTGGCCCATTCATAGTGCCGGGGTCTGCGCGCTCCACGCTCTCCAATGGGGCGGATGGTTGCTGCTCTTATCCGTGTCGCAAGTGCCGTGATCACAGCCATTCGCATAATTGAAAATCGCGATGCCGTTAAGCGAGCAAGCTGCCTATTAGTCTCATTCAATATTACGTTCCTCATTCTCTTTTTCTAACCTTTGAAACAATCAATTTGAAAAACGAAGGCGCTTCGCCCTGGCTATAGCGCTTATTGCCAGCCTTGCCATACGATTGGTGGGTAGGCAGGGGTTGGCTGCACGTAAGCGCCGCCCTCCCATGCATTGGCATGTGACCGCTGATGATTAGGGCGTTGATCCCCCGAGCTCCTGATTTAAGAATGGGCATATACCCTAGGCCCCCCGTAACTAGTGGCTTCTCTAACATAATGCCGTCCGCCATGACCACGAATGACATTGGCGGAGCAAGCCCCCTCAACACGAATGGACTTTGTTTACTGTCCTTGGACGGTGGCGGAGTCAGAGGACTTTCATCATTGTACATTCTCCGGGATATCATGGCGCAGCTAAACTATGAACGCGTTGATGAGGAACCTCTCAAGCCATGCGATGTTTTCGATCTGATTGGAGGTACTAGCACTGGCGGGTACGAGGACGTATCCTGACAGCTACTTGCAAAAGCTAACTTTATTTCTTTGAATGGTGATTAGTCTCATTGCGATAATGCTGGGAAGACTTGAAATGGGAATTGATGAATGCATTGCAGCCTATAGCGAACTGATGCATTTGATTTTTGGCCAGAAAATGAACAATCTTCCAGTTGACTGGGCTGGAAACATCCGGGCACAATACGACAGCACCAAGCTCAAACATGCAATTGAGCACGTGATTGAGGGCGCTGGTGTAGCACCGGATGCACCGATGAACAATGGACAAACTCGCCGCTGCCGAGCATTTGTGTGTACTACATCGAAGGACACTCTACAGATCGCGCGATTACGAAGTTATGATGTGACAAACGAGGACACGATTCCCGCGACAATCTGCGAGGCAGCTCTAGCAACATCTGCAGCTACGGGTTTCTTTGAGACAGTGTCCATTGGAGAGTATAAGTTTGTGGATGGTGCTTTCGGAGCGAACAACCCGATGGAAGAGGTGGAGGAGGAAGCTGCCGATATTTGGTGCACCACGAGCCGGGAATTAAGACCACTGGTGAAATGCTTTCTATCTATTGGTACAGGCGCCCCGGCAAAGGCACCCATTGACGATAACATGCTCAAATTTCTCTCAAAAACATTGGTCAGAATGGCCACAAAACCAGAAAGTACGGAGCGACGTTTCATGGCTCGATGGAGCAAAGAGCTCCGAGAGAAGCATGTGTTTCGCTTCAATGTTGAGCAGGGACTCCAAGATGTTCATATGACGGACTATCAAAAGCGCAGTGCCATTGAATCGGCAACATACGACTATTTACACCATTCGTCTCAGAAAGGCCGTGTTCGAGATTGTATTGTGAACCTCCTGGGCAAAGAAGGTATGCGACTATGAACCTCCACTCCTGCAGATGCTAACGAGTCGCGTTCTACTTGCAGGGAAGACGGATATTGATTTCGACATAGTTATGCGTGTAAGCGTCAAGTCCCGCGGTGGCAGAAGTAAATCTAACACGAAAATCTTCTTCATAAGGCGTACGAAACTCAAGAACTCCGAAGTCAAGTCATCAAAACGATTCATTCTTCAAGCGCCTCATCCGTCCCTGGTAAAGAGCCATGCTGGATAGTTCCTTTCGAGCGAAACCATCGGTTCGTTGACCGAGAACTTCTCGGAAAAATAAAAAGAAAACTATTCCTCGGCCGCCAAATGCAAAGAATTTCCATTGTTGGTCTTGGAGGGGTAGGCAAGACACAGATCGCCTTGGAGTTGGCTTTCCAAGTGAAGGAAATATATCCGGACTGCTCCATCTTTTGGATTCCTGTTGTGGACATGGAGAGTGTCCAGCAGGCTTATCAGAACATTGCATCGCAGTTGGGTATTGAAATCCCGGACGAGGATGAAAAGGATGTAAAGAAAGCTGTGCAACGACATCTCAGCCGACCGCAGAGTGGACGGTGGCTTCTCATTTATGATAACGCGGACGATTTGAGCATGTGGTCGGAAGTATCGCCTGGTTTGGGTAGTGAAGGCCTCCGGGAATATCTTCCAAAGGCAAGCAGTAGCCAAGGGGCTATTTTGTTCACTACACGAAGTCACAAAGTTGCGCAGTTTCTGGCATCCACCGAGATCATCGAGATAGCAGAGATGGATGAGCACAAGGCTACCAAGGTCTTGAAGAATTTGCTCGTCAACAAGTCCCTTGTCGATGACCATGAAAGCACCAAAAAGCTTTTGGATCGCCTGACATTCCTCCCTCTGGCTATTGTCCAGGCTGCTTCCTTCATGAACGAAAACTTGATGGATATTTCGAGCTACGTAGAACTCCTCGATGGACAAGCGCAAGACACCATCGACCTTTTAAGTCAAGAGTTCGAGGACGAAGGAAGATACAAAAGCATAAGAAACCCGGTTGCCACGACATGGCTTACGTCTTTTGATCAAATTCGGCGGCAGAACACTTTGGCCTTTGATTATATGGCCTTCATGGCCTGTATCAATCCAAAAGACATACCTGTCTCGCTGCTTCCGCCGGCAAGTCCTGTTGAGAGAGAGAAAGCACTCGGCCTATTGTGTTCCTATTCTTTTATTCACTCACACCACTCCGGTTCTCGTCTTGATATGCATCGCCTCGTCCAGCTTGCAACCGCAAACTGGCTCAAGTCGATTGACTCTCTTCACTCCTGGCATGTCTATTCTCTGGGTCATATCAGCAGGCATTATCCAGCATATGATCCCACGAGGCGAAGCGAATGGCGTGCAGCCATGCCGCATGCCCTCCAGATTCTTCATCTTACATCAAATGAGCTGGCAAATGCAGATACAGTAGATTTGCTGTCTACGATTGGATTCTGTAAGAACGGTGACGGGAGATACAAAGAAGCCATTGAGATTCTTACTTCAGCCTTGGAGAATTCAGAGATCATATTTGGTTACAACCACGACCGTTCTCTCATGACTCGTGGATATCTTGCATCCTCCTATCAAAGCATGGGGGAGTTTGAAAAGGCAACGAATATATATAAAGAGATTCTGGAGTATCAAAAATCCACAATTGGTCTTGAATGTGTTGAAACGAACCGAACATTGCTCAGTCTGGCCATTGTTTATCGAATGAGAGGGAACCTTGAAAATCGCGAACGGGGCGTACAAAAGTCGGCACAAAACCTGCAAAAGGCCGAGGAGCACGGCTCTCAGGTGCTCAGATACTACTTGAGGACTTTTGGCCGAGAGAACGGCGACACTTTATCTGCCATTTTTACTCTTACCCAGGTGTACATCGCTCAAGGGCGACTATCGAATGCCGAAGAGCTAGCTCAACAGTCCCTGGCTATCCAGAAGAAGATCTTTGGGCCAGACACTCTCGGCACAATTTCTGCAATGACTACTTTGGCAGATATATACATGCAAAGATGGAGGCTCGAAGATGCAGAGCTTTTGTATGCAGAAGCGTTAACGAGATCGAAAAAGTTCCTTGGTCTTGGGCATCCGACTATCCTCCGGGATATGCACCAGATGGCATTGGCATTGAAGTTACAATATAGACATTCTGAAGCTCTTGCTTTGATGACTGAATGCGTTAGTCTTGGAGAGAAGTCGCTCGGCGCAAGTCATTACACCAACGAACAGAGCCGAGAATTTATCCGAGACTGGACGGGTCAGAGGTAAGTTGTCCATGCTACAGGCTTGCCCTTGAGGTGCTAGCAATTGATTTCCAGTGGCTCTTGCATCCTTGAAAGGCTCTCACAACTTCTTCCAGACTTCCTGACTAACACTGTCGCATCATAGTAATCCTGGCACTCGCCTCAAATCCTATTTTGTTCAGCTGGAGCGGTCCAATATGATGCTGAAGCGCCGGAGGTATTATCCTAAAGTCAAGATTCTCGGTGGCCTTTACAGCGTACGAAGGGAGCCCAAGGATGATCCAATCATTCGTGAGATCAAAGATGCCGTGAATTACGTACCAATCCAGACACACCCCTCTAGTGGCGAAGTCACTCTCGTGGAGGACTCTGATGTCAGAAAGCCTTGATTCTGTGGGTGGATGTAAGAGATATTGGAGAGCTTGAGATGGTAACGAAGCGTTTCTTTGGCGGCAACGACGATCCTTCACCATCGCTAATTTTGCTTTGAACTTCCCCGTGAAGGATGCGATATAGATTTACAGAATATTTCAACGATAATAAATAGTATTAGCAGGGAACGGAGAGAAATAAATATCGGCTAAACTGAATTTTAGCTTAGAAACGTGTCTGGAGACAGCAAGAGAGATCGGACACAAGGAAATTATTTCAATCCAAGGAGAGCAGTAGCATCTGTCCCGATCACTGCCCGGGCGGATCTAGAAAACTTGAACGCCATGAAGAAAAGAAGGTATCATTGAGGTCGTGGGTCAGGGAGTTTAGCACATCTCGCAGCACTCAATGCAGTCGGCGCAGCACTCGCAGCCCTCCTCGCAGACGAAGCAGCAGCAAAGGGTGGCCAAGCTTGATTTTAAACTTCGCGTTAGCAGATACTCAACTTCAATGATTGGATTCGAACTTACCAGGCGCCGAGGCAGCCCTGACCACCGCTCTTGCCCTTGTTTTCAGGCGGGGGAGGCTGCTGGTATTGCATCTGAACATGGGTATTAGCAGGCGATTCTTCGAAAGAGGGATAAATTGAACTCACTTGGCCCTGGGGAGGGTAGCCGCCCTGCTGGGGAGGGTAGCCGTAGCCCTGCTGGGGAGGGTAGCCCTGTTCGTAACCGCCCTGGGGAGGGTAACCGCCGTAGCTGTGTCCAAATCACAAGTCAGCAAGAAGCGCATCGCAAATCGCGGCATGCAGTCGCCCAGAGCCATAAGATCTTCATCGTCTCGACATTGTCCAAGGTATTCGATCGTTGGGGGCCCGGGGAATCTCCTGACAATCGCGCGCGACACAGAAGATGAAACCGAAAGGGTCGAGCAGACTTACGCCTGGGGGGGAGGCCCGGGGGGAGGAGGTCCCTGGTGGTAGTAGCCCTGGCTAGCCATTTTGATATTTTAAATGACTTGGAGTACTGGTGAGGGCGAATCAGCAACCTGGTCACCAACACCGAGGCCGGAGCCAACGTTTGACGGAACGGACAAACGGTCGGGCGGGGACGAGAAAGGGGCAAGCCACGTACTTAGGGTGATCGGGAGAAGAATGCGCCTGTGATAAGCGACAGGGGGGAAGCGAAGGGAAGGAGGTTGAGGGTGTTGAGAAGTGAGAGAGGGAGAGGGAAAGAGGAGACGAGGTTTACCGAAGGCCCCCGAACTTTGTTTGAGGCAGCAGTTAAGGTACTGGACCTGGACTTGGCAACAGGGCTGACTGCGATCTGTACACTTGCCCTTCCAGTAACTAGGTACCGTACAGTTTGCTCCACTTCGGTTTGCTGTCATTTAAGGGATCACTATGCTCATTATCTATGAAAGGTCTTGGGGATCTTCAGCTCATTCCGTGTGTCGCTGTAATCCGATTGTATTGTACACCAGCCACAACACTGTGCGGCCAGCCCTATGTACCCTGTACCAAGATGCAGTCAGCCACAATGCGATGCAGGAGGACTCCATTGAACACGAAGCCATTGGGCCTAGTGCCAGCCACCGTATCACCCGATGGTCCACCGTGGATGTTCATCCACTCGTTTACGAGCTCTCGTCGGGCGAACCGGCTGATCGGCCACGCTCTTTACCGCCCGTATCATTGCTGCCTGTGTTTGTATTTTCGGTATTTTAGTATTTCGTATCCAGTTGGTAGTTATTAGATATTAGGTATCGAGGCAAGGTACGAAGTAAATTTAGATCTGTGACTGTGTCACTCGATTAGATTCATCATTAGCGCTTGTTCATCTCTGTCAGTAAGTGTAACCTATCAACGCCGAATGTGATCCAAGTGTCCCAGCCCTCATATACAGCCCCGTGTCTCCACGTCATAAAAGATCAACGATAAACGATAAACGAGAAAGTATTCGACAAGAAAGGAAGTGAAAAGAGGTGAAGAATGAAGATGAAGAGTGAGGAGTGAAGAATAAGAATAAGTCTACGATCGCTCACATGACATACTCCAGCTCCGGGAGCGACTGCCCATCGAGATAGTACGGCGTGTCTAGCGTGGCATCTAAATCAAACGATGCCACGGGAAATGAATCATACCCATTCATTAGGGCCGACTCCATTCCCATGTCTTTCGGCGCTTTGCTCTCGCCTGACATGCTCTTCTGTCGATCGCCGGGCGTCGCCGGACTGAAGCTGCTCACCACGTTCTCATCGGCTATCTCTTGAGTCTCCATCATCCAGTGCTTGAGCACCTCCATCGGCGGGTGGTTGCCTCCACCCTTGCCGCCGCGTTTTTCACTGTCTTTGCCGCGCCCGCCACGCCCACGTTGACAGGGGTTGAAATGCGTGCGTCGCAGATGCGCCGCGGCGTTGTAGTTGGCTCCGTACTTCTTGCCGTTGCGGCAGGCTTTGCAATTTGCTAGGAACGTTTTGTCTGGTGAAATGTCCACGCATACCCATACTTTGCGCACTGTTGCATGCACACGGTCGATGTGTCGTCGCAATTCGTGTTCACCGTGGAATCCCTCGGGCTGGTCGTTGCAGAGATGACAGTAGGTCTTCGTTCGTGGAGGTCGTTGAATTGAGGCTTTGGGGATGACTGCCACCTCTTTCGTCGTGCCGTCTGTGGACGAGATGCGGACCATTCGGTGCGGTTCGGATGGATCGCTCTTTACAATGATGTTTTCTTGCGACTCCTGCTTGGGTGCGATGGGGCGAGTTGCCTGCATGATCTGCTCGTGCGCACGACGTACCGCACGAGAGGGGCCTGCATCGATCGAACCGTTGCTCTCGTTGGATATTGAGGGTTTCATCTCCACGGACTCTATCATCGGGAGACCCGACGGTAGCGGCCGCCGGAAGGAGGTAGTGGGCGGTGCAGAGGTGGAAAAGGATGGAGGGTAGAATGGGAAGGAGGAGGAATCTAGGTCAGGGTACATGGCAAGAGGGAAGGGTTCTTGATACGAAATACCAGAGGTGGATGTGGGCACCCACTCTGGGGCAATGGAGATTTGGGCATCCAGATCCACACGTCCATTTGACTCAAACTGAAAGGTGTCGAAGCCATTGATGATGGTGTCGGCCGTAGCGCTGCGCGTCATCTCCACCGCTGTGGCCGGGGACGAGTCGGTCAGCGGAGGAGATGGTTGTCCAAGGTGGGGATACGGTGTCGGTCCATTTGATCCATGTGTCGCAAGCCCAAGTGTAAGCGCCGAAGAATAGGCCTGGTTGTCGGGTTCATCCAGATGTTTCGCATAATCAGAAGGCGAATACTCATCGACATGGTCAAGCGGTTGCGGAGTCCGAGTCTGTCCGAAAGATTGCCGCTTGCCCGTCAATCCAGCCCCAGCTGACGGGTGCCAGTGAGAGACCGGGATCTGCTGGCTCTGGGAGCGGACCATGGCCGTGTGTCGATAAGACCCGGGAGATGCCTTTTGGGGCATCTGCGGCGAGGACTGCGAAAGGGTGCGCCGGAGCTCAACGCTCATGGGCAAGTCCGGGGTCTGCCAATTGTCAATCCAGGGTTTGGCGGGGGTGAAGATGAAGATGAAGATGAAGGTCAAGATCAAGATCGGGAAGAGGGCGGGAGCAAGAGACCAAGGTCACACGTACGGTGGCTCGCCGTTTCGCCTGCGGTAGACCAGAACCAGAGGGAAGCGTCCGCGGGGTAGCATCCTGTCGAGATCGTTTGCCAGGTTTCTCGGGGTGGTCGATGAAGGCGCTAATCCGTTGTCTCCAGAGTCGATTTCGTTCGAATTCCGGGAGGTGGGAATGCCTGACCAAAAATGCGTCGCGATACCCGGAGATGGCCCTCGTGAACAGTTCATCATCGGCTTGATTGGAGGTCATGGCGGAGCGGAGATGGGATCACCTCGAGGCCGGAGAGAGCTGTGTATCAGTATATACGGAGACGGGGGGGATTATAATTCTGCGCCAGGGTTAGCTATAGAACCATTGAAGATGCGCGCGACATACGTGGGTTGGATCTTATCAGAAGATGGAGAATGGGATCTGCGGTGCGATAGGGAAGCGATAGCAGATAACTCGATAGCTTGAGAGCACAATCGTAGTAGCGCGATAGTAGGAAGGTGGAGAGTTTATAGAGATCGAAACTAAGGATCACGGATGGGGATATTGGGAAGATTTGGGCAGAGAAGAACAGAAGGACAAGAGACAAAAGTCCTGGGGGGAATCAAGGAACCGAACTCCACCATATACGGGTTACGGTTTGAGCTCTTCGAAGGACGTGCTATACATTTCCACTTGTGGCTGTGGGCCCCTATCCCCAAGCCCAAACCCAAGCCTAAGCCCAAGTCTAAGCCTAAGGTCCAGACCGTTCATCATTTCCTATAACGGGACTCGCTATACTCATCCGGGTGATATACCAGTTCGAGTGGTGGTTGGTTGTTCATCCTGCAGTGGTGACGAAGAGGAAAACCAGCGAACAAAGTGAGGCAGCGAACCGGATCGCCCCGAAATCATCCCGGATCCAATACGAAAATCAGGGGGGGTTCAACCGAGCGCCTACAGCGGGAGCCCGAAAGATGAACTGGAGACACACACTGGAGCACAACGTGCCCCGAGACCCTCCTTTAACGCCCAACTCCATCCTCACGCTGCCACGTCGCGCTGAGAATCACTCGGGCCCTGCAGCTGACGCCCATGTGCTGGTACTCCAGTCCCTTCCTAGGACTTCGAGCAATCGAACCGACTCGTGGAACCTCAACGGGAAACGCGGGAGCCACCCATGGTTCGAGTTTCTTTCGTGTGACCCGGCATCGGAATATAGAGCGGCACGTTTCCCTCGCCTTTTGTCAGGGGGGAGGGAAAGGAACTCGGGGTGGGACGATCGTGACGCTAACGAAACAATGGTTCTATCTTTACGATCAACCAAACCCGTTTCTGTTTCAAATGATTTTCGATTTCATTCGCTCTCTACGCTCTGCTAACCCTTTCCCGACGTTTCAACGAATCCGATGACAGTGACCTTTATAGGCGGAGAAGCAATGGATCGACGCGTTTCGACCCAACGACTGTATGATCTCGTCGATCTCCCAATCCGGTTACGGGCTCCACGGTCGAATCAGCGTGACTGTTATCTGTCAATTTTGATGTGTCTTGTCAACGCTGCAGGATCGTCTGTTGCCCATTTCATCCGCCACGATCTCCCTTACGGTTGCAAACTCCGTGCCATTTCGATTTGAGGGGCATTGGTACGGCTTACGACTAGTGAATTTGCTGCCGCGCAATTTCGTCATTGAATTGTTTCGATCTTGCGATGACGATGTTTCTCTATCCTTTGCTGATCAAGTATCCGCTGGTGCGATTCGTCGCGTGCTATGACTGCCCCTGTGCCTTGCGAGGATCACCGGACACCTTGGCTTTTCATCTTGGGTAGCTTGCTAATCTTAGGACGTCGACTTGGACCGGAGTCCATGCATTTCGAGACAATGTCATGGATGCAGCATGCACCGCAGTGACTGTGCCATCCATGTTCCTGGCTCCCCTTCCGACTCGCTGGGCTCTAGCCTGTCTTTACCATTTGCTATTCATCCGGATTATGCTGTATCTCCATTTTCAAAGGACGAGCGTAATTCACTGTTAGGCACTCGAGGCCTGAGGATGCACGGCTAATCGAACACAGCCTGAGCTGCGTATCTCATTTCCTTACTTTGAGCGGGCCGTGTGCGCTCTCATCACGGTGCAGGTGGCGCGTCACGAGCCGGTGCCGCCAATGCCCTCTGAATGGAGCCGCAGACCCTCCGACAAGCGGGATGCAGAGACACGGCTCAGCCTACCGGTCGGGAAAATCCCCGCGACTGGCGCACAATTTCAGTTACAATCGCAGTCCGTTTCGAAACCAACGGGATGGCAATCGCGATACAGGCTCTGTTCAATCTGATCGCGTGGATTTTGGCCGCCGTGTGCCTGTCTTTCTATGCGGCTCCAGGCTGAAGCCATCAGATGTGACAGTGGCATTTACTCTGCTTGTGGTGGCTGAGCCCCGGCGAGAGCATCCAATACGGACGTGCTTATTGTCTACCGTTGCTTCGGGTTGACTGGCTACTAATTAATCACCGTATTTCTGAATTTTCTATATCTGCCCTCAAATAAGCTTGGGTAGACTTGGGAGCCGACTCGAGCCGCTTGACCGAAATACTTCGACTTGCAATTCTCAGTACATATAATTTAGGGTATAGCTCGGATTTCTGTCGGGCGCAACTCTCGTCCCGCTATCTAATAATTATTGACTATTGAAACCGGGAGGAGCACATCGGTGATTGTCCGGCGTGGTATGTGCTTCTTAAGGTTCCAAGGTTCGCAATAAACGTTTACCCCTAAGAGACCCGCACCTCTCGCCCTGTTACGGCCTCATCCCGATCGAGCACAACTCCATAAAATATAACCTCTTTTTGATTCACACGCGCATTAGCTTTCGATCTCAACGGGTTGGACCATAGCTTCGAAACCCGTGTCAACGGAGGCCTCCTAGCTGCCCCAGAATGTTCCAGCAGGATAATGACAATGCTGTACCCAGGTGGAGGGTCGGTCTGACGTCAAGTCGCCACGTCTGGGGCCTATTCTACCAAGCAGGCGGGGAGACTCTGGAGCTGTGGAGAACTTGGACAACGGTTCAAGCAGATGGCAAAAAAGCTGCAAATCATCGTAGTTCTTCAGTCTTCGTCAGAAGTATACAGTAGAGGGTCCACGTGATCCCCCCCCCCCACGTCATTTGGTTTCAGGGCAACGAGATACGCTTTCTCTCCATGAAATTGTTCTAGTGTCTCCATTTTCTCCTTTTCGACCCCAGAGTCTCTGAGTCTCTGAAAATTACCCCATCAGCATGTCTGACTCTACACTTTACCTTTACACCTCCCTGACCGCAGGGTCATCCCACATCGTCACCGCTACTGCTCGTGTGGAGACCATCCTGAAGGCCAACAAGCTCCCTTTCCGTGCCATTGACGTCGCCACCGACGAAGCTGCCCGGAAACTATGGGGCCGACGCTCCAAGGGCAAGAAGTTACCCGGCCTGGTGAAATACGGAAATATTGTCGGAGTATGTACTACCCCTCACCGTTCATTCGAGCTACAGTTAACCCCCACTCTCCCTGCAGGATCTTGAGGAAATTGAAGAATGGAACGAATTCGGCGAGCTGCGCATGGTTGTCAACAACGTTCAGGATGTCGATAGCATGCCTGCTACCAGCAACACAATCACCCCTCCCTCTCAGCCTACACCGACCCCTAAAGAGCCCGAAACCGCTACCCCTAAAACCTCCACCATCACAATCCAAAGCCCACCTGCCGCCAAACCAGATGAGAAGAAGGATGCTAAGGCTGTTTTGGCACTTCGTCAGGCTAGCCAGGAAGCTGCCAACAAGGCCCAGACCAAGACTGACGAGAAGAAGCCTGCTGAAGGGTCCAAATCGGAGCCCAAGCCCGAGTTGAAGAACGAAATCCCTACTCAAAGCAGGGCGCACCGTGGATCTGTCGCTCCTGAGCTGCCTGACACCGTATCAGACTCGCCGAAGGCTGCGAAACGTCCACCTCTCATTCCTGAGGTCGCAGCCGTCTCGTCGGCCAACTTCCACGCGGACAATGCGGAGATGCTAGGACTGGTTGAGCATCACCGGGGCTCCATCATCTCGACGATTGACCAGGAGGAGCAGGAGAAGGTTGTGAGCGATATTCGGAAGTCTATTACTGCTGAGGACCCGTCTGGTAACCTTGACGCGCTCCGTAAGGAGGCCGCGCAGAAGGCGGAGGAAGGTACGATTGAAGAGGTTGCCACTCCGCTCGAAGAAGACATTGCTGCCGTTGCACCCGAGATTAAGGATGTTCATGAGGCTGAGGCCAGTAAGGAGGACGTGAAGCAAGATGTGAAAGAGGAGGCCGACGCCAAAGATGATGTCAAGGGAGACACAGAGGATGCCAAGCCCGCGACTAAGGAGTGAGGGGTCGCCATTACGACGTGATGAATTTGTACATTGCGCATGTTTACTTGCCGTCGATTCTTGTCAGTAGCAGTACGATACCAGAGCAAATTCGCTTCCCAAATACAATCCATACTCGTCAAAACAGTATCACCGTTGAATGCCATTCGTAGCTCATGAACAAATACGCCTATAAACCCAACCCGCAAAACAATGTCCAAAGCGATCGGAGCAAATTATCAAAACACCCCAACCTCGTTTTTGTATATCCGCGACCTAGGATCGGCTCCGGCGCGACTGCACAGCTTCGCGCAGTTTGGCGATGACATCGGCGGGGTCCGTGGCGCCGAAGATTGCTGAGCCGGCCACGATCACGTTGGCACCTGCGTCAGCCGCCTGGTCGATCGTGCCCAGGCCCAGTCCACCGTCCACTTCAATGTTCAGGTCTGGGTACCGCTCGCGCAGCGCAGCCACTTTGGGGAGCTCCGAGGCCATGAATTTCTGTCCACCGAATCCGGGGTGCACGGTCATGACGAGGACCATCTATTTCTGGAATTAGCGCGTGTTGAATGAAATTGCGGGTGGGGAGCTCACATCTGGTCGCTCGTCGAGTTCAGGGCTTTCGAGAATGTCCCACAGCACGTCGACCGGGGTGTCCGGCTTAATGGCGATACCAGCCTGCATGCCTTCCTCGTGGATATACTTGATCAATTGGCGCGGGCTGGTGCGCGCGGTGGTGGTCTTGTCGGTGGGATCGGTCGCGGCGACGGACGAGACGGCCGCCTCGTAGTGGAAGCAGTACAGGTCGCAACCGGCATTCTTGAACTCTTTGACCCATTTGTGAGGCTAATGATCTTAGGTTAGCGGGGATCCGGGAGGTGCCGACAGCTCGGGGGGTATTCAGGACGTACCTCCATAATCATCATGTGGCAATCGAAGGTGCCGCGGGCACAAGGCTCTAGAGGGCGGTCGACGCAGCCACGGATCTGTGATACCACGGGACACCCGATGGTCATGTTGGGAACAAAGTGGCCGTCCATGATGTCGACGTGGAGCCAGTCGGCGCCCTGCGCCATCTTGCGGGAGCAATCATGGCCGAGATTGGAGAAGTCGGCACTGAGGATAGAAGGGGCGATAATCGCGGGAGGCGCCATGGTGGTGATTTTGCGACGGGGGTGGTGAGGTCTGGTATGGAGGGGGGAGGGAAGAGGGGATGAGGGGAGGATTAAATTAGAGTGAAGCTGTCTCCTATCGTGTTTACATCAGACAAAGTGGCAACCCAAGGTGGATATTCCGGGTACACCGTAAGATGCAATTGTGACCCCCTTGTGACAGACGCATGCGACTTGATTTCTACCTTATGTAGATCTTGAACATGTAATTGCAGTATTCATTCACGCTATAAGTCTATTATCCCATTGGGTCTAATGCTTGGAATGCGGCGACGAAAGGAAATAAGAAAGAAAGATCGATGATGCAAACGGTTGATAAGGGCTCCGCCTCTCACGTGCTGGTCTGTCAATCGATCTTCGCTGCAAATCTGGACCCTCCTGGCGCTAGTTCTGCAGCTGTCCCCCTAGGTGGATTACGCCAACGCGTCCAGCTCCATTCACAGCTCAGAAATGGTCGGCTTGATGGAGCCCTGACGGAGTTCCCCCTTAACAAACCAATGCGCCCAAACTGGGAATTGCCTGGATGTCCCAAAACGGTCATTCCGCGGGGATTGCGATTTCCAAGTTGGAAAAATCGTCAAGTCTGGTGACCTGAAAGCTCCGACAGGGGTTGGGCTTGATCAAACCTTACCAAGCTAAGGTTATTGGGGGAACCGCCTGGAATTCGCGTCGAAGCCCTCCAGAATCCTGGCCATCTTGGCTCAATCCGCCAATCATCAACGGTCCCTCTGACCCTGGCCCCTCTAAGCCTCTACAATTCCCATTGCCGTGTGCCGGCTTTACGTATCCATCAACTAACAAGCACTAAAGACACCGCTATTTGCTGGTCTCGTCCCGGTGACCAAGTTCAGATACATCAACAGCAGGGCCGTGGCGAGGACCGCTGTCAGCATGGCAATACGACACGCCAATACTTGCCTCATGCGATGAATGACGGCACCCTTGTGATCATCGTAGCCATTGGAGATGCTACGAACAGTGTCAATAGCCGTCAGAATAACCGCTCCTTTGATTTCCCGATAGGTGGGGGTCCAGGGCGTCTGTGCACGCACGGCGCACTGTCTTCCGAACTCCCCAATCACTAACTAAATATCCCAAACCGTCCCAACGTTCTTCTTCTGCATGACCTCGTGGCCTTGCGTGCCGTGGGGTTCTATCATATACTTCGGTTGGGGAGGCTATTCACGCCACTAGAGGGGCAAATAGCACATAGCCACCAATTGCGAAAAAAAAAAAAAAAAAAAAAAAAAGGTAGTCTATACTCCCAATATTATGTTATATGACGCTTCGACTAGAAGGACAATCTGCCCTGGGGCCACGACTACCTGCCGAGGTCCGATTATGCATGCGACAACCAATTGCGTCCGATCGTCTTGATCGATCCTGTCGGTTTCATAGTTTCTTGAGCTCGTCTCCGATCATGTTCCAGATAAGGGCGAGGCCACTTGTCAGGCTCACGTAGTGTCAAATGCGGTGCCACTGCCCGCATTACATCTAACAAGACCTGCTGCGGAACGGAGCAGATCCTGCACGGCTTTGACGGGAGCGGCCTCTGGCCGACCGTTCTGCATTGAACTTTCTCGATGCCGCCGGGGGCGCCGCTTTATCCGGGCCGCAACTCGTACTTCGTGCTTGGGATAGCAAGTTCTGAAGAAGGGCTGATGTGGTGTCCTCAACAGTCAATTGATCTCATTAGAAAGTATGCTATGATTAGCAGCATGAACTATCGCTTCCTATACTCGAAAGCAAACTACCCGACCCCGACTCTTGAAGTCAACTTGTAGTCTGCACATCGTCTCCACGTCTCCGTGTCTAGGACCTCGCGGTAACAACTTCATGTCTTCGGGATGTTTTCCGTACCCATGTCTTAATTCCGTGAACCAAGATCCTAATTTTTTCTACTTTAATACCGCATAATTCGCCTCCGGGTTTCAAAACAATTGTATCTATGAGCACTGAAAAATCTTCATCCGCTGGATTAATAGGTTTAATCTGTAGTCAGCTATCCTATTGACTGGATTTAGGATCGCATGGGTTGATCTAGTATTGATATAGTCTCGTCTTCTTCTTCTTCTTCTTCTTTTGGGTAGATGTCATAAGACATCTAGATCTTCATAATCCTCTTTGTCAATTTAAAAGCACCATTCACGTAGTGCGCTAATAAATGTCAATTTTTAGCTACTGAGCAACGGCATTCAGGATTCCTTAGGCGATTATTGTAGGAGAAACTCCAAGGTTTGAAAGGACCGAATATATGACTTCATATCCTGATTTCTCAGGGTGTTATCACATTTGACCCGTATTCTTTGTGTTTTCAGCACGAGACAAAATGTTCTTTGCGGCTCTAACAAACTTCTCTCAATTTTGGCCCGATGAATGAACATCGCTTTAGATGGTTTTGGAGGTTATACACCAAGTTGTTTCCTGCCGAAAACTTTCAGACCACTTAATTGAGCAAATGTTATATTACTCGTCCTATTTCCAAACCTCAGCTAGCATAGAGCATTTGAAAATGTTTGCACATGAAGACCAGCGTAATTATTGCAGTGGGTGGCCGCTGTCATGAACACCTTTGCCCCCAAACTCGGAGTCTAGTTTGCTGGTTTCTAAATTCGAGAAAACGCCCCCATGAAGGTCTCGTCTGCCCGGGCAATGTGATTTTTCACTGGCGCTTTCATTTACCGTACCTACAAGGCATCCATGCCATTTTGACACCGAGCTTGACCAACTTCAAGCGAGAATGCAACGACGGATCAGGGGCATGCAGGCTTCATCTATATTGCATGTTGCAGATATTCTCACTCGGCGCGATTGGGCCCTGCAGTGAGGTACAAATGCAAAATGCAACCGTCGTGATCAATTAGCTAGAACTTCTAAAATTAATAAGAGCTAATTTATCACGCAGCATTGAAGTCACCTACCCCTCTTTGCCCTTTTCGCCCTCCTTTCCCTCTTTCCCCCTAGCATCAGCATCATTACGCATTAATTACCCCGTTTTTCTCGGGCGCGTATGCTCAAAGTAGTCATATTTACCTCGCACGGACCCGAAGATGGCTAAAAATAAAAGCCTCAGCGCTTAGACACTACCAATCACTGGTTTCTTCACCTTTGCGCCCGCAGTTCAAGCGGTCCGTCACATTATCGCGTCCTCTTATTCGTGGCTGGCTCCTTAATTCCTCGCCATACAGGCCAGCCTTAACTTGACCCAGGCAGGAATCCGTCGCTGGGCGACGCGCCCACACGTTCTACGCCAATGAACATGCGATCTCATGAGAACGATGGACTAGTGGTGCCCAATGCTGCAGTAGCTTCTGCACCAGATGACCATGGACAGGGATTAGTTCCTCAACTCCCCATTCCCCGCGGGTAGAACGCGCCCGATCGAGGTTATATAGTCCTTTGCCACGACCAAAGCCCTTGATCACGTCTCGCGTCCTTCATTTCGTCATCCTGGTTTTGGTGCTTTCTTGTCGCATGCTCTGGTAGCTGTGACTTCTTTTTATTCATTTTCATATCTCTTTTCATCGTCCCAACCGATCTCTACAGACACCGTTGACCGGTGTCGATGCAGTTTCCTAAGTGATACCCATAGAACATCAAACTCCGGTTTGGTTCCAAACCTACATTCGAGGAGAGAGGAGAGTGCAACATGACTGACACACTTCGCCTCTCGAATGCACGATGCCCACCCCTCCGGCAGGCCCGGGGGACGGTGCTTAATACCATAATGGAAGATACCCGCGAATCTCACTTCGCAAGCAAGGCCTCCAGTGCACCGCAGAGGCCCTTTGTGACTAGCCCCAAGTTGACGCTTAAGACCAGTGGGCTATCGGCGCCTACGAATGCCCGACTTGCCCGGCTAATGTCGCCTCTGTCTGCATGCACAACCTCGTCGTGTTCGGATACGGAGTGGCAGCAACAGATGCAGGGATTCGACGACCTCTACGATGCCACCGACGACGACAACTCGGCTGATGACGAAACCGAAATCAGTGATACGTGCTTTTCCGCGCCGGGGACCAGGCCTGGGAGCTTGGTGACACCGATCACAAGGAATTCGGTCACTTCAACGAGCAGTCGCGGTAGTCGCAAGCGCTTGCTGACTCTGGAAATCCCCTCACCTACGATATGGCCATCCATCAATGGAACCCACAAGAGTTCGCCCATTCCTCCGACTCCCCCGCCCAAGATTCCTGTTTCCCCTTTGGCGCTCTCGATGCTTGCTCGCTCGGTACCTGCTTCCCATGCTCCGCCCTCGCTCGATGGAAGTATATCCTCCGATCAGGAGTCTAATCTCAGCGCCTTCACTCCCGACACACATTCCCTTCCTGATACCAATTGGGACATGCCAAATATTCATGTGCGGCCTGATCTGGATGGAAGTCAAGATGGAGATCTAAGGAATGAAGACGGCAGTCATGATCTTCAGGAGGTACCGATTGCAATTGAGAGCTCACAGGATGATTGGCGCCATGTTCTTGGTCGATTTCCTCAAATTCCCAACACTCTTCAGGACCTGGAAGAGGTTTCTCGGGAACCGACCCCGTCAGATCAGGGCATTCACCTGCCCGATGGTGCACTGGCAATGTTACATCATATTCCTCTCAACGGTACTCCGGAGGCATGGTCTGAAACATCGGAAGGAAATGATGAGATGTGGCAGCTCCAAGCACCTTCGAGCCGCCCTCGCAGCGCAGATGGTGTCACTCCAGCATCAGAACTGTCCGGCTACAGCTTCAGTGAGCTGAGTATTCCATCGCCTGGTGGCTTTTTCGCTTCGCTCGCCCCTCGTGCTCGCCACACATGGTCAATTCCAAACCACAACCAGCCTCCATCATCAGCCGTTGCCGAGGGCTTCTACAATCTGCCATGGCGGCGGGAGGAAGGAGAAGTTGTTGAGCAGGTAATTGAGTGGCCTGAACGTCCTAAAGAAGATCCCATCACTGCTGTTCGGGATGATCATGGTCCTCCAACTGCCATTCGTCTTCCATGTGACACGCCCACTCGCCCAGTCGCTCATCAAGACAGCCCCATGAGTGCCACCTTTGAGGCAGTTCAAGAGATCACGGAGACTGGGAATGTGTACGAGTATGATGAGACGTACGACCATGAGCTCCAGGAGCGTGCTGCTGCCAGCCTTGATCGAACCAGTGTTTGGCTCAATGCTCAAGCATCATACCTTTCTGCCCTCAGTGAGACCAATCCCGTCAACGAGCTTGATTCCAACAAGGACTTCACGAGTATTGTCCTCGATGAATCTGTTGAACAGCAAGACATCGGTGCTAAGAAGGCTGTCCGATTTGTTGAAGGCGTCCCGGAGGCTATAAGCCCTAAGCCACCCGTTCTTGCTAGCAAGGATTCAATTTACTGGCGAGGCTTCCAGTCCCTTCGGCAACGATCTGAGAAGGGGGATGGCTTCCTGCACCGGAATATGCGCTTCGATGCAATCCAATCATTCCGACTGGGTTTGGTTGATATGCACATTAACTGCCTGATGGGCAAATATGAGCTCACTAGCCCAGTGCGGCCCGCATACAAGGGGCCATTCTCTCAATCACCGCGCAAGTCAATCATTACCTCCGTCCTTGCTGAGAAAGCACAGTTCTCCAAACTTGAGAAGGAACAGCTCGTTCTCGCCCAACTTTGTCAACCTATGTGGGCCATGGATGCTCTGCGATGTTTGAACGGTGGAAAGCTGCTCACCAGTCCTGCCCGAATGCAACTTGCGCGCACCAGGACACCTCTCCGTCCGGAAGAGCCACGACGCCGTACGGTCAGGATCTTGGACCTGAGTGGTCATGCTTCGTGCGAGTGGGCCTGGCAAGCCGCACTTGAGTTCCCAAATGCCACTGTTTACTCGGTTGTCACCAAGAACCGGACAATGAACAGTGGTATCAAGGGACCGCCCAACCACCGCGTGGTTTCCGTTGCAAATCTGTGGGAGTTGCCTTTCGGTAATTGCAAGTTCGATGTGATCAGCACACGCTCCATGCATGCTCTGTTGAAGACAGAAGCACCTGCTGGATGTGATCGGGATGAATATGACTTGGTTTTAAAGGAATGTCTCCGCTGCCTTCGACCGGGCGGCTTCCTTGAGTACATGGTCCTCGATGCTGAGGTTTCTCGTGCTGGTTCATATGCCTCAGCCTTATCGGTTGAGTTTGCTTTCAACCTGCGTACGCGCGGCTACGACGCCAGTGCCTCGAAGGGCTTCCTCTCTCGTCTACGAAAAAGCGGATACGTCGGCATCAAGCGTGCCTGGATGTTCCTGCCCATGGGCATGGAGCCCAGCGAGCCGCAGCCGCCGCGAGAGACACCTGCTCCTCGTGTACCAAGTCAAATTGAAGAGTACGAAGCTGTGCAAGGCCCTATTGGCAGCACGGGTGATATCGCCAGTATGACTGGTCTGCTTGGTGGATGGATGTGGGAGCAGTGGCTTGTCCAGTTCCGTTTGGAGATGGGTCGTGAGAGAGCCAAGTTGCTTGAGGGTCTCGGAGCATTGTTTGACGAGGGGCGGAAAAACGGAGCAGGCTGGACCTGCTTATCCGGGTGGGCGATGAAGCCGAAGCGCACCAAGACTGTCCAGCCCAATGGGTTAGGTATGATCTGAAGTGCAGTGATTTGTTTTTGATTAGGTACCTACCTCAGTTATTTGTGCCCAGGTGGCCATCCCCCTTAATGTAATGCGAGATGAGAGATGCCAATTGGGATTTCCAAGTGTAAACATAAAGTTGTGCAAGTAAGATGAAAATGGATCAGCATCAGTGTGCATGGATATATAATAATAAGCGTGAGAGTGTTCCACAAGTTACGACACGACTAGTCTGGGAGTTAAAAGAATAAGTAGTTGTCTTCAGATTCACTCCACCTAATATTAATAGATCTGGAATTCAATTGTTGCAGAGAATAGAGTCTTTTACCTGCATGTAGGTATGTGACTTCGAATATCGAAGGCGTATCAAAGGCTCGCGGCGGGTCACATGACCATAGCACTCCGCTGCTGCTCTCCACATCATCGCAAGGCGCATCTTCCTCGATTTTCGTCACTTCATGCCCTCTATTTAACCAGTCTGAGACAGTGGCTGACAAAACCTGACGCTATCCCACCTTAGCGCACCTTTTCATCTCCGACCGCCATTCACCTCTGCCTTGGGCTCGATCCATCATCATGCTTTTCTTCAGGTAAATCCGCGGCCCATTGCGCCAGTCGACTCCCACAATACGTGCTGACAATATCCATCTTACAGCTTCTTCAAGACCCTTACCAACCAGACCGTCACCATCGAGCTCAAAAATGACATCCGCGTCCGTGGTATTCTGAAGTCGGTTGACCAGTACCTCAACATCAAGCTCGACGACGTCGAGGTCTTGGACTTGGCACAGTACCCCCACCTGTCGTCGGTGAAGAACATGTTCATCCGTGGCAGTGTGGTCCGCTACGTGATGCTGCCGCGCTCGGAGGTTGACGTGGGGTTGCTTGAAGATGCTACACGGCGGGGTAAGTGATGCGCTCTGTTTTGTCCTGTGTATGGGCTTTCTGGGAAACCCAATGGCCAGTTTCAGCTGCCTGCCTCTAACGGCTTGCCATCGACTGCCGTTGGGTCGTCCTGTGTCTATTGCAAGCGTGCGCTAACATTCCATGTGTCTTACAGAGGCTGCCAACCAAGCCGGCAAGGCCCGCTAAATTGCCACGACTCTTACGCTATACATCGAACATCTATCAATTAATGCCGCTTGATTTCTTCCCACCATGCGATGCCCGGAGCGAGAGAATATGGGCAGATTGTGTGGCCATCAACTTGTGCGATAGTCACCGCAGCGGCAAAAGTGGGGAGGAGCTTGCGGCAGAACACTTACACCACGATCTCAGCACTGAAGCTCGCTTGAGATATTTCGCATTCCAAAGGAGCCTGTTATCAGAAGATTCTGGCTCTGCGAAAACTTTTGAAGTGTCACTCGCTGTGGCTCATTGACATGAATTGCCCATGATACCTTTTCAATACCCTTTTAATCAACTCCAGATTTGGCTCTGGCCCATTTTCTTCGCCATTTCGTAGATCGTAGACACTTGATCTGTATTAATCGTGGATTCAAGTTGGCACGTGACTTCGTGTCGCGCCGCCCGCGTCGACACGCCACTCAGGTTTCTCCCTTGTACGGGCGATGAACGGCGATCTGTACATACTCGACAAGACCTTGCTGGAGCAAATGCATTCCCGATAGCCTGTCCTCTTCTTTCCGAATACTGTCCAACCTGGTTTTTAGCCCTCTCACTTGCCGATCTCATTCCGTGGGCCATGGCGAGCTCAAACGCACGGAAGGCGTCGACGCCGTCCAAAGGCCCTTCTAGTGCTAAACCATCCTCAGCGAAGCGCAACAAGAGCATCTTGAGTTTTTTTCAGAAGTCGGATGGTCCGGCTGGTGCCACCTCATCCCAGTCTCGAATCACCCAATTCGTTACGTCTTCCCGCTCCCCGAGCAGCGGCCGAGGAACCCCGACTGGGAATGATTCGGCAAATGCACTGTTCTTGGAAGATAAGAAGGGACTAGCCAAGCTTGAGCAAGCCGCGACAAAGGCTGAGACAAACGGCCGATCTCGATCACGAACACCGGAAGATATTTGGGGCGACGACGGATTTTTGAAGGAAGACGACCAGCGATATAACGAGAATGGCTCTTCGTCGAAGCGCAGAAAAGTGGACTCGCCAACGGCACCGGTCAAGACCGAGGATGTGCCGAAGCCAACTACATTCTCAGCCCAAGTCCCAGCTGCAACCAGCGGGCCATTTATCGATGAATCGGATAGTGAGGATGATATGGAAGCATACCGCGAACTGGATGAAACGTCTCCCGTCCCTGCGACTACAATACATGGTCAACTATTCGCCCTTGATGACGACCCGGCCATGGACCCTCCTGCCGAACAACCGCCAGTGGTAAGAGAAGTCACGAGCCTTACCGATGATGATGAATTCGCAAATTTTGACTATCTTGAAGAGGACGAGCCAGTAGGAGAAGAGTTCCGAGAGCGGCCATGGGAAGATCAGGAGGGGCTACAACTTGACGACGATAACGATATCGACGATATGAACGGGACTGTTTCAACGACCGATGCCGGCATGACATGTCCAATATGCCAGGAAGCGCTGGCAGGACTCAACGAGACAGTGAGTTCTTCCATTATCACCAAGCATACCCTCGAACTAATTGGAAATAGGATGTCTCGGTTCATGTAAATGATTGTTTAGACGGCAAATCGAGTTCTACAAATACGCCCACGCCGGCGCCTAGATCGATCCCTTCGCCGAAGCCAGTCCCGGTGCCCCCGGATCCAAATAAAAGCATGACGCGAATTGAACGTGCTGCCATTGCCCGGCCTGCGCAGCGCGACCCATATACACAAAGTACCGCCAGTGCACGATCGGCTTTCTCGAAGTTAATGGCCGGAAATGCAGAGGATACTGCCTGGGCCGCAGCGGCTTCCAACGAGGTGTCTTCGCGTGGCAAACAGGCGTATCAAAGGACCTGCCCGTTCTACAAAATTATGCCCGGATTTTCAATATGCGTGGATGCTTTTCGTTTCGGGGCCGTGGAGGGATGCAACGCCTATTTTCTCAGCCACTTCCATAGCGATCATTACGTCGGATTGAGCAAGTCCTGGTGCCACGGACCTATTTACTGCAGCCGGCCGACGGGCAACCTTGTTCGACAGCAGCTCCGAGTCGACCCTAAATGGATTGTGGATCTGGATTTTGAAACCACTTTCGAGGTGCCGGACACCGGAGGAGTGCAGGTCACGATGATACATGCCAACCACTGCCCCGGAAGCTCTCTATTTCTCTTCGAAAAAAGCTTCGGAGATGGACCGAATGCTCGACGACAACGGATCCTCCACTGCGGCGATTTTCGTGCCTCTCCGGCACAGATTGAGCATCCACTGCTCCGGCCTGACCCCATTAACCCGGCGACAGGTCAGCCGCGACAGCAACGTATCGACCAGTGCTACCTCGATACCACCTATCTCAACCCGAAGTACGCGTTTCCCAACCAGGAGGACGTGATTACGGCTTGCTCAGAGCTCTGTGTCCGCCTCAATCAGGAGGCTGGAGTGGTGCTCGACTCGGGGAGCAATGGGACGGGCGTTCTCATGAATAAGTTCCTGTCATCTGTGACTGGCAATGGCCGGACCAAGGAGCAGCTGTCGAAGAACAACGGTCGCCTGCTCGTGGTCATCGGCACCTACAGCATCGGCAAAGAGCGAATTTGCCTCGGCATTGCGCGTGCTCTGGGGTCGAAGATCTTCGCCACACCACAGAAGCAGCGAATATGCAAGTGTCTAGAGGACCCGGAGCTTTCATCGCTTTTGACCAGTGACCCTAAGGAAGCGCAGGTGCATATGCAGACGCTGTTTGAGATTCGGGCCGACACTTTGGCAGATTACCTGGACCCGCTAAAACCGCACTTCTCTCGGGTAGTCGGCTTTCGCCCCACGGGATGGTCGTACCGGCCCCCTGCTGGCCGAATGTTGCAAAACCCTCCGGTGCCCACGGTGCTGCGTGGCGAACATTGGAGAACGCCGTTTACGGCACAGGACTTGACCCCGCAACGCGGAAGCACGCGGGAGAGCGCGTGCTTCGGGGTACCGTACAGCGAACACAGTTCATTTCGGGAACTCACTATGTTCTGTTGTGCGCTACGGATTGGGCGGGTAATTCCTACGGTGAATGTGGGCAGTGCGAAGAGCCGTGAGAACATGAAGGCGTGGATCGATCGGTGGGAGGCGGAAAAGAAGCGCAACGGGTTGTTTCCCGTGGCGGAGTGGTGAGTCCGAGGGCTATATACTGGGAGTATGATGTACATAGCATACAACATATAGCATATAGCATATAGCATATAGCATAGCATAGCATAACAGAACATGGCATAACACAGCATCGCATCTACCTCAAGACCAGACCCTGTCCAAGTAGGTACCAAGTACCAAGTACCAGTATAATCACCTGACCCGATGCTAAGGTTTGCCCCGCAGTCATCAGCCACTCCCAAAAACTGCCAAAGGTCTGAATCAATCAGAACCCCCGGGCGTCAGCCGAAGATCAATTGGCCTAATGTGGACTCGCTGATTGGGAATAACCGAGTTCGGTCGCCAACTACGGCACTCCGCTCCCCGCAGATCCACTGGCGGCGCATCCCCAGATACCGGTTTCACTCCCGTTCACCGGTTAGACCTCGGGGATCGTCTGGTAAGCCTGGGAGAGCCTCGTGTTGTCTCCTACCATAAATATCCAATACTCTTCCTCTTCGATCATAGATATTACCTTCGACTTTGACTCTGACTCGGACTCGGACTCGGACTCGGACTCGGACTGCAACTACGCTACGACTACGACATTTAACCTCGACTATCCTTTCGGAACTGGTGTCGACGTCTAAGACCAATTCATCCCCACCTTTTCGGGGATCGACCCTGCATTACCTCATTCCGTCTCTCTTTATTTTTCTTTAATTTTTTTTTTGGCTCCGTCTCCAACTGCTGGACTTGGACGCCAGTCCCCTTTTGCAATGTTGCTCTCTCTCGAAAACGCGCCATATATCGTCGTGGGCTTGGCCCTCGCCTATTTCTTGGGTCCTTACTTCCAGCGCTGGCGTCTGCACGATATCCCGAGTCCCAGCTTTGCCGCGTTCACCAACTTCTGGCTGTTGCTTCAGACTCGCCAGGGTAAGCGCTTCTTGTCGGTCGATGCTGCCCACAAGAAGTATGGCAAGCTCGTCCGCATTTCTCCCAAACAAGTCTCCATCGCCGACGATGCAGCCGTGCCGCTCATCTACGGACACGGCAATGGCTTCCTGAAAGCGTATGTCATGCTCTTGGTCCTTATACTTCATTTCTGTCCAATACTCATCTATCGCTCTCTAGTGACTTCTATGATGCCTTTGTCTCCATCCGCCGTGGTCTCTTCAACACCCGCGACCGTATCGAGCACACCCGCAAGCGTAAGACGGTCTCCCACACCTTTAGTGCCAAGTCCATCGGCCAGTTCGAACAGTACATCCACCACAACATTGAAGAGTTCGTCAAGCAGTGGACCAAGCTCGCCGAGCTGCAGGGCAACCCCAAGACCGGCTATGCCAGCTTGGATGCTCTGAATTGGTTCAACTACCTGGCCTTTGACATCATCGGTGACCTCGCTTTTGGTGCTCCCTTCGGTATGCTCGAGAAGGGCAAGGATATTGCCGAGGTCCGCAAGAACCCCAACGATCCCCCCAAGTATGTCGCTGCTGTCGAGGTTCTCAACCGTCGTGGTGAGGTCTCCGCCACTCTGGGCTGTATGCCGTCTTTGATCCCCTTCGCCAAGTACATCCCCGACCGTTTCTTCAGCGAGGGTCTCCAGGCCGTTTCTGACTTGGCCGGTATCGCTATCGCTCGTGTCAGTGAGCGTACCAAGCCCGAGGTCATGGCCAACAACACCCGTGTCGACCTGCTCGCCCGTCTGATGGAGGGTAAGGACCACACAGGCAACCCTCTCGGCCGTGAGGAATTGACCGCCGAGGCCCTCACTCAGCTCATCGCTGGCTCCGACACCACCTCCAACACCGCCTGTGCCATCCTCTACTGGTGCCAGCGCACCCCCGGTGTTATCGAAAAGCTGCACAAAACCCTTGATGAGGCCATTCCTAAGGACATCGAGGTCCCCACTCATGCCATGGTCAAGGATATCGACTACCTGCAGTGGGTGATTTGGGAAACCATGCGTATCCACAGCACCTCCGCCATGGGTCTTCCCCGTGAGATCCCTGCCGGCGCCCCTCCCGTCGAGATTTGTGGTCACATTTTTGGCCCCGGTGACGTCCTCTCCGTGCCCACCTACACTGTCCACCGCTCCAAGGAGATCTGGGGTCCTGATGCCGAGGAATTTGTGCCCGAGCGCTGGAGCCCCGACCGTCTTACCCCGCGCCAAAAGGCCGCCTTCATTCCTTTCAGCCATGGCCCTCGTGCATGCGTTGGCCGCAATGTCGCTGAGATGGAACTTCTCGTCATGGGCGCTACTGTTTTCCGCCTCTTCGAGTTCCAGATCGAGCAGAAGGGTCCCATGGAGACCCGTGAGGGTTTCCTGCGCAAGCCCCTTGGTCTCGATGTTGGCATGCGCCGTCGCACCAACCGTAACTAAAGCATTGATGTTGACATGATGATGTACGTTTGCGATTGGGTTAAGCTAAAGGGCTTTAGAATCTGTTGATTCGGGGCTTTGGATAACCATGTGCAATGATTCGATGTGAAAGTGGATTGCAAAGATAGTTGCAGCCACTGATGATTCATGTTTACTGAATATCCGCGTCAGCTTTGTGAAACTTGAAAATTGGTGATGACTTGACCATGTATATATGATACTACAAAATTTCTTATACTTCACGATCCATTCTAGTAGCCAGCTGTAGTACCTCAGGTACAGCCCGACCGAGAAGATTCAAGCGAACCTGACTTAATATCACCCCGGACGAAACCGAAGTCATTTAGAAGCGTGCCTTGATAAAGGAACAGAAACATATCTAGAAAGAGCCCCTAAAAGAGCTTTTGAAAGACGCTTAAACGATTTTTGAGGATGACACGAAGCATCAAGTGTGTAGACTGCTTGAGATTATCTCCTTGGCTGGGCTGTAGAGCCACCCTCTCCTCTCCGCAGCTTTTCCTCCAGCTTCTCCCTATAAGTATACTGTCGAATGCACGGATCATCACACCGAAGAGAGTGAAATATGATTTGGTTCGCGCCCAATGGACATAAAACGGGGGGTTTTCACGGGGCAAGACGGGACCATAGAAATACCACTCAGATGCTGCGGAGTTTGTAGGACTGAAAAAAGCAAGATCGATTCAGCTGTGGAGAAAAGAACCGTTTCCTGAGGAGTTTCAGAAATCTCCGGTGTGCGAGCCTCATAGGTTCTATAGTCATAATGGAATGTTTCTGGCGTATATGAAGTAGACATCTTCGTTCCTCCAGGAATTCCATAGGGCAGACAGCGCATTTTCATAGCGCGGTCCCAAGAGGTAGATTGGCTCTGTATAACGGTGACAGTTCTTCCCCAAAAATGTGCCCGACCTTAATCCTTGTCGATGCTGAGTGCATCACAACTAGGGCATTTCCAATTCTTATACAACCGTCTAAGAACAGGAGGCGTATGCAATGTTTTCTTCATAGATATAGAGATAGAGGAGGCATCTACCCAATTCACTACAGTTCTCACCAAATTCCTTGATTCATGTTACAGATGTTACAGCTTTAATTGTAATACGCAGCGCCTCATTCAGAGCAACCTCCGCCCGCCCCTTGCAGAACCTGGGAGTGGTTGTATGTGTTCTCATAGCTGGTGATGCCCAGTCTGCAAAGCCAGACTGCCATTGAGCCATCCCCATTTCAGTATATACTTAGTGGGCTATTTTGTCTCTATCACAAGACAGTAGGTGTGAATGACGGCGGCTGCTAGGCGAAAGAAAGCTCTACCATAATGCTTCTACGATACGCAACTGGATTATTACATTCAACGAGATGATCGGAAAGATACCCCTATTTAGCGGGGACAAAAGCGAAAAGGACAAGGCCGATTGCCCTGGTCCGCCAATTCCACTAGATGCCATCTCCGGAAACGGGCCGGTCCCGGCGTCTGCTAGTGAGCCCCCGTGAAGATATTTCTTGACGTCGCCATCTTTCTTTTTATCCATGCGCTCTATCTCTGATACACAGTAGGCTCTCTTGCATCAATCCAAATTATGGCTGTTGTCCTCAATTACCTCCAGTTCCTTCTTGGACGGACGCTCTATCCCTTCCGCGGCCATGACGCCGGTCAGATCATCTACACACCCGCTTTTAAGAGCGTTTCGAAACCCAATATGACACTTGAGAGCCCTGAATGTGGCCCTTCAGGCTCGAGTCTACTTCTTCGCCACACAAATCTGGCCGAAGATGGGCGCGGTTGTCTACCCGAGTTGCGCTGGACCCCTCCGCAATGCGAACAGCCCGTGCAGGAGTACGTGTTGATCTGTGAAGACATCGATCTTCCAGTCCCATTCCTTGTCATTTATCATGGCATGCAATGGGGGATTCCTTCATCCGCCACAAAAGCCTCTCCAGCTGATGTCAAGCCATCGGAAACCGACCCGAAGTCCAACATGACTGAAGCGGGCTGGCGGTATGTGCCCAACCTTATGGGGACTTCTTACATCGGTGCTGGTCCTCCATTAGGGCACGGAAGTCACCGGTATGTTTACACAATCATTGCTCTTAGCGAGCCTCTTCAGTTCGAGCGTCCCGAGAAGGCCTCCAAAAAGGACATTCAAAACGCCATGGTCGGGAAAATTGTTGGCTGGGGCCAATGGGTTGGAGTCTTTCAACGTCCCTGGCCTAACTAGGTATACAAGAAAAGGAGCCTCACCTTCAAGCCCGTCGAACAGAGTCAGGCGTATGGAAGTGATTGAAGAAGGGAGATGTGATGTTTATCAACAGGCATTGCGTGGCTTTCCCTCACATTTGAGCCCACTTTCTTACGCGTTACTATGATATCCAAGGATGAAACTTTCCATTCATAATCTGTCTCATCCTTTTCTTATGATCACATTAGAAACTCTATTAAGCATAATGATGATTTAGCATTCGACTAGTAACCTGTTATTGAGAGTAAAAATACTGGACTAGCCCGCAGGCAAGGGCAAAACTCAGGTGAGAAGAAAGTTGAGAAGAGCAAAAACCAGAGACGAACACTTGTGGTTATTTACAACACGGCCAAAAGAGAGCCAGTCATTCAGCCTGTTTACATAAACCACGTAAACCAGTTATGGTAACGGCGCTGTGTTGCACTCGCCTTCAATGATCTGCATCAGCACCGCCAGCCGACTGATGATAGACTCCATCGATGATTCACAAGCTCGAATACTTGCTATGCCATTTCGATGGGTATGTGAATTATCCAGCATCGCTGATAGAAGTCCCTTGAGATCCTCCATCAACTCCACCAGTTTCATCAAACTTCGCCCAAGCAATGTTCGGACTAGTAGTCGGGTTTCATCTTCATCGAGCTCAGTTTGTCCCAGGATGACTTTACTTCGAATACAAATGAACGATGATGCAGTTTGATCGACGGCCAGCATGGCTGAGTCGAAGAAGCCGGGCTGAGTGGAGATGTCGTATGCCGAGCAAAGAGCTTCGAAGAGAGGAAGGCATTGCTCCGACAGCGCCGGCAGAGTCCCGATCGACGTTTGGGGCGTCTTTGCGCAGTCTTTGCATTCAATCATATTTTTACCCTGACCACATACTCGATGGATTAGGTCTAGTGCGGTCTCGACATGCACCACCGCGTGAACATTCTGCAGTTCTGACAGTATCTGCAGAGTCTCGATCGAACAATGACAAGGCACTTCAATATTCATGACTGCTTTTGAATGGTATAGGGTGGAAAGAGAAACCCCTAGCGTTCTCTTGAGTGGGTCAAGTAACTGGCGCCTGGCCAACTTATTTCGCAGGTAGGTAATTTCACTTTCACTGTGCTACAGTGTCTAGTCCTAGAGTTACAAGCCTGGGCGGGCAAGATGATCTACAACAAGCTGCACCATGACTGTCAGCAGTGGGATCGAGCTTGGTCCCATGATAGATCAACATGATAAGCTGCAATATTTGTCTAGTTTGGCGCCATCATAATGCCAAAAACAATGCCTTCAGCTCGTAGACAACAGATGCGGTCACACCATGGCCCCTTGAGCCGAGGTATTTCTAGGTATCTTATGCACGCACTGGCGACCAATACTTCTCTCTGAGTACTGATATCCTCGGATGACCCATTCAGATACTCAATTCGTTATGAAACTAGAGTTGTCTCTAGTGACGTATCTTCACTGAACTTTCACGGTTGTCTGACCTAGCCACAGGCTTCTTTCTTGGAAACTGCAGATTATACACAGTCACATGCCACCTAAATTTACTTTTTGACCTAACAATAGGGTTCGGCAAAAAGTGATCATGTTCGAAACTGAAATTGCATACTCCTACTGGTCATCAACCCACGGCCATCTTGACCTTCATGATAATAAGCTGCAGACGCTTGTCCGTTTCCATGATCATCAAAAATCTACCCCGGGACATCACCGATGTTACTTGTTCTTGCATACACGCACAGATGCGCCGTATCATTATAATAAGCATCGAGAGTCTCGCGTGCAATATTTGTCGAATGAAACACGTTTTATCATCCGTCGGGACTCGAAACCCTCCGACTAGCAGTGGACAAGCATCTATGAGGGATTTTAAGCCCCAGCCGACATCGATGTGGGCTTTATGTCCGTCCTCAACTGGTACGGCCGATACCCCTTCTTCTGAACGCGGTTTGTATAAGGTGGCAGCTGCATCAAATGATGTGAGAAGGCTGTCGATGGTGACGATTATCACCATAAGGAAGTTGGCTTGGACTTCGGACTGTGAGCACAATTTACATTGAAGAATGGCCTCAGTCTGCAACAATAACTCTTTCTGGCAGGCTAGAATACTATCAATACTTGATATACCTCGCCAGTCGACCTTGATGCCTGATCTGAGGAGCTCGCCTATTGTTTGCTTGTAGCAACTGCAAGCGAGGTATTGTGATCCTTCAAGATAATCAGGAGGCCCTGGTGATAGCCTTTCACTGTCATGACTTGGCCTCGGAGATTCAAACAGATGATAATCAATCGCAGGGTCAATTGGAAAACTCGTAGACGGCGCCCTGTTGATAGACCAAGAGTCCGATAATACACACCCGTCGAGTGCAGTATTCGAGCCATGTATCCAGGAACCGGTACTGGGCTCTAATATGAAGGGAGATTCCAGTTGCTCATCTGGTACTGAATGTTGAAAGGAGTTGAATTCTCTGTCGAGAATTCCATGCACCATAATCGGATCTAAACCCATCGGAGAGGACGTCAGAAAAACATCAGTTGTCTGGTCCATGGCTGGGTCTGTCTGCCCGGTGAATTCTGAAAAGCTATCAATTATGTCCACCGAGTCCATTTCGCAAAGGTTTTCAGGTGCTAAATTGCACGCACTCCAACTCATACGTGTAGACATCAGTTCCTGAAGCCATGTTTCAGACATAAATTCAAGTTGCAGTGCTGACAATGATTAAGCATCCCATTTTATCTTTTCATCGATGGCAATGGACTCACCAGAAAAATCCTCGTTTTTCTTAGAATCAGTGGGTGACTGGAACTTATCATCCGCTGGCTTGACCCGAGCCTTTCCTACATAAGGACGTATTCCCAATGCTGCAGCTTGTTTATGGCCCTTTTTTCTTGTAGAAATCCTCGCTGTTTTTGTGTGCTCTTGCTGGTGGGCTATACCTGGGCTTGGGCTGTTGCCCTGGCCATCCAGCCTACTTCGGGGAGGTTTTTCCTTAGCTGGCCGCCCCAGTCGTCGGGAAACACTGTAGATACAATCAATTTTGTGCTTTTGACAGCGACGACAGAAAGGTTTCTCGTGGCTGCAGCGGATCTTCGCTTGCTGGCAGGCATTACATGTCGAGCGCACCTTGACACTCTTGGGAAGTTTCTCGGCAGTTGATTTGAACGACTTTGACATGCTCGTCGAGCTTGTGAGAAAGTATCTTTGGAAGACAGTATTGATATTCAGGAAGGACTCGAAATATCTCAATTTGGTCGATGCAGGTATGCTGAGTATTTGCATGTGTCCCCTAGACTAACAAGCATTGCCTGTTTATCTAACTCCACTCTTCGGCTTCACCCTAAATGCCAATCATCATGTTTGTGAATGTTGCCGTCACTGGTGATTTTTGCAAAAGCTTCACCGCCACTACTTAGGCTTGCAGATAGTGAAAGTTACATCCGAAGGCCCCTACCTGAGAATTGGATTCGTCCTACCCAACCGAAACAAACGCCATGCAGGCTATTTATCTCTTTGAACCATGGCAGTGGAGATCTTCTATTACTGGTTGATTAGATGGAAATACAAAAGTACCTTTTCCAATGCGTTCTTTGTCGACTAGAGGGGGTTATGCAACGGTACGGTATTGCAATTTCATTGAAGCTTCTATATAGATATCCTCGGCTAACTTTAGAACAATGTGAATTAAATTAAATCATTTTACTCTGTGTTCATGTGCCTTTTTGTAAGGCAACGAATCATTGTTATGTTACGCTTTGTTCAGCTTGCTGATCTCAAGGGCCTTCTTTATTATGCGCGTTACAAAAGATTGGAGTGGATATCCATTTTGTTATTTCCCTCTTCAGAAGCTGCGGCCACAATATGGGCTAATTTGACTGTCAAGTACTGTTGAAACTGCTCAATACAACTAGAACCAAATGAATACCACACCCAAGGCTGTACCCCCCGGAGTACCCCAATAGTGGCCAGGTACGGAGAGACGGATTACTAGCACTGGCAGATCGCTCTTTGAGCTTCGGCAAACAAAGCCTTGGTATCGCCTTGGCTCATGATGATTGGAAACTTCCGGTTCTTCGCAATAGTTCTTGTTAGGACAATGAACGGTAGTACCATTGTTCCCTAGTTAACACCGACCTGTGCCTCGGCTCCCCAGAATTTCGCATCTGTGTCATCATTGGAGTTTAGCTCATGATCCGGTAGGATCAGTGTCACAAGTTAAAGATCGAAAAGATGGGGTGGTCACACTCGGAGGCGACCTCACCCCCCTTCGAGGCATTCGGCCGGCCGAAGAAGTAATTGATTGCGACATGCGGGTCTAATAAGGCGGCTTGCATGAAGCCTTTAATATCGTACCCACTTCTAGACTCCATTGTTTTCGGATGAATATGTTCAAGGCATTTGAGGAACTGATATGTAGATGGCTGGTGGAAAAAAAGAAAAGTGTAACGGTGATGAGAGAGAGGTGGAGCTTGGGGTGCAAATATGGGGCAGAAATGACCGGTATATGGACTGGATCCGGTTCAAGGAGGAAAGGTGAATCGATTGCATTGCAATCAAAGATGAGGTCTGGCTGATACCAATGCAAAACCACACATTGTATGCCTGTTCCAGGGATCTGTACATCTAGATCAAGCATCAAAACTAGATAACATTTTTGACAATGCAGACCGTCCTTTGATATGTCTGGCGGTATCTTACATTAACTCGATAGGTGGCACTCATCGAAGTGTGCCGAGATCGCTACGATGATAACGGTATCCCAGCTTGCGCTCGACGCCAATCCCAGCCCTTGAGATACACAAGCAATAGCAAAGGACAAGTGGTCAACAGAAGACCAGACACGGCATAATATGTCCCTCTCACCCCGATAATTTTAATTAAAGAATTGATCGCCGCTGCTGCACCTGTTCCATGGGAGCAGCGTACAAGTTTATTGGCGGCCATGGCTGTGGCCGGGGTGGTGTAGTACAAGCCTACGATCAACACGTTCATGACACTGTACGCGGCGGTAATACAGCAGCATATCACAAAAATCATCAGAAGGGCTGCCCAAAGTGGCGCTTTATGGGCCACTAGGAATCCATAAAGTGCAATAGAAATGGCTGCGAGCACCTATCGTGATTTGAGTACCAAGCCACAGATTCATGGTGAGGAGAGACTTTCTCAGAAAATCACGAGTCACTTGTGAACATGGGCAGCCCGACCTGAAGTCTTGCTCTCTCGATTGGAAACGTGAGCACGTCCTATTTCCGAGTCTAATCTAGCGATTGATTTGCTTGTAAGCGAGTTCTTCTATAATTCCAGTCAACCAGAATTCCATTGGCGGTTGCGCTGAGAAATGAGCCCAGTCCTGCTGGTAAGAAACAGAGTCCAATTCCCTGGTCACTAAGGCCATAGAGGGTTTCAAATTGTGCAGAAATTCCTGCAGTGACTGCGTAGTAGCTACCAAAAGCTATGCCGTTGGCTAAGATAATCAAGCCAATGGGTCGCTGAAACAAGAGGCTCAGCGATACCGGCCCGTTTAGCATTCTGGGAGGTTGTGCCGGAACATGAATCAAAGAAACCTCAGGATCTGTCTCGGAACCCTGCTTCGGCTTTTGAAAGCAGCTGCGAAGTGAGGGATTCCACCCTCGAGGTTGAATTGACCCGTTGCCCACAATAGCGCGGCAAGTTTCGGGAAAGAAAAGCAGCAGCGGAATAAACACTGCACTCGCCAGCAGAGCCAGGAACCAGAATATAGACCGCCGGCCCCAGTGCGGGCTCAATAGCCTGCCAGCAACTGGGCCTAAATACGGCCCGAGAATATTTCACAGTGAGGCCATTTCCATGTATGCGCCTCGCTCGGCAGAGGTGATGACATCAGCTACGACAGCGGATGCCAATGCAACAGTGCCACTACTGCCACAACTTTGGACTGCACGAAGAATCAGCAAGGCTGGAAAAGAATGTTGGATCGCAAGGGCCATGTTCCCGGCGATGTAGATTACAAAACAACAGATGTACGCTGATCGACGTCCAGATTGATCGGCGCGACTACCTATGAACGTGGGTGCAATGGCTTGGCCTATCTTTTGGAATGAACAAGACCGATCAAAAGTCTGGACAAAGCTTCATAGAGCAACATGCCATGTACGGGGTAATGGTTAGGCTGATTTGCGACGGGCTCACTTGCAGGTCTTTGGCGATAGAATTGAGAGCCGGGTAGTATACATTTGCTGACAGTGGAGAGAGCGAAGATGTGAGAGCTGCGGTCAAGATGATGAGTCGCTTCTGGGTTTTGGAGAATACAGAATATGGAGCAGTCGACACCAGTAGGGGAGTTGCCTCTGCTGGCTCGTTGTTCTGGTGTGCGTGTGAGTTGTCATTCATCTTGTTATGTTTCAGCTCACGAGAGTGATTTGACGTCAGCCTGGGAGTAAAACATGAGTGAAAGGAAGCAGAGAAACTGGCTAAATTATTCATATCCAAGCGCGAGGGCTTCTATTAGTGGTCCTTGGCTAGCACACCCTCTTAGGCTCCCTTTGCGGAGTTCTTCCTGCATATTTCGGTGTCCCATCGCATGCTGCCCACAGCTCAAAACCTAGAAATAACCTCTCTGGCAGCCGACATAGGTCCGGTATAGATATGAGACGGTCGAAAAAGTTTCCCGCGGGTGGCTACATTTGATCAATGAAAACTCACCGAGATGCGGATTCGGGACCCTTAGCCATATATTCACGCCAGTGGGCCATGATGCCCATGATGCGTTGAGAAATTATCGCTGCCGGAATCATCTCTGTCTCAATCCCACTAGTGACTTCAATCAGGGCTCGTCATGGAAGAAAACGACAGAAAGACTGACATGCCGGTGAACACAAAGTTCCCATTAAGTCCGCATTGGGGTACAAGCGGCTCATAATGAAGTACTCGTCTGTCGAGGCAGCTTCTTCGATAGCTTCGGCAAGGTTGAGTAATGGACTGAGCTCATTTAGATCCTGCAAAATTAACCGAATTGGACGAACACGGGGATCGATGCCCTTGTACGACCGATGGCCATATCCAAAGAGCTTTCGTTTACTATACTTGACTTCGCTTAGGAATGCAGGAACATTGGTCGGGTTTCAGATTTCTCGAAGGGCGTGCTGAGCAGATTCGGTGGCTCCAAAATGAAGAGGGCCGTGGGCGGCGACCACCGATGTTATTAGACAGGAGATTGGGCCGGTCAAGGAGGAGGCTGTTACCAGCGCCGAAAAGACCGCCAAGGCCATGCCGTGATCGGCATTTAAGATGGAAAATCGGCGAAAACATGACAGTCGAAGGGGATCGGGAATTCCAGTGATCGAATCCACGAGGCCGGACATGATAAACAGATTCTCGTAGTAGGTTCTTCCTGAAGCAGGAGGCTGCCAATCGAAGCCAAATCGGTGACATCGGACCACAGAAAACACCACGGCCTAGCCAGCTACAGTGCGTAGAATTACGCGGTCCGCGTCTTTCAGATTTTCCTGGTGCAGGGTCGGGTTGGCAGACGCGGGATTTGTGTGGTGCTGACAAGCCAGACAAGCCGCGAGACCCGCCAGAATCAGTGATAGCGGAGAGGTGAAGTTGACCTTGCATCCTGTAAGTTCAGCAATCGAATGTCCCATAAACCAAATTTTCTCGGACATACGGTAGACCTCGTATCGCATTAAAGACTTCATCGGGAACCTCCCGCATATGCACGATAGGGTATGTTCACCATACCAGCAGATAGAACATGTCCTCAAAGTCGGAATCCCAGAGCTGCTCCAAAGGAATAGCCTTGAAATATCAAATTCCCGTGCTCATGGTCACTAGTATATCAGCACGGCCTATAATTGAACGGGCAAAGGCGCTCACGAAAGCTGATGGCACTTTCAACCACGGCTGTATTATGCAAGCCCGGATCATGCACACGTATCCCAAGAGAGACCTGATCAGCTCGATCGGACCCAGCACTCGGGGCCCGAATGCGCTGCAGATCAAGGGCACGTATCGCATTGTGGCGAATCGGAATGTCATACTTCACGCCGGTGCGCGAGTCGTGCACACACAAGGTCCCGGTCGACATGGCAATGGAGTATCAGTGGAATTGGGAGGTTGGAGATGGTTAAAAGTTATATACAGGGATCGATGTTTGAGAATTGACGCTTCTTATAGATTCGAAAAGTCACCGTCATGATTTACTTGTAACACGAGCGACATCCCTGATACACGGATTCGCGCCTCGACTTCTCTACACCTTCCAACCAAATCAATTAAAAATGAAGTTCATATTCGACTATTGAATGTCTGTGTCATGCATCATAATCAATCGTTAATTCACCCGATATTTTTTTTTGTCGGGGTTCCCACTCCAACGTGTTTAATTTACTGGGGCATATGCTCGAAGGGGTGCTCGAGGTTCTCCTGGCAGAAGGGAAGCTTGCCAACGGTCCAGATCTCGGTGTCCTAGATATCATCAGTATGTATTTAAAAAGCTCGTATTTCAGTCCAGACATACCGGCTTCAAGGTCTTCTTGATCTCGCTGTCGAGAGTACCGGCCTTGAGGGCGATGATGGGAGGGGCAGCCTCGGGGTCGTGGGCAATGGGAGAACCGCACTCGGAGCAGAAGATGCGGTGGACGGGCAGGCCGGAGCTGCCAGCCTTGGCGTAAGACTTGGTAGGACCGTTGATAGTCAGAGAGTCCTTGGGGACGACGGTGACCAGAGCTAGGGAAGGTTAGCGGGGTTCCACTTGTTTTTCACGAGCAGACGAACAGTAGGTGGAACCAGTTTGGCGCTGGCAGTCATCGCAGTGGTCATAAGCCGTGATGAGAGGCTTATCGACGGCCGCAGTGTAAGTGACGGCGCCGCAAAGACAGTGACCAGTGAGAGGCATTGTGGATGTTGATTCTTGCAAGGTACTTGGGGAGAGGTATGAAGGACCTTGTGGGCGAGAGAAGGTGCCTTTATATAAACATGGGAGCTCTGGAAACTAAGCCATGGATTGAGTACTAAGCGAATCTCCCCCTCCTCTTCTCTCCCTCTCTTCCATCTCACTAAACTATAAATTACATCACAACTCGACAATTCCAAATTCCGATGGTGGATATGACGCATGACAAATAACCAGCCCCGCCAAAGCTGCAGCTTCTAGCCCATCAGCCCCTCCAACCCCTCGGGCCCTCCAGACCAATTCTCGAGTCTAGTCATCTATTCGTCTATTCGTCTCCCCAAGGTTGGTCCATTTGGCCCAGACGAGCCACCAACTCCCGATGCGCCCGTGTCAGCGTGCGTCGAATGAACCCCGTCATCCCGAGCGGACAGCGCAGTTCGACCCGTTCTTGCAAATACAGCCCTTCGCCGCCCCGCCGCACGCTCCATTCATTGCGGATGTCCACCCCCATTGGCGCATAGATGTGCGTCTGGAGCCCTTGCGGGGTATCGTGGAAACAGGCCCGATAACGAACTTGGCCTCGAAGCCCTGGGAGATAGTTGATACGGTCGGTCAATTCGTACCATACCGCGTGGCTTTCTCCGGTCGGTGCATCCGCGGGCGGTTGACATCGCTCGTAGTGGACGACTAGGGGATTCCGGGTGATCATCGCGTCGTGATCGTGCAGCCGCTGCACCACACTCACTTCGGAGACCGAAGGAAGCGGACTGTCGCTAGTGATCACTGTTCGCCTCTGCATCGTGGTGGGTGCAGAGAGACACAATTCCCACACCCGCAGGGCTAACAGGTGCGCCCGCTGTGGATTGGCAGAACTACGTCGATCGTCGACTCGGGAACCCACCGGAGAACTCGACGTGAATGCTAGGAATCCTGCACGATTCCAGCACGGCGGGTCAGGGCTAGCGATGGTCGCAACATATGTATTCGAAACCCACACCAGGCACAAACTGGGCCCGCGCCAACCTTAGCTGACCTTAGCGCACTTATGCTGACTTTGACTGGTGGTCTGTTCTCCTGTCTCCACTACGAACTCTCAACAAAAATTTGGGTAGTTCGTTCGATTTCTATGTACCATGGAGTGTCTCCACTACAGATTCCCACTCCATACATGGTCGCTCTACACGTCCAGTCAGTGAAGTGAGTGCCATTGGCCCTGACACCCGTGAGTCTCTAACTTACCTGCATCGAGGCCGCCATGCCCTGGCCTGGGATGTGTCCCCCATACAGCATGTCCTCGGCTCGCTGAGCCTCGCGAGCATCGTCTTTGGTCACATATACGGGCATATCTGCCGTCACTAAAGGCAGGCCCAGGATTTCATTCCGATTCGCGATAGTCCGTACTTGTGCGGTAACGGACCCGATACCCGGGGGCCTGTTGAATGCACGACCCTACATGCAGTTAGCGCTGTTCCGAGTGCCAATTTAGACCACCATCAATGTACCTCTGTGGACTGAATCTCCCGCGCATCACCCTGCGTGATGAGGCTTTGTGGTTTCCGTGACACCTCGTTGACTTTGCTATCGAAGTTCATCTGCCGCATCGCGAGGCTTTGGGCCAAGGCTGTTCTGACATTAGCCTGCCGGGAATGGGTCTTCAATTGCATAGACTAACCAGCTGGTCCGCCTCGGAGAGGCCCGCGTCCTGTCAGGGCGCTTTCGGCGTGGGAGATCACCGAGACGTCCTCGCGTGTGATCCGCTGCCCGCTCTCGACGGCTTGCTTGAGATCGGCAACCGAGGGAAGATCGTAGTTCATAGTCGGACGTCAGTTCTTATCGCCATACGGTTCTATCTTTCGCAGAATATATAGTGATTGTAGACGCTGATGTCACGCTGAAGACATGAATTGCCTCGGGCGTCATGGTGGCGCTGCCACTCGTTCTACTTCGAGCCACATTCTCATTATACAGACATGGATATCTCTAGCTGTTTAGCTCAATATGGGAATCTTGGAAAGCTGTGGAGATGGTCGGGCATTGGATCAATGTCCTGCATGTGAGATCAGGGTACGCCTTCAGATGTTTGCAACGTTGCTGCAACCAGACCGCCGAGGCAGGACGGACTAAGTATGGCAAACATTGAAGGTCGGAACGCATTGGTTCCCAAGACCTGGACACACGATAATGCACCCTACTGTGCAAGTTGAAAAAAGGCTATTATCCCTGAAAGGTTCCATACGTTGCCCATGTCCATCCCCGGAACTTGACTTCCGTCGCGTTTGCACAATGACAAATTCCCAGCAGGGACTGGACTACATGCAAAGGAAGAAAAAATCTACCGCAACTGCAGCTAGTCGCAGGCCTTGATATGCCTTGATCCAGGAATTCGGTGCTTGGAAGAATGCCTCTGGTGCACCCTTACACCCGTCGACACGCGGATCGAGGAACCCGAACCCGACCGAACTAGAGGCAAAGTTAAATGTCGGGATGTAAAGTGACACGATGGGCTAGTGCAGCGACCTGTTCTGGAAACCTCGGGGCTCGGCGGCGTTGAACCCCTGTTGTGCTCCTCAGGGGATGCCCCCTTTTCTTGTACAGCGTAACACACGGGATGATGGTTGGACGAGCTTGTTCTATTAACATAGTTTGTGACCCTGTGGGAATTGCTAGTTGTTGGAAGTACTCGAACAGTGCATTTGTCCTGTATTAGAAGTTCGGCAATGTCGGTAATTTAAGTAATTTAAGTAATTCTCACTCTCACAATCCGAGCGAAGAAAAATAAGTGTCACGGAAGTCGAGAAGCGGAGATGGGCAAGTGTTTATAGTTGCGGCAAACGAGTAGAATCCCGGTCACGCAGTCATCTCCGGCAGACTCCGGCCCGAAACCGGAACTTGGGCTTCTCCTCAAGCCGCTCTCTGTCTACAACCCGGTCGCGCAGTGGCATTTTAGACCCCTCGACTTGAATTCATGGAGACGTAGGGGCCCCGTGTTTTGTCCTTCACATTCTACATTCCACTGACATGGTGTCTCGCAGGCCAAAGAAAGGAAAGAAGGCGTGCACCGAGTGCCGCCAGCAAAAGGTCACTCACCATCTTTATCATCTTTTATTGACATCGCACTAATCAAACTAGGCCAAATGTGATGTCTATTTGAATCCTGACCAGCCATGCACCCGGTGCCGTAAAGTCAATGCAAACTGTATCGTGTCAGAACCGTTCAAGAGAGAGCACAAGCGCAAGTATGCATTTTGAAACTCCGGCTCGAGCGGCGACTAACACATTCTGCAGGCGCATCTCCGACCTGGAACGGGAATCGGAAGATCTGCGACGCAAGCTCAGATCTTCACAGCCGGCTGATACTCATCTCTCGCCGATTGCGCTCCTGACAGCGGCGGCTGAGATGGGGGTGCGCACGCCGGCCAGTGATACGCTCTCCGAAACACCCCAGCCTCCTCCCTCGTACCCACCACAGCTCCTTGCGCCGACGGTTCTAGTGCACAGCACCCCGGGACCGGCATATGATGGTGATACCACCAAGTCGCGCACCTTGAATGGCATCCAGGTCAGCGCGCAGGAAATCGATGATCTATTTCAAATGTACGTTCAACTTAAGCCGATGGCGTAGTCAAAAGTTAATTCTAGATTGCAGCTTTTTCCGATATTACGCCCAATTCCTTCCCATTCTCGACCCGCAAGCGCGGCCCAACACATACTATGCACAGTCACCTTTCCTGTTCTGGGCCATTATCGGCGTCGCATGTCGGGCCTATTCTCGAAACCCGACTCTCTTGATGGCCTTGGCTCGTAGTATCATCGAGATGGCATTGCTTTCAACCTTGTCGGTGTCACCGCCATCGAACACCATCCAGGGTATCTTGCTTCTTCTTACCTGGCCATTTCCGAAGGGGGACCATCCCGACGTGACATTCCCGATGGGCGGGATTCTGCTACACATTGCGATGCAGAATGGTCTCCATATCCCCATGTCCAGCCACGAGTTCTCACGCGTTAAGATGGCAGCTCCCTCTGACCTAGACCTTCTTCGCCGCTCGGAATTATGGGCGCATTCTATAATTGTTTATCAGCGGCAAGTATCCTCGAAAATTCTCAGTTGGATTGAATTGTGCTGATGTTCAGTAGGGTCTGTGTGACCAAGGGTCAATTACCGCGAGCACTCGGGAATCTTGGACAGGATCCAGCACAACACCAAGGCTTGTTTGAAAATATCGCACCTTGGATAGCGTTGAAGCTTCGTTGCCAAGAGCTTATTGCCAAGTGCAGCGAGGCAACCACGGAAAATGGGCTGCGCACTATGTCACTAGACCAGGAGCGTGCATTGGACCTCATTCTGCGTACCTACGAAGGTCAGGTAGATGACTTGGAGCTTCAGGCCGTGACCGGTATGCCAATTTATGTCATTCTAATTTCCTCGCTAACATCCAGATTCAGACGACGAGAGATTCGACACCGCTCTGTGCAGGATGGCAATCCAGAGTTTCCACCTATACAAGAACCAGACATTGGTCTCGAGTGGATGTTACCCACGAATACTCGTCACCGCTTGCAGCTTGATCGACTATATTCAATCACTCTGTGAGCGTGTCGGTTTCTTGTCGATGGCGCCAGTTCAGATGGGCTTCGCATTACTTCTTGCTTCAACGACGTTGCTCCGTATCCTCAAAAGCAGTGTGGCTTCTCAGGGGCTCGAAATCAGCCGTGCTCGAGCTTCACTTTTCACCGCAATAAACCTGGCCCAGCAAATGTCGGTTGATAGCGCCGACCTAGCCGCGAAGACCGTGACTATCTTAAAGGCAGTCTGGAATAGCAGCAAGGCGTTCCGCAAGATTGATGGGACCGAGTACAGCTCTCTACGTATTCGCAGTCGCCTGGTGCTGAGTCTGATCCTTGACACGGTCTGGTGGTGGCGCGATGAGTTTGATCCAGGTTCTCGAAGCGTGAGATCCGTGGTGGAACCGGCCCAGGGCAACGGCTACGCTCGTTCGCGTTACCCTGGCACGGCGGGAAGCTCGGGACCAAATGGCGACACCAATCGAGAAGTTGCAGGTAGCGCGACTACATTTGGAGTGCCTGAAGGAAACGATGCCTTTCATCTGGACGAACAGTTTCTGGCTGACTTTGAGTGGGCGCTGGCTGACGATACGTTGTTCTCACTGGATCCCCTTTCGTCCAACTGGTCTACGACGAATAACCTGCTATGATGAATTATTAGTTGGATGGCTACTATTCAATTCAATGCAACATAATCACCAGATCCTGCTCCTACTCTCCGGTCTCGCACGGATATTGATTGAACGCGTTCAGGCCCATGTGGAATCAACGCCGCGCCTCCAAACACCTATCTTACGCCGTCGAACATCCTGAAGGGGTCCATGTGGCAAGCTGGAGGTTCTGCCAAAGACTTGAACTACCTGAAATAACCACGCGCTGTCGGATTGATAGCAGGGGAAATTTGGACGTGGCGTGGTGTGGTGAATCCATCCCCTACCCTGCCAGGGACAGGAACTGCCTGTGGCGCTGATATGGCCCCTTTTTGTCATATTTCCAGGCTTGGCATGGGCTCCCTCCGCTGGAAGAAGCGTAAGCGCCGACCGAGATGGCATATTCGCGGGAATTAGTCGACCTTAGCAATGCATCCTCCTCCGCTCCGCCTGGGCCGGGTCCAGGCTCTGAGCTCGACCGCGTGGTTCTTCCGTGTGGAAATGTCCCCGTAACAGTGGATGCTGGATTGAATCTGGATAGGCTATAGAAGGCAGCGGTACATACAAACGTTTGACAGCGACCCGCACGCTGCCATAGGGTATTTAAAAGTCACTTGGCTTGTCCTCATCTTCCAACTCTGACTCAGTCAGCGAAGGAAACTTCTAAAGACAACTTCTGGCGTTTCGCAACAGGAGCCACAGCCTCCGCATCCGCAGCTCTTTTTCGAATCAGGAATAGATCTTTCGACCTCTACTACGAGTAGATAAAAAGGCCATGTACCCAGAGCGCCTGTGTTTATGCTGGATCATTGTGTCTATTTTGGGCGGAATCGATTGAAACAAGTATCAGTTTCCTAGTAGATCAGCCAATGCATTGTGAAGGGATTCATGTCATGGTATTCATTTATAGCATCATCTAATTATCCACTCAGGAGTCATCTTGTAGGAATGAAATGCTTGGAGTCATCCTCTTGCTGACTGAAAGACTCATGGAACGCCGCAATTCCACCTATGATGCCAATTGCCATGAAAATGAGGGATATGATAGACCATATCACACCCCAGCACTGAGATGATCCGCCGTACTTGCTGGCAAAGACGCTGGCATCCGAAGTATTCACCTTACGAAGGATTAAATCGTCACACTGTGGTGGTATTGTTAGTTCCAGTGCTTTAATCTGTGAGACCAGTGGGCACTTACAATATCCCAGACGCTGTAGAGAGCAGACATAACACCAATGAAGAGCTATTCGAGAAGAGTTAGACAATCCTCACGCTGTGTATGGACACAGACTCACCACCACCCATCTCAAGGCCTCGCCATGGGCAATGAACCAACAAGCCACCAGCAGACCAACCGCAAGGAGGATGGTCGCGATGGTTAACCAATCCTTGCGAGCCCACCACAACGTCAACAGAAAGCAGACGCCGAGAACAATACTGGCGATTTTGCTTGCCACAATATCAAAACCGGCAAAGATCAAGAGAGCGCCAATGATTGAAGACCCCAAATATCCCGCAGGGAGGGTGATCGCGCTGATTCCACCTTGCATGTGAGTTACTCCACCTTCGTGGGGGTCGAGTGAGATCGATTTCACTCTTCCACCGGTGCAACAAGCGGTAATAGCGTGACCGAATTCGTGGAATGCGATCACCAACATCTAGTTCGGTCAGAACACTCGAGTAAATATCGATACGGGATGAAGGGTCATTTTACCTTGAAGGGCCAAAGAGACCAGCGAACATATGGCAAGTTCCACAACAGCGCTATAACGACCACATACACTGCCATGACCCCAAGAGTAACCGCCTGCGTGTGGTTGACCGAAAGGGCGCTGCGTTTGATGAGATGCGGGGCCATCTCGACCGCCCGTTCCCTTAGCGGGACGTACAAAGCTGGCATGCTGACGAGAGGAAAGACCCTGGTTGTGAGTAGAAGTAAGGGTTCTGAGAGAATGAGGTTGGGTGAGGTTCAAATATTTTCTTTTGAACACCCTGTGTTTGAGAGTGCCTCCTTGTTATACGCGTCCTCTTGGCTTAGGGAATGAGACGCGCATGCCAGTTGTTTTTCTGTGGCGCGCGGCCCAGGGCTTGGCCTGTGGCTGGTTACACTATCGGCTATTTTTAGAGAATTCACGTGAGTCGCTGGTCTTTGAAGGGTAACCACAACACCATACCTGGTGGCATGAACTATTACAGTACTCTTCAAACAAGAACTCAAATTGGATATTTAAATCACCTGACATGGTTCACTGCTTCACTTGAGGGAATTCTAGGGTTTGGGCTGCCCAGAGGGGACGTGTTTTGCTCAATCTAGGCATCGGTCATGTTGAACCATTAAAATACATACATATGCTCCGATTCACAGGTTCGCAGATGCCTAGTGTGTATGTGGATAGGTGAATGGGTCCTCATGGCCCGAATATTCACCTAGACCTACCCCTCGGGGCCTCTGAATCAAATTATATATATTTCCAGCCGCCTCCTTCAGAACATCCACCGATCCTGTGAGACCACGCAGTAGTCGCCTGGTTTGGTTGGTACTACAACGAGGGCGGTGGGTTCAAATTGCTGGCATCAGAGGTGTCCAGGTGTGGACCTCCCCCCCCCCACATGGGCGCCCGGACCTGGATATCAATTGACATTGACCTGGAAATGAGGTAATGAAAATTTAACAATATTATTAGCCAGTTCTGCGAAGACAGCTACACTGGCTGAGCCGCCTCCGTTGTCGGTACGAGCACCTAATCCATACCCGTGCGCCAATACGACCCTGATCCGACCCCGCAACATATCCCCAATAAGGGTAATATCAGATGGTGATCTAGCAACGCAAGTGTCGAGTCCACTCCACCCCCACGCGTCGAAACCCTGGATGGGGAGTTTCGAAGAAAAGAGATATTTAAGTACAGACTTAAGATCTGATGAAGATGTACGCCCATCCCCCAACGCACTTTTGACCTTCTACGCAGACGCGTGTCAAGCTGTTTTGCTTCTCCCTTACACCTTCCTTTGAGACAAGATCACGAAGATTAAGCAAAAGTATTGACTGTGAAATGATTAGCATGTCTGTTGCGTTGTCTTTATTCCTAGTAGCTGTGAGTGTTTGTGCTCAACCAACCCTCCACATCGACCGGGCATGTCACCATGAGACACCGGATTACCACGAAAGCTCGGGTGTGCTCAAATACGTCAATCCTCTCATCGGGACTTACGGAACGTCCCCGAATGACAACGGCGGGATGATTCCATCAGTGTCGCCCCCCTTTTGGGATGACTCGATGGACACCCCAAACGCGGGAGAATTTCATTTCACAAACCCCGTACGGTGACAGCGACCGCCTAATCCATGGTTTTCAGGCTACTCACCAGCCAGCCATCTGGATGGGAGAATCTGGCCAGGTTGTACTAACCCCTGGAATGGGAGAAGTTCAACCTCTGTTCGAAAACCGGGGACTGGCTTTCGAGAAAGGAGACGAACGTAGTACACCCTACGTCTACGAAGTTTTAGTTGACGCGAAGCAACTCATGAATCGCGATTGGAATGCTACAGCTGAGGCTGCTGGATATGGCCCTGATCCTGGAGGAGCTGGAGCAGTACCAGAAGACGTTGAAGAGGGTAAGGAATCGCCTTCGTTCTGCCCGAGAGACGCAGAGCTAATGAATCAGGTGCCAATGGACGAGCAAGAAAACGCCAAATACAACCGGAGCCACTAAGCACAATATCCGACGAAGGTGAGCCGTACGAGCGATCAGTTCAAGTAGGTATGCCTTAATAGACTCTACCTTGCGAAAGGAAACTTATGTGCCGATAGGTTGCAATGTCGGCGGATTCTCATGTTGGTCATCTGCGATTCGATTATCAACAAAAATGCGACAGCATCTCGGAGAGCCGCAACCTTGAGCCTTGGGTTTTCATCGAAGCCTCTCGTCGAAATTGGATGGGTGGTGTTCAAATTGATTCGGATAGGCGAGAAGTCTACGGATACAACACCGAGAGACAGGATTACCTCCTTGGTCCAGACCGTGCCCCGGGTTTCAGGGGATTTTTTGTCTCGAGATTTTCAGAACCATTCTCAGAAGTTGGTGTCACCTCCGGGAAAGACATCCTTGAAGGGGAAACTGCAAGGCGGGGAAACTTCACCGGTGCCTATGTGAAGTTTCATCAAAATACGACCAGAGTGGAGGTTCGGACAGGCGTCTCCTATGTCAGCATCGAACAGGCAAGGAAGAACTTGGATCTTCAGATACCCGACACCGATTCCTTTGAAAACACAGTCCGGAAAGTGAAGCAGGCTTGGCTCGACAAGTTGGGCCGTGTGACTATTGTTGGTGTCAACGAGACCGATTCGGATCACGATCCTCGCCAAATCTGGTACACCGGCCTTTTTCATGCTCTTCAATATCCTAACGACTTCTCCGAACCCACATCAAATGAGAAGGGCGCCGAGCGTGTATTCTACTCGGGATACACCGATAGTGTGCACATTGCCAACGATTCTTACTATCAGTCCTGGTCTATTTGGGATACTTACCGGGCAGAACACTCTCTACTGACGCTGTTTGCGCCCGAACGAGTAAATGCAATGATGAGATCGATGCTACGTATCTTCGATTGGACTACTTGGCTTCCAATGTGGCCAAATATTATCGAAACAAACATCATGATCGCAACTAATGCAGACGCTGTGCTTGCAAATGCGCTTGAACGAGGATTCAGAGACTTCAATATCTCGAAGGCCTGGACGGCTGTAAAGAAAAATGCCTACACCCCACCGCATCATGACACGGCCCTGCTTTATTACGACCGTGAACCATTTACACCCAATGAGGTTAGAGCTGGTCTGACTTCTTACATGAAACAGGGATGGGTTGCCAACGATCGGTGGTCAGAGTCTGGGAGCCGTACGCTGGACTATGCATTTGATGATTATGCCTGCTCCGTGGTCGCAAGCCATGCAGGTGCCGACAATGGAACAATCTCAACACTTCTGGCGCGCAGTCGAAATTATGTTCACCTTTGGAACAATGAGACCCAGTTCATGCAAGCTCGCAATGACAATGGCACCTGGGCGAACCCCGAATGGGGCTGGACCGAAGGTGATAACTGGGTCTACACTTTTGATGTAATGCATGATGTGGAAGGGCTAGCGGCGCTTTTCGGTGGCCGAGAGGCTATGCGTGATAAGCTGGATGCTCATTTCGAAGGAGGCCATAACGATCAAACCAATGAGCCTAGCCACCATGTGCCATATCTCTTTTCCGTGCTTGGATACACCGATCGTGCTGCAGAGGTGATCCGAGAGGTTGCTTGGCCGAGTTACAACGCCACCAGCGGGGGACTCGGCGGTAACGAGGATCTGGGACAAATGAGTGCTTGGTATATTTTCTCTGCCCTGGGCTTCTACCCAGTCAACCCAGCCAGCGACGAGTACATCGTCGGGTCGCCTTTCTTCGAGCACGTGTCAATTCGTCTCCCCGCTGGTGCCGCTACAGGAGGACGGATGCTGGATCAGCCAGAAAAGGAGCTGGTGATCAGTGCCCCAGGAGCGCCCACAAAGCCATATGTCAAAGGTCTCACGATTGACGGGAAGCAAATTTCACAACCGGTCATAAAACATGGCGACCTCGTTAATGCGACACGGATTGACTTTGAGATGAGCGACGTTCCTTCAATGTGGGGTACAAACCAAACGTGGTAGAAGCAGTCTCGTGGGCATTCGGAATTCTTGAGAGGTAGGGTCTCGGCTATCCAATCCAAGATAATTGCCGTGGAATCACTACTCTGCGGCATCCAAGATCTTTGACTTATGTAATGATGCCTTTATAAACAGTTGCGTCGGCAGTAACTTAGGAACTCTGCACTGCGTCATCAGGCCGGGAATAATCTTTTGCCATTTTAGACCCTAAGGCGCAAGGGAAAAGGAAAGGCCGGCTATGGCCCGTGGCCGACGGGCTATGAAGACCTCCCCGTTCTTGGAACCCCACATTCGTCACTCTAGCAAAAGTCAACACGGCCGTGGGTTTTGAAGCATACTATTTCTAGGTACCTAAGGCGCGGAGAGCATTGCGGAGTATTCCAAGCTCTGTATCGAGCGGGGCCCTCCGTTAAGAAGGCCAGGATGGCAAAGAGGAACCGATTATATTGCTCTGACAGCTCTGGGCGACATCTCATCCCCGGACTGCTTCGGTAGACTTCCGACCGGAGAGGTCGCTTCGAGCCGAATGAACGATAACTGTGGGGCAAATGGCACCACCGGCACTTTAAATCAGCCAACTGACGTCGTTGCAACAGTTGATCTACATTAGAAATGGAGATTCCATTCCTTGAAGCGACATTCTGACTGAACCACCTTCCTAAAACTGCTTGAAGTCTCGGCGTCTCGGCAGATGAGGACCCTTAAATAGGGAGCTAGTTCCCAGGTGCTTGTCTATAGGAAGTCTTCACGGAATTCAGTCTCAAAATGTTTGGGTCAAAATGGTGGATTTGGGCGGCGATCGCAGTATCGTCGCCGTCCCTTGCGGCCAAGGCACCTTGGGATCTTGGTCATGGCTTCAATCTTGCCGTTGATGAAAGCATCAACCATCTCTCTATCGCGCGCTATGGACGTACGATCTGGGAGACCGTAGCTGGACAACCCTTTCTAAGTGCCAGCGCTGGTAATGATCAAGTCGTTGCTTCTAGCGGCAATTTCAACATCATAGAAATTGATAGAAGCAAATGCACTGGACAACGAATTAGCCAAGTTACTCAACGTGCCAACGACAATGCGGCCCTTGTGCGAGGCATCTTGTCGGGTTGCGGAAATGAGACAACGCGCTTCTCCCTTTCGCTGTGGGTTCCCGCAGAGCTGCCAGATCGCGTCGCCTTCCATATCGACCTAAACGCTGGTTCTTCAAGCTCGGACGCGGCTACCAAGTTGTTTTTCACCTATTCCTCGTCGCCATCGGAGGACTTTTATGGTCTTGGCGGCCAGGCATCCTTTGCTTCTTTCAAAAATCAGTCTGTGCCTGTCTTCTCGCGTGAACAAGGTGTCGGTCGGGGTGACCAGCCAACCACCCGTTTGGAGAACGAGGACAGCTACTTTGCCGGGGGCGACCACTTCACTACGTATTCGGCTACTCCCCAATACATCACTTCGGAGTCCCGGGTCTTCCACCTCTCCCAAGAAAGCACGGCCTATGCAAACTTCGATTTCCGCAACCCTCGTGCGGTGACCGTGAGATATGATGCTTTGAAGGTTGATGGCTATTTCATGCAGGGGACTAGCATGTTGGATGGAATTTCCATGCTCACGAAATATACCGGAAAGTGAGCATTCTCTGGTCGCCACTGAGAATCTACAACCTAAAACGCTTGCTAAACTCTCATGTTAGAATGCCAGCGCTCCCACGGTGGGTCGATACCGGCGCTGTTCTCGGAATTCAAGGAGGCCAAGCGAAGGTCAACCGAATCGTCAAGAGGGGACTCCAGCAAGACTGTCCCATTGCAGCTGTATGGCTACAGGACTGGCAAGGTCACCCTCAACTCTCTCCATGCGTTCGCCGTGCTAATTTGAGGACAGGTCCGGCACACATTCCCAGAGCGCCTCGTACATGACTCTCAACATCTCACGGCTGTGGTGGAACTGGGAGTCTGATTCCGAGTTGTATCCCACTTGGAAACAGTTTGTGCAGGATCTACGTGATGACCACAATGTTCGAACCTTATCATATATCAACCCGTTCTTGGCAAATGTGAGCACTAAGCCCGATGGTTATCGCCGGAATCTGTTTCTGGAGGCCACCAAAGGTGGTTATATGATCCAGAATTCCACCACGAACAGTACTTCCATCGTGTCCAGCGGTCCCGGAATTGATGCCGGAATTCTTGATCTGACCAACCCCGCAACGCGTTCCTGGTTCCGGAATGTTCTTGTTGAACAGGTCTTCAGTGCGAACGTGTCTGGCTACATGGGTGACTTTGGCGAATACACGCCCATATACGCAGACACTCGTTTCGCCAACAAAAGCGTGGATCCATTCTTCTATCACAACGAGTACCCTCGAGACTGGGCCAAATTGCACCACTCGCTCGGCGAGGTAGTTCCCACTTTCTCGGACGCGATCATTTTCCACCGTTCCTCCGCACTTGCTGCTAACCGGTACATGAACCTGTACTGGGCCGGTGACCAGGACACCAACTGGGGTGTCAATGATGGAATTAAGTCAGCTGTGACTGTCATGGGCCACATGGGTCTGTCCGGCTATGCACATGGCCATGTGGAGATTGGCGGATACACAACTACATGGGACAGTAATGGCGTCGTCAACCGCACGGCCGAGCTGCTTGGTCGTTGGGGAGAGCTATCCGCAGTGTCTAGCGCGGTCTTCCGGTCACACGAGGGAAATGTTCCCCTGGTCAACGCGCAATTCTACACCAACGCATCAACGTATGCTTACTACGCATACAATGCCCGTATGTTCCGCAGCCTGGCGACCTATCGCCGCAGAATCCTCGATACAGAAAGCAAGAATTTGGGCTGGCCCTTGGTTCGAATGCCGGTCATTTACTACCCCGATGACGCGAAAGCAAAGGCGATCAGCTACGAGAGCTTTTTCCTGGGCTCTGACTTATACGTTGCGCCTGTGCTTGACCCTGGCCGCAAGAGCGTCGAGGTCTATTTCCCTGGCCAGAACCAGTCATACACGCATGTCTGGTCCGGGCGGAGATACCAAGGTGGCCAGACAGCCCGTATCTCTGCCCCGTATGGTAAGCCTGCTGTGTTTGTCGTGGGCCAGCCGAAGCACAATGACCTCGAGGGCTTCCTTGAATTTGTTCACAAGGAAAACGCGACAACGATTCATGTTTGAATAGTGCCACTGCCGGAACAAGGATAATTTTCATATCGAATAGACCTGAACACATTATTCAAAGTCCTTCTAGATCACTTCACAGGCTCTTTTGACAGCGCCGGCTCCAGTATATCGTATTCCGCCGTATGATGGGGAGATTTCTCGGGCGTCATGGATTATTATAATCTCCGACTTCGGTTATCCGGGACAATGTGACTGCCGAAGATAAGGGATTAGCTCTCTTCTGGACCAGGAGAGGTTCATACTACCCCTGTTCCAAAATTTATCTACTGAACTCGTGTTCACTGCCCAATGTTTCAAACCCAAATGCCCTGGACTGCGATACATCTTCAAGGAGTACACTAGATAGGGATTCTTACTAGACATGGTGTGTCCACTTCCGGCGCTCGTCTTTTGCAACTCGTATACGAAACTGTGGGTAGTTCAAGGGTTTTTAAGTCTCTTCCTGTCGATTGCGAGATGCCGAGAATAGAAATATCTATAAATCATCGCATAGCCAATTTCTCTCTATCTCCATGCCCTTCCGGTACTTGCTACATCGCCCCTGAAAAAGGTGGGCTACGTAGGGTTTCGAATTATACTTAGGCCGTGAGAGTCCTGGAGGCTGATATTCTGGAGCTACGGAGTTCCAGTTCCTTCCGGGATGCAAGACATCGGCCGTATGACCTATCGATGGATCAGTTCTTGGAGTGCCTCTAGCCCTAGCCCCTGAGAACACAGTGAAAGCCAATGAAGAATCTATCTGGCTTGTATTTTGATTGTCTGCGTAAGGATCTGAAGGGGTAAGAGGTCCACGTGTGCAGCCGATATGGACATGGTGTAGATATTGTCATGCGCAAACTGCCTGCTGCTGGATATTGATGGCTGGAGCAAGATGCAAACATTTAAAGACAACCCTCCCTTCTATGCAATGCCGCTCTAGTACTTTCTTGGGCCATATATCGTCTTCGCTTCCCGGAAATATCGCTCATTCTTCACCCGGATTATCATCTTTGGTCTTCCAAACGAACCATGCGATCACAATCATGCCCTTCAGAATTGCGGCTGTCCAGAGAGCTCCCATCATACCGACCGAGCTATGCGCCCACAGTCCGCCTAAGACGGTGCCAACCAGTAGACAAATGACCGCCCCTGCTCGGCGCATCTCTTCGGCATGAGCGATCACTTTAGAGGACAAGAAGTCTGGATGAGAAAACAGGTCGCAGTAGATGCTCGTAAGAACGACACTGGTGAGGCCGTTGTAACTCAAAACGCGACTGGTAACGGCTTGTCCGCTACTTTGAAATGCTACTAGAGCAATGGGCACCAGTACTACCCAGCTTAGGGGGCATCGCGGATGGGTCGGTAAAGAGTGACAATCAAAGCCGCGCTGACGACACAGATCAGCTGCAACATGAAAGATGCACACAGCACCCAGCGCTGTCGGGGCGCGAAAGCACGGTGGAAAGCAGAGAAACAGAGGGATCCGAAACAGAAACCCGCAATGGAGGTGCCGGACTTGATCCATCGGTCATCGTCACTGCCAGCTAGACCAAGGCCAAAATAGACGGTGTTTCCGGTCTGCATGCTGACGAAGGAGCCCCATATGAAAACCGCTGAGCTGTCGAGCAGACCGGTAATGATGTAGCAGAATAGCAATAGCCAGTCTCCGTGGCGTGGATCGAGCTCATTGTGTAAATATTGTGACAGATGGCGCGACCGCGGCTGCGGCTGCGGCTGCGGCTGCTCGCCACTCAACAACGCGTCGGTCTCGTGAGATAACGAAGACATGATTAGATGAAGAATTTCTGCAAAGGTCAAGCATGTCGAGATGTACCTGGAACCAAAGCTGCGTGCGGGGATTCGCCTTACCGGTCAATCCCCGCAGGGAGGGCAATTCCTATGCGTCATTAGGTCCACCGTGTGGGGGACGAAGAGTAAGCTACCATACCTTTGTTGCCGAGCCAAGTTGTTAAGCTTTGGCATTACTCCAACTTTGGAGGTCGCGGAATGGAACTCCCAATGAGAGTTCCTGCAGAGATTCAAGTCCCAGATTTACTGCCGGATGTGTCCGGACGGTTGACGTATTTGCGAGTGAGGGGAACCTAGGAGACTGCGAGGCCAGAGGCGAGGTTAAAAAGGGCCGGAAAGGTCATCGGTTGATCGAATCATGAAACAGATTTCATAGATTTCTATTTGCCACTTCAGAATGCATTTTTTGTCGACGCAGGTGGCAGCTCTGGTGAATCTGGGGTTGCTTCTTGGCGCATATGGGATTCCTGCTCCGGATCATGCGGTCCAACAATTGATGCGAGTGCCTCCCAGTAACTACCAGGAATTGTTCGGTAGCCCACCCTTCAGGCCTGATCACCGTGATCCGTATGATCACAAGGTAGACTCGGTCGGAGAGGGTCGACATCCCCTGCCCTTTAGGAATGGCGACGGCGCGACTATTGAAGGCCCAAGAAATCGCGATCGCGAGCGCCAGAATCCCGATCTGATCCGCCCACCTAGCACAGATCATGGCAGTATGTCAAACATGCGCTGGAGCTTTGCTGACTCGCATGTGCGCATTGAGGTGAGTGTCTCGATCCGTAAACCGAAGTTGTCTGACAGGTGTTGTAGGAGGGTGGATGGACGCGACAGACCACGACCCGTGAGCTGCCCACGAGTCGCGAATTGGCAGGTGTCAATATGCGCCTGGATGAAGGCGTTATTCGTGAGCTGCACTGGCACACGGAAGCCGAATGGGCATACGTGCTCGCAGGCCGCGTGCGGGTCTGTGTGCTACCCTGATCATGTCAACTCTCTTCTGACTTCATCTAGGTAACGGCCCTGGACCCTGACGGAGGTAGTTTTATGGATGACCTCGAGGTTGGTGATTTGTGGTACTTCCCAGCTGGCCATCCGCATTCACTGCAAGGATTGAGCCCCAATGGCACGGAATTTCTCTTGATCTTCGATAACGGCCATTTCTCCGAGGAGTCGACTTTCCTTCTTACGGATTGGATGGGTATGAAACCAAGATCTCACGGCTTCCAAACAGCCAGTGCTAACGATACCTAGCTCATACATCCAAGGCTGTCCTGGCAGAAAACTTCCGTTTGAAGCCGGATGCTTTTAAATCTATTCCTCAATCTGAGAAATACATTTTCCGGGGTTCGCTTCCAGGGCCCATCGAACGCGAAAAACCAAGCGGATTTCGCAAGTCTAAGCTGAACTTTTCACATCATATGCATGCCCAGGACCCCATCCGCACAACGGGCGGACGCGTCCGAATCACGGACTCTACCAATTTTCCTCTCTCCTCAACCGTGGCCGCTGCCCACTTGGAAATCGAGCCTGGCGCTCTGCGCGAAATGCACTGGCACCCCAACGCTGATGAATGGACCTACTTCATCAAGGGACGCGCTCGAGTCACGGTTTTTGCAGCTGAAGGCAATGCTCGCACCTTTGATTATATGGCTGGAGACGTCGGCATCGTTCCTCGGAATATGGGACATTTTATTGAAAATCTGAGTGATAATGAACCATTGCAGGTTCTTGAAATATTCCGCGCAGACAAGTTCCAAGACTTTTCGCTGTTCCAGTGGCTTGGAGAGACCCCTCAACGAATGGTCGCGGAGCATATTTTTGCGAACGACCCCGAAGCCGCAGACGCGTTTTTAAACCAGATTGAGGGAGCCGAGAAAGACCCCATAAAGGATGCACGACCTTGATTAAGCGCTTGGATTTTGTAATGGGGACATGAGTTGCGAGTCTGGCATCAAAACTAGTATATATAGTGAGAGGTGCCCAGGTCCTATCTTGTTCCAAATACCTCCGGAGTCCGTTTAGTAGAGAGCTCAGTATGCTCATAAGACAAATTCACATGTCAACCGACGAGCCTCGAACTTGAAATTGTGCCATTTCTGCCAAAGGGACAATGATGAAGCCGAAGCCGCCGAGGGTCCATACATAGGACTAAAGGAGTCCTTTCTTTGTAAAAGGCGGTAGGATTCGATACTGCCGGCTCTGGATTGACGAGTGCTTGACAGTGGCTGGTACAAGAATAGGCTTATCTTTGCAGCTAGAAGCTGAATCATTCTATACCCCCAGCTTGCTTAATTTGGCCTCTCATTCAGCCTTGTTCCCTTGAAGGTATAGTAGCGCCGGGTGGGTCCGTTCCTGGACGATCAGTCACTGTTCACTGCGTCATCGCGTCCCCACTTGTGCCTCGAGGAGCCTCTCTCACGTTCCAAGGTTCCGGCCGCATCCGTGATCCGCAGTTTTCTTTCTAAACTATGGCACGAAGCTTCTGTGTTTCCTCTCGTCAACCTTGCCTTCATGTTCTCAAACGTGCTCGCCGCGTTCAGACCAACACCCGAGTCTGAGGGGACTCCGCAACGACCCCCGCGCTATGTCGGTGAAGATACTACCCCGACCAGCCACCGGGAGATCCTCGGCTGGTACTCCTACGGTATCGCGGCCGAGGTGTTCGCTGTCTGCGGTGTAGGTTCGTGACAATCCACTTCCTTGGCGCTGGAAATCGCTTACTCATTCAATTCCAGGATCCTTTCTGCCCTTGACCCTCGAACAGCTTGCGCGAGAGCACGGTACTATTCCAAATAGCAATCAGCCTTGCTGGGGCCCCGGGGCCCCAGAGAAACAAAATGGTGGTGACCAATGTGTGGTCGGGTTCTTGGGGCTGCAGATCAATACTGCCAGCTTTGCCATGTATACCTTCTCGCTGGCGGTACTTATCCAGGCGTTGACATTGATCTCGTTCAGCGCCCTGGCCGACTATGGTATGGTCTCCTTCCACAGAACAAATCCTATTACACAAAACAAGCCGGAGTGAGCTGGCTAGCTAACCACTGTGATGTGATACATAGGGAACAACCGCAAAACGCTGCTCCTGTCTTTCGGTCTCATCGGCTCGGTCGCCAGCATGCTATTCGTATTCGTTGCACCTCCAGTCTTCATCCTCGGCTCTGTTCTCGCCATAATCGGTGTTACCTGTCTTGGATCCTCTTTCGTCGTACTTAACTCATTCTTGCCTGTCCTTGTCGCGAACGATCCATCTATTCAAGGCTCCAAACGTGGCGGCGGGGAGGAGCTGTCCAACCTGAATCGAAACGAGGACACCTCCGATTGGAATGCATGGGACGATGACGATAGCATGGACGGGATTCAGAATGCGGACCACGAAACCGGATCTCCTGAGGATGGGCTGAAGAGCAAAGAATCTCCAGATTCAGCACCGGAGCTTCAGCGTTCTACCCAAATTTCCTCAAAGGGGGTTGGTCTAGGTTACTGCGCGGCTGTTTTTGTTCAGATCCTGAGCATTCTGCTCCTCGTCTTGCTCAAAAAAACGTCGCTTTCGAAGATTTCTGACACCCTTCCGACCCGCTTCGTGCTCCTGTTGGTCGGAATCTGGTGGGGGGCTTTCACCTTCGTCTCGCGGCGCTGGTTGCGCTCTCGACCTGGCCCTCCCCTCGATAACTCCAAGACTCCCGGCCTTCCAAAGTGGCGAGCGTGGCTGCGACTCGTGGGATTTGCCTGGAAGTCGCTCTGGCAGACAGTGAAGGTGGCGGTGCAGCTCCGTGAAGTGCTGATTTTCCTAGTCGCCTGGTTCCTCTTGTCGGATGCCATGGCTACTGTTTCCGGCACGGCCATCTTGTTCGCTCGCACTGAGTTGAAACTTAGCACCATCGCAGTCGGGGCTTTGAGTATCACTGCGACTCTTAGTGGAATGGCTGGCGCATTTCTATGGCCCCATGTGTCTCGACGGTTCAATCTGCAGCCAAACCATACGATCATTGTCTGCATTATCCTGTTCGAGATCATCCCCCTTTACGGTATGCTTGCCTACGTCCCGTTCATTAAAAAATGGGGTGTCTTGGGATTGCAAAAGCCTTGGGAGATTTTCCCTCTTGCTATTGTCCATGGTGTCGTTTCGGGCGGACTTTCATCTTATTGCCGCTCGTTCTTTGGCCTGTTGATTCCACCTGGAAGCGAAGCCGCCTTCTACGCGCTGTACGCTGCTACAGATAAGGGAAGTTCATTCATTGGCCCCGCTATCGTAGGTGGTCTGATTGACGCGACAGGCCAGGTGCGGTCGGGATTCTTCTTCATTGCGGTGCTGATCGTGCTCCCGATTCCTCTCGTGTGGATTGTTAATGCCGAAAAGGGTCGTCGTGAGGGGCTAGCCATGGCCGAAAAACTAGACATGTCACACAAGGGTGCGACTGACGATGCCCATGAGGCTGAAGGTCTTCTCGCCCATGAAGCTTAGAATGGAATGCATGATGGAACGAACTCATGAATATAGAATGATATGTCCCGGTAATTAAAGAAAATTGTTAATTGAACCCATTCCTAGTATTGCTCTAGACTGACGACCGCCTTCGGGGCTAAATTCAAGAAAGCCTTATGCCAAGAATCCGTCAGCTTTGATGTCCTAAGCAAGTGGAATAGATTTTCTTCCTCCATCAACTGATGTTGGCGATGGCTTGGCTTCTGCGGTGTAGAAGGTATAGATTTCTATATATTGTATGTGGTGCCAGTGAACCTCGTTTCCATGTATGTTTTACACAACTGTCTTGGTGCCGAGTTCCAAGGTTCAAATGAATCAAAAAGCGCCTAAAAATAGCCATTCTTGTCTTCTCGATTCATCTTACCGGCTCCCGAAGTCTAGCCAAGATGGGAATGCTTACTCTAGGGATGCCTTCGAGGTTGCTCTCAAGAGATGGCGACACATACCCCAACCCCGGAGGATCCACGCACCTCGGGACCCCACATCCGAACATGCGTGTGCGCGTGACCAAATCCGACCCGGCGGACTCAGCAGCTCAATGTTGTTTATGATCAGATACATCTACGGCGCACCTGGGCACGCCAATCAGCTGCTGCAGCCTTGCTCGATCGGCCAAGGAACACAGTCCGACCCGAAATGCCGTGCAGGACCCTAGGAATGCTCAAGACAAGGGACGTTTGGGGGTCAGCGCAAGCCCCATTTTGTTGACAAGATTGGACTGGCGGCCCTCGGGGTGTCCGTTTCGTAAGTGGAATAGGATGATTTCGTAGCCTCGGAGGCGTCAACGCGCCCAATCACAACCTGTGCTTCTTTTCCACCTTTTGCTTCCCCAGGAAAGTGATTGCGGCCCCGGAAAAATCTTGAACTCTCTGTCATTTGGGTATCAGGCATTTCACATTGTGATAGGTGCGAAAATTTGGGATTGTTGAATTTGCCATTCCTAGACTCTATATTGACGAGCTGGCCAAAGCCCTCGAGCACATTGGCTGACCTACCTCCACTAGCCTTAATGGACCGAGCTATCCTTGCAGCTGCCTTTCATTCCCCGCGATCTACAGATCCAGGCTTCGCACGTTCATGATCGCGTCGCCAAGCGATGGCGAAAAAGCTCGATATGTAAAGCCGCGATACCCAGCGCACTCGCGAATTCTCCATCGAGTAGACACAGTCTTTCTCGGATTCGCCTCCGTTCCTTCCCATCAAGCTCAAACAAACCTTGGAAGTCTCATCCGTCCTATCGTCAGCTGAATTCCTTTGCCAGGGAAGTGCTATCGGGTTACTGAACGGCATGGCGAACCTCACCGAGACTGAGGTCGCGTTGGAGAAGTCAGCTGCTCACCACGTAGAGGATACATTGGGCCACGGGGCAATTGTTGACGCAAAGCATGCCACAGATGAGGAACACGCGCAGACCCTTTGGCAGGGTCTTCGAGACAATCGTAAAGCCGTGTTTTGGTCCGCATTAATTTCAATGGTAAGCTTCACTACTATCTATTATTGTCAGACACATGATGGCTTACTCATGCGTTTCACTTTCCAGTCAATTGTAATGGAAGGCTACGATATTATTTTAATGGGCAACTTCTTCGGGTATCCTTCTTTTCAACACAAGTATGGGGAGGATTATGGCAAGGAACTTGGATGGCAGGTGCCTGCTCGATGGCAGACAGGACTGAATATGTCTAGCACGGTCGGGTGCATTTTCGGTCAGAACTTGTCCGATAACAGGGGAAGATAGACTAATATAGATCCCAGGTGGTGTCCTGAACGGATACCTTGCATCCCGATTTGGGTATCGTTTTGTCATGATAGTCGCCCTGGCTTTCCTGAACGCTGTCCTTTTCATCGTGTTTTTCGCCAACACAGCTACTGTCTTGCTCGTAGGTGAGATATTCTGCGGGTTTGCATGGGGTGTCTTTGCGACCATTGGCCCGGCCTATGCCTCGGAAGTCTGTCCCACCAACCTTAGAGGCTATCTCACCATCTACGTCAACATGTGCTGGGCCATCGGCCAGCTGATTGCGTCCGGTGTTTTATATGGCTTAGTGGGCCGCTCAGATCAATGGGGCTACAGAATACCATTTGCGTTGCAATGGATCTGGCCTACCCCTCTGATAGTGGTCTGTTGGCTGGCACCAGAAAGCCCTTGGTACCTCGTGCGCAAAGATCGACTGGACGACGCCAAGCTCAGTATTCGACGTCTCGGAGGCAACAAAACCGAGGAGCAGATCAACGGACAATTGGCTATGATGGTACATACTGCCAAAATCGAAGCCGAAATTGAGTCCGGCACCACCTATTTAGATTGTTTCAAAGGGGTCGACCTGCGCCGCACGGAGATCTGCTGCGTAACATTTTGTTGCCAGATTTTATCCGGCAGCACTTTCGCCTACTCGCCCACTTATTTCTTCGAGCAAGCCGGTATAGCCACTTCGCATGCTTTCCAACTTGGCGTTGGCTGCACCGCCATAGCCTTTGTCGGAACCGTTTTATCCTGGTTTCTCATCTCAAAGTTCGGGCGTCGCACCCTTTACGTTTGGGGCCTGGGTACCCTCTGTGGTATACTTTTCATAATTGGAATCGTCAATGCAGCAGCCCATACGAATGGTGCTATGTGGGCCCAGGCTGCCTTATGTTTCGTTTGGCTATTCGTGTACTCTCTGACCGTTGGCCCGATCGCCTACGCCATCGTCAGTGAAACTTCTAGTGTTCGGCTGCGACCCTTGACCGTCTGTTTAGCTCGTACGGCCTATCAGATGGTGAATGTCGTGTCCATGGTCATTGAGCCATATGCCATGTCACCCACGGCGTGGAACCTGTCGGGGAAGACAGGTTTTATCTGGGGGTGCACTGCGCTCATCGCGTTCATCTGGGCTTTCTTCCGGCTGCCCGAGCCGAAAGGTCGTACATATGCTGAGTTAGACATCCTCTTCGCCACAAAGGTCCCGGCACGCAAGTTCTCTTCTACTTTCGTGGATCCATACGCCATCACGGTCTCCCACTCACAGGAAGGCCTCGTACAGGAAACGAAGCAATAGATCAAGGGAAAGGCGAGAGAAGAAGGACAGCGATGTAAAACCAGGGTGCAAGAATGCAACGTGTGGTCAAATGATGAAGGGGGATTGGCAACATCATCTATTCAATCTTGAATATAGCAATTGTCTGTTGCTGGACTACTGCAGCCAGAGCCTCGTGTGCATTGAATATGTTTGTGGACATCTTATATACTTTTCACACTTATTTCCAAAGTCTCTTAGGTTTCATGAGTATTTCAAACTAGTAAGTACAATTACTCTAAAATTAGAGGGGGCCGTTCGAGATGGTAGATGGTTCAAAGGTAGCCAAAGATCCGTCTGAGGGGCACCGAACTTACAAAGCTGTCCTAAACCCCGAAGCCGACAGCTTGTCGACCTCAGCGTCAATGGAAATTATCTTCTTAAAACGGCTGAGCACATATCTCTTGTACAAACTATCCAACTTAGACGGTAACCCTATACTATCGGTGGGCAGTGGCAGAAACCATTAAAGCGGGGAATTTTCCGCGTGACGTAACTAATCATAACTCCAAAGCAACAAAAAAGTTCTCATTATTAAATCATAGCATCACTTCATGGACTTTACATGATTTCAAGCCCTTCTAAGCGCTTTCAAATTGTCTATTTACCGCACACAGTAACCTCCGTCAATGAGGAGATCGGCTCCGGTCATGTAAGAGCTCGCGTCACTGCACAAGTAGACATAAGCACCTTTAAGTTCCTTCGCTTGTCCATTCCTGGCCATAGGGATCATGGAGTTCCAAAGGTCTTGGGTTTTCTGGTCAACAAAGTCCGACAAACCAGTGTCGATGTAGCCGGGAGAAATGCTGTTGACGCGCGCAAAGTCGCGCCACTCGTTGGCGAGCGATCGTGCCATGTGGATACAGCCAGCCTTGGCCACGTTGTAAGAGGTCTGTTCTTGGGGGAAGTTGGCGATGTGGCCGGACATGGAGGAGGTAATGACGAAGCTACCGGTGCCGCGCTCCTTGAAGTGGGCTCCGACGGCCTTAGCGCAGTGGAAAGTTCCAGTCAAGTCGGTCTGGATAACCTCTTCCCAATCCTGCACAGAACCATCGAGAATACCGCTGTTGGCCGTGCGACCGGCATTGGCGACGAAAGCGTCAATCTTGCCGAATTCCTTAATGACATCGCTGACGAAGCCTGAAACACTCTCCCAGTTTCCCACGTCACACTTGTAGGCCTTGACCTTGACGCCATACTTTTCACTGAGTTCCTTGGCGTTCTTCTCGCCGCCCTCGGGGCGAGAGGCGTAGGTGATAGCGAGATCGGCACCCATTTCAGCGCAGCCGCGGGCAGCCTCAATACCCATTCCACGGGGGCCGGAAGCACCCGTGACGACAACGACCTTGCCCTTGAGGCTGAAGAGGTCCTTCAAACTGTCGGCCTTGGGAACGGGAATCATGATGGTGGTGGGGTTTAATTGGAATGGTAGGTTTTGATTGAAAAAGATCGAAGCGGGACGGTTTTTAACAAGGAGGAAGAAGAGAGGTAGAGAAGTAGAAAGTATGATGCTTAGAGTATGATGCTTAGAGTTAGAGAAAAGCATGGGCTTATATAGCTCGGTATACCCCTCTCTTTGACAAGCCTATCTGGGCATGACTTAATAACGGGGTATCCCGGTCCCTACGGGCACATTTGATTCGCTGCCAACACGAGTGCGTTGCGCTTCTAGCCTTGTTGTGACGCAGGTCCTGATTCGCCCAAACCTGGAAACCTTGGAAGGCCAAATGAAAACGACGTGGGATGTTGATGCGGATGACGGCGGAGCCATGATGTCATGACTTATACCTGTCCTGCCTCACTGCTGGGCATTGATCTCATCGGCCCGAAAATCGGTCGGAACGCAAAACAAGCTAAATTCTTACCGCTCGCTCCAAAAGGCCTAGGCCCAACTCCTAGGAAATCAAGGGTTGATTCCTACCTACGTGGACCGTGTCTACCTCGTCGATGAGCGAAACCGCCCCACATTTACCAACATCCCAAGTCGATCTAAAGGGGTCCTCCTCATTGTAGCACACTGTTAGCGCTTGACAAGGCGATTTTTTTTCACGACAGCCAGGACACAGGTGTCTCATTGTCCCGATAATTACTATCTAGCTACAATCGCGTACACAATCCAAATCATTCAATTCTGGAGCCATAAACCCATCGCGAAAAAGGATCAAAAAACTTGGAGCCATGACGAAATGCCCAGACATAGGAAGCTCGTTATGAATAGTCGTTGACTCAGCGATGCACAGAAATTGGACATATTATCTGACATATTCCTGGCCCGGTGATGGGCGCTTTCACGCGTCGTGCTAAATTGCAATCATGGAAGACAAATATATAGATGAGATACCCCAGAGTCAGCCAGATGTGGAGCCCGCGAGTGAAGCTATACACCGATCCTCCACAGTTTCCACTCTGCATCACAACCAGTTCAATGACTCTTTCTTGTCGAGGTAAGGGTCGCTTTTGCCAGTGGATCACCCCATCACCTTGTCTTGCTAACTCTACGCCAGGTGCCGGTCTTTCTTTCAACGACAGACTCATATTGGGAAAGTAGGTGTCAACCCAATGCGGGATAAAGAGGATCTGGAGATTCATACCTGGGATGGCCCTGATGATCCTGACAACCCGTAAGTTACGGGCTCAGGGAGCTACGAAGTTGGCCGTACTGATCATTACAGATTCAATTGGAGCAACACCTACAAATGGGTTTTGACACTTACTGTGTGCTTCATGTTAGTTATCGTGTCAGTCCTCCAAAACATAGTGCTGATTAATCGACAGTTCTATTCTTACCGGGCTTCCAGCAGGCTCTTATGGCGCTGGAAATACATACATGGCCCAGCGCTTCCACGTTCAAAACGTACCTTTTCCCAACCTAGCATGGGCAACCACGAGTTGGAATATGGGCGCTGCGTTTTGGCCTTTGCTATTCGTGCCGCTAACTGAATCTTCCGGTCGTATGCCGGGATACTTTGTTGCGTATTTTATTCTCGTTATCTCTTTGTTTCCGTCGGCATTCGCGCAGAACTTTGCAACGCTCGTGGTGACTCGCTTTTTCGGTGGCGGTGCGTCTTCAGTTTCTATAAATATTGTTGGTGGTAGCATCAGTGATGTTTGGCTTGGTGAAAAAGCTAGAAGTCTGCCAATGTCGCTATTTGGCTTCACTAGTGTGGTGGGGATTGCTCTCGGGCCTTTTATCGGTTCTGCTATCCAGGAAATCCACAAAAGCAGCCCGTGGAGATGGTTAGTTCTCTCTATTGTAGATTGGCAAGGCGAAGGAATTAACTGATGGCAGGATCTTTTACATTCAGATCATCTACAACGCGGCTCTGATACCTGTCTTTTGGTTCATTCTCCGAGAGACCCGCGCAGATGTCATTTTGAAAAAGCGAGCGCAAAAGATTCGGAAGGAAACTGGCCGTGTTGTCTATGCTGAGGCCGAGCTCGATACGACGAGCGTATGGAGGCTTCTACAAGTTTCCTTCGAGCGTCCTACACGAATGCTTTTGACTGAGCCAGTTGTCATTTTCTTTACCCTTTGGGTAAGCTTTGCATGGGGCATCTTGTTCCTTTTCTTCTCAAGCGTGTCTCAGACCTTCAGTAATAACTACGGTTGGGGAACTTTCACAACCGGCCTTGTGCAACTAGCTATCTCAGCCGGAGCTGTAATTGGTACCGTTGTCAACCCTCTTCAGGATTTCTTATATCAACAATCGTCAAAACGGAATCGTGAAAGTCCAGGGCGACCGATACCCGAAGCCCGTCTCTACACATCCATTCCTGGCAGTCTACTCTTCGCAGCTGGGTTATTCTGGTACGGTTGGGGTAGCGTCGGCAATGGGTCCATTCACTGGATTGTTCCCACTCTTGGAATTGGCTGCACTGGGGTTGGAATCTACTCCATCTACATGGCGGTAGTCAATTATTTGACGGACTCATATGAGAAATATGCGGCGTCAGCGCTTTCTGCTGCTTCGCTAGGTCGGAATACATTTGGCGCTTTTCTACCGCTAGCCTCTTACGAGCTTTTCGAGACATTGGGCTACGGTTGGGCTGGGTCTCTGCTTGGGTTCGTCGGTGTCGCTCTTTCTGTTGTTCCAGTGGTATTAGTTCTTAAGGGGCCCGATATCCGACGGCGCAGTCCATTTATGCGTGAGTCGATATTTTTGGACCCTGTTCAGACAGCTCATGATGGGCATTCGGGCAAGACCGACACCTAGTCTTCAGCTCACGAAGTCCATTACCAGCCAACTCGGATTGAGGGATCCGATGCGCGGAGTCTGGAAAGATCACTACCCAGTTGCCGATACAGATACATTTTGAGCTAATGTTCTACAACATACGGAATAGACGGCCGATCCAAAAGTTTGCATTCTATGTTGTAATTCAAATGAAAACGATGATTTCCACTTGAATCAAATAACCGTATTCCATGACCTTATCGGGCTTGCAAGGGGCCACAGTTGAAATCGCTTTGCTGGCGCATGAAAATTCGTGCAGCTACCCTCTTCATCAATTTTGCTCAAGAGCATTATATAGCCTTTAAATCAGCTGGAGAAAAAAGACAAATTGAAGCAGTCTTGCACATATTAGGGTTAAGCCACATCTAGAGTCCTCCACGTAGACTAGGTAGCCAGAGAGCTACTGATGAACATAGATCCAACCGAGAGGTCGGGATTATAATTTGATACCGTGTAAGTTAATTAAAGAAAAGTAGAATTGCGGGTGATGGTGCAATCCATCTTGGTAATGCGATTGAGTCGCCCCCCTTTTCCTTTTTCCTCTATTCTCTCGCGGTTAACCAATCAACTATACCTGTGTTGTGACATTGCGATAAGGCTTTCGAATGACTATCCACGTTGTTTCAATTATTCAGCGGAGCGAGGTGACCGAGGAGGCACGAAATGGTTCCAGTGCCTGCCAAGAACTCTATCTGCGGCCAAATGGCTGGTGACGCGGTCCCAAACCGAACCCAATTGCCAGGTATGAACCGGCCTTCATGGACCCCAGTGGACAAGGTAGACGCAATCTCTCCGCTTTGGCTAAAAACTGCAGAGCCATTCTTTCCAATTCCTGCCAGCCCATTCGTCATCCCCTTGTCGATCACCCCGCCAAGCCCAGTAAGCTCGTGGGGCTCACTCGCGGGTAGTTGTGTCAAAAACAGCCCGACACGCGGCGCCAAGCACCCGTGGGCTTCAACAATTGCGAGTTTCAAGGCTGAAGAAGAGACAGCAGTGACCAAAAGATGAAATGAGAGGGCCTCGAGCATCTGCCTAGTGTCTGGAGAGCCGGCCTGTCTCCGGAATGACGCGTCTAGGGACGGCAGCGTGATGAGCAAAACTACATAAACGGTTCGCTCGAATGGCTCTGCTCTCTTGAAATTTCTGATCACCGGACTTCTCAACTCTACGACTCTCTAGCATAACACTATCCTTCAATCATGGTTCAGCTTTCAAAGTTCCTTGCTGTGGCAGCAGCCTGCTTGGCTGCCCCGGCCATGGCTCACCCAGGCGAAAAGCACGATCCGCACATGGTGAAGCGAGAGGTTCATGCTCGCGACGCGATGGCAGCTGTAGCAAAACGCTCCCTAGGAGGATGCGAGAATAGTCTACACGCGCGGGAACTGGCAAAGCGCAACGTTGCCCGGCGCTCTCGCACTGTCCAACAGCTCCGAAACAAACGTGGTGTCACTACAAGTAAGTGATCATCGTCCAAGGCCCCCGCCCAATTAAAAACAAAGCACTCATAGTCTGCAGCCTCCCAAAAATGGGCCCGAAACTTGGCTGCCCTTGAAAAGTGGGAGGCAGTTAACCACAACAAGACGGATATCCTCAACTATAGCCCTGCGACACCGGAGTCAGTGGTGTTTGCAGCCAACACTAGCTGCATCCTGACCCCAACCGTGACTGATGGGCCTTATTATGTCTGGGGTGAGGTGATGCGTCAGGACGTGAAGGAGGATCTCTACTCGGATGGGGTGGACACCTTCCTGGAAGTCCAGTACATCGACATCAACACCTGCCGGCCAGTCCCCGGTGCGCTGGTCGACATTTGGCAAGCAAATGCCACCGGTGTTTACAGGTACGTACCTTTCATAATCTGGGAATCAGACCCGTGGTGGCAACTATCAAACTAACCTCAACAGTGGTATTTCCGAGTCCGGCAACTACGCCGCTGGCGGCTGGGACTCTACGTATCTACGCGGCATTCAATCAACGGACAAAGACGGAGTCGCGACGTTCGAGACGATTTTCCCAGGACACTATGAAGGTCGTGCCACCCACACTCACCTGTTGACTCATCTGGGTGCAAAGCTTTTGCCGAACAAGACCCTCGAGGTGGGCACCGGCAGCGTGGCTCACATCGGCCAGCTGTTCTGGAACGAAGTGCTCCGCTCTGCTGTGGAAGATACCTATCCTTATAACACTAACACACAAGCCATCACTACCAACGCCGAGGATACGTGGTCCATTGAGCAAGCCGACAGTGCTTATGATCCCTTCCCGGAGTATATCTACCTTGGCGAAGACCTCGACGACGGTCTATTCGCTTGGATTCAGATCGGCATTAATGCCACCACCGATTACACCGACAACTCGTATTACAGCATCGCTGCCTACCATGATGCTAATGGCGGACACGAAAACTCTGACAGCTCTGCGTTGGGCAGCGCTCCTAGTGGCACCAACAGCACCATGCCCTCGGATAGCTCCTCGGCCAGTGCTTCTGCTAGTTCCTCCGCTTAAAGTGTGGCTTAAATGGGGCGCAAGCTCAACCCATGGTTGTAAAGGTTTTTTGCCGGCTATGGAGAGAGCCATGGATAGCCCTAGATAGACGGCGGATGGATTTTAAAGACAGGGGTTGGAAGGAGGGTCAAGAGTTCTCCAGCCATGATAGACCGAGATTATTACAATAGTATACTTTTAAACTTTGGATCGTTGATCAAAGGATTTGTCCTGTCAGAAGTGTCATAGCCGCCATTCAATGACCTGCCGAAGGCATCTAGGCCGGAATTTACAAGTCGGCTCCATAGCTGATTATCGCGCGCGTGAACGGACTGCATTTGATAGACGCGCACGGACAGCAGTTTCCCCATTTTGATGTTCAGAAGATCGGAAATGGCGTTCAATAGCGTACTCTATGGTCTGCCATCTGTAACATAATGTTACGGAATCTGAAATTTGTGGTGAATGCTTTTCCCCTCGACGCTAGTCATGCGGGCCTCCACTAGATTTTCCTAAAACGGAAGGTATCCGGTGTTAGGGCCCAACCCTGATGTTTCACCATTTTTCGGTCATTACAGGTTCAGCTTTCCCAACTTTCGCCCGAGGTTCAGTTATGATTAGGGTTCTGATCTCATGTTCCAGTATATGTAGATGCATCTCGACTGTCAACCACGTCACTTCAATCATTAGTCTAGGACGTCAAGGTTTCCGTCAAAGTTCACAGCAAGGTTCGAGAGCATCATCTTATGATCCATGCAGCCGGGTCTCTTCGGAGACAGACTGGATTTCTGAAATCGGCGAACTTCCGGGTCGACAAACGCCACTGCCAATCACCTCGGTATTACCAGCTCTTTGTGCGGAGAGCGATCGCGGCTACGCAGTCCGTACGGGAATTACTGGGCCCATCGTCTACTCAGATCACCCGTTCCTTGGACGCGGCGATGGACGGGTTAAAATAGTCTGAAGCGGGAACCGATCCCTGGGACCGTCCCATATAGTGACACACCCGAACCATTCAAACTGTTCAACCTATCCCAAGGCCGTGTGAAGAAACGGTTCAATGTGCCCCTCTAAAACTGCCGCGTGGTTCATCTCGCGTGTCGATCGATGAATAGACTCGGCCCTAGGAATCAATCCCCCCACCCGCACCGAAACATTCTGTTATTCCTGCTGCAGGGGAAGTGTCTCTGTCTACTCGGCACCAATGAGCCTAGAGCCCCTGAAGGCTTTTGCGGGCGTCATTACCGACAGTGGTAGCGTGGGGATTTTCAGGGAACAAAATCACGAGGCACCCCCGACTTTCGGTCCTCTCGTCACCTGCTTCCATCCGACAACCCATGCGGATGGAATCACGACCCTCTTCATACCTTAATGGACGCCGATAGACGCAAAGAGGCCATCTTGGCGGCCGTGAGCGACGATAGTCGCAGCCAAGCTATTCTTGTGGTCACCGTTGTGTTTCTCGTCATCTCCTTGATCAGCGTTGGTCTACGATGCTTCGTTCGAACTCGTGTTGTCAAAGCCTTTGGGTGGGATGATACCACGATGCTTATTGCGATGGCCTTTAACCTTGTCTTCGCTATTTGCGGGATCACAGGATCAAAATACGGTATGGGCCGAAAACTTCTTTACTTTGAGGCAGAGCCTCAGAACTTCCACAAGGCCTTGCTTTGCTGGTGGTTGGGCCAGATTTTCTACGTGATCACTTGCGTCGTCGCCAAGATCTCCGTCTGCATCACCTTACTTCGAATTACCATTGATCGCATTCACGCCTGGATCATCTTCGGTGCCATGTCTTTGTCGGTGGTGGTCGGCCTGATCTTTTTCTTCTTCACTATATTTCAATGTCAACCAGTCAACTATTTCTGGAACCGGGAGTCGGAGACGGGTACTTGTATCGACAAGAACCTACTCATCGGCATCGCATACTTGTACAGTGTCGGTGCAGCACTTACAGATCTGACCATTGGTGTTCTGCCCGTGGCGTTGATTTGGAACTTGCGCATGAACCAGCGCACTAAGGTTGCCATTGTCGGGATTTTGGGAATTGGTTGCATGTAAAAACCTTCGTTTCGTCCTGTATCCTCTGATATGTGCTGATCAATCTTCGCAGCGCGAGTGCAGCAGTTATCATCCGTATTCCCTTTGTCCACAACTACAAGGACTTGGAACTTTTGTGTATGGGATCTCGTTTGCAACTGATGGTGACATTTGCACTGACAACACTGTAGACAATACCTACCAAATCTCGATCTGGTCGAACATTGAAGCAGGACTAGGCATCACAGCTGGGTCTCTCACGACTCTCCGACCTTTAATTCGATTCCTTCGTGATAATCCCTCCGGCTCTCGCACCCCCAGATCCTTTCCCCTATCCAGCAAAGTGGCGCCCGGGCTCCACCGTTCCTTGCGATCGAAGCACGAAGATCGAGAAGATGTACACCAGCTTTGGACTGGCAGTGAGGTGGATGACTATCACGGGGTGACTACTACCATCATGGGAAGTCAGCGGCCGAACCCGACCAGCAGCAGCGAGGAGGATCTCAACCCGAATAACATTAATAGTACCGGGTGGAAGGTTGAACGGTCTGTTCGTGTGTCTGTGCACGATGAATGATCCGATATTTTAATAATAATTGTATAAATAATGTACCACTTAATGATCATGATATCTGAAGATGTTGCTTGATGCTCTCCCTCCCTAGTCTTAAGGGTGCCTGATGCCTGATGTTCTAACAATACTATAGAGCACTTAAGGAATAATGAAATAATGCAGCTGATATAACTCTGTTGCGGGGCCGCTGGTCAGCGGAGTCCGTGCTTTAACAAAGATATTGCGGTCATACAATAAAGATGTTCGTTGATGCGTAAAGTGGATACTACACAGGAATACCTAGAGAGGCGATGTAGTTCCAATCAAAGCATAAAGATACTTAGAATCAGCCTCGAGATTGATGTCCCTATATAATTTCCGAGCCGAAAAAAGGAACTCCGCATATGGACCTCCATGTACACACAGAATCCCAAGCCTTCATTTTTAGAGGCCCCACCAAAGAGATTTGTAACGACCAAATTATTTTTGTTGGCAAGACAAAATATTGAGATGTCTTCCAACACCGGAAAAATGTACTGCAGACGACGTTCTAATAATTTGACACCGGAAGACAACCCAAAAGAAAAGACTACCTCAGGGAATATGGCCCAGAAGGATAAGATAGTAAAGATGACGCAGAGAATTTTCAAGCAGGCCTGCGACTCTTTCTTATCCCTGTGCAGAGACTCCAGCAACTACAGATAGGCATTAACGCGGGCCACAGCATCTTCGTGGGGCGAACATTAACATCGCGCAGAAGGCCTATACTGTAGCCTTTCAATTGCGAAGAGAGATTAATAAGCACACCAGCAGCGTGGCTTAGATAGCCGTCATAGAACAGCTGCTGTGCAACCAAAGCCTCGGTGGCCAAAGCCAAGAAGCGCAACAGCGGCGTGTTCTTTCATATTGAATGGATCGGGATTCAGGAAACGCCCTTTTTCTACACTTCCTGACAATTCCATAAGCCATACACTCACCTAAGATATGCGATTACAGTCAAAAGACCCAAGAGACGTAGATCGTCTGGAGGTCAAAGTAAAATATTTTCTAGAATACACCGCCAAAAATCGACAGACCAGTGCCTAGTACGATAGAATTAGCGTCTGTGATTTCAAAGGACTTCAGCGCAGCCTTCATGCCGGAGAAAACTAAACGAGAAGTCCACGGACTCATAGTAGAATCGTCCTCAACTGTAATTATGTGAGTAACAATCTCATCGGTTGTGTTGATGACTTCATTGTCGCTACTGGTGATTTCGATCTCTCCAGAATATTAAATGGACGATTCATCTGTGTTTCCTTTCACATCAGAGTCTGCGATATATATTTCTTGGTATCAAGAAAATGGGCTTTATCGTTTTCTTTCGTCTTTTGAATAGCTTCCTTAGAGACTGAATGGATGATGTTATTTTCCATCTCTTCAAGAAACACTCAACAATAATTTAAGCAATGTGAAGAGAGATAGATATCCATGGATAAGTGACCGACTGTTTAATAAAATAGTCTGAAAATTCCATCATGCCCATCGTATCAGCATCTACTAAGGTTACCCGGCATATATGCTCATCTCTGAGGGCTTTGTCGAGCAGGGATTTAATCGAGCGCCACATCTTGTCACAGACGGGTGGTATCTGGATATAGGAGCTATTTCGAGGCCCCTGCGCGGGGGAGTTCACTAATTGAGCAGACCGAGCAGGGAGTGAGACGTTTAACTATTACGTCTCACCTAGCTCTTCAGATTTCAGTATGGCGCTGAGTAGCGCCCGGGGCAGGGGTTTGAGACTTGAGCGTGGAAAGCTTTCACTATTGAACAGTCGGCTTCTGGGCCGTCTAATGTAACACCGTCCTGCGTTTGAGGGTTGGTACCCCGACGCACGCCCGGCGGAAGGCAATCCGTGATATTTGTTGGGATGGAATTAGTCAATTCCATTTCTCAACGCCTGTGATAAACAGATATCATGGGAGCGGCCGTGGCCGACAGGTTAGTCTTTAATACGGCACTTCACAAATCTTCACTCCTCGACGCGTAACTATGATACCGGTAATAATAGACTGGCTTAGCTCGTGGAGACAGTGCATGTTATGACCAAAACGTTGCTCCCTTGTGATGTCTCGACTAAACAAGAACACTGACAATTTGCAGGCTCAAGTGCATACCTCCAACGAAAGGAAACGGTGACCAGCTGACTACTCACCAGGGCAAGCCGCATTGTCAGGGGTTTTTTTTTTGGGAAAAATCACAGAAACCTTTCAAAAAGAGGATATTGAGTGGGTCTATGCCGGGGTGACTCAACACATGATGCTGTCGATAAGAGTAATTAAAGAAGCGGATTCGGAACTTTACATGCGAGTGCCGCAAACATGTGTGAAGATTACTTTGGCCTGGATTCTACTTGAAAAGGGGATGAGCCATTTAATACATTCTAGGTCACGGGGCATACTCTAGACGTAACCATCAAAAGGCAGAAACACAGCATAAGCTCTGTGTGGACCTTCAAAGTATGTTTTTGGTCACGAACAAGTATTCGGGGTCTGCGGAACTTGACCCCGAGCTAAGACGTCGCCCCACATTTCCAAGGAACCCCCAAGAAGTCAGCCTCGCAGTCACGTACCTAGGTACAAGCTTAGCTATAACGCGCCGAGCTTAGCTATAATGCACCGGGACTAGAATAATTTGTGTAGAAGCCAAATGGCGTTAACGCAAATACACATGTGCAAACAGGGCGAGTGCTTGGAAGAGGGATGAATGCAGAGGCGCAGCCTTGACACGCGAAGCCAGAGTGATCCGCGCACTGCAAGATCATTGCAAAATTAAATCTACGATCCCGGTGCTCCTCTACATCTCACGGAAAGTGCATAATAATACGAGAAAATAAGTAGGATTATCAAACCGTTGATAGCCGACGCTCATCTTCGAAAGGATGATGGGGTACCAGCTTGATGGATCATTATATTTGCAGATCGGATCAAGTTGAAGGTCTTCCCAGCGACAAGGACTCGCCTCAGCGACAAAGAATTCGTCGGTAGGTGACTTTTCAACATCACGAAGGATCGACTTAAATCCATTGCGTCATTTAATGTTATATCACCTTCCTACAGTAGCAACGCTAGAGTCCCCACCCTTCGATTCTGCCGTTTTTTTTGGCAGGTCCAAGCATACTTACCATCCACTACTTCCTAGTAGGACAACCAGTTGGCGAACATACTATACCAAGATTATACTCTATTGCACCGCAAAATCGTATTTATATATCATGTTATGCACTCTCCTAGGCGCTGTGGCTGGAAACGTCTTTGATCCACCAAGAATAGTAGGCGGTATGCACGGTGAATAAAAGCGGTCCTCTAAAGGCGCCACTGCAATTGCACTTGGTAACGTCACAATGCCTCTAGGCAATCCGACATACCCCGCTTGCAACCAACCAATTGACTGCCGACCGTACCGCAGTGATCTACGAGATGGCTCGAGGGGCTTGATTACTCACCAAGGGTGACCGCACTTGCGTCGGGCCTCCGACTTCTTGCGTTGCCCCGAGGTAGACGAAGAAGGTAGATAAATAATGGGTTTCTCGTCCAGTGACGGTTCATAGGAATTACCCGGTTTTGTGGCTTTCAAGGCATTCCCGGTTTCTTGCAATGTATCTCTGGGCTTCATTCACTCTTCTTATTGCCACGGTCGCGGCCCTAGAGAGCCCCCACCGAAAAGCCTTGAAGCAACAAGCGGCAAAAGTTTTTCCCAAAAGAGATACTCAACATGTCCAGACCAGCTACCAATATTTGAACAAAAAGACGGAACGTGAGTGAACCTAAATGTTAACCTAAATTATTTTGATCTCTTCAACATTGATATTGACTGGCTGACATCCATGTAGAGTTCCTTGTCGACGGAAAAGACTTTCCGCAAGTTCCATTCGATATTGGTGAGAGCTATTCTGGGCTTCTCTCCAACACACCTCACGGAAATTCGAGCTTGTTTTTCTGGTTTTTCCCCTCTAGTAATCCACAGGCCAGCAAGGAGGTATGAAAAGTGATAAATGCAATTAAACAATGGCTGATTCATCCCACAGATCACAATATGGCTGAATGGAGGACCGGGGTGTAGCTCACTCGACGGTCTTTTACAAGAGAATGGCCCCTTTCTCTGGCAGTCTGGCACATATGCACCCGTTCGAAACCCTTACTCATGGACGAATCTGACAAATGTTGTATATATCGATCAGCCAGCTGGGACTGGCTTCTCGCCTGGCCCTCCGACCGTCCAGAATGAGACTGATGTCTCCAATCAGTTCAATGATTTCTGGAAGAGATTCATTCAAACATTCAGCATGCAGGGGTACACAGTCTATATTACCGGAGAAAGCTACGCAGGCCAATATATTCCGTATCTGGCTTCTGGGATGTTAGACCGCAAAGACACGACCTTCTTTAACTTGAAAGGGATTCAGATCAATGACCCATCAATCAACGAAGATAATGTGATGATCTATGGTCAGTTCTATCTCCACACACCATACTGTATGCCCCTAACGCTTTAGTCTTGATAGCCCCGGCGGTTCCGGCTTTGAATCATTTTTCCAATGTGTTTTCATTGAATGAGACCTTCATGGAACATATCAACAATCGCGCCGAGGAATGTGGATACAACAAATTCTTAAATGAAGCGCTAAGATTCCCCCCTCCAAAGAGCTTTCCTATTGCACCAGACGAAACTAAGAAGGACTGCGACGTGTGGGACCAGATTGTTAGGGCCGCGACCTACATCAACCCATGCTTCAATATGTATCACCTGACAGACTTCTGCCCTTTCTTGTGGGATGAAATGGGATTTCCTTCTTTAGCTGGAGGTCCTAATAACTATTTCAATCAATCGGCGGTACAGAAAGCATTGCATGTACCATCGACTAATTACGCAGTCTGTGGTGAAAGTAACATTTTTCCAGACGGAGACGGTTCGATCCCGAGTGCCCTTGGTCCACTCCCGAGTGTCATTGAGCGAACAAATAATGTCTTGATTGGCCATGGCTGGTATGATTACTTGCTATTCATGAACGGATCTTTGGCCACCATCCAAAACATGACCTGGAATGGGGTTCAAGGATTTCAAACACCACCTATTGAGCCACTCTTTGTTCCATATACCAACACCTTGAATGAGATCGCCAATGGAATTGAAAAAACCCCCTTCACAGCCGATGCCGGAGCTGGCATCCTCGGAACAGCTCATACAGAGCGTGGTTTAACATTTAGTACTGTTTACGGCTCTGGGCACGGTACGTGTTTGCTGCTCACTCCTCGTCTTTCTTTCTCTTCCACAACATGATATCTGAGTCTGACTATTTTATTTTCAAGAAATTCCTCAATATGTTCCTGGTGCTGCATATCGACAGCTCGAATTCCTATTGGGTCGAATTAAAAGTCTCCAAGAGAAGGGGCCTTTCACTACCAAGTAGGCCCTAGAAGGGCAAAACTGCCGCTTTCCTGATGATATGAAGCTTTTGAAGTTCAAAGAGGAGATGTTCAGCAACCGAAATTGCTCAGGTTTCCATAAAGTGAGGTTTATTTTTACGCACATCGCATAGTCATAGCCATCTTAGTTTATTTTGGCCTTCCCTATCCTATCGATTCTAAAGCTAGCGAGCGATTGCCTCCCACTCCGCTTCTCCTCCTCTAGTAGAGCATATACGGCTCCCAACTGTCAGGGTGTCCGCCGCTATACAGGTGCTTAAGTTCGCGAGTACTGTGCTTGATATTCAATCCCGGATGGATGGATTGGACCCGAAACAAAAAACGAAGACAATATCTGGGCTCGCGTACCGTTTCCAATAGAACTGACTCAATTTGCAGAAGTAATTACGACCTGGGAGGACCCTGTCGCGAAAGGTCTTCGCAAGTCTACGAATCTCACCAACTCCATACATAATAATAACAATCAAGGCTTTACAAATTGTGCTGAGGGCATTGTTTGCCGTTGGGGTCAAATTAGAATCTATGATCTAATAGTGACAGGCCAGTGGGTTCTCGAAAAAAATCTTTCTGATCAGGATTCTTTTCTTTAGGACATTTTGGAGTTTCCTATTCACAAAAATAGTACAAGTGGTACGAGTGGTATACCGAAGAAACATACCCAACATTGTCGCAACCTTATGCCGATGATGAGAATTACTCATATCTTCACGGTGTAAATTTTGGCGCCTTAAGGATGTTCCAAGTTCGTTTCAAATAGCTGAGTCCGCGTCGGCAAGAATGGACTAGCCCATGTATCTCTGAGCCCCTCTTCCTTGAGCACAGCAGTTGCAGGGGCCCCTATCAGCATATAATGTGATATAAATTACCCACTTGGCGCCATTATTACCTACAAGGTGCTCGAGGAGCAGGCCTTCGACATTAGAATTCCTATCCCATCTTGGTACGAAGCTAATAACTCGACATTAGAAGTCAACGATGACATGTCTATCTTATCGCCAGATGAGATCACGGGTATGCATGAACCATAGCTCGAGGCTGGCGAATACTTTGTCAAGTCCACGATAGGAACAAATCCAAGGACAGAAAATTGTTCCAAAACTACCGTCGCTATTTATATTGGCAAAATTTTCTATGCAATTGGTTTGGGTTCCGAAGAGACTTCATCCTATGCGATACTGATGACGATCCAAAAGGCCCTGGTATTGATTACCCCCCTTACCCCGATCTGCGAGACTATTACATCAAGAATAAATCAGCGTGGAACGTTGAAATAGACCCATTATCCATCATCTATCATCTATTATAGGCCAATCGAAGACGCATCCCTCTCCAATCCGACTTTCGAGGATGTGAATTTAATCGGAATTCGTATCTTGGTGTAACGCCCGATATTGTCCCATTACAAAAAAGCTGTATCAAGAACAAGAAGGTCTATATAGGCTTATTCCGTAAAGCGCTGCCAAAATGCACATTCCAGATTGCCTACTGAAGAGCTCTAAACCCCAAGTTAAGATTTTCGTGGTATCACTCCAGTATCGTCAATTTCGTGACGTTCGACGGGCCTGATATCGGTCTACGCAGGAAGTGACAAGAAGGATATAACATCCTGTCAAACTTTGTGATTTTATTAGAGAATGCTCGTCTTGCTCTGCTTTGAGCCTTTCCATTCATTGGCTCATTGCCCATTGAAACCATTGGAGCTCTCAATATCCGCTTTGCTCAAGCACCACTTATCCTGTAGAGCTGTATCCAGACTGATTGCATAGACATCCTTTGGCCACCACTCACCCCAACTGGTCAGGAAAATTTGCTCCGGGTCAGCTGGGATATCAGTGATGGTGAACGCGCGGAGTAAGTTCTGGGCACCTGTTGAATGTGAGCCTTGTATCTGAATTTAATTTCAAAATGTTCGAAATAACCGCACCTTCTGGAATGGTTTTAGCGTCAGGCATGTCCATAGAAAGGCTCATAGTCTGGGCAAGCTTTGTGTTGGGAATGAGTCCAGGTGAAACGGCAATGACCTGGCACCAAGGAAGCGCACGTCGCCAATAGTGTGTGCCCAATAATTGAACAAATTTCGAGGCACTGTAAACTACTCTAAAACCTGCACCGGAGTTGGCTTTCAAGTCCACATCCAGTGTAGCTGAAGAAGGATAATTAGAGAATTTTGAAAGAGTATATTAAGTGCTTTCTCGGCAGTGACCTTACCTGGGTCCTGTCCTCTCAAACCGCGTATCGCGCCCGAAGAAACGATGACAAGGCGAGATTTTGAATCGGCCAGGGTATCGCGGAGGAGATGGACCAGATAGTGCTGGGCTGACATATACTTAGAATGCTTCGATTTGAAGGCAAAGCCTTTGATATGTACTCACCTAGATGGTTGACGACATATCCTTCACACCATTCAGATCCATTCGGTCCCAGACCGCTGGCATCATCGAGCATGCCGGCGTTTAGAAATAGGTAGTCCAATTTGTTGCTAGCAAGTTGGGACAACGCTTGCTGTGCAAAGTGCTGTACACTCTTCAGGTGAGATAGATCGAGCGGCAGTATGCAGATTGTGTGCTTCAAACTGTCGAACTTGAGGTCATTGTAGGCAGCCTTTGTGCTCTTCGTGTCGCGAACTCCAAGAATGAAGTGGTAAGGTACTTGTTGTTGAAGTAGTTGCTTTATGGTTTCAAACCCCTTGCTCTCTTGTCAGAATTTTGAATTATTTGCCAATGACGTGGAGTCTTACCAGGCCCGAAGAAGTACCTGTGGCGATGACAAATTTTGAAGTTGCCATCAGCAATTTCTGGCAGCGTTTCAATCAATCGATTTTGAGATCGTGATTTTACTGTATGTTGAATTGAATCTTTTGAGTAAGTTCCCCAGACTGTGCTTGTAAAAGAGAACATACCGCCGTTTAACTGCCCCTCTTTGAGCTTACAAAGCGAGGGGCCCCGGCCAGCTAGGACCCGGTGTGCCCATGCCCAGGGGCCCGTACCATGCTAATTGACGTCATGATTGGCTATGTAAGATCCTTTCTTGATCGAAAAAAAAAGCAGTTGCGGAAACTTTGGAAGTACGTACCAAAAGACCGAAGAGCCTCATACGAGAAATTGAAAGCCGTTCCAATTCAGAGCCTACAAAAGGCTACCTACTGATTTCACATGAATCACGACTCGCACATCATTCTTCTCCAACTAGATATTCTCGATGACTAGGAGGTCACTGGATTAAAGTCTTGCCGAATCAATGACCTCGACGAATAATAAATTAGACTTCTTCCTTTCGTTAAGTGATTCGAAGTTAAGGGCGGAGTTAACGGGCATAGCCAGGAACACGAGCAGAGATTAGTGCCAAACTGAAGATCGAGGTGAACATACATTGCATTCTGGATTTTAATTCCGATCGTTAAGACTGCCAATCGAGCGGTTATTGACTGACAACTCTCGGAAACTTTTCTGCTGTAACCAGTATATAAACCCCCCTGATGTAGACGTATTTGGTAGATCAAGTTAATATCCGGTTTTTCAAATTCTTCTTTCATTGAAAATCCTTTTCACAGATGATTACCAATTATATCGAGAAGGTCGCGACCATCGGGGTTAGTATTGAAAAACCCAATCATTGAAACAGAGGATGACACTGACAGAATTTAGGCCACTGGTCGTATTGGCAGCGCGTTTGCTAAAGCACTCTTGCAAACTGGCAAACACCAGGTTACTGCCCTAATTCGCGAAGATAGCAAGGGTAAGCTCTCCGACGCGATTCACGCTGTTCAAGCCAACTATGAGAATGAGGTATCAATTGTTAGCGCCTTGAGAGGCCAGCAGTTCCTAGCTATCACCCTCAGGGTTCATGCTCCCAAAACCTTCATAAACGGATTACCACTGCTGCTGGAAAGGCTGGTGTTTCGTACATCATGCCAAATGCTCATGGTTACCCAGTGAATCCGGAAAGCGACGATCTCTATGGAAAAGCAGTCTTGAATCGGATTAATGATACAAAAAAATGGTGTATCACCTTGCGTCACACTTCCGTGTGGGTTCTGGTATGAATGAAGCCTTGCTAACGGGGAGCAATGGTTTGGATTCACGATCAAGGATCGGAAGGTTCCCTTTTCGACGAAGGTCAACGAACTGTCACAGTCAACACTTGGGGTTAGTGTGGCCGCGACTTTGCCGAGTTCCTCAGCCTTCCACAATCCGGAGTCAGCCCATTGATCTCTGACTTCGTCAACTCAGAGCTCCGAATCTACAGCTTCCGGGTCTCTCAGCGAGACATGCTTGATAGTTTGCATCGTGTCTTGGGTACAAATGACTCTGACTAGAAAATTTCATACGAACCCTTAAAGAAGAGGATAACAGACAGCAAGGAAGAATTGGCACAGGACAATTTCAGAGGCTTTGTTAAGTTGATATATGGCGGTGTCTTCCTTCCTTCCAACAGAAACGCAGATTTCGCGGCTACCATGACAATGGCGAACGATATTCTGAACCTGCCCAAGGAAGACCTAGACGAGGCAACAAAAAGAACCGTTGCGATGGTAGATGGTGTATGGGATCCGTTCGGGTTTAGGACTCAGGGTAACGAGACAACTTGACTGGATGACTAGTTTTGAGGATGCTGTTTGGGCAGAATGTTATAGGTTCACGGTACACGAACGAGAAGACAATGATATTCAATGAACAGACAGTGTCAAAATTTAAGAAAAGTAGGTATAAAGATTCTATCTACTAAGGATCATTATTTTTTCATATTGTAGTGGTGGAACGCATGACATAATGAATACAGTTGCGGCCTGAGGTGTCACGAATACCTTAGGTGTAAGCAGCAGCTTCTACATGAGGATAGAGAGAGGAAGCATCTACCCAATTCATTCCAGTTGTCACTACATTCTTTCATTCAACATGCTATATTAAGTACATTCCATACGGGCTCAGTCGGGAAAAACCGTACGGCCTCATTTAGGATTGCTGCGTCCAGGATTGCACGTACGACCTCACGGCCTCACCAAGGACACTTGCGACCTCCCCTAGGACGACCTCTACTACGTGCAGGTTGTGTGTGTGTTGTTCGTTGGTTGCTGTTGTCCAGTCTGTATTGTCAGACAGCCATCGAGCCATCCCCTTTTCAATATTTAAGTATTCATTCAAATCACTAGAATCGCCCTGTTTGTATTTGAACTTATTTTTTAAGTTGGGCCCGAATCATAGGCATACGAGGGAACTGCAGTGTAAGTCGTCTGAAGTACCTTGCTGGTTTCTTGTTTTAAACCCAACATGCTGGCCAAATTTTTAATCTAAGTCTCTGCCCAATTTTGGACTCGTTAAAAGCAAATCGGGGTTCGAATGAACTATTTCAACCCTGAAATGTAGAGGGAGATAGAAAGATGACTCCTAAAATATAATCAAAAGATTGATTGGCTGAAGGAGAAAATAATAAACTGACAGTACATACAATATCCTCGGTAAAAAGATAGGGGTATCCTACTATGTATGTACAAGTGCGTAAGCTCTCGATCTGAGTGGTGGATAGCCTCAGATTTGGCACGAAACAGGTTAGCCGAGCTTATATCATTGGCCGGAGTGGGTCTATATGACATCCCAAATATCTTGCATCAAGATCCTTCAAGCCTTAGTTTGAATTAAGGAGATTGAATGGCTAAGCTATTGTCCGCTCTTCAAGAGAGTATCTTTCAATCGAGCCTATGGGCTGAGCTTATCAGAGAGCTATTTGCACTTTTACATTTTGTACCTGCGGAGCTTTTTACAACCTAAAGATATTTTCCTCATGCCCGACGACGGAGATTTCTACATTGGCCTCAAGACTTGATGTGACGGTCAAGTTGTGGAACAGGCTGTGGTATGTTTGGTTGCTTTACCTCTATCTGTCTGGCTTTGGCTTGGTCATTTCTTGTACTTTGAAGAACCTATGTCATAAGAAGGTCCAATTAATTAGAGCTCTGCGCTCTAGATTGGAACTTTCAGGGCTGGATACGTACGATGCAGAACCATCAGTGACTTGTTTGAAGATAGTTCAGGTGGCCATGTTTCTAACATATTGTGACAGTAAACATTTCATACGTTTTATTAGGATGAAATGAACTTGGCAGAGGAAAACATGCGGATAAAAGTAGAGCATCCCAATTATCGAGGGATTTGAAGATGCACAGAGTAAGGAAAACCGGAGTGGAGTGTTGAAAGATCGATTGTGCCATGGCCACCCAGCCCCCTTGATAAGCGGCAGCCAAAGCGGGCGGGCACAACCATGCCTGGCATTATCCATTAGGAGGAGAACAACAAACCAAGTGAATCCGGCTGACTAATGAATTACGCGGCGACCCACAGCGACGCAAGAAACAAGCATTTCTATGATCATGATTGGCATGATCGGCAGGTCCATTGGGCTAGCAAGGATGATGATCGTTGCCTAAAACCTGGCCTTTCCGTGCGTCAGTGGCCACCGCTTTTTGTTAAAAAAAATGGGATCTCAGGGGCCGAGCGGCGTGAGTTTATCACGAAGGGCCCTTGAATCTATCAAAATGACTTGGCCGGCGTGTAATTCGACAGAAGAGCACGAAACCAGTAAGGCAATACAAACATGCTCTCAATGTTAGTACTGACCACTTTGAAGTTAATGAAATCGATCTTTGGGAAGGTGGAATAACCTTCCACACCCTTTGTGTCATTCTCTCGGCCATCTTTTTAGTCATATCTTCTGTTCTAGCAGGAATAATTATCTTCGGCCATGCTAAACACTACAGCAGGCCATTCGAACAGAGATAGTACGTGGTGTAGCCTCAAAACATCGTGATTGATCTAACTTATCTCTCGCAGTATCATCCGCATTCTGTTCATGATACCCATTTATTCTCTCACATCTTTTCTTTGCATTTACTTTTATAAGTGGTCCGTGTACTTCGAGCTTATTGGCTACTGTTATGAACCGTTTGCGATCGCATCTTTCTTTACTCTGCTTTGCTCATATGTTGCACCCGAGCTCCACGACCAGAAGGAGTTTTTCCGCCATGTTGAGCCCGTGAACTGGGTTTGGCCCATTCCCTGGCTGCAGAAATGCACTGGCCGTCAGAAGGGCCCTTGGAGAAAGCCACGAAGTGGACTCACCTGGTTCAATGTGGGTTTTTTCCGCGTCTTTAAAATGCAATCATTCGAGTTCGAAAGCTGACGTGAAAAAGGTCATATGGATTGGCGTTTTCCAATATTGCTTCATACGCCTAATATTGACGATCATTGCGGTTGCCGCAGAGTCCAAGAACCTCTACTGCGAAAACTCGGATAACCCTGCATTCGCCCATGTTTGGGTAGGTCGTCCATCTTCCTGGCCCCAAATGGCTAATATATGGTTGACTAAACTATATATAGATCCTGATCATCGAATCCGTCGCGGTTACTATTGCGATGTACTGTTTGATTCAGTTCTATATTCAAATTAAGATCGATATTGCGCAGCACCGGCCTTTCCTCAAGATACTCTGTATAAAACTAGTTATCTTCCTTTCATTCTGGCAATCGGTAAATTTCGTCGAAGAATCATCCTGGAACTCTCAGTAACTAACTCTGCAATAGACTGTCATTGACTTCCTGACCTCTTCTGGGGTGATTAAGTCTTCCGCTAAAGTCGTGCTCCAGGACTGGAACAATGCTTTACCATATCTGCTCATCTCCATTGAAATGGGATTGTTTGCAATTTTGCACTTCTGGGGATTCCCTTGGTGTCCATATATGATTTTACAAGACAGTGCGATTGATCATGACGCTCACCCCTATCACGGTGGACGGTTGGGAGTGAAAGCACTGTTTGATGCGATGAATCCATGGGATCTTGTCAAAGCAAATGCGCGTGGCCTTCGCTGGCTATTTTCTGGCAGAAAGAAGCGGACAGCGGACCCTAGCTATGATCTCTCAAAACATGAGCCTAGCGGCGAGTCTGGGGAATCACCACTGGTTGCATAACGTGGCAATTCTTTGATATGTTCAGGACTTTTTTTGAATTTGATATGGGTTGAGACTGGGATGATGGCCTAGGACACATCGTTGCATTTATAGATATCTCTTTAATAGGTAGAGAGCTAGATATTATAAATTACGAGGTTACTAAGGCAGCAGCACAGAAGTTGACCCTATCGTTGTCAAATTTTAACCGAAGGTGCATCACCACCGGCTACCCGTTGACGATACTATCATACAGATGGATGCGGACGAGGATTATGACAACCCAGTATATCGAGAGGCAGGTCATCGTTTCATAAAAAATTATTTCTGCATACTCGAACCGTGGCCTGCGGCACTCACCGGCACCGGTGCATCACGGGAAAATAGCACGAGAATGTGGATGACGAACTGCAGGAAATGTATCTCCCTTATCCGACAGTTGGGCTTCATGTATGACTATGATACCATCAAGACGGCAGGGAATATCGAAGTGCCAGCACTGCTCCTAACAGGTCGATACGACAAGAATAATGGAAGTGATCATGGGCCCTTGGTTCAAGTCCATATCACGGGTCAAATGGGCTGTGCTTGAGAAGTCGAGTCATATGCCAGCCTTTGAGGAGCCCACTAGATTTGCCGAGCTCTTAATAACTTTCCGACTGTAGAGACAGTAGACAATTACTCAGTCGGTTTAGAGAATGGAAGCCGTACCGTCTCCTTGTACTATGTTATCTACATAAGAAGTAATACACGTCCAACTGACACGGGCACTCCGGCAAAGCTCCTAATATAGACTAGTATGTTTTGATGTTGGGGCTGGAGAACCAATCGAAGAGTATAGGTGGCTGCGCCAGGTTCGTGGAGTACTGTAGGTGTTAAGTACCATGGACCTCAGTATTCACTATAACGAAAATTCGTTATTCGCATTCGTATTTGCAAAAATTTTCCACCAGTTGTTGAATACTGTAGTGATGCGTCATATTCGTATTGTTGATTGTGATACTGGCGGGCGGACTGCATTATATACATGTGTTCCCAGCCCCTGTCGTCTGATATCAACTACCGGAATATTCAACAAGATTCATTTATTCATATTCGCGGAGTGCGAATATGAATATGCCCTATATTCGCGTTAATTCGCATTCATTTATTCGTTTCGCCTGTTGGATGGTCAGGTCGCAGCTAGGTCTACTCGAGTGAAGGCCTCGCTTGTTTCCTCCAAGCTCTTTTGAGAGGTTTCCGGGAGCCAAAATAATCCCCACGCCAATCCTATCGAGGCAACAGCAAAGAAAAACCAGAAGGTTCCTTTCGGCTGAAGTGCGTCTTCTAGCATCATACTTGGGAGTGCCTTGAAAATTGACAGTTTTAATATTAAAAAATGAAAAGTCCGGTGGGCAATAAACTGACCTTGACTAAAGCAAACCTGTTGGCATAATGAATGCACATCAAGAAGCTTGTTCCCAGGGTTCGAACTGAGGATGGAAGCATCTCAGCGTTGATCAAATAAAATAGGAGTAAGCTTAAAAACTTTCTTTGTTTGACAACTCCTCTTATTGTTGAATAAGAGGATACCTTCACCATAGGTAGCATTGGTCCAATTCCAACAGGTACAGACAGACTACCTGCTTCTATATACCTTAGCATCCCCTATCAAAAAATCTACCTCCAAAACTATACTATCTAATACTACAGAAAGATAGTTTGAATAATTTTCATAAACATTATAAAAGTTCCGATCAAATTATCTCAAGATTTGACCTACTTAGGGGGGGGGGGGAATCGTGTTTACTCAGTACCCTCCCCCTTGCCAAGACTTTTCTAAGCGCAGTACCCCCTCCCCCGGTAATGGGCCCGAATATATTTAGGGTCACTGCAACAGTGATGTGATACACTGCCAATCGAAGTGGCCTTCTACATGTATTCGGTGGTTCTTGCCAAGACAAGACGACATGCGGACGAAGGCAGTAACCAAGGGACCGCTTGAGTTGGAGAATCTGCACTATGAGCTTCTGGACTATTTTAGAGCCTACGGGTGCAAAGGTACAAAATGTATGTACCGAGCAGTCTGTGTATTGTAAACTATAACAATGCTTACTTGCTACAAACAGATCTCATGCAGGCCCCTTGAAGGATCGACGGTAGCTGAGGTTCGTATGACATGGTAAAAATAAATCATTGGTGGACAGAACGTCTAGTTGGGCCGAAACATACCAGTGGCACATTAGCGCGGGAGGCTGGGCTGAGCTGAACACTTGAGTGGCCGGTGAAAAGGACGATCTCACATCCCCTAAATTGCTGCAGGACTGATCGGTAATTTACTTCGTAGTACGCTAACAGCGCCGACCGAACACCTGCTCCCTCCGCGAAAGCTGTACAAATTGACCAGAAGAGGCGACATCGCTCTTCCATATTGACTTCCAGCCTGGCTTGATGTGAGCTTCGAGGCGAATCCCGACGAGCAGCCTGGTATTATGATTCGAACTCGTGTAGAGAAACGCGCGCCATGGTGCCATGTCTGGCGATCGTCGAATTGCTTTATTGTCTGTACAATGAGCCTTGCGATTTTCACGGGTAAGTGGCCACCGTTACAATATCACTGCATCGTTGAAATCGAGCAGCTGTTAATGAATACCATTCTCTCAGATGAGCTTCTGTTCGCCTTCATGCTACCATTGTTGCCGACTGTCCTCGAACAGCGAATTGGTCTCGATCCGTCTTTGACACAGCGATTCACGTCGATTTTCCTGGCCGAAGGAGCTTTCATATCTGTGATTTCTAGCCCAATCTTTGGGTCAATCGCCGATGCAATCTCCAGCAAAAAAACGCTCTTGTTGCTTTTACTCGTATTGACTTTGATCAGTACAGCATGCCTATCCCTCACAACCCACCGTACGTCTTTCTTTGACCTATGTCACAGGTGTGTGTGCACTGACAATTTGCCCAGTGACATGGCTGTTTGCCGGGCGCTTCTTCCAATGCCTAACAAGCAATGGCATATGGATCGTGGGAATGTCCACCATGGCTGAGAATATTGGGAGCGAGCACATGGGAAAAATTGCCGGATTGACAAGCACACTCACAGCTGCGGGAACCACTGGCGGTCCTATTCTTGCGGGAGTTTTATTCGAGTTAGGAGGATACTGGTGCGCTTGGATGGGCCCAGCTGCGTTCCTGCTGGTCGACATCACGATGCGCCTTCTCATGATAGAAAAGCAAGACAAACCCGAACAGGGAGATCAAAACCGGGAGCAAGACCCCTTACTGAAAATTCAGCCCACTCGATCGAACGATGATGAATCGAATAGTTCGACATCGCTAGAGGGCCAGGGATGGCTCTTCTACGCACTCATATTCCGCCAATCGAGATTCTCCAGTGGTGTCTTCTGTGCTTTCGTCTTTGCTCTGCTAATTGGTTGCATTGAAAGCACATTGGCCGTGCATATCCGGAGTGCATTTGGATGGGGAGCGCTTCACGTTGGGCTTCTGCTGGCATGGATTCAGGGGCCTGGCATAGTATTGGCAGCTCCAGTAGGCTGGATGAAAGACAAACAGGGCTCGCGGATTCCGACAGCAGTCGGCTTTCTTGGATTATCACCGTTCCTCCTTTTTTCGGGGATCCCAGGCAGCAAAGTGTTCCAATGGGCAACGGACAAATTTTGGGCACAGCCTCTGTACGTTGTTTGTATGGCGCTGATAGGGTGTCTTCTGTCTCTACTCAACGGGGTGGGTACGATGCAGGCAACTGGTAGGTGTAATCCCACGACCGTCATCCACTGGAAGCCAACTGATTTTTATAGAAGCGATTGATATACTGGAGGCCGAAAACCCTGGCGTTTTCGGTCCCAACGGGGGATATTCCCGTGCTTTATCTATCACCAACATGACTTGGATGGCTGGACTGATGACTGGTCCTCTGCTAGCGGAATTGATCATTGGACATTTTGGCTACTTCGAGTTGCAGTGCTCTCTCGGTAAGACATACCTATTTTTCTGCTTTTCTATGTGCTAATTCTACTAGGTGGTATATCTTTTGTCGCAGGGATCATGACCCTGGCTTTTCTTGGCTCGCCTGTGCCAAAATTCGCAGAGCAAGTGGACGAAGATGAAGCGTGAAGCGGTATAAAGTGCGCCAAAATTTGGACTCATCTTCATGCGTCATTTTTAGATTGTTTTAACATGTATATATAGTGTTTTGAAAAATTTCGAGTTGCTCGTGCGTAGTTATCTCCCTCACATCTCCAATGTCGATACCAAAGGATTGAATGATGACTCTTAAGGAGGGAGAAGTTGCGACTCACCGGAACGCAACTTTGGACTGCTCCGCAATTTTCGCTCTTCCGCGTAGAATTTTGATGACAATATACGAATCATTCGACGGTCAGTCTTTTTTGAAGGCGAACGTGGGACCTTTGTTGCCAGTAAAAATAGGGTCGGAATCATATAAGGCGGAAGTGAGATGGCAAGGACTTCCTTGATTTGTGCGACCTTTCGAATGGCAATCTTATCTTGGCTTGCATCTTTCAGACAGAGTTCGGTTGTCTCACAGTTGTCTGGATGGTCACTGAGGTACAAGAACGCAGCTAGACAAGGGTCTTCTTTGCCACCGATAACGCCGAGCAGATCCACCACGATGGCGTCCTTGGATGTAAGTGACTTTCTCGAGAGATGTTCGACTTCGATCACATCAATACGACACCCATCAAGCTTCACGATAGTGTCTTTGCGCCCGATGTACTCAATACGTCCATCGTGAGTCCAGCGCGCTAGGTCTCCCGATCGATATAGCCGGGTGAGCTGTCGGTTCGGATGAAGCTCCCTTAGCCACGGTGGAATCTCTTGCATGAATCCAGCGGGCTTGGTACGATCAGATGCTTGATGGTCTTGGTCAAGGTAACCCCTTGATAGATGAGGTCCCTCGATCACGATTTCGCCAACCGCGCCAATTGGCATTAGCTTCGCCGGGCATGTTGGGTCAACAATCCAGATTGCACCACTCGAGGAGCGTCCAATTGTAGCTGGTGAGCTATTCGGGTCATGTACATTGTCGTTGTATGCACAACACACTGCTGCTTCACTCATTCCAAACTGGTTTAACAGCTTCGTCGAGCTTCCGGCCCAATTGTTCAATAGATCTTTCGACAGGGGCTCACCGCCAATGCACAGGATCTTCAAGTTTTCCATCGCATCAGGGTTTGCTTTTATGGCCACAGTGGGAGTGAGGAAGGCGATATTAGCGTCGAGTGTGCTTATGTTCTCGGCGAGATCTTGCACAGTCTTCATCGGTCCCGGCACGCAGCAACAACCACCCAGAATGAGAGGCACAAGGAACTCCAGATTGCTAATATCAAATGCGTAGTCATCATACTGCAAATATCTGGTGTCTGCATTGAGACCAAAGTTTCTGGAATAATCTCTGATGGCAGATGCATAGGACTTGTGTTCTTGCACAATGGCCTTGGGCTTGCCAGTACTGCCTGATATGAATAGTACCGTGCAAGCGTTAGATGGTTGAACTGCCGGCAATGAGGCCGACCGCGTGGGCAGAGGAAGATTTTCTAGCCACTCGCGGGTGACCACAGTAACAGTTTTGATAGTGTTGTAGAATCTGTCTGCAAATAAGGGATCGCTCAACATGATATTGGCACCGGTGCGCTGAATCACCGAGTTGAGATAGGCTGGTGGGTTGCTTGAATGGATCGAGATGTACGCTCCTCCTGCACGGAGGATTGCCAACCTGGCGACGATGGCCCATGTTGATTTCTGAAAGCTACTGAGCACAAAGGATTCGGGCCGCACGCCTAGGTCACTCAGATGGTATGCTAGGCGCAGAGACAGACTATTCAAGTCACCGTATGTCAAATCACCATCGAACGATCTGATAGCAAGCTTTTCGGGATGTCGATGACAATTGTCCACGATCAAATCATGCAGACAATTCTCACTGGAGAAGGAAGCAGTGCTCGTGAGACTCTTGATTATTCTCTTGTGGGGCTCCGAGCAGTATTCGATGTCTTCTAACTTGAGACTCGTTGGATAAGCTAAGATCTGCCGAAGTACGTGCTGAAATGTCCACAGCATGCTATCATTCAATTGCTTTGGGACACTGCCTGGTCTGCTAATGCTAACAATCAATCGGTTGTTATTCTCAATGACGACAAGCTAGATGATGGGCAACAATATTATGTTAATGATGAAAGCAAATGCCAGTCTAATGGTGAACTTACTTCTAGCTTTCCACCAAGGAAAGGTACTGCAGTCAAAGAAGGGCTTGAATTGGTAATGTATCTGAGTGCTGCAGTGCAGACAGAACGAGAGTGAGAGAGTTGTGGGCCAGCACTTGACACATTGGCTTCTTCTTGCGTCTCTAGCGTTTCAATAAGTAGCCGCACATTCCATCTCGACTCGACTCGCACAGTGAACACAGTTGAGTCGCCGGTCTTTGAGCCCAATTCTTCATCGTAGCTTATACTGATTACTTCCTCGGGCTCGAAGCAACGGAGAGTAAGGATCCAAGAAGCTTTCAAGAAAGTCGATCCCCTGACTGATCCGGAATCACTGAGTTTTTGCCACAGGGGCCAATGTTGACTCAATTCAAGCTGCACGGCATCTTTGAAACAGTCGATGGGCTTTGTAGGCGATTGAATATACGGTGTATTCGACTCTACCAGGCTTGGAGCCATCTTGTAATATCGCAGTTGGGGCCAGATAAAATCCAGCCGCGGGGGAGTACCAAGAGTACCAAATCAAAGTGGTGTCTCTGTGGGTACGATTTGAAAGGGTTGTCTGATTCCAGGAGTCGGAACCTAATTTATACAATACTCAGTATCTCTACGTAGTGAACCAAGGAATGTTGTAAAATACAATATGAGAACGCGAGATCCGCATGGTAGCTCCAGTTCGTGTGAAGTCCAGATTTCGTCAACATGCTAGCACTACTGGTCACATTACGGCAAAGAGCCCAATCTTGGAACATGCAGATTTTAGCGCATCCTGAGGGTCTCGAGCTGAAAATGTGATTGCCGAAAGAACGACTAATGCTACACGGAAATGACGAGCCCTTGCTTTGTGCATCGCCTGGTGGAGCCTTGAAAGGCTTGGGATGCAAGAAGCACCCTTCGTGGGATCCAATCAAGCATAGATACATTACGAATTTGTAATGCCGGAATAGAGTCGCAATATCTGGAGGACTTGAAATGTATGAAAGCTAATCGTAAGTGCACGTGGAACTCCGAAGGAAATTCATGGCAAATCATGGCATTGTGGGGCTTTGTCAATGGCGGGCTGAGTTTGTGAGAAGTCCAAAACCTTCTGCATGGTCCTGCATACTGATCGTCGCTCCGCACCATCCGTGCCCTATACGAAGCGATCAGAATCACGTATTCCGGGCGTATGTGCTCACCGCCTAGCCAGGATGAAGATCCATGGGCCTGGCCGTTCGAATGGTGACGAAGCAGTAAAATCCAAACACAAAAGCGAGTAATCGATGGGATATTCTTTTCTCTCAACTCATTTTGATCTTCCAATTGCGAAAGGCACCTCCTCTGTGCTTTTTTTACAAGATGACTGTGACTCTAAAGTCTACTTCAAATGGTTATCGCCCAGCGGAGCCTCCTCTTGATCACGACTTCCATAATGCTTGGGGAACAATATACTCGAACAATGCTTTCGTCAGTGACAATCGCGCTCGACAGATGTGGGAAGAGTATACTGTGAACCCTGGAAGAGTTGAGCAACAGTATCATGTACTGCTGAACGAGTATACCGACCGGTTTCAATCATTCTTCAACGGATATTGGCCCATAACATTTCACGCGCACGTTAGTGATGTGCTGATTCCAACCACCGTGGCCAGTCTCATTCTCAATACCGCATCAACATGTCCACTGGTGGTGGAAGACCCAGCACTATCCCCGTTGCTCAAGGATGACCCAGAGCCGGAAAAGGTCCAGGAATTCGTCCGCAACCTTCTTGGTTGGGATGATGTTCACATCAAGACGCCGAAACTGGCGATTGTTGACGGAATATATGGGTGCGCTTATGGGCCCTTGGTGAGTCCAATAACCCGATCATTACTCACAGAATATACTGACCGAAAAAAGGCACACTCGTCGGACGAGTGGGAATACAGAATCATCGGATCGGGTCCTGAATCATTCTACGTACGTCGAAGCGATTTTGTGACGGAAGACATACTGTTGAACAAACTCGTTGAGGCCAAAAAGGATGGATGCGTTGCAGTGATCTGTGATCTGGTCAACGCGTCGGACGGATCAGTCTTCCCGCCCGAATATTTCCGTCTCTTACGAAAGTGCTGCGATAAAGCACGCATATGTCTCCTTGTTGATGAAGCAATGACCGCAATCCGTTGCGGAGCACCACTGGTTCATCAGAGACCCGAATACTTCGAAGATGGCGGGATCCAGCCTGACATGATCGCCTTTGGTAAAGGCATGGGCATCAGTGGTATTGCGATAAACTTCGACGGCCTGATGATGCGACATCTCGCTTTCCACAAAGAAGAGCTCATTCGCCAGTCAATCAGATTCTGGCGCTCTATGGTCACGAGGCCGATTGCGACACCAGTGTTGATCGAAGCCTTGGGTACCTTGAATGTAGCGGCCGCCGAGGATTGGCCGGCAAGAAGTGAGCAAATTGGAAAAGCGTTCCGAGAATTTGTCATTCGCCATGCGAAGAACGATCAACCACCTGGAGAGGAGATTGTGCGTGGTCTAGGCGCGTTCATCGCAATTCCGCGGGAGATCAATAAAAAGTTTAATGCTATGGCAGCATTTCGTAGGAGAAGTGCTTGGGCGCGGTGGATTCCCAAGCTCAATAGTGCTGCTGCTGTGGATAGTGAAGCGATTGAGAGATATCTCATTGGCTCCGATGCAAAACACCTCCGGCATGTCATGACAGAAGAGGCCAATCAGCTTGGGACGAAACCGCTCTGGTGCTGGATTTGCGGAATCGATGCAATGACAGACGACTGGTGTCGCACTTGCTTTTTGGGACACTGCGGGGCTGAAGCATGCGCAAAGGGCTTTAACACTCATAAGTGTCTATAGCCCTCCTGGATACGTCCCTCATACAAGACTTCCAGGTCATTCGTGTAGACACAGAACATGATTAGCACAAGACCCCACAATCAAAAGTTTCCTGAAAAGAAAAGATGCGAACACATCATTTGCTTTTCTGTTTTCACGCACTTCAAATTAATCAACGTAACAGTAGTCAGGTCAAGTGCTGTGGGCAATCTTTCTTGTTCAAGTTTCGTGCGTGCGAACTGTAAGCATAATGCACGATGAATCACATTGACAGCTTGTGAAGTTAACTTTGCATGTAAATTACGACTAGTCAGCATTTCCAATACCAGAAGCATCTTTTCATACATCCTAAAGTTGTTCTGTCCTTCAGAGCCACTCACCCTCAGCCCACTTCATCCACGACCTGAGGTATACTCTGACTCGCTCAAGGGCTGAAATGAGAGCAGAATGAAACGAATCCTTTTCCTGACGACTCCCCCAACCGACCTTGTTGAGAAATACGTTGCAGAAGATGACTGGTCGAATGAGATGTTACCGCCACTCCTCTCAAAAGCAGGTGCATTGATCACCGTCAAACGGTGGCTGGATGAGGACATCATTGCCTCCATCTTGAATCACGATGTTGTAACTTTTCTCTGGACTGAGGACTACATTCGACATCCCATTGAATTCGAGCATTTTCTCATGAAAGCTCGAACAGCGATCGAGTCAATCAAAGACGGTACTAGTCGTCCATGCATGGTGAATCCTATCGAGCTGGTCCAATGGAACATGGACAAGAAATATCTCTTGGAGATGCACGACACGGGACTAGATATACCCAAGATGGAAATTATTGAGGCGAAACGATTTAATTCTGCGTCCGCGTTGCACCGCCGACTGATTGAATTTCAATCATCTGGGCCCGTCGTCCTCAAACCAGCGATTTCTGCATCCTCTAACAACACCACACTCATCTCTGACATTTCAAAACTCTCGAAGGAAGACAGCACAGGCTTGCAGTCATGCATTGATGGTCACCTTGGAAGCTCAATCGTTTTGCAGCAGTTTGAGCCATCCATCTCGGTGGGTGAATATTCGTTCATATTTGTCGGCGAGAGTCTCTCTCACGTGGTTCTGAAATCGCCTTGTAGCGGCGAGTTCCGCTGTCAGCCGCAATTCGGCGGCGAACTGAGTCGCAAACCAATTGAAGAGATTCAGAAGACGACCCTGTCTGTCGTCAACTCTATCTTTGATATGCTCAAGGATCGGTTCGGGAGTGCGACAACAGGGAAGATGGGGTATATGCGCGTGGATGGCTTGGTGACCAAAGATCGCCCGTTTATCTTGATGGAAATCGAAGCTATTGAGCCTTGTCTTTATCTTAAAATGGGGGGACTCGACCAGAGTCTCTCGCTATTGTTGTCAAATTAGTCTATGAAGTCCAAATAAATGTCTCCAATTCACTTTCAATACGTGCGCTGGGTCATCAAAAACATTTCATACTTCTTGCATGTTGAATCGCCCGCGGCTAGAGACCCTTGTTCTTAAGTCTCAATTTTGAGAGCTTCTGCCTAATCACCATGAGACATTACTATCATTTCTACTATCACTATTAATGTCGTCTCCCAAGTTTTGCTGTACAGATTCTAGTAGTCGAAAACCGGCTCATAGGATAGTCTTATATAAGCAATATTGATATATATTGTATCTTTTTCTATAGCTATCTGTCCTCTAGATTATAGAAGTGAAGTTTTTTTATTTTTAGCTATTTAATTAGATTTAATCTAGAGGTCCAAAATTCCGAAAGGGGTTAGCGTTTGGTCCAAACATACCCGTCTCGGGATCGCAACTTTGAACCTCTATATTAAATCTAATTAAATAGCTAAAAATAAATAGTCTTTTTTTTATAATCTAGAGGATATATTGCGATAGGGAAAAATATAATATATATGAATACTGCTTATATAAGCCTATCCTTTGAGCCGGTTTTCGACTACTAGAAATATCAAGCAGCTTTCAAAGCATAGGGCATCAGTAAGACGGCTTATGAAATATCGGTCTGATAGCCCACATACCCCTACTAAAGAGGTATTTGATCAGCCTTATGAGGCATGTGAAAAGGTTATGAAGCGTATACTTCTATTGGAGCAAGAAGTGGTAGATCTACGCGCTGCAAACTATACCAAGAAGAAAAAAGTTCATTATCAAGAAAGCAAATACAGCGCGACGAGGGCTGGTTTGTTCATGAAGCCCATGAGCAAGGTATTGGTCTACCAGGTGGTATAGAAGGTGGTGGGGTATCCTGTGCAGCACCCACCCAGAGACCTTTAGGAACCGGTGATCGGACCAACAAACGTCAATATTATAAATGTAGCATATGCAGAAGGCCTGGCCATGGGGCTAATAGATGTCCCGATAAAGTTTAAATTGAATACAAAGGCGTTGTGGTTATTTAATTCATCCTGAATATAGAATTAAATGGTTAGGGTCGCGGGCTTGGTGGGAATTACGTTAATTGATGAACAAGCCGCATTATGTACGCCAAGAATAGGCTTCAGGTAGATTCGGGTTGAAATGAGTTATTTGAGGGTTTTGGCGCAGACTACGAGGAGCCAAGTTGATTGGAAATCAACTTGGTCTTCTCGTTGTATATATAGCCTCACTTATCCCCTCCGCAAAACAAGAACCAATCTCCCTTAAAACTACAACAATAATGTCTCAAATACTGCCTGCTATACTAAAAATAAACCCTTGTTGGCCACCGCCCACTCCTCGAAGCTGGTGGCAGGGTGCCCAGTGTACATTGCAACATTCTGTACTCCTTCCTCGTAGTTGACACGGTAGGAAGATGCGTCGGCACTATTGCGGTTCATAAGTTCGACCATATACTTGGCGAATGGTTTTGAGGCACCCGTCTGAGCATAACGGGCCAGCCTTTCAGTGGCATCAAGTTCAAGAATTTGCACGTTTTTTTCCAGAATCTGGCCTATCTTCTGAATGGCAGCGCTTTGTTGGATGATCTGCGGCCCATACAAGTAAATGATGTGTTGTTCGTTGAGAGGTCCACTAGCAATAATTGTGCCAGCGACTTCGCCAATATCATTTGGAGCTATGGCATCGATTTCCCACCTAGGTCCGAATAAGGCGACTTGGCCAGAGCTGATGCCATTTTTGTGGTCAAGAAGATTGGTGACGAAAACGCCTGGTCGCAATATAACGGAATGCTCCGAACCAAAAATCTCTTGGACATTGAGCTCAACCTGCGCGTGGTTGTAGGGTATGATTTCGTTGGGTTGAATTTCTTGGGCTTTCTTGTAAACAGTAAAGCTGCTTAAAAACACGATGAAGTTGATGCCAGCAGACTTAAGAGCTTGAAGAGCAGATCTCATATGGTCGGGGCTGCTGTGATCCAGGTATATGAAAGCGCGTTGAGCTTTTGAGCTTTTTACAGCAGCAATGAGACTTCCAGGTTTACAAAGGTCAGCCTGCAACCTTTCATAGGGACCGTCTCTCTCTGCATCAAAACTTAAATCGGGAATGGCCTTCGACGTGTCTCGCATGTGTCACGATTTGTTCCTTACGTATTGACGCAAGAACACGAGCGCCTGGTCACCCCCGTTAACTCCGAATTACATCACAGTATGGAATCACAGCCAGTGGCTTATTCTAAAGTCCGTTGCCGAAGTAGAACAGGATAGAATGCAGAGACCAATTCACAATTTGTAATACGACATGCTATTTAAAAGCATGCTATTTAAACGCTTCATCTGTCCTTACCTCCTCAACCCCAATCAATGTTCATTACCTGAGCAATCATCGCTCTTCTTTCGTCATCAGTCCGGCTGCCTCGTTTTCCAGCATCTTGACCAAATACTCGAGCAAATATGGCTACGCAGAAGGCCTACCGCCTACACTCTTATGGAGGACCCGAGTGTATCCAGTTGGACGACGTCCCAGTACCAACGCCAGCGTCGTCGGAGATTCTAGTTGCCGTAGGCGCTGTTAGCCTTAATCCTATTGACTGGAAAATTCGCGAAGGCCATGTTCGCGATGTTTTTCATATCGATCTGCCAAAGATTCTGGGCGTTGATTTTGTTGGTACAGTCGTCGCGCTTGGCGAAGGCTCTACCTCATTCAAAATTGGTGACAGGGTCATGGCCTTTTCGGATTCTCTGGAGGCTTTTGCGGAGCATATCGCCGTTCCGGAAACTATCGTCTCACGTGTTCCTGCTTCTTTAAGCGACATCGATGCAGCCTCGTTGCCCATCCCAGCGGTCACGGCGTGGACTACACTTCACTACGCCGGCGAAGTCCATTCTGGAATGAAGATACTCATTCATGGCGCATCCGGCGTGGTCGGTGCTTTCGCTGTACAGTTTGCGAAAGCCTCGGGCGCCTTTGTGATTGGAACCGCCTCAGCCAAGAATCGGGGGTATGTGATGAGCTTGGGTGCTGATGAGTTTGTGGATTATCAGACGGAGAAGTTTGAAGATCGTGCCAAAAATATCGATCTTGTCCTAGACTATGTTCAAATCGGTGGTAGCATGGACACTACGGCGCGGTCATGGGGTACTTTGAAGCCTGGTGGTGCTTTCGTGACAGCGGCAGACCCAGCTCTGCTAGGCAACGTGCCTGAAGGGTTCAAGGGGTTTTTCCCACGTATCGCCACCAACCCTGCTGCTCTGGAAAGGATTGCAGAGCAGGTAGCTACCGGCCACATCAAGTCTAAGGTTGCCCGGGTTTTCCCTCGCGGAGAGCTGGTTCAGGCCATGGAGATGAATAAGTCTGGGGGTGTGGCTGGCCGGCTTGTGGTCGATTTCAAGCGCGTTTGAGAGCTTCTGAGATAGTACAATTCACGCGGTGCTGTCAAAATTGCCAATTTTTGTAGTCTGTTAGCTAGACCTCGGCAAGGACCGGGACCGGACCATGCGGTCTTTGGTCTTTTTTCAAAGTAGTCAGGACCGCACCACGGTCCCCCGGGGTCCCCCGCAAATTCATAATTATACCAAGACCTTCCTTTTCTAGCCGTATAAACCGATTATTCAGCTGCATTTTTTACTGTTATTAAACACTGTTTTGGTATATAGGCGAATATTGATAATGAATCAGATCTACTAATTAACAAAATAGGTGAAACCACCTAGTTGTTTACTTTCTTGAAGCTTCGTATTAAGTTAATTACAAATAAATTCTGAATTTCGGATTGTTATAGTTAGTATTTCAGAATTTACTTTTGAGAATGCGAAGATATATATTTTTATACTAGGAGGACTCGTACGTTTATAAGCATCGTATTAGACATTGACATAACCCATGGGTTGGGTTCATGGGTCGAACCCAACCCGTCCATGGACGGGTCAGGTCTGGCTGCCCATGGACGGGTTAACCCATGGGTTTCTTGGCAACCCATGGTACCGCAGGACATAATTTATACAATTTATGTAGTATTTTAGGTATTGAAGTGGTAATACTTTAAGTGAAATATAATACACATTTATTTGAAGTGAGGATAAAGTGAAAATTGTTTGAATACTAAACTATCTACTAATTTCAAACCCTTTATGTATCCTCGGCGCCTTCCTTACCCTTCCAGAATGCCGTACTTGGCTCATTGAGGGTAAACCACTATTATTATCATCACTTTGCTCACTTTTATGATCAGACAAAACACTCTTTCGTCTCTTTCCTACCCTTACAGACAGCCTCGCTTCATCCTCACCTTCCTCAGTATCACTGATTGGATCAATCCCTTCTAAAGTAGGTGAAATCTTCTCATTTTCACCTTCTTCAGGGACCTCTAGAGCCCGAGCTAGTTCAAGCTGTTCGTCTTCTATCTCAAACTGAGTAAGGCAAGAGAATATTATTAGATCCTGGATAGTGGTTGAGTTCAGACGACCCCTGCGGTAATAACAAATATCGCGGGCTGAATTAAATAGCCTCTCTACCCCCGCACCAGTAGCGGGGATAGAGAAGATATCGCGGGCTACCCGTGCGAGGGTAGGATATTTAAATTGATGGTCTCTCCAGAAGGCCTGAGGGGTAGTGCGTATAACACCTAGAGAGAAAGAGAAGTAAGCAAAGAGAGTAAAGAGGCTTAATAATGATAAGTGAGCAAGCCTTAAAGTAGGAGTAAATCGGACTCGGGGGAGGAGTCGATTAGACTCGGGGAAGGAGTTAACCAGACTCGGGGAAGGAGTAGATCAGACTCAGGGGAGTAGCCGCTTAGACTTAAAAATATAAGCGATTAAGCTTATAAGAGGAGTCGACCTAACTAAAAAGAGGAGTCGACCTAACTGAAAAGAGGAGTGAAGGAGACTTAAATTAAGAGGCTTACCGGCTTGAAGATACCGTGCAAGTTTATCCCGGTCTAGGTTGGATTCACCTTCATCTTCGAGTAACCGATCAAGCTCCGACCCTTGTGTATAAGCTTCAGATAGAAGGGTGTTATTCTCTTCGAGTTAATAAGCTTTAATCCGATCTTGAAGGGTGCTATGATAGTGTTCAGCCCATATCTGAGTAGAGCCCTCTAGCCCACCAGACCATTCCTTGCGTTTAAAGTACTGTAACTTATCCTTCGGTGCGAGGATAGTGCTATGCGTATATATATTACCAGCCTCGGGTTGATCGGTCTTTGCGTAGTACTCGCGAAGCTTCTGTAGGCCTGCTTCAAGAGCGATAAGTATCTATTGCTTCTATTTGATCTAATATTTGTTAATAATAGAGTGAGAGAAAAGTGAGAGATAAGTGAGAGCGTACCTTCTTTTTTTTAAGTTAACTGATTGACGCCTCAAGGTGTTTAAACAGCTCATTATAAAGCTTGAATACCTGGTGGATAGTCACGTCTTTTGTCTTTGAGAAGGTGCTTGTGTAAAGGAAAAATGGTCTTATGAGGCAAAGAAGATAGTCAACCTGTCGCTATTCCTCGGAATCAAGCTTTAGGTTGTCTAGGCACTCAATATGGCAATACTTATTAAAGTAGGGCTGTAGTCGTTTAGCCCTTTGTAATATTAGATAGGTGGAATTCCACCGTGTTCGGACGTCCTGGATTGGGACTAATTGACTAGGCTCCATCGATTGAAGCCTTAGGAATTCCGCACGCCTTTGTGGACTGCCGTTGATATATATTGTAAGCCGGCGTACCCTGTCGAGAGTGTTTGTAATATCCCCTTTCTGTCCTCGCTGGGTGGAAGCCTTCTGTAGCTCATCGGTCCACACTATATCCACCGTATCGTTCTTTGGTTTTGCTTTGATCCGATGTAGGAGCTCATTGAGGCTAAGCTGAATCACATGCGCTATACACGGAATATGAACAATAGAGATGTCTGGATAGGTCCGTTGGACCTTATCAAACATTGTCTTATTGTTTGACGCATTATCAGTGGTGATAGCCAGGATCTGGTCTTTGATCCTATGTCTGTCAATAACAGCACATAGGGCCAAAGCAAGGTTCTCTCCAGTATGTGTACCCTCGAGGGGTTCAAAACCAAGTAGGATCTGCCTATATTCCCATTGTTTATCAAGGAAATAACCAGTAATCGCCATAAACGCCTGGTAAAAGGGCGACGTCCAGCAGTTAAGTGCAAGTGATAGCTTTGCGTCTGACGGAAGCATGTTTAGTATACCTTACTGCTAGATTTGGACGGTGCTTTGAAGCTGACGAGTAAGGGTTTTACCCGTTTGGATGATAGGGAGGGAAGGGGCTTGTTGGGTTAAGCGTAAAAGGTCTCGAAAGTGCTGGTTTTCGATGATCTGGAATGGTAGACGAAGGCTTGTGATTGTGACCAAAAGCTGCTTCTTCTAATCGCTTTCATCCCATACGTCGGGCGGGGGAGCGCGTAGAGCCTAGTGATTTAAATAAAGAAGTATTAGTCTTACTTCTCTTTCACTTTTCTTTCACTTCTCTTTCACTTCTCTTTCACCTTTATCTTACCTGGGTACGGATAGCCGCCTGGATGTTTCTCTGATTTAGCTTACCCTTTGGTAGGTATCTTTCTCTATGCCTTGTCATAATATTCGTCCCATTTTTAGGACTATGCGCGTAGATCTGGCCATAGTCCTTACAGGTAATATATGGTCTACCAGTAGAGATCTCTGCGCCCTGTTCAAAGTGTGTCCAAACCTCGGATATTAAGCCCCTTTTATCCCACCGGGGATGTTCCGCTCGTGGTTTCTGTCCATATGTTGTTGTAAGCCACCATTGGATGAATATAGCCTTATTCATGGCGGTCTATAGGATATAGTTTCTCTTAGGTCCGACGCGTTCAAGGATCGGTGGGGGCTCGGTGGTGATAGGCGCGGTAGACTGGCTTTTAGGAACCGAGGAGGGTGGGATAGAGAAGCAGCAATCAGATAGAAGAGGGTCGATACTATCACTCGTGATAGAATCAAAGTGTTCAGATAAGGATCTAGCCATGATAACGCGAAAGAACGCTAAAGTAAGGGTGAAGTAGGGAGGAAGTGAACCATGGAATGAATAGCGGGTAAGACTATATACGCGTTGATTGGTTATAACGCGTGTTGAGCGGGTCTTTTGATCTGATATCATAGGTCTAATCCCTAAGCCCGGACCCACACACCTATTCTGCAGAATCAAATCTCTCTAAGTCCGTGAAAGGATTAGTCTTTATCTTCACTACTCACGTAAATCAAGTGTATAAGCTCTTAAACTAGGAGATAAAGTAGAGACATATATAGATAATACGTACACAAGATATCATAGCTTAATATTGACATTTGGGTGAATTAAAAATTAAAGAAAAATCTCCAACAGAAAGTGTTAGTACACTTATCTACGGGAAATATATATTTCTGCTCTACACCACCAACATAAACATAACTACCCTATTATAGACGATAATAATTAGTCTTGTTTATGCGACCGATACAAATCGTACTAGTCTAGGTATAAACGATCATATTTCAAATAAATACAGTAGGGAAGGGTGAAAAGAGAGGGCATGGTATGCGTTTAGACCAGAACCATGGTAAGAAACGGTAAACAAGCTAAAAATTATGCAAAAAGTTCAGGCTGAATCAGGCCAAATCAGGCCAGATCAGGCCGAAAATCCTAAATCAGGCAGGATTAGGTGTCCATGGGTTGCCCATGGGTTAACCCAACCCAACCCATGGACGGGTCAGGTTCCGCTGCCCAAGCGTGGGCAACCCATGGGTTGGGTCATGGGTCGAACCTTCTGCCCATGGACAACCCATGTCAATGTCTAATAATGCCATTGGCCATCAAATAGATCAAGGTGAATCATGACTCCTCTCGGCCGAGAGCAACTATCTTCGCAATGGTGAGACAATTTGCCACAGAAGCAAATAAGTTTAGCAGCTCTTGTTTAATACGAGCTATTTGGACTGCAAATAATATGGGCACAGCGCTAGGAATGCCGAAAACCACACCGCCTACAGCAAGTCTGCCATAGTCTTCACTAATCACAATGATGGGCTGTGGCTTATAGAGTCGCGTCTCGTGGGTAATAAAGCTTGTGAATTGTTGCCAACCCTCCTTTATAATGCCAAATATGATCAACTCTGCGGGATAGTGGAATCCGGATATGCAAGAGGCAGTTTGCAAAGGGGTATGAGGTTCAAAGTTCAACATAGAAGTCAGGGCGAGTCCATCTTCCTTATCCATTTTCTCTCTACAGCTATCTATCTAGTATGCCTACTCTACGGCTTCGCTTTCTCTTCCCTGACGTAGATGTTGATGACAATGTCGAATCAAATACGATTTCTAGCGAGAAATACCGGACGTAATAATCGTTTTATTATGTTTAGTGGTATCTTCCCACTATAATATCGAATCCTGTTGCCCTTCCTCTGAATACCTCCACCTACTACTTACCCCCCTCTCAAGCCGACCTACGCCACCACAGACCCCACTTTTAGCGCAATAAATGACTTCGCTAAGCCACGTGGTTTTGCAGTGATGAGGGCGCGGTCTAAATGACCAAGAAACAGGTCAAAAAGTCTGTGCACCTTCGCTACTGCCGCAGAGAATAGTATAGAAGTCAGATCAATAGGGACCAGCAGCGAAAGATATCTACGATTACGAACCAGTGTCCATTTAGCCTATTAATGCGGCTTGATCTAGAGATAGATACCTGGTATCTGAGGTGAGGTAGAAGAAAGAAATTCAGATTCCTAGAACTCAGGAGCGCCTAATAATCGATCGTATCAAAGGAGCAATCCAAATCAAATTTTCATAAGCTTTTTATCCACTACTGTACTCAATCTTTTCCTAACGACCACTTTAAATAAATACAGTGAAGCATAGCAAGCTCCATCCCTGAGACTAAGTGGAAGTATCGCCAAACTCCAGCTACAAAGTCCTATTCGGATATAGCAGGGAAAGCAGGTAAAGAGGGTTCAAGGAGGCCATCATTGGAAAATCTTAGTAGTATCTTTTCACTGTCACGCCTCGTTTCATATCATGATCTGCCAACTCTATTGGTGAGCGATTTTCGACGCGCAGATCCATCGGCATCTATGCTTCCACCAGGACCTACCTGAGGCAAAGCCCTCGCGTAGAGGGAGCGCCGCGTTGTTTTGTAGGTGGTGCCCATGGATACGAGAGCGATCAAGGTCACAAGGAAATGCGAAGCGTAGGGGCCGAGTGAGAACGTTTATTATGGCTTATTCCACTATCGGGGTGGATCAAAATCGCGATTGTGGGTTGGACGTGGGTCCCGTCCCGCCCGGGGCCCCGTCCGAGGTGCTGCTCGAGGCCCCGCCCGACGGCCTACCGGAGGTTCGTCTCGAGGGGCGCAAAAGTATGCAAGAAAAGCTTCTACATCGAGATCTCCGTTGACCATTCTACTCTGGTTTGTGACGGAGCCACCATGAAGATGGTGCTCTCGAGTAGTGGATGGGTCTTGAGATCTCGAGGCATCGCCGTTAAACACATCTGAAGTACGGTCGACTTTTGTAGCTCTAAAGCAATGGGCAGCATGTCCTGGAGTTTGCTGGTTGTCAAAGCCTTCGAATGATGTGCATTCACTTTGCCGATCTACCGAGGGGAAGGGCATTAGCCGATTGACGCGGCGGCGAGAGAGACGGGGATGAGAAACCTTGATCGCGTTCGGGTGGAGCCTCCCTGTTGAAGGATAATGAGCGGACTCCTTCGTCCCTGAAATAAAACGAGCGGGTCGCAAGGTAATCGTCGCGGTCATGCGTGTAAGTCGCGAGACCCATTTCGTTATTGTCTAGCGGGGACTGGCAGAATGATCCAGAGGTTAGATCGGGATGTGATATGGAAACGCGGTGGTAGATTGATGTTCGGTACGTACCGTTGTGTCTCTGCTTGAATTGGAGGTTCCGACAGGAGGTTCTCGAGAGGACGACGGCATAGCCGGCAGCAGGTCAAAGGGAAATGGATGAAGAAGTATTCGGACCGAGGCGGACCAAGCGGCTCTTAAATGCCAGAGGCCAAGAGTAGGGTTCGAGAGAGAGTGACCGACGGTATTGTAAGTAGTTCGTGTGATCGAGATGCAGTAGACCGCATGGCCGTCACACACCAAGCGGCTGTAGCGGATGATGGCGAGGGTCTGAGCGCGTGGCGCGATTGGGCGGATGGGTAGCGGACCAGCGGCCGGACGGGGCGGTGAACTGTATCCTAGGAGATCCTGAGGCCTAATCGCGGAAGGTTTATGGTATCTGAGCAAGAGTATCCTAGCCTGTGGGCTTTCACTCTGACTAAATCAGGCTAAAGGAGGACTTACCGAGTGAATTTGCTCTGGAGGTCACTTCATATTGTTCCCAAAATCGCTTAGATATACAGCAGTAGACTCTGCTGCGCCCACGATCTGCATTTGCACACGAGCACTCTAGACCAAGCGTAGCCTCGTTCAGCGCGGCCCTTAACCACAATCTGCGCCCTCTAGCTTGGCGCTAATGACTCGGTGGCCGTTGAGAACGAGAGGGGCCTAAGCGCAACGCCCTGCGCCGCCACTCGCCGAGCTATCAACCGTTAGTACCGTGGTCCCTTCTCACATTAGCGTGCCTTCGTTACCATGGAATCAACAGCCGCATCAATTTTACGTCGTCGGGCTAGATAATTGGCGCAGGTGGATTTACCCAATCCTCGCGCCCGTCCCGCACTGGTTCAGATATCTAAGCAGGCCTTTTGTTATGGGTTCTCCGGCCTTACAGCCCGACCCGGACTTGGTCATATCGCAGAATATCGCAGCTGAATTGCATGCACAGGATGTTCGCGCCGGTGATGACCGGGGTGATAAGCCTTTGGGAGTGGCCGCCAAAGATGTTTGTCCTCGGCACAGCTACTCCTCACCTCGTCACCTGCTTAAGGGTGGAAGTCGACTTTAAAAGCTCGCACAGCGTGAATCCTCTTGCGCAGGCAGCTACATGAGGACATACGGCTATCAGGATCTTGCTTTTACCCTATCCCATCGGGGTAACTGTAACGAGGCTCATTACAGTTTAGTCAGCATTTTTTATATGGGCTTAGGGTTTCCCAAGGGGGCTGATTACAGTTAGTTTCAGGGTACTGTTACAGTTACGTTCCCGTAGTTTTTTTTTTGGTTCCGAATTTTACCAATTCCAATTAGACATTGACATGGGCCGTCCATGGACAAAAGGTCCGGCCCACGGCCCGTCCATGGGCCGGCCCATCGACACCTAATGCTGCCTGATTCTAATATTTCTGCCTTCTTTGGCCTTATTTGGCCTAATCCTGCCTGATTTTTTTGCATAACTCTTAGCTTATTTACCGTTTTTTACCACTGTTTCAGTCGAAACGCTTATGAATATTATTTTCTAGATCCTTCGCATATTTAATAACAAAATATACTACTATTAATAGGTTTGCACAGTGTGGGTTTGTGGATAACATAGGTTATTAATATAATTGAGATCAGTTTTGATATTAGATATAATATCTATATAATAGGTTTATGACTATAATCTATCTTATGTATTTATACCTAGTTTATTGCGTCAGATATTCATTTCTGAATCCTATACATATAAGGCTGTCCGAGGCCCCCTGCTGCCTTGTAAGTGGAGTTAAGGCTCCAGTTACCGGCCTTAGCAACCGGATTCTTCAAAAAGACGCTGAAACACCAAAAGGAAAATCTAAGGCCGAATGCATCGATGCATTTCAACGGAGTTAGAGATTCGAGGTTCTTAACGCCGACGACTATGTTACTGCTTAAATCCGTTATTCTCGGAGTTATGATTCATGCTAGCGGCGGGGTTCCATGACATGGACTACATCACGCTGTATTCTGAGACCCGACGACAAAGGATAAGTCCGAACGAAAAAATGGTGCATCACCGGGGGCTATATAGGGAGCTGAATATAGGCTGCGAGATATAATACAATTTCCCCATGGTTCTTCAATTATTTCGAACTAAAGTGAAGTCTTTTTTTTCCAGCTCTCCTTCGTCTAAACAAGCCCCAGGTGCAGATTCAGCGAAATCTCCAATCCATAGTTGAAAGATGACATCCGTCCAATACCAATTGCCGGCAAAGGGTGGCCACTTTGCTCTGGTGCCGGTCCCCATGGCGCCTGATCTCGGCCCAAACGAGATCTCCATCCGCACCAAAGCGATCGGCTTGAACGGGTTAGACTGGAAAAACCGCGCCTTTGGTATCATGATCCAGGTCTGGCCTGCGGTATTGGGTGTTGATGCCTCTGGTATCGTCCAGGCGGTCGGCAATGAAGTTCAGGGCTTCCAGCCTGGTGACGAGGTCTTCAGCTTGGCTGGTATAGAGCCCAAGGCCGGCGCCTTCCAGGAGATATTTACGGTTCCGGCACACTTTGTGGCCAAGAAACCCTCTTCTTTGACATTTGAAGAAGCTGCATCCCTTCCGTATGTTTTTCACTTCTCTTTACAGCATTCTACGTTTTTCCTAGCTCACTTTTTTTCGATAGAATTATTTCTGTGACTGCCGCAGCCGCAATCGCAGTGGGTTTGCATCTTCCACTGCCCCACCTTGATCCCACGGGCCAAAGCGAGCACCGTCTGGAATCCATTCTGGTCCTAGGCGGCAGTTCGGGCGTCGGTGCGGCGGCAATTCAGTACTTACGCCTGGCCCTACCCAACGCTAGAATTTTGACGACTAGCTCAGCGCAGCACCATAAGCGTCTGCTCTCACTAGGCGCCACTAGAACCTTTGAAAGAACGGCAGATATTTCCGACATCAAGGCTGCTACTCCTGGTGGCTCCGGCGTCGATGCTATCCTTGACTCTGTCGCTGCTGCGAGTCAACAGGCGGCTATATTTGATGCACTCAGCCATACTGGACCCAAGCTCTACTCCCAAGTCATGACTGGCCAGAATATTACTCCTCCTAAGGGCGTCAAGGGTGTTGTACTTTTCGGTCGTCAGATCTTTGGTACAAAGGGTGGATTGGCTGTAATTACTGGTCTATCCCAGTTGATAGAGAGTGGTAAATTCCAGCTACCTACTAAGGTGGAAGTGGTGGGCAAGGGCTTCGACGCGATTGGTCCAGGTTTGGACAGGCTGATGAAAGGTTATATTAGTGGCAACAAATTTGTAGTCAGCATCTAGATTTTATTCGGGCAGTCAATTCGATGGATATAATTTTCGGACTATACTCTCGACTCAATGTCGAAATTTATGGAGTTACGTGTATTTAGCACTTTCCCTCCTCTATTCATCTTCCTGATAGCTAAAGCCGACGAGGGACCAATATTCCTTTCGCGCTCTCCTAATAGGCTAGTGCTCCATCAAAACATTAAAATTATGCCAAATTGAAATTAATCTTGATTCTTGACATTTGGTGAGAGACCCATAAATAGAGAATTTTGATTTCAGTCTGGATTATCCCTTATTTCGCCTAGGGATTAACAATTAAGCATCGCGGAGTGTCTAGTAGTCGAAAACCGGCTCAAAGGATAGGCTTATATAAGCAGTATTCATATATATTATATTTTTCCCTATCGCAATATATCCTTTAGATTATAAAAGTAAAGACTATTTATTTTTAGCTATTTAATTAGATTTAATATAGAGGTTCAAAGTTGCGATCCCGAGACGGGTATGTTTGGTCCAAAATTCCGAAAGGGGTTAGCGTTTGGTCCAAAATTCCCAAAGCGGACGTGGTCCAAAATGTAGGAGAATAGCTTGGTCCGAAATGCAGGAGTGACCTTATGCATTTCGGACTAAGCTATTCTCCTGTATTTTGGACCAAGGCCTTCTCCTGCATTTTGGACTAAGCTATTCTCCTGTATTTTGGACTAAGCTATTCTCCTGCATTTTGGACTAAGCTATTCTCCTGCATTTTGGACTAAGCTATTCTCCTACATTTTGGACTAAGGCCTTCTCCTGCATTTTGGACTACGCCCTATTCCTATATTTTGAACCACGCCCTATTCCTACATTCCTAACCGTATCCTTCTTAGACCTGGCACTCACCCGCCCCGCGGGTCCAAGATCAGGAACCTCTACCCGCACCTCCGAGGGTCAGGGTCCAACCTCACCGACCCTGACCCTAACCCTGACCCTCCAAGGGTCCCTTGAGGGTCACCCGCGGAGGGTCCGTCGGACCCTCAAATACATAATTTCTTCGCGCCTTTCCTATTTCGGACGCATAAAATTGATGATTCAGCTTATAAAAATACTGTTATTTACGGCTGTTCTAGTATTCATTTCTATTCTTCATTAATCGTACACTAATATCTACGAAATTTAGGGAAATTAGATTGTAAATAGATAACTTATATATCGTCATCTTAGTGTTCTGAATTATGACTCAAATTACGTAGTGGGTGGTTAGTTTTTAAGGGGGTTATAGAAAGTTAAGAGTTTTGTTGCGGAAATATATATTGAAGGTAGAGTGAGAGTGCTATATTTGTACGACAGTAAACACATCTTTTTTTTAACGCCTAAAATGCCCTAAATCGAAAGCTTTCTTCGGTTATAAAATAAATAGAGACTTATTTAAATAATTACTAATTTAGATTCCTCGTAGGTGTTCTAGTTATTGTATGAAATAAGTTTAAAGATCTAGATTATTGGACTTAGATATTTTCTATCACGAAACTTAAGACTATATAACTAGAGGGTCTGGAGGGTGACCCTGAGGGTCACCCTCCCCGCGACCTAATCAGACGAGAGAATTTTAGCCAAGTGGGGCTTATAGGATGATATATCAACTTACGTCTTCGCGCGACTAGGGTAAACGGATTCCCCCTGTACGATAGCTTTTTTTTTATCTAAAATCTTTGTAAGTCCTCTTGTTCCACCTTTCTATACCTATATGTCTACTATGTCTCAAACCTCTGATATATACCCGTCCTCGGTTATAGAGGGGGTTGGAATAGATAAGTAACAATACCTTATCCCGGACGATACCCCGTTCACAAGCCTATTCCTATCAAGCCAGCCTACCTTCGATACGACACTTAATACTCCACGGAGAGTACCTTTAGCGCCTGAGAGCCTTACACGAATTAAACCCGACCGAGTGAACTAATTCCTATTGTACGAAGATAAAATGAGTAAGGAGTTTATGACCTAGTGGCTCTAAATAGACTACGGAAGGAAGAAACGGATTAATTGGGACGGAAGGCATCAAGCAAGTTACTAGGATAGCTTCGAGTAGGTGGCTTATACAAAGGATGGAAAGCCTGGTGTGATATGTATAAGATGCCGGAAGGTTCTTGACTATCCAGCTACCGGATATATAGGTACCTCATCGATATATAAATATCTTAAAGGGCCACAATGTCAGAAGGGGACAGGCAAGCCAAGTATCCATAGGCTACTCATACAAGCTATACGTATAACCTAGACTATCCTATAGCTTTAAACTAATCGATTGTCAACCTACTAGGGTCAGCGAGCGCCTACCTGGGTATTTGATCAGAATACCTGGGAACAGAAGCTTCTAAATCTGGTTACTGTGTCGCATTTACCATTCCTTTTCCTCGAGTATCAAGAGTTCCAAAATCTTATCTCGTACGCGCGACTAGCTCCGACGGCACCAATTATTCCTTCTCGGAAGGTAATATATACAAGGCTCCGTCAATTTGTTACCGAAAACCAAATAGCTATCCTCCAGAGTAGAGTGCGCCAAAAACCGCAAAACCGCAAAACCAAACCAAACCAAACCGCAAATGGTTTGGGTTTTGGGGCCGGTTTCGGAAACCGCAATGGTTTTTGGTTTCTTGGTCAGAAACCGCAATGGTTCTTGGGGCCCCAATGGTTTGGTAAACAATGCAAACTGAGTGGGTCCTTGTCACTACATATTTTATGCAATTTTACCCTGTTTCTTAGGGTATTCAATATACAATAGAGACCTCTTTCTATTACCTTAATTTTCAAAGTACGTTAAATGAGCTCTCTGAGCCATAGCACTCCTTTTCTGACGGCCGTCAGAAAAGGGGGTTAGGGAGCTACTGTCTACGCACTAGATTTGCTGACGGCCGTCAGAAATATAGTTATTTAGCTACACCGGAATTTTGACGGCCGTCAGAAATTCAGCAAGGCTATAGGTAAGAGTTATTTCACTATAGTATTTATCACTAATAATACGTATATAGATCCTCGTCACGTCGTACACGTTTCCGAGCTCGTACTGAAGCACGTAGCTGAGTGCTTTCCTCTTCATTAGAAGGCAGAGGAGGGTCGGTGCTATTGTTAGCTCCAACTAGTATATCCCCTCTACCTTGAATATCTTCCTCTTCCTGGGTCTGTTCTTCTTCCGTATCACTAATCGGATCGACGCTCACGCTATCAGGTGTGAATTCCCTCTCCTCCTTTGCTGCTTCAATCTCGTCGCGCGTAAAGAACTCCTGTAGGAACGCTGCCTGTTCCTCCTCAATCTCAAACTTCGAAGTGCAGAGAAACATCATTAACTCCTGGATTGTTGTTGCACTTAATCTTCCCCGACGATAATGACAAATATCTCGAGCTGTATTGAATAATCGTTCAACACCCGCACCGGTCGCAGGGACTGAAAGTATATCCCGAGCGAGGGCTGCAAGAGCTGGGAACCGATCAGCATTATCCTTCCAAAATCCCAAAGGTGTCGTATCTATCGTAGCACTATCAAGATATTGTGAAAGCTCATCGCCCGCTATGGTAGAACGGGGACGGTTTGGTTTCACCATTAAGTCAAGACGTGACCTTCCTCCCCCTAACGAAAGGGATTGAGAAGATGTTGCTTGGTTGGTAAGGCGTTCTTTGTAAGAAGCTAGCTGCTTTTCGAGAGATTTGCGGTATATCGCACGCCAACGATCATCCCAATCATCAGTTTGAAAGAATTGGAACTTATTCGCTGGAGCAAGCATTATAGCTATTGCATAAAGGTGCCCTCGTACATGATCTGTCTCCGAGTAGTACTCATCAAGCTTCTTTCGAGCAGCTTGTAACGCCTGAAGCATCTGTCGCTTCCAGGTAGTCCTCTTCCGTGTGAGCTGGGTGATTGATAGCTCAAGGTGCTCAAATAGCTTATTGTAGATCAGAAAGACATGATATGTAGTAACATCTCGCGTTTTGGATAGTTCAACTGTGAAATCAAAAAAGGGCTGGGTGATAAAGAGAAGGTAATCAACCTGGCGCTATTCTTCGTCTTCGAGGACCATCTTAGGGCGCTCATACTCATCACAGAACGGCTGGAAAAATGATCGTAGGCGCTTTGTACGTCGAAGCATCAGAAAGGTAGAATTCCAGCGTGTCTTAACGTCTTGAAGAGGCATGAGCTTTGATTTTTCGCCTTGTAAATTGTAGAAGGTTTCCCGGCGTTAAGGACTTGCGTTCATATAGATTGCAAGGCTCCGAATCTAAAGATCGTGATTAGTATAATATGATCCGAGATTACATAGATATATACCTTGAATAACGTATTGGCAATATCATGCTTAGTTGTATTCGCACGCGCTGACTGGGATCGCTGCTCTATCCACCGTGTCTCGGTTGATTCATTCAATAGGCAAGCCTTGATATACCCAAGAAGCTCATTTAGGCTAAGCTGAATCACATGTGCAAGACATGGAACCCTAATAAGGGTGATATCTTCTGATATTGCTTATTGTAGTGTATCAACTAATGTTTGGTTGTTTGATGCATTATCAGTTGTGATTGCAAAGACTCGACCTTCAATCTTGTGTTGTAGAAGGATATCGAGGACAACGGAACTTAGGTTAGTACCAGAGTGTGTTCCATGAAGCGGTTCAAAGCCAAGAAGAACCTCGCGGTATTGCCAATCCTTATCGATAAAGTAGCCGGTTATAGCCATAAATGCCTGTGTAAAAGGTGAAGTCCAGCAATCAAGGGCAATCGAGATCTTAGCACCTTCTGGAAGTATCCTAAGAATCCTCTCTTGCTGTTGTTGTACAGAAAACTGTAGACGTCGTCGTATTATCTTTGCTGAAGGAATATCAGGGACTATTAGCGCGGATTGAGCTATCCGGATTAAGCGATGGAATTCGGGGTGCTCAATCAGCCGAAAGGGAAGGCGTGCGACCGTTAGAAATGTAAGAAGCTTTTCTTCCCATATCTCCTGACTAAACTCCTCTGTAACTAGCGTATTCTAACCATCAAATCTAGTAATTAGACCTAAACTGTTCAGATAGTAGAATAGAAACATACCTTTGGCTGCAGAAATTGAGTGATATTCATCCCTTGACCTTGAGAAGCTTTGATACAGCCCGCACTGGAAAGATAACCTTTCATAGTCGAGGTTCCTTGGCGCTGTTTCTTCCCATCCTTTGTGTAACGGACGAAGTTTGGGTGCTTAAGTATCTGTCCACAGCGCTTACACATAACCTTTGCAGCACCATCAGAGCTTTAGGCGACCTGGTGAAATTCGTTCTAGGTACTAGACTGATGTTTCGCATCCCAGGGTATATAGTCTTTCTTGCCGAATCCAGTCTCTAGCCACTAGCTTACCCAGTCGCTATGGAGCATTTCGTCGTAGAGAATATAGGCTTTGTTACGACTAGGGCCAACACGCGTAAGTGATGGAGGTATTGCGGGGGGTAGTAGCGGTCGGAGGAAATCTGTATCGAGGGAAGGTAATGTTTCCTGACTCTCGGATAGGTTAGGCGTAAAAGGGTGATTAGGAGGAATATAGTTATCGAAATCACTATCGTAAATTGACGAGGAGAAAGGAGATTGCTGATTTTGAGACATAATAAGATGAAAGACACAGTAAACATAGTAGTTACCAAGAGGTAAGGGACTAACTTACAAAAATTGTGCGGTTTTTACGTAGACGCGACCGATAAACAATAGGCTCCTAGATAAATTGATACATCACTTTAGAAGATCATACTAAGCCGCTAATTGGATAAAGGTTGCTTACTATGTGGGTCAAAACCATCAGGAACTATTAGAAACCATCAGAACCCATCAAAAACCACCAAACCCCATCAGAAACCACCAAACCCCATCAGAAACCACCAGAAACCATTAAAACCCACCAGAAACCATCAAAATTACGAGAAACCTATTCTGCTTAAAGTCTGCGTTCAATAATATATTAAATATATATATCCTCGCAATAAAATATAGCTAAGAGACCTAATACCTAATACTGGCTAACTACTTACGATTAATACACTAAAAACAAAGGAATATTATATTACTTCTACTTTTAATTTTATATATAAGTGAATTACCCTATATTTCATAGCTTTTATAGTCAAAAAATATAATTAAGTAGTGTTGAGACCAAAACATAGTTTAATAACAGTAATCTAAAAGTATGAATCAGTAAATTTATGTATGCCAAGACCTTAATTTTATGCAAAAATGGTTTTTGTTGGGGCCCCAATGGGGAACCGCAATGGTTTGTGGTTTGGTTTGGTTTTCGCGGTTTCAAACCGCAACCATTGCGGTTTGGTTTTTGGGGGCAAGGTTTGCCCCCAATTGCGGTTTTTGGCGCACTCTACTCCAGAGCCTCCCGCTAGGTACAAAGCTATCTCTAGCACTTAATTGTTGGACGTCACCGTTCCAGCAAGCATTTATGGCAATCATAGCTTACTTCCTAGATCAGGACTGGGCGTACCGCGAAGTCCTCCTTAGCTTTGAACCTCTATCTGGTACGCATTCAGGCACTAACCTAGGTGAGGTTATCGTCCGTATTCCCCGATAGTATAAAATTATCGATCGCGTCCTTGCGGTTACTACCGATAATACGTTAAATAATACGACGCTTATAGCTGCTGTGAATAGACTTCCGCAGAACCCAACTTGGGTCGAAGGTCTTGACCCAAAACCCAACCCAGGCTGGGTCCGGGTCGAACTTCTATAACCCGGACCCAACCCGGACCCAGTGTTGGGTTTTATTGGGGCCCCAACATAACCCAACATAACCCAACTTTTGCATTATTCTGATCATAAAGCTGCTCAGTCATCAAGATAATATACTGTTTTTTATATCTGTCTGGTCTATACAACGTAGCACCACGCCTTCTTTTCATAAATCCCTTGAAATTTTGAGAAATAGACTTATAATCATAAAGAGTTGATTTAGCTTATGATAAATTACTATAGAGCTATATAAGTGTTCTATTATTTTAGGAGCGATCTATTGATCATGAGATTTCTGCCTTGAATTAATAGTGAAGTGATGAAGATATTGTAGTGGTGGAACGCATGACATAATGAATACAGTTGCGGCCTGAGGTGTCACGAATACCTTAGGTGTAAGCAGCAGCTTCTACATGAGGATAGAGAGAGAAGAGGCATCTACCCAATTCATTCCAGTTTTCACTACATTCTTTCATTCAACATGCTATATTAAGTACATTCCATACGGGCTCAGTCGGGAAAAACCGTACGGCCTCATTTAGGATTGCTGTGTCCAGGATTGCACGTACGACCTCACGGCCTCACCAAGGACATTCGCGACCTCCCCTAGGACGACCTCTACTACGTGCAGGTTGTGTGTGTGTTGTTCGTTGGTTGCTGTTGCCCAGTCTGTATTGTCAGACAGCCATCGAGCCATCCCCTTTTCATATTGGCGTCCCCGGGAAGGCTCGTTTTTGTTAGGGCACCTCACCATACGAAGGAACACACGTCTGAAGGGTGGCGATCGCATTTGACCCTGAAAAGGCTATCAGATTGTACGAGATCTCAAGCGGGAGATCTATCACAATCACCAGTGATAAGGACGATATATTCGGCACAGACAACCAAGAGGGGTTAGCCGAGATGCAGTATTCGCCTGAATACACCCAGTTCCTACGGGGGATGCTATCTGATTGGTATACTGGAAATGCAGTAATGCTTCGGAAACTACTGAAGATGCAGCCTATCCAATTGAATACTATAGCCGAGCAGGGATGCCCTGGTATCCGATGGCTGTGGCACTCTACGACTCAGCTGATACTAATGCAAACAATTCTGCAATATAAATTGCAGCAAGAGGAAGCGGCCTTAACAAAAATTACACAAGAAGAAGAAGAATTATTGAAGAGACACGACAAAAATCATAGTGAACAGAGTCAACATTTCTTTTCGGCCGAAAAGCTATCTCCTTTCTGCGAGCGAATAGCAGACCACGGCGCACCAGATCTCATGGCCCCTGAGCTACCACACCCTGAGGGTATTGCACCTTTCACTGATTACCGAGAACCAGCACCAGAAAGGTCCGAGTCGGTCCACAGCGGTGATAGTCATGCGGATCATGAGCACCAGCCAATACGATCACCCCTAGCCGAATCATCCCGAATAGTTCAGACAATGCCTATCCCTTACACAGTCCAAGTTCCTCACTTCTCCGCGTTGCCAGCTCCAGGATCCCCAGGGGCACCATACTTTGACGAGACGGATGTCTCTGAGTTCCTGGAGAAGCTGCAGGATACGTGTTTCAGGTGTGGCGTTAAAAACAATGAGGATATCATGGGTATATTGCCTCAATACTGTGCAAAGGTCACCAAATCCTGGGTAAAGAGGCAGAGTTCATGGCTGAAAAAGGACTGGGATACCTTCAAGGAAGACTTCTTGGAGCACTTCTATGATGACGATAGTGAGCAGCAAAGGTACACGAAGACATACCTTCAATCCCTCGCCCAGGTCAAGCGGACAATGCAAGACAATATCCGTTCGTACCTCAATGAGTTCGATGATATATCTGGTCGTGTCCACTCAAAAGGCGAGGTTAGTGATGTGGATAGGGCAAGCCTCCTTATCCAAGGACTTCCGCAGCAGCTCAAGGAGAAGATTATTAGAAGGCATTCTATCCCATGGGGGTGTGAGCATCCTACCACGATGCCCACATTAGGGTTTCCTTAAGTATGGGAAAAAAAAGTGGGTCAGGGGTAGGATGCCCACATTTTCGGACCCAGGATGCCCATTAATTCCACCGGACGATTACCCTCAAAAGTTTATCAGTTTTAAACTCGTACGTGATCTATAAACAGGGAGAGTTTCAAGATAACCCGGCCACATTAAAGGGTACTTGCAGGGATTCAAAAATTCGATTAGTTTTTTGATGGGGTGCGACCGAGCGCTATCACGGCCACTAGTGTTCAGTTAGGCTTAGGGTTGGACGACCACTTATTAGATAATTCAGCTTAATATTGAGGGGTAACTTAATATCTAAGATTCATACAACATTCCGTATGGCCGACCAAGTATTTTCCCGGTCCGACGCATTCCCAGTGATTATTTGCCGTACGTGCAAGCACGGTGTCCGACCGCAGCATATCGTCGGCCATTTAACGGGTAGTCCGCATCGATTATCTATTGCCGCCGCCCGTACGATCGCCCAAGAGGTTCGGAGTTGGAACGGGGTACGCGGTGACCCAGACCAAATATGGTTACCTACCCAGATCGACGAGCCTATCAGTGGGTTACCTATTTATTCGGACGGTATCTTATGTATACGTGAGCCCGATTGTGGGTACGTTTGCCGGAACCCTAAGTCGATTAAGAACCATTGGCGCCAGGAACATCAGTGGGCGATACCTCGTCCGCGCGAGCAGCCTACCGCGGCTACCGTCCAGGCCGCCGAGGATACTATTCAGGGCTCGATGCAGTCCGTCGTATGCCAGCGGTTATTTCACCGTGGGACTAACTCGCATTATATCCACGTTCGCCGGCCCGGCCCGTCGTACGAGCCGATGGAGCCTCCGCCGCACCCTACCGTGGTCCAAGGGTTAGTGAACCAGCTCGAACAGTGTTTCACCGCGTCCCAGGCCAGCGACGAGACGGTCGTACAAGCCGGCGAGCTGGATGAGGCCAACCCGTGGTTACGGCGGACGCAGTGGGCCCAGTATTTGCAGGGGATCCCCGTACGACTATTGTCCGAGGCCATCGCCACCCCCGATCCGGATGCCGAGGGCCCCGAGGGCGTCGTACGTGCCATTTGGGACGCCATGGATCGGGTCGCCCGCGTGAGCCAGCGTATTACCAAGCAATGCGGCCATTTAATCCGAATCGAGGCCGCGCGGACCGAGAAGGACCAGAGCCCGCATCAACCATTGCAGGCGTATATGGATATGGATAACATTGTACGACACGTGGAGCCATGGCAGCGGGTGTTAATGTTTTTTGCTCGTACGCAGCAGCCGCACGAATGGCGCAGTCCCCGGTACCGGTTTATATCGCGGCAGCAACGCGCGTGGCAGGCATTATGGCGCTGTGCCCAGTCCACGGTCCAGCTGGGCCAGTCGTCGTCCGCGCAGGGCGCCGACCCGGCCACCCATGGTCGTACGAACGATGATCCCGAGCTATACCAGTTCACACCCATTGAACAAGCATGCATCGACTTTTGCATTGAGTTACTGAATCAGCGCGTAGGCGCCGAGGAGTACGAGTGTGCATTAGTATGTGCATTGGCCGTATTAGGGCGCAGCCGGGACGGTTGGCAGACGCCCGAGTCGTACCCCCCATTTTGTCCAAGATGATTAAGATTGCGCGGTTTATGGTATTGCATAAGGCATTACGGTTAGATCCCCACGCGGATGAGATCTATCCCATGGGGGTGTGAGCATCCTACCACGATGCCCACATTAGGGTTTCCTTAAGTATGGGAAAAAAAAGTGGGTCAGGGGTAGGATGCCCACATTTTCGGACCCAGGATGCCCATTAATTCCACCGGACGATTACCCTCAAAAGTTTATCAGTTTTAAACTCGTACGTGATCTATAAACAGGGAGAGTTTCAAGATAACCCGGCCACATTAAAGGGTACTTGCAGGGATTCAAAAATTCGATTAGTTTTTTGATGGGGTGCGACCGAGCGCTATCACGGCCACTAGTGTTCAGTTAGGCTTAGGGTTGGACGACCACTTATTAGATAATTCAGCTTAATATTGAGGGGTAACTTAATATCTAAGATTCATACAACATTCCGTATGGCCGACCAAGTATTTTCCCGGTCCGACGCATTCCCAGTGATTATTTGCCGTACGTGCAAGCACGGTGTCCGACCGCAGCATATCGTCGGCCATTTAACGGGTAGTCCGCATCGATTATCTATTGCCGCCGCCCGTACGATCGCCCAAGAGGTTCGGAGTTGGAACGGGGTACGCGGTGACCCAGACCAAATATGGTTACCTACCCAGATCGACGAGCCTATCAGTGGGTTACCTATTTATTCGGACGGTATCTTATGTATACGTGAGCCCGATTGTGGGTACGTTTGCCGGAACCCTAAGTCGATTAAGAACCATTGGCGCCAGGAACATCAGTGGGCGATACCTCGTCCGCGCGAGCAGCCTACCGCGGCTACCGTCCAGGCCGCCGAGGATACTATTCAGGGCTCGATGCAGTCCGTCGTATGCCAGCGGTTATTTCACCGTGGGACTAACTCGCATTATATCCACGTTCGCCGGCCCGGCCCGTCGTACGAGCCGATGGAGCCTCCGCCGCACCCTACCGTGGTCCAAGGGTTAGTGAACCAGCTCGAACAGTGTTTCACCGCGTCCCAGGCCAGCGACGAGACGGTCGTACAAGCCGGCGAGCTGGATGAGGCCAACCCGTGGTTACGGCGGACGCAGTGGGCCCAGTATTTGCAGGGGATCCCCGTACGACTATTGTCCGAGGCCATCGCCACCCCCGATCCGGATGCCGAGGGCCCCGAGGGCGTCGTACGTGCCATTTGGGACGCCATGGATCGGGTCGCCCGCGTGAGCCAGCGTATTACCAAGCAATGCGGCCATTTAATCCGAATCGAGGCCGCGCGGACCGAGAAGGACCAGAGCCCGCATCAACCATTGCAGGCGTATATGGATATGGATAACATTGTACGACACGTGGAGCCATGGCAGCGGGTGTTAATGTTTTTTGCTCGTACGCAGCAGCCGCACGAATGGCGCAGTCCCCGGTACCGGTTTATATCGCGGCAGCAACGCGCGTGGCAGGCATTATGGCGCTGTGCCCAGTCCACGGTCCAGCTGGGCCAGTCGTCGTCCGCGCAGGGCGCCGACCCGGCCACCCATGGTCGTACGAACGATGATCCCGAGCTATACCAGTTCACACCCATTGAACAAGCATGCATCGACTTTTGCATTGAGTTACTGAATCAGCGCGTAGGCGCCGAGGAGTACGAGTGTGCATTAGTATGTGCATTGGCCGTATTAGGGCGCAGCCGGGACGGTTGGCAGACGCCCGAGTCGTACCCCCCATTTTGTCCAAGATGATTAAGATTGCGCGGTTTATGGTATTGCATAAGGCATTACGGTTAGATCCCCACGCGGATGAGATCTTACAATTTTTGCAGCACCGACAAGGGGTCGGCGAATGGGCCAGCCAGAGTCCGATGGACGACCCCGAATATATATTCGCGGGCCAGGATGAAGGATATACCAGCCAGAGCCCCACGCCCACCCCCGAGCCCGATCACCCGCATTCACCGGTCGTACAAGATCCCCCCGATCCCACGAGCCCGGATTGATATCATTTAGCCAGCAGCGGCGGCAGGGTTCGCGGCCGTTTCGCGAGTGGTTAAAGGTATTAGTGGATACGTTTATGGTCCGTGGCACGCATAGCCCGATGCAGTGGATGTTAGATTTACGGACGTACGGTTTACATGTGCATTATAATAGCACCACGCCCGGGCATATCGCGTGGATGGGCCCCGACCAGATATTGTACAAGGAGGTGCATTTTTCGATGGGCGATTTCCGAGGCTTCGTACATGGATTAGTGGGATCATTACAGGGGATATTGCGGGACGAATTGTTAATGACCACCGAGACCACGCCCATCCCATCCATCCCGTGGGCCAGCTTGATGGACGACCCCGCGCAGGCCAAACCCGGGTGGTGTTTTTTAAAGGATTCGCGTACGACGTGGCCCGTGGATGGCGCACAGTGGATGACCCAGCGGTTAACGCAGGATAGTGCCGTACAACGGCGGTTTATCAATACGCACGAGGGTCAGTTCCGGACATCCGCCATTCAACGATATATGCAACGGGTCGTACGATTCCGTGAGCAGTTATGTATCGCCATCCACGTCACCGCCGGACAACCCAGTCGAGCCCCCGAGCTGTTAAGCATTCGGCACCGGAACACCGAGGGCGGCCACCGCAATATATTCATCGAGGATGGATTAGTGGTATTTGCCAGTCGGTACCATAAGGGGTTTTATGCGCAGAATGACGCCAAAACGATCCACCGGTATTTACCGCGGGAGGTCGGGGAGTTGGTCGTACAATATTTGTGGTTAGTATTGCCATTTATGGAGCGATTGCAGGCATACCCGCTGGGGCAGTCGTCGTACGAGCATCCGTCCCATTTATCGCAAGCCGCATATTTATGGCCGCCCGACCCCCATACCGGCCGCGAGTGGTCGTCCGAGCGGTTCCGGGAGGTGTTAAAGCGCGAGACGGCCATTGGATTGCATGGGTATTCATTAAATATCCCCGCGTACCGCGATATTGCCATTGGGATCAGTCGACGGTTTTTACGGGTATCCAGTGTGTTCCCGAATAACGTCCAGGATAGTCGTACGACCGATGGTACGCCCGACGATGCGGACGACGAGTCCCAGATGGACCACGACCAATTTATGGGCCATATTGCGGATTTACAGGCCGCGCATTCATCGCACGTCGCCGGGATGATATATGGCCGCGAGGTCAGCGAGCAAGCCGGTACGACGGCGCACCG